GGAAGTTAACCTGGTAGCCCAGGAATAGAGTGGGGACACTGACTAGATGTGAAGAACCCAAGGGACGGAACCCCTGGCGAGTGAAGTAACAAGAATCTGTGCCCCAAACTTGGGAGGCCTGCCCTGTGTCCCAGGGGAGTGTTGGGCTAAAGCCTACTGATCATTGGCTCCTGAAGGTGGGGACTGGTTGGGCAGCCACTCGCTTTCGTCTTTGGGGTGGGAGCCCAGAGGCCTCCCTTCCGGCCTGTCTCTGGGCAGCCCCCGCAGGTCCCCGCAGGCCGGAGCGGGCAGGACTCCGCGCCCCGACCTGTGCGCGGCGGGGGCGGGGCTGGCGCGGGGCGGGGCGGGCGCCTGGGTCTGACGTGTCTCTGCGGGATTGGAGCCGCCGCCCTATATACTCACAGGGGCCCGGCAGCCGGCCTCGGAGCGAGTGGAGCAGAGCTCGGGTGTCTTCGGAGCCGGCGGGCGGCGAGCGCACCGCGCAGTCAGTGGGTGAGCAAGCGGCAGAGCGCGGCGCGGCCGGGGCGCAGGCCCGGAGCAGTCGGTGGCCCGGGTGCGCGGGGCAGTCGGGGCACCGGGGGCGGGGCTGGCGGGCGGCAGTGGGGCTGCCGACGTGGAGCGCGGGGCAGGCGGGGGAGGGGCCGGGGGTGCCTTTGGTCCCGCCACCCCCTCCACTCCCCGGCTGCCTGGTCAGCCGGCCCCAGGCTCCCCCTCCTCCCTGGCCGGGCCTGGCGGGTGGGGGGGGGGGTGGCTACGTGTCACCACTGCGCATGGGCCACGGTGCTGGCATGGAAAGAGTAAGAAACTTTCCCGGGTCCGGAGTCCTGCGGCCCGTGCCCTCCCAGAGGCGACAGCGCCCCCCACCTCCAACTGGGGTCCGCCACCCCCAACAGGGGTCGCCCTCCCTGTGCACTACTCCCCTCCCCAGCGCCAAGAAAGTGCGGCTGACCTGGGACCCGGTCGGTGACGTGGGTGTCTGGGCTGTGTCCCCTACCCCCCGGGAGGAGCGTTCCTCCCCTGGAGCTGGGGGGAGGGGGCGGTTCATGGAAGTCTGCCCGCGGGGGAGCTGGGGACCCGGCAGGGGCCTAGCCATCCAGCCGCACCTCCACCTGCCACCCCTCCTGCGTGGTCGTGGTCAGGGCTGGGCCTTCGCCCTCCTCGGGCCAGCGGGCAACTTGGAGGTGCCCCGGGGTCCCAGAGGAAAGATACATGACGGAAAAATACCGAATTTGGATGGAAAGCAGGGAGGCCGAGCGCGCTCCTGCCCCTTTAAGCCTGTCCCCGCCCGCGGGCTCGCGTGGCCTGTGGGAGGGCCGTGCTGAGGTGGCATCTGCGAAAGTTCCTCCTGCGGGTGGCGGATGGTGCCGACTTCCAGGACTCCGCGCAACACACGCCTGCTCGTGTCCCCTCCGCTCTTCGGCCTGGCGCCCGCCTAGGCTTGGTGGCTTTTGGCCCATTGGCATGTTCATGTTTATCATGTTTGGTTTATGGGTCCAGAGAAGTACTTGAAAAAATTTCCTTTGCAAGTTAGCTGCTGGGATCAAAGTAAGTCATTTTAATTTTGGAAGAAGTGGGAAGAGGTCCTGGGTTTTAGCTGCTGAGTTTTTGGTTCTCTCTGTGCCCAGTCCTGTCTGGTGGGTAAAGCTCCAAGTTCTCATTAGTTGGAGGTAACATTCTCTCTGGGTTTTTACTCAGGAGTTCTCTCCGCAAAGATGTATCTTTTTGCACATGTAATTGGCAAAACTTCACAAGGAATCAATTTATGCTCAGTTTTAGAAGCAAAGGTATAGTTCTTCACTTAGATTTTTCTGTTGTGCATTGTGAAGAACAGGTTTCCAGGTGGGACTCGGGTGTTTCTCCCCTTGGGGGGGAGAAGCGTCTGCCCCCCCCCTTGTGTAGCTCCGCCTGCTGCGTGCTTTCCTCCAAAGTGTGACTTGCTGCTGTGCATGGGGACACTTGAGGAACGACACTGGAGTTCAGGCTGAGGACAGTTGGAGGTTTGCCTTGAGTGACCCAAATGCCTTGTGCAGGGGAAGGAGTCGAAAGCTGCCACAGGCTGAAGGGACCAGCCATCCTTGTAACAACCGAACTAGCAGCTCAGCCTTATGCATCCGGGAGGTGTCATCGGGAAGAGAGGGTGGCCTTGCTGTCTGGCCAGAAGAAGAAGCGAAGTTGTAGGTTTAGCACAATGCTAGGCTCACTGTTCTGACAGCTACGTGGAGCAGGGCCAAGTGGCACAGGTGGCATATGGCTCCTGTCTCTGACGGTGGTCAGAGACGACTGTTAAGGGGTGTGTTTCAGTCCGCACTTGAGTGACTGTATTAGATCAAGCGAGAAACTGTGAAAGCAGCTCTCTGGCCTCTGTTTTTCGGGGCTAAGGTCTCCTGAAAACTTACAGAGCAAGTGAAGGGGCTGAGTGGAGAGGACCCCAGCCACGGTTGTGCATGGGAGGCTGAGGCACTGCCCCCGTGAACAGAAGTGGTCTGGGAGGGCTGTCTGTGAAGGCAGAGCTGGAGGCCATGGGCAAGGTCAATACTGGCCTTGTGGGAGGTTTTCCCCAGAGTCTCAGGTGGGGCTGAGATCTGATTGACACAGGGCTTGTCAGATGCATATTTCAAATGGATTCTTTAAGGTGAGGTTTTGAGATATTCATAAGAAAAACGAACCTGGCTGGTGGGGCTCAGTGGATTGAGTACAAGCCTGTGAACCAAAGGGTTGCCGGTTCAATTCCTAGTCAAGGCACATGCCTGGGTTGCGGGCCAGGTCCCCAGTTGGGGGCGTGTGAGAGGCAACCACACATTAATGTTTCTGTTCCTTTCTTCCTCCCTCCCCCTCTCTAAAAATGAAGAAATAAAACCTTTCAAAAAAAGATGAAAGCCTGACGTTATCAGATTTAATCCATTCACATAATCTATTCAGCTGTGACATTTCAGATTCAAAAATGCCATTTAAAATCTGGAGCTACAAGGTTTAGGATATCCCGTCAGACCAGACTGGAGCTTTCTGGAGGTCCACTCCGTCCTCTGTGGCCAGGGGCCTGTGCACGGTGTCAGAGATTCTGCACAGGTTCTTGCTGCCGCACGTTACGTTCGGCTGCTCGTGCTGCGTGGGTGCCCCTGCCTGAGTCCAACAAAAGGGCTGGAGTTGACTTCTGGAAGTTGGGTGCGCAGTGTGGGAAGACACCCCGAGGAGTTCTTGCCATCTTGCGTGTGACGCCAGGTGCAGGGTAGGGATTGGCTGTTGCAGACCTGTGTGTGTGGGGTGCTGCAGGAGCTGATTGTGTGCCTGCTGCTGGGACCCAGGACAAGGCCTGGGACCTGGCCTTGTCCCGGAAAGCCGGGCGCAGGGGAGGGTGTGGGCGGCAGCACAGTGATGTGTGTGAGCGTAGCTTGGTAAGGGTAGATGACAATGGGTGTTAGAAGTGACGTTGATGCCTGGGACAGCCTGGAGTGGGAGGCTACTCAGATGGAAGGTCACCAGGGGACTGTGCGGCCCCCAGGGGAGCTGTGAGAAACGTCAGTTGAATCCTGGGGCCCCAGCTTCACCACCAGTGTCTGGACATGGAGCACCTCCCTCTCGTGTCTGGACTGGCCGAGTGTGGGCTGATGGGACCCTGGGCATCCCACGGGGCACGTGCCCTGCCCCTGGTCAGACCCCCTGGGTGGGTGTGCTGCTCTGACCGTGTGACTTTTTGGAAAGGCTTTTCTTTCTTCTTCGTCTCAATCTTTAAAACTTTCAGGATCAAATTAGTTGGAGACAAATTCCTAAATAGTCTTGGTCAGTTTGTCTCCTCCATCCCCTGTGGCCTAAGATGCACCCGTGTATCGGGTAGGACTAGGATCCCAGAGCTGCCCTGGCCTGTGGTCGTAGCTCTTTCCCCGTATGACTCAAACCCTGTACTTAGAGATGTTTTAAAGTCCTGACTTGCGGCCCTGGCCAGTGTGGCTCAGTGGATTGAACACCAGCCTGTGAACCAAACGGTTGCAGGTTCGATTCCTGGTCAGGGAAGGTGCCTGGGTTGCAGACCAAGTCCACACATGGGAGTGTGTGAGAGGCAACCACACACTGATGTTTCTCTACCTTTCTCCCTCCCTTCCCCTCTCTCTAAAAATAAATAAAATAAAAAAAATCCTGAGGCGCCACTGGTCCACGTTCTGGCTTGGACGATGGACCCTTCTCAAGCTAGTCTTTTGTTAGGCCTCCAGTTGCCATGAACTGTCTTCCCTAGACATTTTATGGGGGTGTTGTTCTCCAAATGGGTATGATGTTCTGTTACTGTTGTCACTTCCCCACTCCTGCCCCATCATTAAGCCTCCTCATCTGTGCCCAGTACTTGTGGTAGTTCGCAGAAAGCAGCAGGAATGACCTGGAGCCTCAGTGTCCCAAAGTCCCCTGAGGCAACACCCTCTTCGTTCTCGGAGTTCTCCTTGGCCTTTCTCAGGAGGCCTTGGAAGTTCCTCCCTAGCCTGCTGTTTGCTGGGCGGGTTTCTAAGACCTGGTGGATTAGAAGGGACCAAAGCACCTCTGAAGATAGCAGCTCGCAGCCACCCTGAAAGGCTGGGGTCCCCGAGGTCCGCAGTGCACGCTGCGTCCTTGTAGCTGAGCCTTTTCCTTCAGGCTCAGGAGTAGAGGCGAGAGGTGAGAAAGAATGTCACCACACAAGAGAACAGCCCATCAGTTCTGTGAGGATTCTTCTTTAAAGTGGTTACATTTAAAATAAGTTTTGGCCCCTAAGGAATCACTGCCTCGGCATCCTTGTAAGTTGCCCTCTCAAAGTTCAGGTGGTTCAGACCTTACTGGAGTGTGTTCCCTGTGAAGTGAGTGGCCTAACAGTGGGATTGCCATTGTTTTCCAAGAAACTCGCCAAAGCATTAGTACAGTGCGAGGCACTGTTTGGACTTTGCTGGTTGGGAGGTAAAGGAGTCTGGTTTGCAGAAGACGGACAAATGATTTTTCTCTGGATTTCTCCTTGTTTTCTCTCCCTTCCGGTCCCACACCAGCAAAAGCTGGCAGGCTGACAGAAGTGGCCTCAGGACGGACTTTCTGGCTACTGACCGTTTTGCTGGTGAGTCGGACCGTCCTGTCTGAATGTCTCCCATCCCTGGGCTGGGTGCGCCTACGCTTCCAGCCTGTTTCACCCTTGAGTGTGTCGCACAAACAGCAGAGGCACGTCTGGCCCCCTGTTTGCTCATCACTTCTTCTGTGGGGACCGATTTTGCTCAGGGTGATCTGAGTGTGGGCAGTGCTGCTCTGTAACACAGAGCTTAATTTCCTTGAACTTGAGGAGTGGTCTGAGTTGTAAAAATCATGCAAGAAGTCACTCCTTTATTAAATTACTTGCCCTCTTTTGCTTTGTTGCCAGCGTGGCACAAGATACTTGGTGCATGATTGTGTGAAGAGAGGGACTCTTCCTGATCGTGGCAGCACAGGGCTCACCTAGGGCTGCAGGTGGGAGCTAACGCCCCTGGCCTCAGCTTCCTCTGAGCCCTGTTTTCCCAACAGGGGACCCCACTGAGCCCTGAGGCACTTGGGGTGGGGCCCTGTTCCTGCCTGGTTGAGGGACTGTGTGCGGCAGGCTCCACCTGCTGCAAGCCCCCTCCCGGACCTGGGCGATGGGATGTTGGAGAACAGGCAGTGGGCAGACCCAGAAGCACCTGACCACCCTCCTCTGGTGGTCCCCGCTGCTGCCCCATCGTTGGTGCCGAGCATCTGTTCCCACGGCCAGCACCTTAGCTTTGCAGGTCCTTCAGGTCTCCGGGCCTCAGATGAGCATCTCGCCCCTGCTGCATGGTTGGCCGTTCAGTATCGACTGCCATGTGGCAAATTGTGCAAGTGTCAGGAGGGCTCTGAGTGGACAGACAAAACAATGAGAGAGATGGCTAGGATGGCCCTCAGGTGTCAGTGTGTGTCACTGGGCCAATGCATGGTGGGTGCCAGTTGGCTTGGCAGGTGGGGTTCAGGCTGTCCCTGAGGGCCCCGGTCCTTGCAGCCAGAGCCTGTGTCTGCTCAGCCACAGGGCGAGGGCCCTGCTTTCCCTGAGCTTTTCTTTTCTTCCCTTGGTGAAAATTGGGTGTCGCCTTACATTCAAGCTTGTAAATGAGGACAGTAAGATGTGGTTTCCTAGTAGAAGAGAATTAAACCTTGGCTAGAAGTCAGCTTCACAGTCTCAGGGACAGGAGGGAGCTGGGTCTGCTGACTTTCTCTTGTCTCCTTGTCCCCGACTCCAGTGACTCACCCGGACAGTGTGTGGGTGCACCATCAACCATGAGCTCCGTTGCAGTCTTGACCCAAGAGAGCTTTGCTGAACACCGAAGTGGGCTGGTTCCGCAACAGATCAAAGGTGACAGCCTCATACACACTCCTCCGAACTCTCAGGAGCATTCCCTGCAAGCCCTGGTCTAGTCTGTACAAGTGCCTTTCACCCTATAGTCTAAGGTAGGGCCAAAGGCCCAGCCATATTGCACACAGGGTGGAACTGGCCAGGAGTGGTGAGTGAATCTGGACACTGTGAGATTTAAAATGTGCTCGACTTTCCAGAGAGCTGATGAGTTTGACCATTGGTGATGAATGGGATTCTTGGTTCAGAACTGCTGTGCCCAGTTGTGTTAAGCTGAATGTGGGCGGTGGAGAACCCAGAGCAGGGCCAGGAGCCACCGTTCGGGGTGAGGGCTGGGCCCTGGCCTCAGGGCCCCCTAAAGCAGCTGGCCACGACTGAGAAGCCCCTCTCGGTGCATGTCTAAAACACTGTCATCTCCACATCTCAGTGCGGAAGGGAAAGCTGGTATTTGACATTCTTTATTCCCTTGAGAACCTGCTCTCTGTGTGCGACTGCAGAACAGGTTGGTCTCCTTACGAGATTTCCCCCTAAAACCCTTCCTCTGTGTTTTGATTTTCACTAGAAAGTAAGGTACTGTACTCCCAGGCTGTGCCAAACATTCTCAAGTTTCCTAATAACTGAATCAGGTGGTAGCTCTAAAGTTTAGAGTAATTAAGAATTCCTTGTCAATCGCTTGGGCCACCTTTCAAGTGCCCGTCCCAGGCTGGTGGAGACCTGGCACCTGGGTGCTGTGGCCGTGGCCGAGTGCCTGTGTGCTGGGTCTCTCTCGCGGGCCCAGCAACCTCTGGGGCCCACACCATCTCCTGCCTAAGATGACGGATGGGCGCAAGGCGGTGACAGAACCCGAGTGCTGGGCAGCACCGAGAGTCCTTACTGTCGTTCTGAGAGCTGCGCCACGAGCCTGGAAGTGGCGAACCCGGAGTTGGGCGTCTCCCTGCTCTGGGCGCACACCTGCTCACAAAGGGCTGTCAGGCCCTGCCATTGCCAGACACTGTGCTTGGCCTGGTTACGTGGGTTGGTCCTAGCAGTCAGGCGCCTGCTGTCTGTCACACAGCTGTGGCTGTTGGGGTGAGAACATGGACAGTGAGGATGGGGACAGAAGCAGTGGTGACGAGGGCCCCCATTTCCAGGGCTTTCTGCTCCCTGTGGAGGGTGGGGATTTCTTGTCAGCATCGTGCACACAAGGCTGTGCCTGGCAGCAGCATTGCCTTGTTCTGCAAACGCGAGGGCCAGTTCTCCCCAACATTGTTCTGATTGTGGGGTTTTTAAGTACAGGGTTAGAAGACTCTTGGGGACAAGGCCTGCCTCAGGGGGCTCACCCCATCAGGGGAGCAGTGGGGTGCCCAGTGTCTGAGCTGACCCTTCATAGGGAGGCCACGAGGGCAGGGGTCTTACCCTCGGGTTCAGAGTTTGGGCCCTGCAGTTCACTGGCCGGACCTGGGGGTGCTGAGCTTGGCGACCTCCCAGGGCCCTTTCCCATCACGGAATGGGCATGTGGGGCGCTGTCCCCTGGGCAGCTAGTGTTCTTTCTGACATGAACCTCCGAGTGTTTGCTGATCTGGTATTGAAAGCAGTGCGCTTCCTCTTCCTCTGTGTTGGCTGGTCCAGTTGCCACTTTAAATTCGGAAGAAGAGAGTGACCCTCCGACCTACAAAGATGCCTTCCCCCCACTCCCCGAGAAAGCAGCGTGCGTGGAAAGCACCCAGGAACCCTCAGGGGCCTGGAGCAACAAGATCCGGCCCATCAAGGCTTCCGTCATCACTCAGGTAGGGACATGGGAACGCAGCCCCCTCTACCACCCCCCCAGGGCTCTTCCACGGAGCACGCTGCCCTCTTGCTGTGTCCCCAGCACCCGGAAGGGACAGGTCCCCTTTGGTTCCTAGCCCACTGTAGTTCTGCCTCTGCTTCAACTCCTGAACCTGCCCCAGCGAGGCCCGACGACGGCGTCCTCCCCTGGAAGCAGTCTCTCCCTCTGCTTCCTGTCACACCGTCCTCCTGGCTCTTCCCCCTTCACTAGCCTGTCTCTGGGCCCTGAACTCAGGTGAACTCTTCAGAGCTCGAAGCGATCATGGTGCTGTCTGCACCCTGTGCTCTGAGAAGGCACCTCCACTAAACCCAGGCCCCTCCGGCAGCATCCTGGTCTTCCCTTGTGTCTTCTTCCTGGTCGTCTGATCTTGTTAAACACGCTGCTTAGCGAGTCACACTCGGCCCTGTCTCCACAGAGCAGTGGGGGCACCTGGGCTGGCAGTCAGGTGTGTCCTCCTGCTGACCCTGGCTCTCTGCGGGCAGGGCCAAGGCCCGGCCCCTCTTCTTTTCACCTCGCAGACACGTCCTGCTCAGCCTGCCCCGCCTGCCTCTGGTTGAGCCGTCGCTCGCTCTCTTCCTGGGTCTCCCCTCCCAGCAGGCCACTGTGTCTTGACTCTTTAGGAAGGCCCTTCCTGGCCCCTCAGTACTGCCAGTCCACCCACTCCCACCCCGAGCTTCCTGTTACCCGCTCCTGTGTCTTCACCTGAAGGTCGGCCTCCTGACCTTTGGCCCTTCCTGCTCATGTCTTTACTGTTCTCCAGCCTTCCAGCTGCAGGGGAAGGGCAGCACCTAGGGAGCAGACAGATTTCAGTGCTCAGTGCCTAGGAGCACGGCCCCCTTCTCCTCTTGACCTCTAAGAGCCCCCTTCGACCTTTTCTGAGCAGGTGTTCCACGTGCCCCTGGAGGAGAGGAAATACAAGGACATGAACCAGTTTGGAGAAGGTGAGCAAGCGAAAATCTGCCTTGAGATCATGCAGAGGACCGGCGCGCACCTGGAGCTCTCTCTTGCGAAAGACCAGGGCCTCTCCATCATGGTCTCTGGGAAGCTGGATGCTGTCATGAAAGCCCGGAAGGACATTGTGGCTCGGCTACAGACGCAGGTGGGTGTTCCCCAGCCTGGTCCGGAGTGGACACACTCAGACTTCCTCAGACTCTCCCACCAGTGGGCAGGTCCCTAGTTCAGAGGTGGGACAGCAACATTCAGAGCCTCTTGGCATTTTTAGTGAAAAACCACTAACTCTGTGATAGAACTGGGATACTTCCTATTTGTGCTTTTGGGGTGAAGAAACCAAATGAAGGTTGAAAGCTGTCCCATAATTTGAGGCCTTTAAAAGGAAGGAGCTGTGCTCTCGAGGCAGCGTAACGGGCGCGCAGGCATGAACAGTTCCAGGGGTAGACCAGGGTGCGTTTCCAGGCCCAGATGTGGGAGGTTACAAGTTCTCATTCTGTGCGGGTTCAGACCAGTTCCCAGGTCCTGCCCAGCCTGGCACCAGCACTGGACTTCATGTGGAGACCATCAGAGTGAGTGCAGCCGGGGCCCCTTTTTTCCGGTTCCCTTGACTGATCTGCTCTCGTAGGTTCGGTTAGAACCCGGATCCCTCGCCACTGCCCCCAAGGAGTGAGCTCCCAGGGGCCACACAGCACACATGGTGTAGAGGACTGGGTCCGGGCTTGCCATGCGTGGCCGTGGGGCAGTCCCAAACCCCTCTAGCGTCAAATCATTAAGTGCAGGAAGTGGGAAGTGTTGGGTGCGAATTACTTCCTATGGTGGCTGGTGTGTAGTGACCTCTCAGACTATTGCCGTTGTCTGCTCATTGGTATTTGAATATTTTGTGATTGAGTCCTGGGAGGAGGGGGACACTGGGAAAGCGTTTGTCCCCAGTGTCCCTCCTTCTCCCGGCAGACCCCCCATCCCCCTCACCCCCGCCCCACATTTACATTACGTTAAATTGCAGGCGCATATTCGCCTGTAAATAATTCAGTGTGGTGTAACTCACTTACTAAAACTAATGCTAATTTCTTAACACAGCCCGCGCCGCCCAGTCTGTGTATAAACTACCCTCACAGTGTGTTCAGGTCACTGTCCACACACGGCCTGCCCACCGTGTGTGCTTGTTGGGCCTCGAGTCTTTCTGTTCTTCAGCAGTATCCCCCCTTTCTGAATGCCCTTGGATTTGGGGACAAGCAGGTGTCTCTCATTACCTCCTGTGACCTGGGAGGAAAGCAGAGTTAGGGGCTTGGTCACTTTCATGTTCACCTTGCTTGTTGGGAGAGAGAGCTTGTGGGTGGTGCTGTGTGCTTGGCACTGCTTCCAAGATTGACTGGGGGCGGGGGGGGCGGGGCAGAGGAGTCTTCAGCTGAGCCAGTGAGCCTGTGCTCAGTCGCTGCCTCTTGCACCACTGGGCCACCTGCTGCGGCAGAGGGCGGGGCTTCCTCAACTCCTCCCCGCCCCTCCCCCACACAAGCAGGTGGTCTTCAGGGAAGAGCTATCCTCCTGGGCCAACAAGTGGGCAGGGGAGGACAGGTAGTGGGTCCTTATCTCCCTCTTCACTTACAGACTGAAGTAGCCCTCTTGCACCTTCACTGGCGAGCCACGAACCTTTTTAGTGTCATTAGGTCTCCTGAGGGTTTATCAGTAGTTCTTCACACCGGGTCGCCTCAGCCTCAGCCAGTGTCTGGGCCCCTCGCAATTGGATCCCTGCAGCCTTCCAGGAGGACCATCCACAGCCATGCACTTCCTGGTTTCTAAGGACCTGTTGACCGACCTTGACTGTGTCCTTCCACAGACCTGAAATCTGCTGATTGTCCAAGAATCCTCGACATGCATAGTGGGAAGTTGTTTTTGAGTTCAAGCCGATTCTTCTAATTAAGGTGGAGGGTCGTGAATTTTACGATCACTTGACGTCATGCTTCTCTCTGTTTAGGTCAGGCTGTCATCTTGCTAGGTAGTTGGGTTCATTTGCTTTGGTGGGTTTTCCACTTTTGAAAGTCGCTTAAACATTGGACGACTGCAGTCAGAGCTGTGCAGGTACCTGGTCTCCAGAGCCAGCCTCTCGGCCCTGCCCTCACCTTCCCTGCTGCTGACCGAGGTCTTTCAGTCTTTATCGGACCCTTCCAGTTGGGGAGGAGCAGCAAAAGGGAGCTTGCCATAGACTCTGCCCTTCTGCTGGCTTTTCCTGCCCATTTTCTGGAGGCATCTGTGTATCGGCACGTAGAGGCTTTCCTCGCTCCTGCGCCCCGCTGTGGGACACAACGTGCTGAGCTGCATTTGGCGCAGCTTCCCACCCGCTGCCCCAGGTCCTGTTACAGGGAGACCTGGTGCAGGTGCTGCTTCCTGTGTTACGCAGCGCGTCTGGGGCTAGAAGAGAGGTGGCTGGGTCAGTGGGCAGCAGCAGGTGTAATTTTGCCATCACAGCCAGGTCTGCCCCCAACAGGGGGCTGTGCCCTCATGCCCCACCGTGTCCCTGAAACCCTGCTGGGCTTAGCCAGTGCTGGTGTGTCAGGCTGAGAGGCAGCTACATAGACCCTGTTTTGCATTGTTTGTTTGTTTGAATAAAGATTTTATTTACTTATTTTCTAGAGAGAGAAGGAGAGAAACATGAAACAGTTGTCTGTCACCCCCAACTGGGGACCTGGCCTGCAATCCATTCTTGTGCCCTGACTGGGGGAGTTTGGTTTATGGGAGGATGCCCACCCACTGGGCCGCAGGGGCCGGGGCTGATCTGCATCGTTCTGATGGGCAGGGCTGAGTGCATCTTCTCTTTCTGCTTCCTCTGTACTCCGTTCTCTCGCCCTTTTCTGTCAAGTTGAAGTTGTCCATCTGGCTCACTCTATTAAGGCTGCTAAAACCCTTATCGGTCGTGTGTTACCAGTAACATTTCCCTGTTTGCCATCTGTGTTTGATCTTATGTTCTCTGTGAAAGTTTGTTAATGTGTAGAAAAACTCATTGAACGCTTTTATTTTGGTCATTGTTACAAAACTACTTTTTCACATTGGGGTGTGCAGGAATGTTTATTCATGGTGCATGTAGGGTGTTCTTACATCCAGTGCCCGCCTGATGTTGACGGCGTTCACAGAATTTGTCATGAACGGTGTCAGGTCCACGTGCAGTCTCACCTAGTCCCGTATTGCTCTTGGGTCGTCAGTACCATTTTAAAGGAACCTCCCCCCCACCAGTTCGACTGACTGTTTACCGCCTGCTCCTGGGCTTCCCGTCTGACCCCTGGTCTCTGTGTGTTCTGGAACTCTCCTGCTCGGACGAGGTGGTTGTGGCCGTGCCTGAGTAGCAGTCTTCACGGTCCCCCCCCCCCCCCCCATGCTGCTCTTCTTCAGGGTTCCTGTCCTTTGTGTTACCTGCAAACTGTGTAATCAGCTTGTTGCTCACCATTGCATCAGGCCCTCCAAGGGATGTTTTGTGACAGCTGATGCCCATAGTCCACCTTTTTTGCTGGCTTGAGGTCCAGCCACTTTATTGTCCTTTCCTTTATTCTGCCTGCTGGAAACGAGTAGCCTTTTTTCTCACGTCTTCTGACCAGTTGTCTTTAGCTAAGTGGCAGCTACTGACGTGTGGATTCCAGTTCAGCCTCAGTTATCGACAGTAGTAAATAAGGCAGCAGTTCCCCAGGGCTTCTAGCTGTGGGGTCAGGGGCTTTTGCTGTCCAGCCTATGTCCCCTCCTGCAGGGACTGGTTCTAGTGGAGAGGTCAGGTCACGCGGGCAGCTGTGGGGCTGCAGGCTGTGTGTTCTGTCCTGTTGGGGAAGAGAGGGGAGGAGCTGCCCACCTGTGAGTTGGGCTTGCACAGTTCACCTTGCTGTTCAGGGGGTGGGGTGGGGAGGGCGTCGGTTGATTTCCATTTTCCTTCAGATTTTTATCGTGTGTGGATTTAAACTTTGTGGAGATGATCATTTTTTTCTCCACCGATCTAACAATATGGTGAATTGTATTAGTGGGTTTCCTACATTGAACCATTTTTGGAATAAACCTCATTTGATCAGAATGTGCCAGCCAGTGGGTCTTGGCTTCTGTGCTGGCTGGGGAGTGAGGCCCTTTCTTGTTGCCTCTGTGATAAGTGACGTGTCTGTCATTGGCACTTGGTGTTCTGAACGAAAACCCTGGCCCTTGGAGAAGGAGGGAAGGTGGCTGAGCTGTGATTTTTTTTTTTTTTTTGCCAGCATAGTGGTGGGGACCTTAATGCTCTCCTTTGTTTTGTTTTTTGTATTTTTTAAGTTCTCTTAGTAGATGGTTGTTTTTTGCACAGAGTTAGAAAGACTAGAAACCTCCCTCTTCCCCCAGTTTTCTCTGTGACCTCAGGATGTTGGTTGGTTTCTGGTGGTTTGACTCACGGGGTGCAGGGTTTGGGTTGTTTCCATTTTCTTCACTCAGATGAGTTGTCCGTTCTAACTGGTCGTAAAGGAGACAGAAGTTTATTACCAGACACTGAGCTTATGTCCAAAAAGAAGGCCTAGTGCTCCAGACACAGAAGTTAATCTGGTCAGTCAGCACGTCCCTGCGTCCCTGCCATGTCCCAGCGTGGCACTGGAGTCACTGGCGTGGAAAACAAGACATGTACTGGAATGTCCCTGTCCTCATGTGGCTTGTGGCCAGGCTGAGGAGAGGCTGGACAAAGAATTCCTGCTAAATAATTACCAGGGTCGAAAGTGTGATCTGAGGCCATGGGAATAGCTGGGGGTTCAGAGCAAGCCTGCCCAAGAAGGGCCTGTTTAACCTGCAACTATTGTAAAGGGTGGTGAGGGTGGCCTAGACGAAAACCCAGGAGAATGGCATTCTACCCAGAGAGAATATTATGGAAAAACGCACTTTTTCAGAACCTACAAACACTTTTGCTTTCTTTGGTTCTGTGCCTGTTGTAGGCCTCAGCAACTGTTGCCATTCCCAAAGAACACCATCGCTTTGTTATTGGCAAAAATGGAGAGAAACTACAAGACTTAGAGCTAAAAACCGCAACCAAAATCCAGATCCCACGCCCAGATGACGCGAGCAACCAGATCAGGATCACGGGCACCAAAGAGGGCATCGAGAAGGCCCGCCACGAAGTGCTGCTCATCTCTGCCGAGCAGGTGAGGTCACCACGGGCCTGGTGTTGTGTGGGCGGCAGCCTGGCCCCCAGTGTCAGGAGGCCCCATCTGTCCTCCAGACCTGTGCCCAGCTTTGCCCTTTGGTTTCCAGGACAAACGTGCTGTAGAGAGGCTTGAAGTAGAGAAGGCATTCCACCCCTTCATCGCTGGGCCTTATAATCGACTTGTGAACGAGATCATGCAGGAGACCGGGACGCGCATCAACATCCCCCCGCCCAGCGTCAGCCGGACAGAAATCATCTTCACCGGGGAGAAGGAGCAGCTGGCTCAGGCTGTGGCCCGGATCAAGAGGATTTATGAAGAGAAGGTAGCGGTGGGAGGGGTCCCTGCGGGCAGAGACAGAGCCCCGCCCGCTCCTGCCTGGGCGGGGTGTGCTGCCCACGGAGGTGCCTCTGAGGCAGCCGTCACCTCCAGTTGTGTTGGGGACTTGGAGGGCTGAAACCTGTTTCTTAATTTGGGGAGAGGGCTTGGTGTTTGTAGCTCTTCCAAGTCTGGCCTTAATTTAAATTGCTAGGTAATTCTTTTGAGGAGAAAATCCAACCCTTGATTAGTGGGGTTTCTGGGGATTGGCTGGTCATTGTCGTCCCTTCCAGGGGCTCAACAGGTACAGCCTGGGCCCCGTGTCCTGCACTCTGCCCTTTGGGGGCCATGTTCTGTCCCCACCAGCCCCACCCTGCGCCCTTCTCTCTGACATCCCGACGGTGCTCTTACTTAGAAAAAGAAGACCACAACCATCGCGGTGGAGGTGAAGAAATCCCAGCACAAGTACGTCATTGGGCCGAAGGGCAACTCTCTGCAGGAGATCCTGGAAAGGACTGGCGTCTCTGTGGAGATCCCGCCGTCTGACAGCGCCTCTGAGACCGTGATACTCCGAGGCGAGCCCGAGAAGCTGGGGCAAGCGCTGACTGAGGTCTACGCCAAGGTAGCCACCTCCCGAGTAGGCCCGGGGCCGGGGCCCTGTTGGGTTGGGGGCTCGCCAGCCCCTGAGCCCTGCTGAGTGACCTGGCTCGTGGTTTGTTTCCGGGTTTTCCCAGGCCAACAGTTTCACTGTCTCCTCCGTCTCGGCTCCTTCTTGGCTTCATCGTTTCATCATTGGCAAGAAGGGGCAGAACCTGGCCAAGATAACTCAGCAGATGCCGAAGGTAAGGAGGCCTTGCGTCCTGTTGTCCGTTTGGCCTTCATTTTGGGTTCGCTGTGTAACCTGTCACGTGCCTTCAAAGGCTGGCACAGTTCTCAAAAGCTAAAATAAGGCTCTTTTTAATGTTTCTGTCATTCTCTCAGTCTTTTTAACCAGAGAAGATGTGTGTTGTGAGGTTTGATGACAATCTCAAGAGTCACCTCATTTTTAGTTAAGGTGTAACAGCTCCTCCCAGTTACAGCTGGAAGTTCTGAGGCGCGGTCTGTCCAGGAGGTCTTCTCAGTTTTCCAGAGGAGACCGTAGCTCCCGGGACCACGAAGAGGGTAGAAAGTAGCAGGGCACGCGCATCGCAGTGTATTCCTGGTCCGAGGGGTGCCGTCTCTGATCGCTCTGTAGCTGTTTTTCACTTTTAAGATCGAAGTCCTCATTTACACCAGTGGGCTGCCTTCCTGGGACCAGTTTTCCATGAAGGTCTCTCTTTACCTGGTGTGTTGTGAATGGGGACAGTGGCCTTGTCTGAGGACCACCGTCGGGCAGCTGTACCTGGGTTAAAATTCTGCTCCTGCCAGCCATCGCACTCTGCATGCGACCAGCAAGGGGGGCGGTCTGCGGTGCAGGCAGCACAGGACGCCTGCCGTCCGGCTGTGGCCTGGTGGCAAGCACAGTGTGAAGGACTGTTCGGCCCCTGTGTGGGGGGAAGGGAGGGTGACTGGACCACAGCGTTCGGCACCAAAGTGACAGAGTCGTTCTTGGGCCCCTCTGCAGCTCTCTGTGCTGTGGACGTGCACTCACATGAAGGGCGAGGGTCGACCGCTGCCCTGGGGAGGCCTGTCAGTCTTAGAGGCCACTGGCGCTGTGCCCATCCCCACGGTTCCTTGCTCTGCTGTGGCAGGTTCACATCGAGTTCACGGAGGGCGAGGACAAGATCACCCTGGAAGGCCCCACGGAGGACGTGAACGTGGCCCAGGAGCAGATCGAGGCCATGGTGAAGGACTTGGTGAGGCGCAGGCTCAGTGCTGGAGAGCGGGGGTGGGGGGCTCTGAGATGGCTAGGAGCTGGCCCGGATCCCAGAGGGGCCGAGAGGGATTTCGAAGGAGGGTCTTTGAGGGGGCCAGCCCTGCAGCACCCCGACAGCAGAGCAGCCCAGACAGGCGGCGGCTGCCAGGCGGCCTGCGGCTCTGGCTGCCCGGCCTCAGGCCCCGGGCTGTGCTCTCTGCCGCTGCAGGTTCACCGCATGGACTACGTGGAGATCAGCATCGACCACAAGTTCCACCGACACCTCATCGGGAAGAGCGGGGCTAACAGTGAGTGAGGTGGCCAGCAGAGGGGCGGGCTGGGAGAAGTGTCCTTATCCAGGCGTTCAGCCTGGAGGCAAAGGTGATCGAGCAGGTCGGTTCCCTGAGTCACCCACAAGGGCCACAGCAAAGGCAACCCCAAGGGTGTCGTCTGCCACGTTTCGGTCAGAGCTTCTGGGCTCTGACCTCTGACCCTTGACCTGACCCTGACCCAGGAGTCAGATGTTTCTAGACTCATTCCAAGTCACCCAATGCAGGAAGGGATTCTGTTGGGCAAACAGTAATATGTGAGCCCAGGTTCAGTGTTGGCCTTACTGCGCCAGGTAGGCAGGTAGCACAAGGCGAGACAGCATCAGAAACGTGTCAGGTGAGCCTGGTGTGAATTTCGGAATGTTTGAAACGCTTTCTTACTCAGTTTAACTGCACAGCCGTCATGCACGTCACAATACTTACCAGTTCCAGAAATGACCCTGTCTCACCTTCAGGGTCCATTCTGTACACTGCGGTCCTGGGTCCTTCCCCAGGCTTTAAGGACGCCGTCCTCCCTGCCCCGCGGAGGCCCGAGCCTCTGTGGCTGTGCCTTTGCGGTGTTCGCCCTGCGTGGCCGTCTTTGTTCAGAGTGCATGTCTGCTCGTTGCCTGCTTTGCCACGCGTCAGTCTAGTGTCCTGGGGCGTGTGTTTTTTCTGTTTTTGTTTTTTTTTAAGACTTTATTTATGGTTTTTTGTTTTTTTTTTTTTAGAGAAGGGAAGGGAGGGAAAAAGAGGGAGACAGTATGTGGTTGCCTCTTACCCATCCCCCACTGGGGACTGGCCCACAACCCAGGCATGTGCCCTGACTGGGAATTGAACCAGTGACACTTTGGTTCGCAGGCCCGCGCTCAACCCACTGAGCTACACCAGCCAGGGGCTATTTAAAGAGCGGTGGCAGCAGTGCAGGTGCTTGGAGCAGCCCTGGCCAGTGCTCACCTGCACGCGGGCTCGAGCCGCGCATGTACCGTCAACATGCTTTGTGTTCTCTGTGTTTTGGTTAACTTAGCGTTTTCTTAAAGAACGTGAGGCAGTGCAGTGCAGTGTTGACGTTAATTTCCCGGTTTCTGCTCGTGAGGACGTGCGGGTCCACTTAGCAGGGTTTAAAAAATTGCATCCGTTCTGTTTCCTTCCGGTTCACTTGCCAGCCCTCATTTTCTTCCACCATCTCAGATCTGCCACACAGCTTCTGTCTGTGGCTGCCCAGTCCTCCTCGTGTCCGAGCTGGCTGAGGGCTGCCGTGGGCCTGGAACCCACCCTGGTCATCCTGACCACACAGAGGGCCAGACACCATCCCCGTGTCTGGTGATAAGGCTTCCCCAGGGTGTGGGCACTGCGTTCTGCTCAGAGAAGGTGCGGAGTGGGGTTTCCGACCCTGCCTCCTTTGCAGAGATGGTGAAGCCCTGGAGTGTGTCTGAGCTGCCAGTGCGGCATCTGTGGGGTTGGAGGTGGTGGGGCGGGGAGACTCTTCGGTTAATGGAGGGCTTCTGATTTGTTCATTTGTTTATTTTGAGAGAGAAACTGTTTTGATTTATGGCTCCCAAATGTGTCTCCATGCACATTAGAAATACCCGAGATCTGTCAAATACAGTGTGTCCTCTACATCATCTGTAGGTTCTTAAAGTCTGTGACATTAAGTGAAACAAAGTTCACGAAGCCAATTTTATGAGCAGCTAATGACGTGAACCAGAGTTAGGTCCTACGACATATTTCTGGTCACAAAAATATCACCAAACTTCTAAATAAAGACCCCCAAATACTTCTAATGTTTAACATAAAAAATAAGATCGTTTTCTTTTTACCCACTCTTTTCAGTTCAGGGTCATGGGTGGCTGCACCCTGTCCCAGAAGCCCAGGGCGCAAGGTGGGACCCACCCTGGAGAGGGACCCCCTTCCGCAGCAGGGGCACCCGGGCCCACAGAGACAGGCACAGTTGTCAGCACAGCGCCCCCTCTGAGCACATCCTCAGGCTGCAGGAGACTGTGCGCTCCACACAGGCAGTAGCCCTGCCGAGAACTGATGCTTTTGTTTGTTTGTTTATTTGTTTTAAAAGACTTTATTCATTTATCTTTAGAGGGGAAGGGAAGGAGAGGGGGAGAGAAATATCAATGTGTGGTTGCCTCTCGTGTGTCCTCCACTGGGAACTGGCCTGCCACCCAGGCACATGCCCTGACTGGGAATTGAACCGCGATCCCTTATTTCGCAGGCCTGCCCTCAATGCACTGAGCTACACCAGCCAGGGCTGAAGTTTTTTTCTTACTCATCAACGTTGTAATGAAAGCACATTGAACAAAACGACGCTGTATTCTGAAGCCCCAGGCAGACCGCAGACCAGCAGAGTCCCGGGTTCCGCAGTCCCCCTGGCTGCAGTCATTCTGAGCTGTCGGGCAGTGGCTGGCCCGTGGAGACGGTGCCCAGCTTGGGCTGGAGGGGGCAGGCTTGCTCTGAGGGCCTCGTCGTCCTTTCTGCTTGTGGGGTAGCTGCCTAGGTTCCTCGGGGCTTTAGCTGAGTTAGTCATACTAACATCAGAAGTTGGTCACCTGTGATGGAGCCTGAGTCCAGAATGTTCCTTTTGTGTCTTGTGTCCCTAAGTCAACAGAATCAAAGACCAGTACAAGGTGTCTGTGCGCATCCCTCCCGACAGCGAGAAGAGCAGCCTGATCCGCATCGAGGGGGACCCGCAGGGTGTGCAGCAGGCCAAGCGGGAGCTGCTGGAGCTCGCCTCCCGCATGGTGAGCCCCGGGTTGAGTCCTGCGGAGGCACCTCACAGAGCGGCAGGATCGGCTGGCACCGTCCTGCTGGGTTCTGGGTTCTACAGTGGGGGCGCTTCAGGGACCGTGGGGAACTTTCCTGGATTCCTCAAGGCACCAGGGGACGTGTGTGTGTCCCAGGTTGAGGGTCCCCGGTCTGAGGTTATCTGCAAACGGGAGGGAGCACAGTGAACCTTGTTCCCTGCGTTCAGACGCAAGTGCTGCCCTGGGCCTGCTGCCAGCGTGCCCTGGAGTCGAGTGTAGAGAACCTTCCAGCAGCGAGTCCCAGACTGGGCAGCATATGGCTCACCTGGAGCTTTTGAACCCAAATGAGCCCGGCACTGCCGGAGCTTAGCATGGACATGTGCAGACTGTCAGGGAAGGCACGGCAAGGTAGGGCTTCTCGTCAGGGCAGGGGCCGGCCCCGCGATCAGCTGCCCTCACCCTGGCATTCTTGGTCACCTCTCCCACAGTGCCCACCCTGGGGCCCCAGTCAGAGGCCAGCTTTGGGCCAGGGCTCTTGCTCCTCAGTGGTCATCCAGGTGGGGTGCAGCCTCCCACTGCTCTCTTGCCGTCTCTGAGCTCACTCCTCAGCCTGGAGTGCCCTGGCCTCTCCCTTCATCAGCCAGCTCTCTTCCTGCAGCCCAGGGTCCTTTGCTCGGGAGTGTCTTGTTACAAGGTTACTTACTGAACCACATTTCTCTGTTGCCCTGATGCCAGTCTGCTCCAGAATCTCCCAAGTTCTTTAACCTGTTTAGTTGGTGGGTAGGTTGCCCTCCACTCCTGCTGGTGTGATCTTCTGATATTTAACAGGCCCCTGGAGGAGGTTGAGGACCACCCGGGTCCAGTGCCCTGTGGTCAGCCACTCTTTCTTAGTAAGGCACATGGGGCAGTCCTTCGAGCCTCCTTGTGAGCTCGGGCCACTCCCTGCTGTGCAGAGCACCAGGCCTCAGTTGGCCTCTGGTTCTTGTTGAAACACAGGCGCTGACGGGGCTGCTCAGGTGGTTGTGGCTGCTGCGGTCACACTCCTGGTTGTAGGGCTCTACACTCGGTTTTTCATTGCGCCTCGCCCAGGGGGCGACACATACCCAGGGCAGCGTGCAGTGCGGTGGTGGTTGGGGAGAGCGGGTGTCTAGCGGGTGCTGTCTACTGGCCAGTGCACCTGACACCAGCCTTCTGCTTGGGAGGGGCTGCTCACCTTGTTTGTGATGAATGACTCCATCCACCTCAATTGCACCCTCAGGAGAATGAGCGCACCAAGGACCTCATCATTGAGCAGAGGTTTCATCGCACAATCATTGGGCAGAAGGGTGAACGGATCCGTGAGATTCGTGACAAGTTCCCGGAGGTACCGCCTCCCAGCAGCTTCATCTCCATAACCCCCGGGGCAGCCTGGTGGGCCTGGGGGGTGTGCGATGTGTGGGAGTTCTCACCAGTGATTGGACTTGGTCTCCTGGTCATTTATCCTAGGTTATCATCAACTTTCCAGACCCAGCACAAAAAAGTGATATTGTCCAACTCAGAGGCCCCAAGAACGAGGTGGAAAAGTGCACAAAATACATGCAGAAGATGGTGGCGGATTTGGTAGGGGACGCTTTCCATCCTGCGTTGTGGGGGGTGGGGATGCGTGCATCAGGACCTCAGCTCCAGGGAGTACATTGGGGTGCTGGGCGGGTCTGTGGTGTCTGGGATTCGGGCAGAGTTGGGGTGCCACCTCTTCACACCTGATGTTTAGACTAGCGGAGATGCTTACAACTTGAGTGTCCATGGAGTTCAAGTGAGGAGACCCCCGTGTCCCAGGGCAGGCGACTTTGTTTCCTTCAGGGGTCTTCAGACAGCTGGAAATGAACCGTCCGGTGAGGAGAGAGACTTGGACAAGCAGTGTTGTTGATGGACTGTTCTTCCCTCAGACCTGGGAAGAGGGCACTTGGTGGGGAGACTGGCAGGGGCCCTGTGTGCTCCGGTCACAGGCAGGCTGGCACGCACCTTGCGGCCTCCTGGGAGTGGGGCAGGTGGGCTTACCTGCGTCCGGGAGCACCAGGCTGCCTGAGAGCAGCCGGGTCTGTGTGCTCTGAGCTTGCTCCTCAGCTTGGAGTCCTGGCTCCATCTGTCCCCAGCTCCGTCCTAGAGGGGCCGCGGGCACCCTTTGAACCTGACACCCTGACGGGGCACCTGGCCAGGCTTGGTGCTCCTGGATCGTGGAGCATGCATCTGGCAGGTTCTTGCGAAAGGGTGCTTTGCACCATCAACTCTGTGGGGCTGGGGCGCTCGTGGTTCACGGGCATCTCACCCATCCTGGTGACAGGCCTCCGGAGGTCAGATAGGAGGGAAGTGGGACGAAGTCTGCTCTGGAGCAGTCTGTCCTTCCATGTGGTCCTCAGGGGTGGAAGGGACACTCTCTAGCATGGCAGTTAACCAGCCATCTCTTCTGTTTCTAAGGTGGAAAACAGCTATTCAATCTCTGTCCCGATCTTCAAGCAGTTCCACAAGAACATCATTGGGAAGGGAGGCGCCAACATCAAAAAGGTGACCAGCCAGCTCGCCCTCGAATCACGGCTCTTTTGCCCTGTCCTCTGCAGTCCTGTGCCCTTCTGGCTTTAGATTCGCAGGAGGGGCCTTGCTTCCCCGCCCTGGCCTCCCCAAGTGTTTCACTGGGAGTCGCTGCTCACGCCGCTTCTCCTCATAGATTCGTGAAGAGAGCAACACCAAGATCGACCTTCCAGCAGAAAACAGCAACTCGGAGACCATCGTCATCACGGGCAAGCGGGCCAACTGCGAGGCTGCCCGGAGCCGCATCCTGTCCATCCAGAAAGACCTGGTAACGAGGGCTGGGCAGCTGGGTGACTGGCTGTGGCCTGGGCTTGCATGCAGACGGGCGGCCTGGCCTCAGCCTCTGGCAGTTCTCGTGAGGGTCCTGAGTGGTAGGAGCAAAGTTGTGTGCTTGGGAATCTTCACGTCCTGACAGTGTCCCTTTTTTTTTCAATTTTTGAAAAAAGACCACCTAAGAAAGCACATATGTGCAGTGTGCAGGCGGTGTAGGCCGTGGAAGCACCTGCACAGTCAAGACAGCAAACTCTTCCCCTGCAGTGGCCTTGGGCCGCTTGTGACACCTCTGTCCCACCTCACTCCCCCGCTGTCCTGCCCAGCCATCTGCCTTGTCCTGGCAGATGAGTCTGAATTGTACAGGACAGGCTCAGAGAATCACGGTGTCTCCCCCCAGAGTCTAGCCGAGTTCACTGTGCACAGTCACTGAGGCTCATCCGTGTTGTCGTGTGGTTCAGTGTGTCATGTGTCCATCGTGGTGCGATGGACACACAGCCTTGGGTGCGCTGGGGATGACGAGTCAGTGTGACAGCGGTCACCACAGTCACAAAGCATTTCCTTGAGAATGTTGAAGGCTCAGCCGCTTTCCAGCGAGTGACACAGCATCGTTAGGTTGCTGTGCTCACACGACGCTGCACGTGGAGGACTCACTTCATAGCTGGGAGCTTGTACCTTTTGACCTCCCTGCCCATTTTGCCCGCCCCGCCCCCCCGCCGACGACAGCTCGGTTCCGTGTCTGCGAGCCCGGTTGTGCGCTGCTTTCGTTTCATCGCTAAGTCGCACTGCGTCGTGTGGGTAGCACGTGCGCCCTTCCGTGTGAGCTCTGCAGTCCGTGTTCTTGAAGGGGTTTATACAGTATTTTATCGGAGTTGTTGAATGTATGGTTAGAGTTGTTCATAATAGTCCCACATAATCTTGTTGCTGTTTGTAATGATGTCGTCTCTCTTGCTCCTAATACATAATCTGTGTCCTTATAAGATGACCTCCTTATACTCCTAGTAATATTCTTTGCTCTGAAATCTTCTATTACAGTGGCTTTCTTTTAGGCAGCTTGCTTTTCTATTTGGTCTCACAATCTCTGCCCTTTTTTTATGTTCTTTTTTTCTTATGGTGAGAAATCTTAATCGACTTTCTTTTTCTTTTTTTTAACCCTCACACAAGGGTGTGCTCATCGATCTTAGAGAGGAGACAGTTCTTGGGTGGGGAGGAGAGAGAGAGAGAAAGCGTGATTAGTCGCCCCAACAGTAATCAAACCTGCAGCCAAGGTGCCCTGACTGGGGTTCAAACCTGCAGTCCTTCAGCGTACGGGATGGCGCCCCAACTAACGGAGCCACCCTGCCAGGGTGACAGTCCCTGCCTTTTAAGTCGAGGTGTTTGCATTTAGTTGAACTAGTGATTATATCTATTTATTACGTTTTATTACATGTTCTATTGTATACACTTACTAAATGTAATAAACTACATTTTATGTGGTGGTTAATGTCTTTTATTTTTGAGTTTGTGGTGGAACACACATAGAGTTTACCACCATAACCACCTTTCCGTGCCTGCTCCGGTGGCACCGAGCGTGCTCCGGCTGCTGCACAACCAGCACCGTCCACCGCGGGAACTCTCTCATCTTCCCAAACAAAAACTGTCCCCTCTGCCCCGCCCCAGCCTCCTGCGTGCGGTTGTAATACGGATGCAGTTGGGTTTTTGTCCCATCGACTCTGTTCTTTTTTGCAGCCTTCTTTTCCGTTGAAGGTTCCTTTGGTTCCTTTCGTTGCCCTTTTTGACTCGTGCAACTTGTGCCTCGGGGGGTTGCTTTGGGGTTTGGTGCGCCTCTTCCCTCCAGGGGCCTCCCCATCCCACCCTGCGCTTCGTCCTCGTGCCTCTGCTTCACGGGTCATAAAGCCCACAACACTTCCTTAGCCCTTCTGTGTGAATACCCAGTTATTTCTTAAGGAGATTGAAGTAACAAGAAAAAGTTTTATGTATTCACCCACCTAAATATATTTTCTGTGCTTCCTGCACACCCCACCTGGCCCCCTTCCTGCCGTCTGACGAGCTCCGCTGCTCCCACGTGTGGAGGGCTGGGCTCGAGCAGCTGCCGGACTCGCTTCTTTCACCTGGAAGGTAGAGCTGATGGGGGAGTGTGTTGAGTTTACCAGAATCTGCCAGGCTGTCTCCCCAGGTGGCGACATGGTTTGCATTCCCATTGGTGAGAGCGCATCCCGGGGCCCCAGCGCATAGTTCTCCCTCCCATCAGTGCTTGAGATTCTGCTTCCCTGTCACCTCACTCACATTGTTCCTGATGAGACAGCTGAGGGTACCCTTGGCCTTGCTTGGCTGCACAGACTTGCCTGCCTCTGGCCTTGTTTGTTTGTTTGTTTGTTTTATTGTATCACTAGCTTTGTAGTTCTCTTCATATTTCTTTGCTTGGAGTTGATTGAGCTTCTTGGATATTTGAGTTTAGAGTTGTCATCACATTTGGAAAAATTCAGGTCATTACTTCCTAATAGCTTTTTCTGTCCTCCCCTCCAGGGCCTCTGGGTGCTGGGTGGCGCGACGTCGTCCTGCTGTTCCCTGATGGGCTGTTTTACTTGGGTGGGGAGGAAGGGTGGTGCTCTTTCTCTATGATTTCTTTACACACATTAACTTTCTGCAACGTCTGATCTGCCTGAAATCCATCTGGTGCATTTTCCATTTCAGATGCTAGTCTCACCTGTGGAAGTTTGATGTGAATTTCTGGTTCTGGTCTTTTCCTTCAGCTGCTTGACCGGCTGCTGTACAGTGAGAGCCCTTCCTGCCCTCGGCCCGTCTCTAACCTCTGGTCGTTCCCAGGCGGCTCTCTTTTGGTTTTGCCTCATTATGGGTTGTTGTTTCCTGTTTCTTTGCACATCCAGTATTTTTTTTATTATGCCAGACATTGTGAAGTTTATTTTGGTGGATTCTGGTTATTTTTGTGTCCCTGTATCTTTGTGCTTCAAGAAGTCACTTTGAAAAAGCGCACCCTCCTTGGACTTGTTGGGTGGGGTTGCGGTGCTGCTTGTCCAGGCCCAGGTGCCCCTGCTGGAGGCCGGACTCTTCTGAGCCCTGTGCCTGGGTCCCGTCGGTGCGGACCTGCCGGAGCTGTGGTGCTGTGCCCTCCGGCTCTGCTGCTGCTGGCCCTCCCCCCGGCCCCGCAGTCTGCCTGTGCGTGGGCCCGGCTTTGTCCGAGTTCTCTTCCTGGGTGCTGGCCCGACGGCTCCAGGTGCCTTGCTCTCCCCAGACCGTCCGCTCTGTGTCCCTGGTGCGGGCCCCGTGCAGGGCCCCCTCAGGTGCATCCCGTCTGCTGCGTCTCTCACACCACTGTCTGTGCAGCCAGTAAACACCATCTCGTCGACTCCTTGTGACTGGAGGCCAAGTCCCTGCTCACAAGTCTAACAGGGAAGGCTGGTGGTAAACCTTGGGCAGGTCTCTGCGGCTCACACCCAGAGGGCCTGGAGGAACAGCACGGTCTTACGGTCTGACATCGTGGCTTCCCTTCTGCACTGAGTTGCCAGCGTCCACACACACGCACATGTGCACACTCAGCCCCTCCCACTGTGGCTTAACTCTCACTCTCACCCTTCCCGCCACACAAAAACGTGGCTCCCTCGTGCCGTGTGATTCCAGGCCAACATAGCCGAGGTGGAGGTCTCCATCCCCGCCAGGCTGCACAACTCCCTCATCGGCACGAAGGGCCGCCTGATCCGCTCCATCATGGAGGAGTGCGGTGGGGTGCACATCCACTTCCCCGGGGAAGGTTCGGGGAGCGACACGGTTGTCATCAGAGGCCCTTCCTCAGACGTGGACAAGGCCCGGAAACAGCTCCTGCACCTGGCGGAGGAGAAGGTGAGTCCTCGGGCCCCAGAGGGGTTTCTGCGTGCTGCTTGCTGGGAAAGTCCTCTCTTTCACGCGGAGACTCCACAAACATGTCTACCGTGGCAGGTCAGAGCAGGGCCCGCGCCTTCCTGGCCCTCTGTCTCGGCCGTCTGCACGGGCCTTTCCAGGTCGGACCCCCACGTCTGAAAGCAGGTGGTTTCTGTGCAGGAGAGTCCGGCGCAGAAACGGCGGACCCTCTGTGCAGTTTTGACAAACGTGGCAGTTGTGCGGCCGCCCTCACAATAAAATGCTTTGGCCGTCACCCTCGGAGTTCCTCATTGAGTCACCTTTGCCCCTTTGTCGAAGTCTGTCCGCCAGTCCGTCTGTCCCACAGGGCAGGGCATCTGTGAGTCCTGCTGCTCGGGGCTCTGTCGGATCGCTTCGGCCGCCCCAGATCCTCCGCCTGCCGATCTCGGGGAAACTCCTGCTTGGTCTCCCGGGAGGGGCTCTGGCGCAGTACAGCTCAGACTGGGAGGGACTGACGTCTCAGCGGTCCGCCTCTTCCAGTCCGCCTCTTCATTTTTTTAGAGATTTTATTTGTTTATATTTAGAGAGAGGGGAAAGAGGGAAGAGAAATATCACGTGCGAGAAATACATGGATCAGTCGCCAATCGGGCACCCCCTGCTGGGGACCTGGCCTGTAACCCAGGCATGTGCCCTGACTGAGAATCGAACCTGTGACCCTTTGGTTCGCAGGCTGGCGCTCACTCCACTGCGCCACACCAGCCAGGACCCTCTTCAGGTTTTTAAGTATGCAGCTTCTCCTTGGTCTGTAGGTTTTAGTGTGCGGAGCCTAGGAAATTTGGTTCAGTTTAGATGGGTTTTGTTTTAGTATTACCACATGTGGTGCTTTGTGCTTTATGGTGCAGTGTGCAGAGATGTGTTTGGTTACTGTTTACTGGCCTTGTTCTTTGTGTCTGGTCTAAAGATCACTTACTAATTTCAGTGGCTTTTTTTTGTAGGTTTTCATGAGTTTTATGTAAATTGTCATCTGAGAGCAGGCAGTGCATTTCTTCCTTTCCGGTCAGTGCCCCGGTGTGTCCCATCTTGCTGCGCCTCTGGGGCCTCCCGGGTGTGGGGAGCAGAGCAGGGCCTGGAGCGCCCCGGCCCCTCCAGGAGCCGGGGGGCCCCAGTCCTTTCCCAGAAGGGCCTGCAAGCCCAGGCGTTGTCGGGCGAGGGTGCTCCTTCCGAGGCCGAGTTGGCTCGTAGTTTTGATCGGGAGCGAGTGTGGATTCTGTCGGAGGTTTCTTTGGCTTCCATCGACTTAGTAGTGTTGATGGAAGCAGTAGTGTTGATGATGTGTATTAAGTTGATTTTGGTTTTTTGTTTGTTTGTTTTTTACTCTTTCACCTACCTTGACGTCCTGGGCTAGACTTGGTTTTGATGTGTTTACTGTTTGGGCTCACTTGACCTGTCAGCTTCCTGGTGCTGCTGTTGGTGAGGGTCTGTCCAGAGACCAGTGGTCTCTCTGGTGTCCGTGGGTAGGTGACACGTTCAAGTGTGCTGCCTGACGCCTAGCAGGCCTTTGCTGCTCTGCCTTTTATTTCTTCTCCGTGCCTGCGGGCCTGAGTCAGCCTGGAGGGGTGTGTCCCTCCAGTGGCTCCGATAGACTAGCTGGTGTTCACAGTTGAGGTCCTGTGAACTTGGTGTCAGACAAGGGCCTGGTTGGTAAAGGTCTCTGAGCTTGCAGTTGGGGTGTCGCTGGCTGTGCATGGGCTCACCCAGAGCCTAGCAGAGGGAGACCTGGGCAGGGAGCACTCTGCCTGCATGGGAGGGGCGGGCGGCTGTGCCAGCAGGTGCACCCCGTGGTCCCGGGTAGAGGTTTGCTCACTGCTGGTAGGTGGCAAGCCTGGAGCTCTGGGTCTGTGCGCTCTGATCACCTTGGCACCTCCTGCCCTCACTGAGGGAAGGTCAAGGGTGGCTGTGCATTTGTGTGGTGCTGTCTGATTAGCCCCAAGGGGGTATTGGCAGAATGTGAGGTATGCTCCAGCCCACACTCTTGTCCCCTTGGGCCTCTTGTTCACCTGCCCAGGCAGGTGGTATCAGGCCAGTGTTTGTGGCGTTGGTTTCTGCAGCAAACCAAGAGCTTCACCGTGGACATCCGCGCCAAGCCAGAGTACCACAAGTTCCTCATTGGCAAAGGGGGTGGCAAGATCCGCAAGGTGCGCGACACCACTGGCGCCCGCATCATATTCCCGACGGCAGAGGACAAGGACCAGGACCTGATCACCATCATCGGAAAAGAGGATGCTGTCAGGGAGGCCCAGAAGGAGCTGGAAGCCCTGATCCAGAACCTGGTGAGGCCTAGCCCTTGGGAGCCACCTGGGCAGCGGGGGTGGGGCCCGCGCTGCCGGCCCCTGACTCCTTTGTCTTGTCTCTGGGCTGCAGGATAACGTGGTGGAGGAGTGCATGCTGGTGGACCCGAAGCACCACCGTCATTTTGTCATCCGAAGAGGCCAGGTCTTGCGGGAGATCGCTGAGGAGTACGGCGGGGTGATGGTCAGCTTCCCGCGGTCCGGCACGCAGAGTGACAGAGTCACTCTCAAGGGCGCCAAAGAATGTGTGGAGGCAGCCAGGCAGCGCATCCAGGAGATCATCGAGGACCTGGTGGGTGCCCGGGGCTGGCGGCCACTCAGAGCTGGGTGGGGGAGTGCGCGCATATCCCTCGGGCCGGCGAGCCCACTGTGGCCATTCCTGCCCAGCCTCTTCCTGCAGTAGGTTAGTGCTGCCCCTGAGAAGCAGCTCTGCCGTTGGTTTTTATCGAAGTGCCATGTGTGCAAGGCACCCGCTGCCTCCCCATCCCCTGCTCCAGAGGGAAGAAGAGGTGGACGGAGCCTGTCGGCCCACAGAGGAGCCCCGCGGCACCCCTGGGCTTTGTCAGCTGGCCTTAGAAAGTCAGCCCCCTGGCTCCTGGCCCTCCCGTGCCGAGGCCCTAATGTGGAGTCACAGCCACAGCATCTGCAGGGCCCCCCTCCTGGGACTGACACGGTCCCCTGTCTGCAGCGGTGGGGGTTCCTTGTGTGTGGAGACACAGGAGCGAGCACCAGAGCGTTCTCACACAGACGAGACGTTGGTGATCTTCTAGACCTCGGCGGGCATGCTTCAGAAGGGCCTCCCGCGGCCCTGCTCACACCCCTCCTCCCGTGACCCTGTCGTCGGGGAGCCTTCAGTTTCCCTGGGAAGGGGGTGTCCGTGCGCTTGGTCGTGGCTGCAGAGGCTGGTGCTGTGAGCGCGATTCATGAGCACTTAACCTTTCTCTGTTCCTTCTTGCTGTGCCCCCAGGAGGCCCAGGTGACCATAGAGTGTGCCATACCCCAGAAGTTCCATCGCTCTGTCATGGGCCCAAAAGGTTCTAGAATCCAGCAGATCACTCGGGACTACGGCGTTCAGATTAAATTCCCAGACAGAGAGGAGAGCCCAGGTGGGTCTCCGTGGGGAGCTCTGGGGGCCGGTGGCTGTCACGTGTCCTGGCAAAGCTCTGTCTTGTCTGGTGCTGGACACTGTTGGGTGTCCCAGGGGCTTGCAGAACTGCCAGGCCACGGGCCGCGTCGGCTGCTGCAGGGCAGCGAGGTGCCCTTCAGGTTCTTAGAGGCCCGTGGCAGGTGGCCGGGCCGGAGGAGGGATGCCTGCTGCCTCTCCTGCAGGTGGAGCAAGTTCAGCCCTGACCCCACGAACCCGCTCTGGCCCGGCAGCAGCGCCCTTCCCAGCCGCCCCGTGGGGCTAGAGGCTGCTGAAGGGGAGCAGCCTTGACCCAGTTAGGACGCCACTGGTCACCAGGCTGTCCTTCTGGGATGACTGCCATCTGACTCTGCTTTGTGTCCCGAGGGATGGGGTAGGGTGGGGAGGTGGCCCGTGGGCAGGGTCTGGCTTCTGTCGCAGACCCGACTCTGTCAGTCAGCGCACACCCTGTGCGGACTGCCTGTCGGTCCCCCGGGCGAGCGGGGACCGGCCCGCACCCGACCTCCACAGGCTCGTCAGGGCTTTAGAGCGCCTGTCGGTCTGGTCATACAGGCTGTTTTGAGTAGAAAACTAGCTAGATCATACCTTGTCCCATTTATGTTCCACACTGGACTATTGACTTCTTAATTTTGATGTGATTTCACGTGTGAAGAAAAACTGCACGGACACAGTGGGTTCTGGATACTCCCTCCGCAAACCTCCCGAGTCGTTCTCACCCACCCTCCCCTTTCACACACACCCGCGTGCACGTGTGCACTGGTGTCTCTGAGTCATCGGAGTGTGGTTCTCACACCTGCCTCTTTTCCCTGGGGGCTGGTTCCCGAGAGTGAGGGCGTTCTCTTGCATCAGTTGCGCTGGCCCTGGCACGTCCGTCCACATCTGGAGATCTGGTTATGTGATACTGTGACAAGTTCATAGTTGACCTTCAAATTTCCTCATTTTTGAAGCATCCCTGTTTTAAAGCAGGAATCACGATGGCTCTGGGCAGTCGTGCCTGCCCACTTGTGTATTTGTGTCTCAGGGACTCCGGGATTCCGTGTCACACTAGGAATACTGTTTGGCTCCCATGGGAGCCACCCCCCAAAGCTGCTTCTGTGTCCTGTCTCAGATCCCTTTATTCTTGGCGGCACTTCCTGGCAGAAGCAGCCTTGTCACTCGTGAACCTCTCGAGCCCCTCTCAGCTGCCGCCTCCTGTTGCCAGCGCCAGGGCTGTGGGGACATTGTCCTCCCCTCTCAGACGTGGCGGGCCCCTCGCTCTTCGCATCACCAGCTCCCGTGTCTCAAAGCTGAGGCCGTGCAGCTGAGGCCCGTGTGACTTGCCCCCTCCTCTCCTCCTAGCTGCCCAGGAGAACGGTGAGGACACGGGGGAGGGGAGAGAGGCAGACCCTGGCTCTCCCAGGAGGTGCGACATTATCACCATCTCTGGCCGCAAGGAAAAGTGTGAAGCTGCCAAGGAAGCCCTCGAGGTGGGTGCAGCCCCCCCTTTCCCGGGAGCGTTGAGCATTTCCCTTCCCAGCACCTGCCGGCCCCTGGGCCGCAGGGAGCCCAGCTGGTGGGTCTTGGTGTCCCCTCTGTGGAGCGTGGGGTGTTCAGGCTGTCTCGGGCCTGTAAGGAAGGACCAGTCATTTTTACAGTGAGCACTGACTGGAGCCGCCTCTGTGTTGGGCGCTGATCTGCATGCTGTGGGGAGCAGTTGTCCCGTGTCCAGGGACAGGTGCCATGGAGGCAGGTGTCAGGAGCAAGGGTGGGCCCAGGCACATACCTGTGACCCATGGGGGCTCAGGCCACAGTCCATTCCTGAGCTCTGCGAGGCTGGCAGGGCGGCCTCTGTGTCGGAGCCGGGTCTCGAGGCCTCTTTCTCCTGGTTCTGTTACTTTGTTTTCCTCCGGCAAGGGGCCTCCGACACGTGGGAGCCAGGGCCCGAAAGTCGCTCCACCAGTGTTAACCCTAACACTGGACTCCACGTCCTCTCCCCAGGTCTTCCCTGGGGTCACCAGTCACCTTCTCAGTCCAGATGGAAGGGTCCGGGTGTGCCTGTCGTTCTCCCCATGAAGCCCTGTGCTGAGCCACAGGGTCACTCTGGTCACTGCTCTCAGGCCTGATGTCGGCCCTCTTCCCTGCAGGCACTGGTCCCTGTCACCACTGAAGTGGAGGTGCCCTTTGACCTTCACCGGTACATCATTGGGCAGAAGGGCAGCGGGATCCGAAAGATGATGGATGAATTCGAGGTGAGCAGTTTATAGGTCCTGTCCCTGGAGATTAGGTGTGGGGAGTGACCTGTCACTGGGACTGTCACAGGCTCCCCCCAGGAGGTGCCTCCCCTCCTGCTCTTCTTCATCAAGCTCTACGCTGCCTGTCTTCCTTGTCCCCAGCCTGCAGGTGTGTCCCTGATAAATGTGACAGGCAGCCTGTTCATACTTCCAAGTTTGCCATCATCGGTGGGGGCTAGATAGACACAGTCCCATTCGGGGGGCCCCACATACATCGGGTCTATTCCGTGTCCACCAGGTGAACATACACGTCCCGGCACCTGAGCTGCAGTCTGACATCATCGCCATCACAGGCCTCTCTGCCAATCTGGACCGGGCCAAGGCCGGGTTGCTGGAGCGCGTGCGGGAGCTGCGGGCAGAGCAGGAGGACCGGGTGAGTGCCGGGCGGGGCCGTGGGCACTTCCTCCCAGGCTGTGGTTCTCATTCCTGTGGCGTGAGAATTGCCAGGGGCTTCTGAGAGACGCAGCCCCCCGGCCACCCTGTGACCAGGGAGACGGGGAGGCAGGCCGGCAGTGTGCTCCGCTGGGGGCGTGGCCACCGGCCCTCACAGGGTCGCGGCGGCAGCCGGGCCCCGGGTCTGTCAGCCCAGTTCTGCGAGTGTGAGCCTGGAGACACGGTGGTGCCCTCACGGGGCCGCAGGGCTCGGGGTGTGGGCGGCCACCGGCCCTGAGTCTTTCTCGCTCGGCAGTTTCGCTGCTGTGGAGTCGGGGTGACCGCCCGCCCGCCTGCCGGAGAGCTGGCCTCTGCGGACGACAAGAGCGAGGCCTGGAGGGCGGGGCCTGGGCACTGGAGGCGGGGCTGCGGGTTGGGCGGGTGCGGGCTCCCCTCCGAGGGGGTGCGCCTGGGCTCGGGCGTCCCACGGGGTCGCTGTGGCCCCACTGCCTCACTTAGCCCAGGCACCAGCTTTGGGGTGTGTCCTCGGACCAGGTCCTCAGACACACTCATCTGGGGCTGTGTCCTTAGCGCCTCGATTCCCTCTTTCCCCTTTGGCCTTTTTAATGCCCACTCCTGTCCCACCAGTGAGGAGCACATGGCTCCGCCTGTCATCGTCCTCCCAGGTCCTCTGCTGAGGGAACCACAGCCCCAGTTGTGTGGGGTCAAGGCCTCCGGTTCTCATCACCTGTTGGTGATGGGATGTGGCACAGAGGCCCCCAGAAAAGCCTCAGCCTGTGTGAGTGGCTGTGCTGACGGGGGCCCTTCAGGCCTCTGGGTGGAGTGAGGGCACCTCAGGACCCAAGTCTTCTACCCTTTGCCTCATTCTTTCTCCCTCATGTCATCGGCAGGCTCTACGGAGTTTTAAGCTGAGCGTCACTGTCGACCCCAAATACCATCCCAAAATCATCGGGAGGAAGGGAGCAGTGATCACCCAAATCCGCTTGGAGCATGACGTGAACATCCAGTTTCCTGATAAGGATGACGGGAACCAGGTGAGAAATATGCTCGTGTTGGGCACGCTGTCGGGGCGTTTTGGGGACATGTGTCTTCACCTGGGAACATGGACCAGGCAGATAGGAGAGGCCCCGCTGGGCGGGGAGAGAGCAGGTGTCTGAAGATTGAGTTTGGCTCGAGGTTTGGCCCCATCTCAGCAGGTGCCAGCAGGCTGAGGTTTCCCTGTCACAGCTGCTCCACCGTGTGCACTCGGCAGGGTCCTGGCATGCTCGTGCTCCACCCACTGCGGCAGGTGCTCGTTCCCGGGGCCCAGCCAGCCCACCCCACAAGCCTGCTGTCCTGCCCTAAGGCTCAGCTCTGGAGGTGGGCCTTGCACCGGGTGGGAGTCCCGTCTGCACCCAAGTCTCTTGCACCCTTTGCCACACAGCAGGGCACCCAGAAACGGTGGCCTGGAACCCTCTGGCCAGCACACCCTAGCAGTTCTGTGCAGCCTGGTCCCACCGTGCCTTTCCTCCCCACCTGCGTCCCAGTGTCCTTGGCGGGCCTCCTGCCTGCTTCTGTCCCTGACTTTGCTTCTGGAGTTCTTGTTCAGGGAGTGAGGCAGGCCTGCAGTTGCTGGCCCTGTGTCCCCTTCCTCTGCTCCCAGCGCTGGGCCTGCCCCGGGAGCGGCGTTTTTCAAATACTCTTTCTTCTGTTTGGAAGGACCATGCTTATACTACTGCATGTGGTAATTTTTTATTTTTGACTCGACCCTTAATTACTTTGATCTTGAGAATTTAGATCTCTCCGACCCCTCATCTTTACTACCCTTTCCTTTCCTCCCCTTCCCCACGTAATTACTGTTTTTTAGCACCATTATTTAGTATTTAGACAATCACCGTTCCATAAGCCGAGCAGGGTCAGGCAGCCACATCTTTCATACACAGTTTTGTTTTGTTTTTCATTTTTAGAGAGGGGAAGGGAGGGAGAAAGGGAGAGAAACATCAGTGTGTCGTTGCCTCTCGAGTGCCCCCTACTGGGGCCCAGATCTGAACCATGGTATGTACCCTGACTTGGGATTGAACCTCAACCCCTTGGTTCTCGGTCCTGCTCTCAGTGCACTGAGCCACACCAGGCAGGGTTCATACAGTTTTTCCTGTGCGAATGATGCTTCAATTTGCCAAGTGTGTTCTGTCTTCAGTGCTGCCGCCTCTGTAGCTGGTGGAGGTTTCTGGGCATCACTGGATGGGGACCAGGGAGGGTTCACGGCCTCCTACCCTGTGTCTGCGTCACCTGGACTCCTGGGGCCTCTCTTCCTCTTCTAGGTGGTCATTCTCCCCTGGTTCTTCTACGCTGCGTTCTGTTCTGTGTGTGTGTGTATGTGTGTGTGTGTGTCCTCAGGATGTGGTTTAAGGTGGCTATTTTGTTTTCTAGTTTTCCCTCCTATGCTTTGAATTGTCCGTTTGCTCACTCTGCCACTCCGGTGCCCTCGCTGGTACATGTGTGTGGTAGGAGGGCGGCCCTGGGTGGGGCACTGCAGGTGTGTATTGCCGGCCATGCTGTCTAGCACCTTCTTCCAGGTTGGTCCATCTCCACAAAGGGCCCCACAGACGAGGGACCGGAGGGACCTTCCCTGACCCCTCACCTGCCAGTGCCCTTGCATCGTCCTGTGGGCAGGTGTTCTTTCCCTCCCGGTGTGTCATGGTCTCTTGCGTGGGGCTTGGGAGGGATCTTGTTAACCCGATGTTTTCCTACCTTCTTTCTCCGCTGAGTGGGTCGGCGTGTCCCCTCAGGTTTTGGTCTACCTCCCTCAGTCCTGCTCAGGGCCCAGTGTCCTCTTCTGAAAGGCTCCCCCTTCTCAGCCACAGGACCAGATCACCATCACAGGGTACGAGAAGAACACAGAAGCCGCCCGGGACGCCATTCTGAAAATCGTGGGTGAGCTCGAACAGATGGTTTCTGAGGACGTCCCTCTAGACCACCGTGTCCACGCCCGCATCATTGGTGCCCGCGGCAAAGCCATTCGCAAAATCATGGATGAGTTCAAGGTGTGTCCCCAGCCCTGGTGAGTTGCAGGTGTTGGTCCCTGCAGCAGTGGGGCCCCACGGACCCCCAAGCCCCAGTTTTTCTGCCAAGGCTGCTGACAGTGCTCATTGGCCAGCAGGGTCTGGAAGGGGAGACCACCTCAAGTGCTCAGGTGCTTGTCCCTTGGGCGGTGAGGCCAGGTAGGGTCATAGCCGTGTAGCCGGCACTGTTGGTCGGTCTCCTGTGCTGGCCTGAAGAAGGCGGCCCCCTCACGGTGTGGCTTCCTGCCACCCTGGCCGTCCCCAAAAGGCACGTGCGTGTGAAGAGGTTACAGCGTCTGTGCCCTTGGCCCCCAGACCAGGTGCCCACATTTCCAACAGAGAGTGGGAGACACTGGAAACAGACTGCTCCCAGGCGCCTGATGGGAACCATTGAGTCCAAAACCCTTGATGGACTCAAGAGCCGCCTTAGCCAACGCCTGTGCTCCTTCCAGGTGGACATTCGCTTCCCGCAGAGTGGGGCCCCGGACCCCAACTGCGTCACCGTGACGGGGCTCCCAGAGAACGTGGAGGAGGCTGTCGACCACATCCTTAACCTGGAGGAGGAATACGTGAGTCCTGGGGTCCCGCAGGGCCCTCCGCAGGTGTTTTCAGGTTCCAGGCGGGGCGGGTGCCCCAGCACCTCGAAGCAGGGCGAACACAGAACTGGGTGCTTGCCGGGCGTCCCTGCCGCTGGCTGACGCCTGCCCCTGTGCCCACAGCTGGCCGACGTGGTGGACAGCGAGGTGCTGCAGGTGTACATGAAGCCCCCAGCCCACGAGGAGTCCAAGGCGCCGTCCAAGGGCTTTGTGGTGCGGGACGCGCCCTGGACCACCAGCAGTGAGAAGGTCAGACGGTGCTCGCGTCCAGGGCCCCTCTGGCTGGGGGGGGTGGCGCCCAGGGTCCGAGGGAGGAGCCTTTTCTCGGCTGCTTAAGCACAGCCCACTGAGTGAAGCTGCACCCTCTCTGTCCCCACAGGCTCCGGATATGAGCAGCTCTGAGGAGTTTCCCAGCTTTGGGGCTCAGGTGGCCCCCAAGACCCTCCCTTGGGGCCCCAAGCGATAATGATGAGAAAACAGAAACCTCTCCAGCCTGCTGACCCAAACCCCACCACACAATGGTTTGTTTCAATCTGATCCAGCAGCTGGACCCTCCGTAAATTGTTGACGCTCCCCCCTCCCCGAGGTCTCGCAGGGAAGCGGGTGCCGGCGCTGTGTGCAGCCGGTCCTCGGGCCTGGCCAGTGCCCAGTGTGTGCTCAGGATCTGCCCCTGACGCCGGCTGTGGGCCGGCTTTCCATGGTTCGAACACTAACAGAGGCGATCGGACATCTCACCGGCTCGTCAGCAAGGCCCTGGCCCCATTGAGTGCTGCACAGCTGGGGCTGAGCCCACTTCCTGTGTCGTGACCTCAGGAAATAAATTCCTTCACTTTAGAAAAGCCAAACGTTTGCCCTCTTCCTTTCCCAGCTCCCTTCCTCCCTCTGCCTGTCGTCCAGCCCTCTGTAGACTGCAGTCGCCTCCTTTGCGCTGCCCAAGTCCGCTCAGCCTAGACCACAGGGCGGGAGGAGGCCTGGTGTGTGCACAGGAGCACTGGGACCCCAAGGGGCCCGGGTGCCCGGTGTCCCTGCCTGCCCTGCACTGCAGGCACTGGGGGATGAGCGAGGCTGGCAGGTGAGGCTGCATGTCTGCTCTCTGGGTCTGGGGAGGGAGGTGTGGAGGGCGGGGGGGGGGGGATGTGGCCCACTGAGGAGAGGTGGACACCTGCTTCCCCTCAGAGACGGCCCTGCTCTGAGTGACAGCTGAGTCGCCACACCGACTTCCGCTCCCCACCCTCCCCAGAAGGATGCCCACTTCAGTCTCCCCCTTTCTACCTCAGAGCCAGGGGCATTGATCTGTGGAGGGCGGGGCCAGCCCCGGCCCAGGGTCTGCTGTGGCTGTCCCCACTGTGGGCCAGTCTGGGGTGGGGGATGCACACCCCCCACCCCACATGCTGTACTCTGATGCACTGGGGTGCTGTGTGCGGACCCCTAGGAGCTGGCCGTAAGGGGCTGAGAGAGGCTGCCACTCAGCCTGGCCTGGAGGAGGACCTGCTCAGGGAGCCTGCTTTCCTCAGGTGTCTTTTGGGTCATCCTGGGTTGGGCAGGTGCCCCACGCCAGTCAGCTTGGCGAAGGTCTGCTCTGGAGAGGAGGGGCCCAGGCGGGGGCCGTGTGGGAGGCACAGCCAGCGATTGGCTTCTGGGTTGTCGGGTCTCCCGCCCCGCCCCGCCCCATGGGGGCCACGTGCCCCAAGTTGTTTGTCCCAGATACCAGGGCTCCTGGAGGAGCTGACCGGGGCCTGACCACTCCGTCTATGACATTTTCTATTCGATTCTTACTCAGCTTGGGAACCTTTAGATTGAAACTCCTGAATACACCAGAATTGCTTAACGCAAGTCTGACGTCAGTTGCCTTTGCAAGTTCCCATGAGCTCAAGCAGCCTTAAACGTGCCCATTTGTAGGAAAGAACATTTGCTTCAGCAGAATAGGGTGGGTGACCCCCATGTTAGGCGGAGTGGATTGAGACGGAGAGGGAAGGGAAGGCGTGTCTCGCTGTTCTCCAGGAGTGTCCCTAGTCCCTGGGGTCCCTGCCACCTGCATGAGTTTGGGAGCCTTTCCTGTTGGCCCGCGCACTGCCTGCTCTTGCCCTCAGATGTCTACCCAGACCTCCGTTTCTGTGGCATCCCAGCCCCTCCCCCAGAGGTGGATTTTTAATTCTTGCAACGGGTGTTTGCACATCTGCACTTGCTGCTAAATGTAGGTGCAGCCTCCTCCTGCACTGCACAGGGTCTCGCTGTGTGACTGTCAGTCACGCTCCCGCAGTGACTGCCCGGGGCTCCTGCCGCCCCTGGTGCTGCTGCGGGAGCCCTGGGTGGGTGGGGTGGGTCGTGAGGGTCCTGCTTCCCTTGTTGACTGTCCTCCGTGTCACGTGTGTCCACAGTACAACTCGTCCCTTGGCCTTAACTTTGGAATTTGGAGATTATATGCAAACGTGTAAAGGCTCATGAATATGGATGACACTGGAATTTTATAAGTTCTAAAATAAAACCCAAAACCAGATGCCGTGTGCTGGTGTGTTATTTTATCATGCCACATGTGTTCTTGGCCCCGTGGAACCAGGGGCATTGGCAGCACACACTCGAGGGGTCACAGACACACGGACATAGTTCTCATCTTTGCCATGGTCCCCGCAGCTGGCACATGGTTCTCATCCCACGCTGACTGTCCACCCTGCAGGGGCCACATGGGAGCCAGTGGAGGCCGGGGCTGGGCAGTCTCCTGTCCCTGGGACCCTGGCCAGGCCTTGCCTGCTGTGAGGCAGTGCCCTGTCTCCCCAAATGGTCCCTGTCAGCAAACCACTGCGTCCCCAGGACCGGCCCCCAGGCCCGTGCTGGGCTGCTGTTGGGGAGGTGCCTCAGGGAGTCACACGGGCACCAGGGCAGTGGTGTCTTCACCATGGGTGTCACCTGGCAGCCAGGATGGCCCTCGAGCAGCAGCCCCTCCAGAGCTCCTGGTCAGACCCTCTGGTCAGCAGCGGAGGCCAAGGTGGGGGCTGCTCCGGGTGGGGACAGAGTGAGGAGAGAAGGGGCCCTGGTGACTGGCTGCATCTTGTGGCCCTGCTTACTGCACTGGTGCGTTCACTTCGTGAAAGGCCGAGGTACGTGAGCAGGGTTTTGTTTTTTGTTTTGTTATGTTTCAAGAAATTTACTTTAAAATTGCAAAGTTTGAGACAACAGCAGCAGCACCACCACCAACTGGAAGAAGGTCCTGGTGGGTTCCCGCAGGGGCCTTGCGGCCTCACTGCCGGGCGGCTCAGAGCGCAGTCCCTTTTCTCAAAGGTGGTGAGTGACGTCTGAAAGGCGCAGCCTCACTTGAGAGGCGCCGCCCAGGCCAGAGCAGCAGGGCTTTAACCTTGGCACTCAAGGAAGCTGCTCAGGAAGCTGTGGGTGGGGCCTTCTGGGAGGAAGTGGGACTGGGGGACCTGTGGGTGCCCTGAGGAGGCCGGAGCTTCACTCCCGAGTGGTCTGTGATGCAGAGGCACGGGCTGTGCAGAGAAGCCGCACACCCGACGGAGTGCGCGGCCCGGGCAGCGCCAGGTGGATGAGGTCCAGCCCTGCATACCGCTGCTCTTGACTTTGGGGACAGTTGGGTGGAAACAGAAAACTCCTACGTTTCACTGGTGGGGGAATAAGTCTTCCAAGCCTCCCCAGCCTCGGGCACTGCCCGGGCAGGAGCCAAGGTGCAGTGCGGCTTCTTGCCAGTCAGATGGAAGCTCAGTGGCTGCTGATGGTGGCCGGGAGGGAAGGGGGGCACCGGGTTCAAGAAAGGAGAGGACAGAGCAGGAGTCCTGGGCGGGGAATGCGGAGTGGAGGGGTGGGGGACCTGGTACGCTGGCTCCCAGCTGTGACTTGGAGCGTGGGGCTGGGAGGGGCATCGGAAGGGGCTGAGGCTTCAGGGCCCTGAGAGGCCTTTGCCTTCCAGGTAGGTCTGGCTCCAGGCCCCTCAGCTGCCAACAGGACCGCAGAGGGGAGGGACTGGGGGGCCCTGGCTGGCTTCTGGCCGCCCAGGCTGCAGGCCCAGGCTCTCCTCTGAGGCTGGGGGCCGGCTGTCCTTTGCTCCATTTGTCCCAAAGAGAGCCTGTGTCTGACACAGCGGGGTGGGTGCCTGAGGGAGTCTGAAGCGTAAGGCCTGAGGGTCGGCGCTCACTTCCTTCTCGGCCAGCGCCTGCTTGGCCAAGTCATGCTCCCGTCTCACCTTGACTTCCACGGACTGCAGGAGGTCAGGCACCAGGAGGTCAGCACCCGGCCGATGGAGAACACCACGTGCCGGGAGCAGGGGGCAGCGTCAGGGCTGGGAGAGGGTGCGCCTCCACGGGCAAAACAGTGGCCTTCGTGGGCCCAGGCGTGGGCACCTGCTCCCCGAGTGTGGGCTGGGCCAGAAAGCAGCAGAGTGCCAGCCACAGAGACCAGCCGCAGCCCCTGTGGCACTGCCCAGAGCCCAGGGCTCGTCCCCACCACCCAGGAAGGGGCCAGGCAGGGCCGCGCTCCCTTTTCCAGGCAGAGATGTGAGATGCAGAGAACTGATGGGGTCAAGGTGAGAACAGCAAGCACCAGGGCTCTGCTGCGTTGGTCACACTGACCCTCCAGGCCACACAGTGAGATGAGGTGAAGCCAGGGCGGGGGCACCATGCTGAGGCTGAGAGAGACAGCAGGGGGTGCCCACAGAGGGCTTGGGAGGAGCCCGGCTGCGTCAAACACAATGACAAAGGCCAGGCGGATGGCCAGAAGGTTCCAGTCGGTCCGGGAATACTGCCCATCGTCTTCCCTGAACGCCTGATACCTGCAGGAAACGTGGGACCCGGGGTGGGGGGTTGGCGGAGGCTTCTCAGTGCCGCCGCCTTTTCTGTTCCTGATGCTGTAACTCTGGGCCCAACTTGCCCGAAGAGGGAAATACTCGGCAGCATCCTCGGACAGGACTTCCAGCTTTCACTCCGTGGGAAATACTCGGCAGCATCCTCGGACAGGACTTTCAGCTTTCACTCCGTGGTCCCAAAGTGGGGAGCGGCGGGGAGCTGGGTTGTCTACTTCCCCTACGAGGCTGAATGAGTCCCCCAGAGGGCAACTGCACGTCGTCCAGGAGCGTGTCCCAGGATCCTGGCTCCCACGGGGTGCGCACCTGCAGGCTCCGGGCGGTCCGCTCTGCTCAGAGGCCGTGGCCCCGTGGGCATGGCGCTCCCAACCGCCCTGGGCGCTCGGCTCTGACCGCATCTCAGACTTCAGACGGAGCGGAGCCTCACCACCCTTTGACACGTCCCCTGCTCCTGCCTTAGGCTAACACACTGAGACGTGACACAACATGGAAAGTGTCACCAGAGCCGGCTTCGTGGGAGAAGGAAACAGTCTCGAAAGGTAAAAACACCATCACCTGACCTATGAGTGGCTAAATCAGACGAACAGAAAATGGGGAATGACCGATGAAGTCCCCCGGAAGGCGACGAGGCCAGACAGTTTAAAAAGGGAAAGAGAACCCCTGAGCTGGAGAAGTGGGGAACCTCCACAAGAGGGAGGAGGGAGCAGCTCTACTGAAGGAACAAAATGGAGATGTCTCTGGATGAGAAACTCTTAAATAAACCTGCCATGACTGACACCTGTTAGTGACACAGATCAGGGAAAAGGAGGAAGTGATGTTAAATGCTGTGTATGTGTGCTTCCAAGGAGAAAAGCCAGGTCGGTGCGGAACATTTCCAAAGGCCCAAGGGAAAAGAACTCCTAACCTGGAATTTTACACTTGCTTTTGAAGGACAAACAGATATTTTAAGACATAAGAGTTCACGAACCACACACCATTCGGAGAGCTATAAAAGGATATACTTCCGAAAGAAAAAATAAGAATTCGGAGGGAACACAATGAATAACACACTACTGTAGCCACTTCCATTAATACACCAAAAAGACGTGATTAACAAATGATTAAAACTTTCTGTGTTTTTAATAGTAAAGTTAAAACTAGAACAGTAAGACAGGCCAATGGGTGCTTAGCAGGTGGGGGCGCAGCACGGGAAGACCCTTGTCCTGCAGAAGGCGAGGAGCCGACGAGGGGTTCCCCCCGGCTGTGCTGGAGGAATGTGTAGTGTGCCGAAAATATAGGGTAGCCCCTAAAATAGTAAAAACACAGAGGGTTAGTTCCAAGTGAGTCTAAAAACACAAAACTACAGAACACCAACCCATCTACCAGAAGTCAGAGAAGAGAATAAAAAGGACAAAGAATGAATGGAGAAAGTATCCACTTCAAAGGCATCACAGCTGTGAACTTCTATGCAACAAAGAACCTCAAAATTCACAAAGCAAAACCTGGCAGAACCACCTGAAAACACCCGTAATCCCACATTCTGGGGAAGACTTTAACTCACCTCTATCAGAATCCAACAGAATAAGCAGGGAAAAAGAAAAGGGGGGGGGCAAGAAAACCCGAACAGTAACACTAGGAAGCCTGACCTAATAGTCTATATAGAAGCTTGCTCCAACATTAACAGTGAAAAAAGTATTTTCAAGTTCACCTGAAACATGCAAAATCCTCTGGGACCAGATCATGAAGAAGCCTCAGCAAATGTGATTTACATGTCAACCATTCAAGTCCTCTGCCCTCCAAGCAATTAAATCAAAATCAATGACTTTTTTTTTTTAAAGTAGCAAAAAAGTATTTGCATGGATGCCCTGTGGTGTGGCTCAGTGGATTGAGCACTGGCCTGGGAACCAAAGGGTTGCTAGTTCGATTCCCAGTCAGGGAACATGCCTGGGCTGCAGGCCAGGTCCCAGTAGGGGGCACAGGAGAGGCAACCACACACTGATGTTTCTTTCCCTCTCTCTCTCCCTCCCTTCCCCTCCAGTCAGAAGTTCAGACCTGGAGGGGGGGGCAGCGTGGGGGGGGGCAGCATGGGGGCGGAGGACGGGTCCACCCCACAGGGAACAGAGTCCACGACCCTGTCCTGTGCAGTAACTGAAGGAACTCAACTCATCCTGCTGTGAGACTCCAGATCAGTATGCGGGGCACCTGAAACTGACGTAACACCGTGAGTCTAGTGTCATTCAGTAAGTTGTGTGTCGGGGAACTTCCTCTCCCAAACAACGGATAAACAGGAAATACCGAGGGACAGAAGATTATCAGCACTCAAGGAATAAGACTTTCGCCCTGGCTGGTGTGGCTCAGTGGATTGAGTGCTGGCTTGGGAACCAAAGGGTTCCTGGTTTGATTCCCAGTCAGGGCACCTGCCTGGGTTGCAGGCCAGGCCCCCAGTAAGGGGTGCGTGAGAGGCAACCACACACTGATGTTTCTCTTCCTCTCTCTCCCCCTTTCCCTCTGTTTAAAAATAATCTTTTTTAAAAAAGAGTGAGACATTTAAGGGGTATGTATATTCAAGAAAATGTATAGACACGAATTAGTTTGTTAAAACCCAGGAAAGAATGAAAATGAATGAGTTGAAGTTTCAATTCCAGAGGACTGATTTTTTTAAAGAAAAGGAAAGACACAAACTGTGTCTGGAAAGCAAATGTGGCCATAAGTACAAACAGGTGCGCTGAAGAAAATCGTGAAGAATATTATGAATAAATGTGTTATTACATTTGAAAGCTTAGCTGAGTGTTCTGCAAAAGAAAAAAAAATTTTTTACCAAGATCGGCTGAAGATGAACCAGGAAAAAGGGACTCACCACTCAGTCTTCCGCTGGGCAGGCCCTGTGCTCGGATGTGCCAAAGTTCAACCCCACCCGCAGTTGGGGCGGACGGGCGCTCACGCCCCGGAGCCCAGTGTCCCCAACCCCGCGCGGCCCTGCCCTTCCCTGGCGGCCTCACCTGCAAGTGCGGTTGTGCTCCGCAGTGGAGGTGGGCGGGTCGCCGGCGCGGTCCCAAGGTAGTAGGCGCGCGGCCGGAAGTCGGACGAGAAGGGCAGCAGCGAGGCCTGGGTGCGGCCTGGGTGCGGGGTCCACGTGAGCGAGAGCCCCGCCCCCCGCGGAGCCCGGTCCTGCGCTCACGTTGCTGATGCCCGCCAGGTGTGTGATGCCCGCCAGGATCGGGAACCAGATGCCCACGTCCTGCACTTGCTCGGCCACCGGGTGCCGGCGTGCGCACACAAACTTGCGCGCGTCCAGGCGGATCTCCACCCAGTTGTTGAGCAGCGCGAAGAGGGGCGCCAGTGGGCAGGCAGCCATGAAGACGGTGACGAACCCGAACTGCAGCACTGAGGGCGCGTGGTCACCGCCCGCCCTGTCACCGCCCACCCGCCTGGGACCCCTCAGTCAGTGCGTTCCTGTCCCCGAGGGACGCGCGGACCCGGCCACGTCTGCTTCTGCTCTGGCTCGCCCCGCAGGCTCCACCCCCGAAATGCCCCCTGACTGTGGCTTCTGGAAAGGGGACCCTCGGGGCTCCGGGATTCCTAAACTGAGCCTGGGCCCCGCTGCCCGTGTCCGGGGGAGCAGGGACACACAAGGTCCACCTCGCTCACACAGGATGAAAGGCTTGTGAGCTATCTGCCCCCTGTTATCCAGGCACCCGCGCTGCTCCTGCCACCCCTTTCACCTTGGCTACTGGGGAGCCCAGAGTGATGGCGTGTGGCTCAGACTCAACACGGTGGGGAGCACAGCAAAGAGGGTGGGTGTGGAAAAGTGTTTAGAATCCACTCCCAGATGGGACTGCAGCAGTCAGGGTGCCTGAGGCCCTCTCGTCCCAGGTGCCGCCTTTCTCTGAGGGGTAGTTGTCCCCGCCCCTAGTGCCCGGTATCCTGAGCACCCGGCTACTCTCCCAGGTCCAGACAGGAGTCCAGCAGGTGCATTCCGGGGTCAGGGGCATTAAAGCCACTCTGGGAGAGCCCTGTCAAGGCTCCAGGTCCTCTTCCCAACCCCTGTACCCAGGGCGCTGTCCCTTACCACCCCCGCCACTCTTCCTTGGGCACTCCCCTCGGTGATCCTGAGCAGGCCCAGCTCCCCCAAGGACCCTCTGTCTCCACTCACGTCTCATTTCAAAGGAGATGTAGACAGAAGGGTGCTGGAGGCCCATGGGGTGCCTACCCACTTCGAGGTACTCATCAAACAGGCCCCCAAAGGGCAGCAGCTCGTAGTCTGCCTCCCAGGGCGCCTGGCCTGCGACCATGGAAGCCCCCACCTTCCTCTTCTTGGAGCGAAGCTGGACCTCCTGCCACCAGCCCTTCAGCTTCCTGGGGGTGGAAGCACCCAGGACAATGGCTCTTGCTTCTTACACTGAGCCCTGGTTTGTCTGCAGTTTGGGGGCAGCAGGGGAGGGTCTGCGCCCTGGGGTGGGCACAGCAGGGTGAGGCCTTGCAGACAGAGCCTGGGGAGCATCTGCGTCCTTCCTCCTTCTGTGGGGCAGCCCCGCCCCCAGCTCCCCTGCAGCGCCCTCAGGACAATCACCATTGCTCATCAGGGCAGCTGTAGGGGGATGGATTCCTCCTGGGAAATGCAAGGAGGTGCCCAGAGCTATGTCAACGTGGAAGGGAGCAGATGGAGGCAGTCACTGTGCCACTGGGGGCACATGTGTGTTGCTTTGTCATGTGCAGGGCATGTGTGTGTGGCACTGTCACATGTAGGACATGTGTGTCACTTTGGATGCACATTTTGGCTTGTGTGCACGGTGTTCTGTCATGTGGGACATCTGTGTTGTGGTGTGTTGGCCTGTGTAGGGCACATGTGTCACACCATGGGCATGTATTTTGCAGGGCATGCGTATGCATTGCTGTGTTGTACATGGAGCATGTGTGTGTGGTGCTGTCACACATGTGTGTGCAGCTTTGCCACCACTCATCTGGCCCCTTGCTCCCACCAGGCAGCAACTACACCCTGGACTCATGGTCTCCTTGGACTCAGCTGCACAGAACCGACTGCACCCAGAGAGGGGCGGGGGTCAGCCACGGGCCCACAGCCATGGCTCATGGGGCCACGGGGATTCTGTGGCACCACAGGGCAAGCAGGTGTGCAGGGGCAAGATGTCCAGGGTGGGTCCAGCCTAAGCAGCTGCTGCAAGGGCTCTGGCCTGGGAGGGGCCCAGTTGTCTAGATGGGTGCCCCCCTCCTCAGTGCTGCCTTGGCTGGGGTGCTGCCGGGCGCCTGGGCTACAGGGGCCACAGGAAGAACAGGCCTGCTGCCCCACGGAAGCTGGCCCGAGACAAGGGAACTTGATGTGCCAACCAGCCACCATGGGGTGTGGGAGTCATGGGGCCCATGGGGTGACAGTGAGCAGCGCTTCCCACATCCACAGTGAGGCCATCAAGTCCAGGGGGCTGGCACCGTCTGGGCTGCCCCAGGGTCCCTGGATTGACCCGGGGGGCAGGGTTGTCAGGGCACCCATGGGACGAGGGTCTCCTGCATATTGGTGACGATTTGCTTGCCCACCGTGATGACCAGGAGCTCCTGGGCCAGCTCGACTCGGCAGCCTCCAGCCGCGCACTGTGCAGCTGAACCCCAGTGAGCGCGGGGAGTGGCCTCACGCCCCATCCTCCTGAGCCCTGGGCGGGGGCCCTGGTCCTCCCCTCCCTCCCCAAGGTCCACTGGTAAATGGTGCCACCGCTGCACAGCCCCCAGTTTTCCTTTGGGGACCCACGTGGGGTCATGTGGGGCCAACACTGGCCTGTGGTCCAGGAGGCCCCACCCTGCAGCTTCAGCAGGCCCAGCAGGGGGAGGCTTGCCAGGGGCTTTTCGGGGGAGCTCCTGGGACAGTGCGCCCTGCACAGCGGCACCAAGCTGGAGGGCGTCAGCCTGCGCTGTGGGGGTGTCGAGCCCCCTGGGGTGGGGAGCAGGGCAGCATTGTTCAGACCCCTGCGCCCAGCCCACTCGAGCCCACAGCACCTGACTGGCCTCCACACAGGAGCAAGGGAGCCCCATTTTTCACGTGAGTCAGGGTTGGGAGCCTTTCCTCTGACGACCGGAAGCCCCTGAGCCGGGGTCCCAACTGCCTGGTCCCCAAGACACCCCTTCCTGCCGTGTGAAAATAGTGCTCCTCAGGGGTGGGGCCTCCCAGGCCGCCACGGTCGGGTATGTGGCCCGGACCCCAGGGAGGACAGGCCCTCTGGGCAGAAAGGAGAGGGTCTTCCAGGTGTGGCCCCAGCGGGAGTTGTCAGGGAGGCCCCGGGCCCCCAGGGACAGTCCCGGCCCACCCAGCCCACAGCCCCAGCCATCCGGAGCCAAGTGGTTTCCTGCTGCTGCCCAGATGTGCCTGCGGGGCGGGCAGGGTGGGCAGAGGCTGGGGCCACAGCTGGCACCTAATGGCAATTGCAAATCACCATTCCAGCAAATCAAGGCTCTGATGGATACTCGCCTCCTCATTTCGGACCCCCAAGGTGTGGTAGCTGCCTGGGTACCCCACAAACCTTGAAGAAATGAAGGTCCTGAGGCCACGAGTGAGCGGGTGCCACCTGGCCGCCCCCCTGCCTGCTCTGTGATGCCCACATCGGGCCTGCAGGAACCCTCGAGGTGGACCCGGGGCTCGGCTTTGCTCCAAGGCCTCGGCCCGGCACAGCCGCCCCCGCCCTGAGCATCTCGGATGGTGGGCTGCTGGGCGCCCCACAGGCACAGGGCAGTGGTGCCGACCTGCCCTTAAAGAAGGCGATGTAGATGGTGAGGAGAAGAAGCTGACGAACTGGAAGACAAACATCTTGAGGGCGAAGGCGTCCTCGAACCTGGTCTGCGTCCGGTGCATCTCTGGGCAGAGGAGCCACCCTGTGAGACCAGCTCCCCAACTCAGGGGGGTGAGGAAAAGCTGCACTGCCGGGGACCGGACAGAAATGCCTTCAGGGCGGGGGCTGGTTCTGGTAAACCAGGTTCTGGTAAACCACGCTGATGCTAGGAATGAAGAGGTTAGGCACGGGGGCAGCCAGAGGCTGGGCGGGGTGACAGACCGAGGGATGGGGTGACGCTGAGACAGAGGTGTGGGCGTAAAGGGTGAGTCAGAGGGTATACCTGAGGCCAGAAACAGCGCACACGCCCTGCTGTTGCAGGAACACTCAGGGGCTCCCCCCTGAAGGCACAGCCCCCCCACCCCAGTACACGGGGCTTTGGCACCACTCCCAGGCCAGAGCTGCCCATGGAGCAGCAGTGGAATTCCTGGGTTGGTTCGCTGGCATCTGTCCTTGGGAAACAGGGAGGAGGTGGGGTGTAGAGAAAGTGGGGGGAGGCAGGGGAGGTGGGGAGTGAGGGAGGAGGAGCGGGTGGAGGAGACGGAGCAGGCCTCCTCTGCCGTTGCCCAGTCGCCTCTCGGACCCTGAGAAAGCCGGGCTCGGGCCTGGGCTGGGTGGGGCCTCCCTGGGAGCCCCGGCGCGAGGGTCCTGTGCAGGGGTGCCCTGCTCACAGCTGGGGATGGGCCACATGCCCCGCTGCGCCCGACTCAGACACCAGGTCCCTTGGCTCTGCCTTGGGCAGTCCCAGCGCAGGGCAGCCTCGGCCACTCACCCCATCTTGTCAGGACCACGTAGGCCTTGGAGAGCATGAGCCCCGGGTTCACCATGAGCCGGCGAGGCTGGCGATGCGCGAAACCCGGGACAGAGGGTGGTCAGAGCTGGTGCCAGGTGTGGGCCTGGGCCTCCCCTACCCGCAGGGAGCTGTGACAGAGGCTCACCCAGGCCACCGGGAGGGTGCGGTCCGACCTGGACACCAGCATGGCCGCAGCGGCGCAGTACAAGACGACAGACACCAGGCACATGGCCACCACAGCCACCTACGGGGACCCCAGCGTGAGCCCGGAGCCAGGGTGGGGCCCCCAGCGCCGCAGGCCACACCCCCACCTACAGACCTGGCTGCCCTCTGTGCCTCTTCTGGTGGGTTGTTGGGGGACAGGGAGGGGAAGCCAGGGCGGTAGGAGGCCACTTAGACTCCCAGGGTGGATGGCATCTGGGTGTCCATGGGCCACTGGCGTTGTTCTTGACCCAAGTGCTGAGAACCAGCCAGCCAGCCCCCTCCCTGCTCTCCCACAGGCTGAAACTTAGGGATTCCCGGCATCTTAGGAGGGTGGAGGGTTGTGCAGAAAGCCCTTCTGGTTGGAGGACCCCACGCCGGGCCTCCCATGCTGAGGATGGCCGAGGCCCCCACCTGTGGGGAAATGGTCCTGCCCACACCCTGCAGCCTGGCCCTGAGCACAGCTTCCCCTCCTTGGAGCCCAGGCCCACAGGGGCCTTTCGGAGACAGCAAGCGTCTCGTGGGTCCCAGGGTCAGTGGGCACAACAGCGGCCCCCCCACAGCTCCGGGGGAAGGGGCACAACAGGGCGGGGGCGGGGCGGACACTCACCATCATCGGCACCAGCACAGACCCCGCGGCTCACTCAGCTCCTCTCAGGGAAGTAGGGTTCCTCCACGCCCGTGACGGACGGGGTTCAGGGCTGTCGTGGGAGCTGAGGCGGCAAACTGGGGCCGCCGCCTCTCCCGGAGAGGGGCCGGCATTTAGTGGGGGCCGTGCGGGCGGTGGCCGCCCCACCTCCATGTCCTCACGGTCGGAGCAGCCCCAGTGGTGGTCCAGCGTGGGCTCTTCCGTTTCCGGGCGCAGCATGGGCCACGGCGCCAGGAACTCGCTGAAGAAGACGGTGCCGTCGTGGTTGAAGAGCCGGCCGGCCCGTGGGCGGGCGTCACGTTCGTTGCCCCTACCAGCTGCTCGGGGTCTCAGCCCCGTGCCTGCCTGATGCTGCATTTAGGGAGCAGGTGACCCTTGTCCTGTCTCATGGTGGGGGTGGGGGTGGGCGGTGCCACGGGGTGGCCACGCCCGAGTCTCCCCCCCAACGTCGTAGGTGATTTAGATGCGATTCCAGACTTCCTGGGCTGTCGGTGTTTAGGCTTTTGGACTTGGAGCTAATGCTGTGGTGCGTCTAGAATGTTGGGGACGCTTGGTTGGGGTGAATGCATTTGGTGTGTAGGATGGACGTGAAGTCTGGGGTCCAGAGCGTGGACTGCAGTGGGTGGAATGGTGGCCGCCACCCAGAACCTCAGAATGTAAGTTTGTCTGGAACAAGGGCCTTTGTGTGTGTAATGAAGGTGAATCTCTTCAGGGGAGGGCCCTGCCTTGGGGGAGAGAAATCATTTCTCGCCCTGAGGAAATCAGGGCGGTGCGAACCAGGCTGTTCGCACCGCCCTGCAGTGTGTTAGAGCTGCGCCCCCAGAATCGGCACAGAAGGGTGTTCAGGAGCGTGTCCCGTCTGCCCACCCAACTTCGCACCAAGGGCTCTGGGCCGTGTGTGGGACCCAGGCGCAGCCACTGTTCAGTGGGAAAGCTGGACTCCCACAGCTGCGGGGCTCCCGGGAGCCTCCGGCTGTGCCTGACCTCGGACAGTGACGCACAGTAGCAACAGTAACGGTGACGGCCCACGTCCGCCCAGGTGGGCGCCGGTCACAGCCCCACCGCAGGCGAGGGCAACCCCACAGGGCCTGGTCCGGTGCCGGGCAGGGCCAGAACCCGGGAGCCACCTTCGCCCTCTCCCACCCCCTCCTACCTGGACCAGGGCGCACACCCTGGAGAGCGTCCAGAGGGGCAGTCGGGCAGAGCGGGCACATCTCGAAGCTGTGTGCGCTGCCGCACAGCTCCTGCCTTCAGAGCAGAAGTGGGGCTGGCGCCGGGCGCCTCCCCACCGGGCCTAGTGCCATCCGCTTCCTGCCCCCACCGCCCCGCCCAGCCCAGCGTTGCTCTAAAGTATATGCGGGGATAAATTTTGGGATAACTTTCTGAAATTTCAGCTCCATAATAAAGTAAAACTCGAGCCTCATCATTTGATTATCACAACAAAAGTTTATGCTATTGCAAGAAACAAAGGTGAGTGCCAGTGAAATTAACCTGGAGCACACCTGTCCAGTGGCCAGTCTTGGAAGTACCCCTCTACCTGGCATCCTTCCGGCAGGTCCACAGGACCCTCTGGGGTGTTCCTGAGGGCGGGGACAGGCTCAGTGCTTGCCTCTGGGGTCCCCGCTCCCACCCTCCCGAGATGCAGTGTGAGGCCTGGAGCCCAGGGGAGAGGGTACTCACATGGGTATGTCCGAGAACACCAGGAAGCAGCCCACCAGGAACACCAGGTGCCCACGACAGCTGCAGGCAGAAGCCAGCCTGTGTAGAACCCTGCAGAGGGGACCCGGAGGGGACCCCATGAGTCAGCTGCACTCACAGTCTCTCCCGGGGCGTGAGGAGGGCCCGGCTGCCGTAGGGACGGGGCTGTGCCGGCCTGGGAGGGGCTGCGCGCTGCGGGCAGCCCTGTGCTTGCTCCCCGAGGGAGACTCGGCCGATGAGCAGATTGTCGCCCTGATGACCAAGCCAGGGCTCGGGGCAGTGGCGGGACTTACCGAGCCAGGCGAAGTGGAGCCGCCTTCTCCCCGGGCACCTGCGCACGTGATCCAGGGGCTAGTACTTGTGGCACGAGCGCCAGCGGGCCCAGTGCCAGAACAGGACCTGCTGCTGGTTGGGGCCCGGGGCCCTCGTGCCCTCCGGGGGCATCGTAAAGGGGCCCTGGGGACAAGAAGCTGGTGGGTGGGGCTCCCTTCACCTACTGGGCCCTGCTCCAGGTGCGGGGCTTCAGCTGGGCAGGGGCCCCAGGCACCAGCACTGGGCTCAGGGGGGCTGCATGAGGGCGACATAGTGTGGGGCCCGGGGGTCTGGGAAGGTCTGCCCGGGAAGGGACATGAAGCTGGGCACCTCAGCCTCCGGTTCCTGGGGCCCAGCTCCAGGGGGAGCCTTGGCCGTGGCCCAGGGTGGACTGGCACCTCCGGTGGGCTTCTATGGCCCGGTGCTGTGCTGACCCCAACGGCCCCGCCAGCGAGGCCGACTGTGGCAAGCACTGTGTATCCATGGTTCTAGCCAGAGGCGGGGAGAGGGTGCCCCGATGCCCGTCTTGCACCCCGAAGGCCCAGTAGGTGGTGCAGGGTGCGAGGGCGTCAACTGGCTCCAGACCCCATGGGGGACACCCTTTCAGGCCGATGGTGAGCACCCCTCCACTGCCTCAGTTTACCCAGCTTTTGGGGGAGCACAGGGGCCTCCCTGTCTTCCCCAAGAGGGAAGCTGCCCGTGAAGATAGAGCCACTGTGCCTGCCATGTGGCAGGAGGGCAGTGCCTGGCCACGTCGCAGGTGTCAGCTGACCCCCGGCCCGCAGCCCGTAGGGCCGCAGCCACCCCACACGCCCTGTGGGTGGACAGCAGGACCCCCCCGTCCAGGAACTCACCGCACACCCATGCCGGTGACCCCCGCCCGGGCCTGTCAGCCCCCAGGCCTCACCTCGTGCAGGGCAAAGGCTGCCCTGAAGACGCCCTGTGACAGCAGCTGTTGGATCCCAAACAGACCTTTCTTCTCGTGGCCGTACGGGGTCTTGGCCAGGATCTCAAACAGCTGGGGTGGTGGAGGAGGGCACCGGTCACCTGTCATGTGATGGTGGGGTGGGACATCCCGGCCCTCCCATCAGGGGCTGAGCCTCCCACAGCCCTCTGGTGACAGATGGTACAGTCACAAGACCTTGGCCGAGTCACAGGCCCATTGAAGTTGAGCCTGTATTTGACCCCTGGCCCTGGCAGTGCACAGCCAGCTCTGGACTCTGCTCTGGGCAGCGTCAGCCTCCAGCTGGACATCTGCACCAGGGGTGGGCTCTGCTCCTCTGGTGGCCCTCAGGGGGCTATCCCGGGCAGGCCTGTCCTCACCCCAGGCTGAGGGCACTTAAGGAAAACCTGCCGCAGGTGGCCCTGTGCCGCCCCCACTAAAGGGTAAGCCCGCCCAAATCTGGATGAAGGTGTGGCAAACTCATGTGGCTGCCTCAGTGAGCCACACTGTCCCGTAACCCCCAGGCTGATGAGTGCACCCAAACTCAGAGTGGGCGGGGCGTTAGCTGCTGTCCCCCACCCACTGTAGCTGCTTGGGACCGCCCTGGGAGGGGCGTGGCACACGTGGGCCTGGGGGGGGCTGGGGGGCACGTGGGCAGTGGGTGGAGGCAGCTCTTCCCTCCCACCGGAAGCAGGAACACAGGAAAATGAGGGTAGGTGGGAAGTGACAGGCACAGTGTGAGAGAGAATCCCCACTGGTTAAAAGCAACTACAGCCCCACAATGAGGGTGACAGGCCAGCCGGACTGCGAACTGATGTCTCTCACACACAACCAGCAAAGAGCGGTGTCCCGTGCATCGATGCAAACAAGGTAAAACCCCACAGAAAAAAGAGCAAAAGATGGAAAAAGGCAGCTCAGGGCACTGGAAACACGAACAACTCATAAACATGCAAAACCGCTCAGCCTGTTCAGGGATCAGAGAAAATGCAAAGTAAACCCCGGGGAGACGCCACCTCACACCAGGTGCGACATAGCCAGGTGCTGAGAAGACACCTGCGGCTGACAGGGGTGCTCGCAGCCCGCGGCCTGGGGAGCAGGTGGCCACACGCACACACCTGGCCAGCATCTCTACCCTCAGAAATTCCTGCATCTGGGCACGGGACACACGTGTAAACCAGTGAGAATTTACGGCGGCCAATTTTCGTACTATCCCCAAACCGGGAGCAAGCCACACGTGTGCGCGTGCGTACGGCGGAGTCGCAGGCAGGGCGCGGTGCTCCAGCCCGGACGGAGGCCCAGCAGCAGCTGCACGGGCGACGCGCGTGGTCTCGCGAGCCTGAGGTCCCGAGGAGGCACACTGAGCACGACTCCGTCGTATCAAGTTCAGGCAGAAACCCAGCTGCACCGTTAGGCAACGTGGAATTGGTGCCCATTCACATGAGACAGGAATCGAAGAACGTGAGGAACGTAAAACTCAGAACTGATTTCCGGGGGACTGGGGAGGGGGACGGACACCTGCCGGCTGAACCCCTTCCTGGGGGCGAAGGGAGGTGGTCAGGAAGCAGGGCGGACAATGAGGGAGACACGTGGAGGGACCTTGGTGGGGGCAGGGACGAGCGGAGCCCTGCGCCCCATCCCCACCAGCTCCAAGCCCCACTTAGTGCCTGCACCGGCACCACCCGGCCCACACCCCCCGCCGCTACACTGGGTACCACGCAGCTCCTTCCTGCTTTCTCCGGCTCCCTGCAGTGGAAGTAACTTCGACTGACTGTTAACGATGGACACTGGGCCTGTGGAAGGGCTTTGTGGGTGTAACATCCTACAAGCACACGAGAGTCGTGAAGACAAACGTCACACCTAGAGGGAAGCTCTAATGTCGGAGATGGGAAAGGTGAGTGGAGAAGATGGCTTCTGAATTTGGGGGTGAATCTGAAGGGCTCTGGCCTCCCTGAGCCAGCTTGGTATGCGTCCGCGTGCCTCTGTTTGACCTGGGGCAGGGCATCCAGGGCAGCCCTGGGCTTGATCTGCCTCAGGTCTCAGGGCGTCATGCCCTCAGGCCTGTAGACACAGAGCCTGGGGCCCTAGCCACCTCCGCCCGGGGTACCTGGTCCACATGCCGCCCAGCCACACGAAGCTTATCCAGGAAGGCCTCCCGCCAGGCCCTGTGTGTGTCTGTCCTGTCCTGGGCAGCACTGTCCTGCTGCCCACCCAGCCTCGGGTCTTCCTCACAAACCAGGATGAAGTCTGCAGAGAACCGACAGGGACAGAGGCAGAAAGGACAGGCTAACTCCAGGGTGCCAGCCTCCCAGCCAGGACAGCCAGGCTCCGGGTGGGAAGTAGGAGCCAGTGCTTGAACAACGGTCCGCCTCTCCATACAGAGGGCCGGGTCATGGTCAGAGGGACCAAGACATTGTCGCCCGAGAACCAGAAGGAGAGAGTGGGAGATAAAGCGTTCTTTGAAGAAAAATGGTGAAGAATCTCGTAACTAACATTTTATTTATTTTTAGACGGAGGGAAAGGGAGGGAGAGAGGGAAACGTCATCGTGCCTCTCGGGCGCCCCCTACTGGGAGCCTGGCCTGCAGCCCAGGCATATGCCCTGACTGGGAATCCAACCCACAACCCTTTGGTTCTCAGGCCAGGATTCAGTCAGTCCACTGAGCCACACCAGCCAGGGCCAAATGGTGAAGAATTTTTAAATCTGATAAAATCTGAAGAATCAAAACTCCCAGTGCTCCCCCCGCGAAGAAACTCCAGCTCGGAAGGGCGCGGACAGCACGTCTGTGCCGTGCACCACAGAGAAGGCAGGGGGACGTCAACAGCTCAGTTTGGAGGGAGCGGTGAGGATTTAGACGCCTGATTCCTCAGCGAGACTAGGGAAGCCAGTAATAGACAGCAGGACGGCGTGTTTAACGGGCCGGGGAGGGCTCTGAACCCCGGACTCTCACCCCTGGGAGTAAACGAAGACCCCTCTCCAAACAATCAGAATGTGGGGGACGAAGGCGCAGCACACCTGCCCCACCGGAGACACAAGGGAGGTGCTCTCGGATGGAGGGACAGGCGAGCGAGAAGAGTGAGCGTGTCGCAAAGGACAGACACGCAACTAAATGCGAAGGTAAAACGACCTTTCACAGATGGCGGGATCTTGTATGTAGAAAATCCAAAGGCATTCACTACAAAAACTGTCAGAACAAATAACATTTGGCAAGGTTGCTAGGTACACGGTCAACATACACAAATCAGTTGCTTCCATACCCTAGCAATAAACAAGCCGAAAATGAAATGAAGGAAAATAATTCTGTATACAACAGTACCAAAAAAGAAACAAACTTAACGAAAAAATGTGCAGGAATGGAAAACTACCCAACATCACAGAAATAATTGAAGACGAGTTAAATAAATGCACAGACACCCCTCGCACACGTGAGTCCCTGAAGAGTGCTGAACTCGGTCAGGATGCAAATCCAATCTGCAGGTTCGGTTCCCTTCAGAGCCCAGCTGACTTTTCTGCATGAATTGACAAGTTTAAAGTTCCTGTGGAAACCCCTGAGATCCAGAATATTGAACAATGTAAAAAAAGAAGGACAAAGCTGTACCGCTCACACGTTTTAATTTCAAAACTCACTGCAAAGGTAGAGTAATCAGGGCAGTGTGGTGCTGGCATAGGGACATATAGATCAATAAAATATATTTGAGATTCTGAAAATAAAGCCGTAGATTTAGGGTCCACTTTTTACAAAGGGCCAACACAATTCAATGGGGGAAAAAACAACTGATCTCAACGAGAGGCCCTGGGGCAGGCGGACAGCCATCGGTCATGAACGAGTTTGGACCCTCTCTCACACCACACGAGACCTGACTCAAAGTGGAGTTGAGCTCATATGCTAAAGATCAGAGGACTAACAACTAAAACGATAAGGTGTGGCTCCGTGGGTGGAGCGCTGGTCCGTTCCCAGTCAGGGCACGTGCCTGGGTTGTGGGCCAGGTCCCCTGTTGGGGGTGCCCGAGAGGCAACTGTACATTGATGTTTCTCTCCCTCTCTTTCTCTCTCCCTCCCCCTCTCTCTAAAAATAAATGAATGAAATTTTTTACAAAGTTTAAAGGTAGGTTACAATTGTTTGTGTGGAAACAGACACAATACAATAATAAATAGTAACAAGAATAAACTGTGTTCTGCATACTCACAACTGTAGAACTTTTAGGAAGAAAGGGAAAAAATTATAAGACTCTCAGGAGAAAACACAGTCGTAAAAGCCATGGCCCAGTTTCTTAGCTATGAACCAAAAGCACAGCAATGAAGAGACCACGGCTGAGCTGGACTTCCTCTGAACTCGAGCCTGTGTGTGAGACGGGCACCGTCTGGGGAGGGCGGGCACCCCACAGGGTGGATGAAGGGTACACCTGCAAACCAGGTCTCTGACGAGGGACTTGTGTCCAGAATACACAGAACTTTACAACTTAGTGAAGACAACCCAGTTTTGAAATGGACAAAGATTGTGAATAGACGTGGCTCTGAGGAACACATATGAGACGGCCAACGAGCCTGTGAGAAGACGCTCGATGTCAGTAGTCACTAGGGAGTCACAAATCCGAACCACGGTGTGGCACCGCTGGGCACCCACTGGGGGCCGCGGAGGCTGATAGTGCGCTGGCCGGGTGTGGTGGGGCAGGGGCTGGGGCAGGGGCTGGAGCCCCACTCGCTGTGGGAAACAGTCCAGCGGTCCCTCAAAACGGGACACCTTGAGTTACCATGTGACCGGCGATTGCAGTCATGGGAAGACAATCGCATGTCCGCGCAGAGCCCTGTCCCCGAACATTCCCCAAGGTGTTATCACAATAGCGCCCCCAGTGGAGGCAGCGCAGACGCTCATCACTGATTCTCTGGGGTGTGTCTCCAGAAGTGTGGGTGCTTGATCGCGTGGTAACTCTGTGTTTGGTTTTTGGAGGACTCTCCACACCGTTTCCCACCAGCACTGCACGGGGCCCCATTTCTCTGCCTCCTTGCTGGCAGTTGGTATTTTCTGTTTTTGTCATTGCTGTGGCTTCAACAGTGGCCATTCCAGTGGGTGGGAGTTGAGGGGGATGCTGTTCTCAAGGGTCTTTCTGGGGCCGCATGGAGGGCAGGGCGGGCTCGGTGAGCACTGAGAGCCCAGGTGGGTGCTATCCCCAGGAGAAGACAGTGGCCCGGGGCAGACGGGAGCAGTGGGGGTGGGGAGACAAGAGACGAGTCCAGGGCGACTCCGAGCTGCCTTGAGGCCGGAGCCGGAGGGCGGTGGGCACCCCTCTGCCCTCCAGAGCCCTCTCCAGCGCTAGGCTCCCAGGAGGGACCCCTTTCCTGCCGCCTCCCCAGGTGGCGTTCTGCTCACCATGAGGCCCTCACTCCACTTCCCAGCACAGCAACTGGCGCCCGAGCTGGTTCAGGAGACAGTGCCGGGTGGGGGAGGGGCGGCCTGGTCACTGAGGACGGTGGCTCAGACCTGCTGTTCTTGTGCTGCCACCTGTGGGTGCCCTGTCTGTGTCCCCACCCTCAGGACCACAGCCGGCAGACACTGGAAGGTTGTCACCGATCCGGGGCTTGGCAGGGCTCACCACCCTGTAGGCGGCCACCTGGTCTCCGTCCGGCCGGAACAGAAGCTCCCGGTTGTGAGGACGCGCCCCTACCTTGCCCCAGACCCCCAGAGACACGGAACGCCCTGTGGGTGGTGTGGGCGGGGGCCTTACAGGTCCATGCAGGGGTGAGGCAGGCCCTGCCCATCCCGTCCCCCAGGCGCCGAGCGGCTGGCCAGGGTGGTGGGCAAGGGCCAGGTTAGCCAGCGGCAAGGCCGGCGCCCAGGGAGCCCACTGCTGCTGGCCTCCAGAGGCGAGAGGGGAGCTGGCCTACGAGTGGCCCCGTGGGTGGGCCAGAGGTGGTCACGTGCTCTGAGGGTGGAACCAGGCTCTGGGCGAGTGAGGCCACGTGTCCCCGTGGTTCCTGGGTCTCTCCCGAGAGTGGGGCTCAGAGACCCTCTTGTGCCCACCCCAGACCGTGGCCTGGAGCCCAGGGCTGCATCAGGGCGGCGGAAAGTTACCTGCGAGGTGCTGGCTGTGCTCCCACGAGTCCCCCTTCTCCGTCCCCGGGGCCATGTCTGTCAAGGCTGTGCTGTCATCCTCTGGGGCTGGCCTCTGCAGCATCCTGCTCCTACCCCCGGCCAGGACCAGGCGGCCTGAGAACACAGAGGGGGAACCTGAGACCCGGCCCCCGCCGCACAGCCGCACACCCCTCCTGAGAGGTGAGGACAGTGCCCCGGGCTGTGGGCAGGGCCGGGCCGGCCGAGCTGCCTGAGCTGGGTTACGTGATGACCCTGACCTGGGTGTGGGAGCTGCCTGTCCATCTGCCCATCCGTCTGTTGGGTGCCCACTCCCCGCTAGCCCTGCATATGTGTCCTTCCTCCTGCTGCCTACAGGGGACAGGCAATGCCCTCTAACAGAGAGACAGGCCTGGCCAAGGTGCTGGCCTGGACCCGCGGGTGCTGGGTCCTCCCACTGGCCTCTGGGTCCCTCTGTGGGGAGGACAGCTTCCACAGTTCCATTGAGGGGCTGGCAGAGTGGGGCAGAGGGAGAGAAGCCCTGTGGCCTGGAAGGGGGTTGGATTTCAACCAGAGCTGGCGGTTGCTCCCCGCAGAACCAGTGTGGCCCTGGGATATCCCACAGTGGTGGGGAGGGTGTGTGGGTGGCAGAGCCAGGGAGAGCGGAGGGGACAGGACCCAGCTCATGGGGTCCAGATACTGGCCAGAGAGGCGGATGTGGCTCCCACGCCTCCCGACCAGACCCAGGACTTGGGACAGGGTCTCCATCAGGGCTGGGAAGTCCCAGCGCCATTGTGGGAATGGGCATTTCTGCTGTGGCGAGAAGGTAGGGCGGGGGCAGAAAGACAGAACAGAACAAGGCCCGGAGTGGCCTGCACCGTGGGGACTTCCATGGACAGGTGGGGAAACTGAGTTCCCAGGGTTGCAGGGCCCTCCTCACAGCCACGCAGAGCACCTGGCCTGGGCAGACTGTGGGCCAGGTCTTCGGGTTCCAGCCTCCTGGAGCCCAGAGGGGGCGGGATGCTCCCCAGCTTCCCTGGAGCCCATCTGCCCACCTGGCGCCCAGTACCCACTCGATGTAGAATGGCCCCCTCCGGCACAGTGGCTTCCAGAGGAGGCCGCAGAGGCCTGGTCTGAGCGGTGAGTCTGGGCTGTCCTGGCAGGAGGACTGGGGGGCCCTGTGCTGGGTGGGCGGTGACAGCCACACCACTTGCATGCCCGGCACCGTACCCAACAAACAGGAAAGATGTCTGGCCTGGGGAGGGGTCACAGTCTTCCAGGTCCTGGGACAGGATCTGCCTGTGTTTGCCAAGGGGGTGTGCTCTGGGGTCTGCAAACAGGCTGCCCATTTCCATGGAGCCTGCACACCGCGTGCAAATGCCACTCCCACCTTCTTCCCTATTTGCTTAGGGAGCCCGGGGCCCACCAGCCGCTGCCTGTGGCGGGGGACAGACAGGCGGGATTCAGCTGGACAGCCATGGGGCTCTCATGTCATCCTCACCTGTGGGGACCCAGGGGACCCAGGTTGCACAGCTAGGTCTGCCATGTCCTGGGTGTGGCCTCAGGTGCATCCCTCAGCTCAGGGGTTACTTGGGAGAGGGGGTCACAGCCCCTCACCCCACGGCCCTCTGGCACTCACAGCTGCTGTCCTGCTTGCTCCTGCCTGGCGAAGCCCCTGAACAACACCCACGTCCCAGCTGAAGCCTGGCCTGGTCCCCGTGCCCAGCCCCCGCACCCCGTCCATGTGCCCCTTCCAGGGAGCACTCGAGCCGCAGGGGCAGGCAGCTGGAGGCGCCACAGCCTGGGGGACGTGTGTGTGGAGGCAGGGGGGCAGTGACTCACTGCGGGTCCGTTTTCAGTTTTTACTCTGCAGTGTTTTATGGTTTGAAATTTTTAAGTTTCATTACTTTTGCAGTTTTAAAAAAATAAGGAGGAAGGAAGCAAGCTGTTGTACAACTGGCACAGGTCTCTTATTGGGTCCTAAGCATTAGGAAGAGCCTGTGCCCAGTATTTGCTACACCAGCTTTATTTGACTACAACTTTTTATATCCATTTATGTAACATTCAGATATACATTTGTGGAAATTCAAATAAAAAGCTTCCAACAACTGTGGCTGAACAAAATAATCTTCCACAGCTGCAGGAAGTGGGGAGGTGGTGGCACCTGGGTGGGTCTGGCGGCTCTGGAAAGTCAGGGTCAGCGCCTTTGCCTCATGGTGGCAAGATGGTTGCAGCAGGTCCAGCCATCAAATCTACATTCAAGGCAACACGCCAGCTGTACCTGTCCTTTTTCTCAGGGAAGCAGTTGTCACTGGCAAAGCATGGATTCTCAGGCTGCCCCTGGCCATGATGCAGCCTGGAACAGGGACAGACCTGCAGGATTGGTTGGGGACAAATGGACATTCCTTGGGCCGGGCACGTTGTTGGTCTGAACAAAACTGCTGGCACGAGGGGCCCTCTTCCCTGCCGGCTGGGAGGTTCCCCTGCCTTTTCCTTCTTCGATCACAGTGTATTTCGCGGTCATTTTGTGCTGGTTTCGGGGATGCGGCACAGTGGCTGCTCCTCTTTGTCGCGATGGCCTGTCCTGCTCATGGCCTCGGGATGGGAGGGCAGCAGCAGTGCAGTGCCCCTGGTGGCGTCTCTTCCCTTCTGCCACCCTCCTCTCTAAACACCGGCCTCCTGGTTGCAGTCCTGGCCGCCCTGTGCTCGTGCACTCAGCCCGGGCGCTGGGGGCCTTGCTCGGGCCCCCCTTCTCCTCCCTTCCCCTCCCCTTCCCCGGTGAGATATCCTTGGGAGTGCTCTTTCTTTAGAAAGGGTTTTCTAAAGGAACTTTTTATTTTAAAGAGAGGAGAAGTAAGGGGAGAGAGAGAAAGGGAAGCACTGATCAGTCGTCTGCCGAGCATGTCCTGACCACGGGCCTGCCCACAACCCAGGCACGTGCCCCGCCCGAATCGGCCCAGTGACCTTTTGGCCCACTTCGCCCTCGCCTGTCTCTGTCCGCACCCCTTTTCTCCGCCTTGCGGCAATGCTTCACGCCTGCTGTCAGGCCCGAGCCTGCTCTGAACACTGGGACACCTGTCAGTGGGCTGTGGAAGGTGCCGTCCCTCCCATGGGGATTTTCCCTTTTACGCCAGAAACCCACAAAACCTTGTCCCATGGCCGCGCTTCTGGGTTTGAAGGAGCTCTCTGCACTCCGGGCTCACACACAGGCCTTCCCATTCTTCCTACGGACTCTCCGGCTTGCTTTTCACACTGAGGCCTCCAGGACTGCGCAGCCTGCGGGCGTCCAGCCAGGCCCCCCTGTGGCCCCAGCCCGGCCTGCCAGGGGACGGCCCTTTGGGGGTCTGCAGCTGTCAGAACCCAGCAGATCACCTCGCCTGACCTTTTCTCAAAGCTGACTGAACTTTTTCCAAGTTTCGAGGTTCAGTGCAGACCTTTCTCCGTCCACATAAATTTTAAAGTGAAATGAGTTTCTCAAATAGCCAGAGGGAGCTCGGGTCAGGACTGGGCCAGACCCAGCATGCCCTCCGACTGCAGTCTGCGGCCCGTCCGAGGCTCTGCCTGTCCTTCTGTCCCCTCGAGGGTGCACAGACAGACGGCCACTGCACTCTGTCCCCGGCCTCCTTAGCCTCTTTGCTGAGAGGTTGTGGGTTTTCCTGGGTGTTTCGTAACCAATTTCTGTTCTGTTAGTGGTTACTTTAAACTCCTCTTTTCCCACAAACTTGATTGCCGCTCCCTTTTCTATACCAAGGGGAACTTGGACAACCTTCACCGTCACTTCTTAGGTCCCAGACTGAATGCACAAGGACCTGGCTTCAGGTCCCTTGTTCCGTCTGGTCACAGGTGCTGCGGCCCCGTGACCTCGCACTCACAGGCGGGAAGGGCCGCTGGCCTCAGCGCTTCCCGCTGCTGCACCTTTCCCCTTCCCAGTCCAGACACGTCTTTTGGCCCCAGACAGGCACCTCGGACAGGCACGAACGGCCTGGCCGGGGGCAGAGTGCTGGACCCCGCCCGCCCCTCCTTTCCTTTCCCAGCATTCACTTCTTAGCAGGTGCCCAGTGTCCAGTGCGCACAGTTTATTTTTGCAAAGACTGAAGTCAGGACTTGGGCATGACCTTCACCCTAGGGCCACCACTGTCACAGGGTCCAGGGCAGTGCCGCCCTGGGACGGTCAGAAGGGCTGCCCTCGGACATGCTACTTGGGATATGCTGAGTGCAACTGAGAAACTGCATGTTTAACTTGACTTTATTTTGACAAAGTTAAATGTGAATGGAACCAACCACGGTGGGCAGCACGGGGCCCCCACACTGGACAGGGCAGCGCTGTAGTGTGGGGGGCAGACGGGCCCCCGAGGACGGCAGAGGATGACAAGGTCCATGTAGACGGAAGTCGGACCCCTGGACCATCGAGGCAAACTTTATAAAACAAGAGCCAACACAATGGCGGGGTCGGAGCGGAGGCAGTGTGGCAGGTGGTCAGAGGTCGACTCTGCAGAAAGTCTCGGGTGGGGTCACCTTCTGCCAGTGGCAACGGGACCTCAGGGGGCCATGGGGGGGCGGCAGGGGACAGGGCCTGCGCACCGAGCTGAGGGTCCTGGCGTGGCGGGCTGAGCCCCCCCACCCACGGCTTTGCTTTTTAATGTGTGTCGTCTGCAAATACTGGCACTGACGGGTCTAAAAGACTAGGAAGCTGTGGGCCGACAGGCTCCAGGCTGCTGGGATGGACCTGGAACGGGCTCCCTGAGCCCGCGGGGCCGGGGGCCACCTCCCTCCTCCGGGAACACAGAGCAGCGGGACCGAGTGGGGCTGGTAACAGCAGCGCCTCTCAGTGGTGAGCGGCGGTACACACGGCAGGGATCACTCAGTGCCTTTTTATTGCCATTGGGTTGTGACCGTTGGTATAGTGATGACTTCAGGAGCAACAGGTGGACTGACAACCACACCAGGAAGTTCTTTCGGAGAGAGGGGGGCAGGCGAGAGCGCGAGGGTCAGAACCTGACGAAGGTGGCGTCGATCTGCCGCACGCTGGGCAGCGCCAGCATCACCTTCCGCCGGTACTGCGGGTCCTTCTGCAGCGGGTTCCGCTCCAGGTACACGGTCTCCAGGCTCTTGGCGCCCTTCAGCTCGTCCAGGTCACTCCAACTCTCGAGGAGGTTGTCATTCATCTGGGAGGACACACGCACGCACCCAGACCACACGTACACACAGGACGGGACACGGGCACACGCAGGCACACACGGGTGCACATTAGAAAAGCCCCCTCACCGCAGAGCAGCCCTGTGCCCCCGATCTGGGTGTGTCACAGTCCCGGTGTGTCACAGTCCGGCCGCCTGTGCTCTCCGCAAAGGTCTTTGCTAACCAGGGAGCCAGAGGCTGCGTCTCACTGTCTCAGTGTCAGTCAATGGCAGGAGACGCTTCGTGTGTCTGTCACCCTCCTCTGGGACTTTGTGGCCCGGTGGCAGCTCTGCAGGGGCCTCTCGAAGGTACAGACACCACCCACAGCGGCCTGTGTCCCCCGCTGTGTGCAGGGCGGCACCACCTGCCTCCAGGCTATTGTGGCCACGAGTCAGATGGCGCAGCCGCCTGCACGCCGCGCAGGAGGCTCTGCCCGTGCTGGTGGCCTGTCCAGGGCTTAAGAGACCACGTACGTTTCTATGTCATGGGCCCAGGGACTACTCTGCCTCCAGCCGCTGCCCACCTGCCTGCCTCCTGGGGAGCCAGGGTACTCAGGCAGCCCCCGTGTTCCATGCGCTGTCCGTTGGCCAGTCACACAGCGGGGCCCACACCTGAGGAACATGACCTCAGCGACCGCCCCACCCTTCCTGTGGCACAGGCTCTGTCTGTGGTGGTTGGTTTCTCTGGGTGCTTCCCTGGTCCCTCCAGAGCTGCATCCTCCCAGTGTGACCCAGCCTCAGGGTGGCCGCTTGGAGCCTGGAGCTCACACTGGCTGCCCATCTGGCCCAGCCCACGTGTGCCACCCCGCTGTGCGTCTCTGGCCTCCCAGGCACGCTCTCGTGCCCTGTCAGACACCACCCAAGGTCTGGTGCTATTAGTAAGGGTCAGGGGACATTGTCACCCTGGGCCACCTGTGTTGTCAGGACACTTGGACAGGATACCAGCAGGGCCCATAGCCTGGCCAGATGAGGTGGGGTCGTCCCTTAAACTCAGCACACGTCTGGGATCAGAGCTGACACAGTGAGGGTGTCGCTCACTGTGCCGGGGGGTAGGGCGTGGGCAGCAGCTCCCAGGGCCACAAGCTGGGGGTCGATGGGTGGCCCCGCCTGGAACACCTGCTCCAGGAACCCTGATGCTGAGGACAGCTCGGCCGTGGGCGCGTGGCCCGTCGGGGTCTCCAGACCTCTGACACCTGTCTGTCTTCTGATTCCCTGAGACACACCTGTAGCCACCAGATGCCCGAAGACACCCACCCGTCTCCCGTGTGGTGGCCTACAGGTCACGTGCCTGCTCTCAGATCGGCCTGACCACAGACCCGAGCTCTTGACCGCGTGCACCGCCGCCACCCAGGGCTCACAGAATGCCAGCTGGGGTCGGTCTGCCCTCTGCTACAGGGGCCAGAGATGTGCGTTTGGAACAAGGTCCTGACTCTGCCCCCCGCACAGGCCTCCTCCCTCCCTGCACACCCACCTCAGCCTGCACCTCACCACCCCGTGCACCCCAACACTTCACTCACGCACCCCAGTGGGTTCTCAACGTACCCAGAATTCCTGCAGCTCTGTTAGATGGCTGATATTTTCGATCTTTTTGATTCTGTTTGCCGCAATGTCCAACATTGTGAGTTTGTTCTAAAGTAAGGAGATAAAATTTGCCCCGCGTCACCTCAGGTCAGTGGTCATTGTGCAGCCACGCTCCTGGCTGGGAGCTGCGGCCCATGCCCTCACCGCCCTCACAGAGCAGGGCCATGCGGCAGGGACCCCGGCTTGCAGCCCCCAGGTCCCAGCATTGCTGAGATTTCAAACTGGTCTGTCAGACCTGATCCCTGGGCTCCCAGAGGCCTGTCCACAGGGACCCAGGGGCGGTATTGCTGGCGTTACAGTGACTCTCTTGTAGTCACCCCCTCAAGGACGCGCATGACACTAAGAATCATGTTTCGTGTTTCATTTTTCATTTAGGGACGAGGCGCTTGGGCTGGCCCAGGGTCGGAACTGGCGCAGACAGAGGCAGGGGTGGTGGGGAGGCTGCCAGGAGGAGGGAGAATGTTCAGCCGATGGGAGAGGGCGGGGCGGGCAGGGGCTCGAGCCCGGCACCGGCCTCTGTGCGCACGCCCAGCACACACTGCTGGGGACACGCCAGCCTCGAGGCCCGGCGAGGCACTGCAGTGCTTCAACACCAGCTTCAACACTGGCCCTGCCGCCCCGGCTGGCGTGGCTCAGTGGATTGAGTGCCTGCCCGCGAACCCAAGGGTTGTCGGTTCAATCCCCAGGCAGGGCACATGCCTGGGTTGTGGACCAGGTCCCTGGTTGGCGTGTGCAGGAGGCACCTGCACATCGATGTCGCCCTCCTTTTCTCCTGCTCTTCCCCTTGCTCTAAAAATAAGTAAATAAAGCAAGCCCTGCTGAAGTCTAACCAGCCAATCAGCGTGGCCCCCCAAAACCAGGGCAGCCACTCAGGAGTCGGCCCACAGCCCTGGGCTGCAGGCTCCTGTGCCTCTGCCTTCCCAGTGCTGGGTTTGAGGGAAAGCTGAAGATGTCAGTTAAAACCCCCGCCCCTCCCCCAGCCCAGGCCAGCAGCCAGCAACTCCGCCGACTCAGAAGGGCTCTGGCCCTGGTGTCTGACAGCTGGTGGGCCCGGCCCCACTGCCCTGCGTCCCCCCTGCCAGCCCTGGCCTCTCCAGGAGGCAGGAGGCACTTGGCGCTCATGTGGGCCTCACTCGTGTCCTGAGCCCGGCATGTGCCTGCAGCGTTCAGGGGGCGTCTCAGCCAGTGAGGGCTTAAGCACGGCCTGTGGGCAGCCCTTGGGCGCAGGGCAGGGGCAGGCCGGGCCCTGTGCCCACGGCAGGGCTCTCCAGCCTGCTGCCCGCACTGGGTGGTCCTCAGTGTGGGCGCAGACACCCAGCAGATCTGACCTCTGGTTTGGGTGTAGGGGTTCAGCAGCAGGGAGGGGCCCTGGCTGCCAGAGCCACCCTGAGACTCCGACGGAGCACAGGAACGTGGTTGGGCCCTCGGCCCCTTTTCTGGGGAGCTGGACAATGTTCTGAAAGCTCATCTGTACCCGGTACCAAGGGGAATGGGGAGAGCAGGCACCAAGAGGCCCCGACCTCCACCAGGGGCCACCCGGTGCAGGGGAGCATGAGGTGTGCGGGGACAGGGATTTGCCATTTGGGAAGAAGGTCCCTGACTGCCTTCCTTCCCCTCACAGAAACGGAGGCCGGGCAGCCGTGTGGTCAGGACAGACGTGTGGCCTTAATGACTGTCAGAGCCACGGCTGCGTGTTTCTGTTCTGGTTCCAAGGCCTGGGGTCTCAGCGTGGGGGTGGGGGTGAGGCCTGCCGCTCCCCACGGGTGTGGGCTGCTCTGCCGGGGCCTCCTGTGAGCGCAGCCTGCCCACCGCCCCCACCCACGACTGTGCCTCATGTACACAGAGGGACGTACCACCGGCCAGCCCTAGCTTTCCCAGATTGTGGGGATGTTGGTGCCGTGGTCTCCCGGAGACAGCACTCAACGGTGACGAGGCCCGAGGCGCCCTTCCCGCCCGAGGCGCTGCAGCAGCAGCAGCAGCAGCAGCAGCAGCAACCAGTCAGGCCGCGTCGACTGAACGGGCAGAGGCCGGCCAGGAGCACGGAGTGAGGAAAGTGCCCCCCGAATGTTGCCCCGCGGAGAGCCGCTGCCTGCGGGCAGCCCCGGAGGGCAAGGGCTTTGGGGGGTGAGGGGCTCCAGTGAGGCTGCCCGTACTCTCTCGAGCCCAAGGCCGCCCTGGGCTGAGCAGGGCGTTCCTGGAGGTGGAGGGAGGGGCGTGGACAGGCCTGGGCCCTGCAGGGTGGTGAGAAGCAGGAGGAGGTGGGGGCGCGCAGGAGCTCCAAGACAGGGTGAGCCGCTCGTCCCTGTGGCCTCTGTGGAGTGTGGGGTGCGGGGGCACACGTGAGCTGGGAGGGGTTTTAAAGCTCCTGCAGCGCTGCAGGGCCGGTCAGGGCCCCTCGACGCCGGTGTCGACGCTGGTGCTGAGGTGACACTGGCTCTGGGGAAGGCATCGGCTCAGTGCTGTCTCGGGGCACTTTCCCACCCTCCCCAGGGCGGAGGGGTCGCTCTGTCTGCAGGGCTGGAAGGGCCCCACGAGAGACCCTCAGAGGTGTGTTTGCTGGAGACCGGCCCTGAGACTGAGCGTGCCCGAGACTGAGTGGGCCATCTGCTTACGCTCGGGGCTGAGCCCACCCGCCCAGACGGACAAGAGGGTGTCTTACGTTGTTCTCCAGGCCCTCGATGACCTCGATGCCGTTGTGGCTGAGGTACAGTTCCCGCAAGTTCACCAGGCTCTGCAGGCCCTCGATCTTGGTCAGCCGGTTGCTCTGGGAGGGAGAGCCGACGGCTGTCAGATCGGGTGGGGGCTCGGGGGAGACAGCTGCTGGGAAAGGGCTCTCTCACTGGCGTTCCACGCGAAAGGGGCCGGGACGAGGCGTCCACAGAGAGAAGAAGGCCAGTGCTCCCAGCCTGCCCTCCTGGGCTACAGCTCACGCACCAGGGGCCGAGGGTTTTATGCAGAAGAACTTGGGGGTGTTGGATGCACTTGGGGAGGGTCGCCCTGTTTACTTAGTAATTCAAGTATCAGAATCGCCCGAACACTTTACAACAGATGCTCGTTTCTTTCAGGACACGTGTGACTTGAAGTGAAGGGACAATACCACCTCCCGCCTCCAGGGTCTGGTTCTACGCCCTGGCTTCCAACAGGAGAGGCCGCGTGGGCCTAGCGACATCCCGGTGCTGCCAGACCCCCAATGGCAGGGTCGCGCTCCTCAGGACGGCGATGTAGGAGGAGCCACGGACGCATCAGGAGCGTGCGGAACGAACTAACCCACCCTTCTAGGGGCGCGGCTTTGCCTCCACTCCAGCTGGGTCTCTTATCAGAAGGCTGGAAGGTCGGTCTGACGCAGGCATGGGCGGGGCCGTGCGTACAGGTGAAAGCTACTGCTCTGACTGCCTGGGATGGGAGTCGGGCTGGCCCTGCACCCAGTGGGAGAGAGCAGTGTGGCTGAGAAGCAAGCCCTGCTGCAGGGGAACAGGGCGGGGGGCGCACGAAGCCAGGCCGTACCTGCACACTGAGGACCCTCAGGTTGGAGAGTGCGTCCAGGTTCTGAAGTTTAGTGATCTTGTTTTTCCCCAGAAACAAGCTCTCCAAACTGGTTAAGGTGTCGATGTTTTCAATGGCCTGTGGAAAAGACAGAGCATCAGATGGCATGGCGTGGCCACCCAGCTCACGCAGGGGAGGGGACAGCGCGCTCTGGGCTTGGCCTTGGGCGTCAGGCAAGTCGCTGCTGCCCTCTGGAAACTGCCCAGGGACATCTTACTAGAAGGCACAGAACAAAAACAACTGAGCACGGGTGCAGGCTCTGGGTCTGGGGCTCACTGCCGACCTCCGGGCTCTAGGGACAGGTGGGATACCCACAGACCAGGGCTGTCAAGTCCTCCTGCTCCTGAGTCAGCGTCATCCTGTCAGTCTCTGTGGGGTGTGTCACAGTGCACTCCCAACAGCCTCCTCTCCCCAGAAGAGTCGCCCGCGCAGGGCCCCGCACCCTCCTTCCTTGTGCCCCCGGTCCGGTCCCGCGCCCTGCTGTGAGTGGGCACAGCAGGCAGCTTAACGGACGTGCATCAGCTGGGTCTCTTTCCTGCCTCTGTACCCGCTGCTGTCTCAGAACGAGTTAACCATGAACTTGTCGGCAGACGAGACACAGCCCGAACAGGCACGTGCTGTGTGGCAGGTGCACACCGTGCGGCCCGCCCACCAGCCCAGCACGACCGGGCGGGGCTGGGGTGTCCAGCAGGATGGGTACTCAAGGGGGTGCCCGCAGTAACCTGTGTGAGCCGTGCTTCTCCCGGACACATGCCACAGAGAAGCTTGATAAAGTACCGACACCTGGCTGCTCTCCCGCTTTCAGTGTGCGGCTTTGCTGCCTGTGGCCACGCCACCACTAATGGTGCCAGCAGAGGCCCTGGCCAGAACCACCTCTGTGGTCTGTGTCCTGCCCAGTTCTCAGGGGCCAAGCTGGACTGACCGCCGTCCACTGCAAACTCCCAAAGCCACATCGAGGCCAGTCAAGGGGGACTATGGTCTCTGGCTGGCAGGTGGCCTCATCTCTGCCCTGCAGAGCCCCTTCCTCTGTGCCGGCCGCCCCTGCCCCGGCCGATGCCTGTCTTTCCGGGGCCGCTCCCAGAGCCCCTCCCCGCACTCCTCCCAGGGGCTGGGAGTCAGCTGGGCAAGGACCCTGTTTCCCGACAGGCGCTTGTCTCCGCCGCGCCACGCTCTCAGGGGATGGCCCTCAGCCTCCCTGCCTAGGACACGCTCACGTCAGGCAGGCTTGCCAGAAACACAGCCGTCAGTGCACCATAGAGCAGCACTGGGTTTGGGGCCGAGTAGCTCACCTCAGAGCGGGCGTCACCGAAAGAGTCTGCTGAGAGCTCAGCTCGGGCCTGGGGTGGGGCCGGCGGGGCCTGCTCCATGGGGGCCTGCGCTCTTGTTGACCCTGACCCTGGTTAGTATGTTTTCTTAAAAAGTAACTTCCCTGTTCCTGGGAAAAAATAAAAACCCACCCCCATGCCGTACGGAACACGCACACCCTGCGCCCGGGCCGAGCCCACACCTACCCGGATGCGGTTGGACCCCAGCTCCAGCATCTGCAGCTGATGTAAGCTGCTCAGGTTCTCAATTTTACTGATTTTGTTGTTGACCAAGAAGAGTTTTTTCAGTTCCGTCAGCTTGTCAACCCCTTCAATGTTTCTCAGGAGATTAAAAGAAACATCTAGAATCCTGGAACAAGCAAAGCATGTATTCTTTAATGAGCACAGGATGCACAGAACTCTGCAGGGCCCCGCCTGGTTCCCAGGACCACCCTGAGGGCAGGGACCGGCCCGTGGCCCGGCCACGGCCAACCCGAAAGTCGGCACTGGGTAGGCTGCTGCCAACTCCCGAGACAGGTGCGGGCAGGACCCGGGGGCAGAGGTGGCTTCTCCAGGGCTGTGCCAGCGCACAGGTTGGTTCTGGGGGCCTGGACAGGTCCTCGGCCGTCCCTGGGTCTCAGGACTCACTCCAGCTCCGTCAGCGTGTCCAGGTTCTCGATCTTCCTGATCTGGTTGTCGTAGAGGTCCAGCTCTCGCAGACTCTGCAGCTCTTCCAGGTTCTCGATGCACTTGATTAGGTTTTGACGGAGACAGAGCGTCTGGGGGCGGGAAAAGGACACTTGACATGCGCAACGAGGGGGGTGACTATGGGAAGAGCCAGCCGTGTTCCGGGGTGCGGGAAAGTCTTAGGGGGGAGGATGTGGTTTTCACTGTGAGGTTTTCCAGAAAGGGGCTGATGTGGGACGAGGGCAGACACCCTCAGGGAGGCTGCAGGCAGGCCCGCACAGAGCACTGGGGAGGGAGGCCGCCGTCAGTCTGGGCCCTGCACTGTGTCCTGGCAGAGTGAGGCCTCGGGCTGAGTTCTGCACAACAAGCAGAACTGGGGCGAGGCTGGGGCTGCCCGGGTGGGTGTGTGCGTAGCTGCTGGCCTTGCACTGAGGCTCCGCGAGCAGTAGGCGTCTGAGCCGCTGCCCGCACTGCTCTGCAAACCTGCCACGTTCACGCCACAGCCACTCGACAGTGGCCACTGATGGAGGCCAGCACCTCCTGCGGGGCTGGGACGGACTCAGACCAGAGTTTCCGTCGTGCATGTCGTCTGCGTGTACAGCTGGCAGGGGCGGGGGCGGTTCTGCGCTGTCAGTCACCTTGTGGGCAGGGACAGACCGCCTCTCACCTTCACCTTCTTCAGAACCTCGAAGCCTTCAATTTTCCCGATGCGGTAGTGATTCAGGTCGACGTCCTGAAACAGAGGCAAGTCGGGCTTAGCTGCGGGATGTGCCTGGGGCCCTGCTTCCTGAAACAGGAGCTACAGGGGAGGCTGGGGGTGGAGGTGAGGGGGTGGGAGAACTAGCAGCACACAGGAGCCTGCAGAGACAGGTGACAGCGACGTGAGGTGGCCTCCGAGATGCTTGTGGGTTTGGCTGTGACTCACTGTCATTCTATGTAGAACCAACCCTCCAAACGAGTGGCAGGCGGCCCTTCCTCTCATCGCCAGTTTCCCCGGGCACAGAAACGCCACGAGGAGATGCACCGACCACGGCCCTGTCGGTGGCCCCCCTGGGGATTGTGCAGTGGGTGCTCTGCCCTGCCCGGCGGTCACCGCAAGCCCTGTGTTGTGACTGCCTTTCGAATGGGGACATGGGGGCCCCACATTTACAACGTGATCATTGGACCTGTGTAGTTTATGAGTCAAAGGCATTTCATTTGCCACAACCGTTAAACAGATAGGGGGTTTTGATCACTGTTACTAAAAACAGTGAGAACCCAAGGAATCTGACCCGACAGAGGGAAGTTTAGACGACCTCTTCTCAGGGGTCGCCGACTAATCGGCACCTTCACAGAAGACACCCTATGGTCAGCGTGGTCCGTCACCACGCCCCCTGAGGCTGGGCAGAGCAGGTGGCATTACCTCAGCATCTTTGTCCAGTTGGATGGTTTCCATGTCCACAGGCAGCTCTTGTCCTGGAAAAGTGAGAGAGGAACAAAGAGCCCTTTCCAAGCCCCCTTGTGCGGGGCAGCAGTCCGGCCTGAGGGCAGCGAGCTGGCATGCGGGCTGCCTGGCTCGGAGTGTGGGGCCCACCAACGGGCAGCGCCTAGAGGGTCTGGGGGTTAGGCGGCACCCCACGCAAACGGGTGTCCTTCCTGGCATTCTGAGTTCCCTGCATTCAGCTACCAGCAAAGGTCTCCAAACTTCCATCTGCACTGCTGGGCGTCCCGAGGAAGGACCTGATGGTAAAAAGAAGTGGGGAGGCCGCCGGCCAACCACTCTGGTGACTCCCAGGGCTGCGTAATCAGCAGCAGCCTGCACCCCCAGTTTGCAGCAATAAATCAGGCCTCTTGACTATGGACCATGGTGGGCAAATCAGACATTCGAGGATGCGTCTTTTACTGCTTTGGAAAGAGACCCTACAAACAACTATCTCTGCAAAGAGCAGCACAATATGAAGCGCAGCTTGGCAGGCAGGCGCGGCCCTGCTGAATAATTCAGCTGCACTTCTTGCCTGGGAGGCTGGCAGTGGGGGAGGGGGCTGATTCGGGCAGAGCACCTCAGACTCCTGGGGCGCCGCAGGCTGAGAAGGCTGCAGGAGCCACTCCCACTGCGCAGCCCACAGCCTCGAGTAGGCAGCCCCTCCCTTCATCCCATCTGAGGCTCCTGAAGCATTTATGTTTAAGAGGGTTAAACTCTTAAAGGAAGCAATAGTAATTCCTTGATGTCACCAACTGTCTTAAGATTTCTCCTCCCTCTGAGTGAATTCTGCTTGACTTAGGGTCCAAAGGTCATATAGTGGGGCTGCATGGTTCCAGGAATTTTTGGTGGAAGAAGCTGGGCTGCCTGTCCCTGGTGCTTCTCTGGGTTGGAGCGCAGCTCTGCCGTTGGCGCCACATCCTGTAAGTGGTTGTTGCCATCTTGCCTGGCTCCCACCACCGCCTCCTCCCTACAGTGAGACTGCATTTGCCTCTGCAGTGCAGTGGGGTAGCAGCCTGCATGCCGGTCAGCCTGGCCCCTGGACTGGAGGCCTCAGAGGGGCGCCCCTGATGTAGGCCCTGCTGAATCAGGACCAGCCGGCCCTGCTGTAGCTGAATCCGCTTCCTAGTCTTTTCATCGCACCTTTTCCATAACAATCAACAGCTGCTAGATTTTAAAAAATGGCATTCACGGTTTATCCATAACTTTACGGGATATCACCAACCTCAGAATTAGATAAAAGCAGCCGAGCAAAACCAAGAGGCATACCCAAGTTACCTGCCCCTCCTCCAACAGCCCAAGCCCAGGACCTGGGAAGCTGCAGTAACACAGGCTGTGGCGAAGGCCGGACACCCTGGCCACTCGGTGTCCAACCAAGACACGTAGTGAGTGACAGGGGCACCGCAGACCATCGTGCTGCACCAAGAGGCGGAAACTGGGGCTGTCCCAGGCTCCTCATGACCTGTGGTCACAGGGCTCGGAGGGGTTCTGTCTGTAACCTGTCCAGCACAGGACAGGCCCAGAAGGTCCACTTAACCTCTGAAACAGAGTTACTAGCCTAGGACATCTTTCTGAATGAATTATGCAGTGATCACATTTTTTGATATCTTAGGAAAAATAAATAAAAGGGAACAACTGATATGTTTGAATGACTTTATTGGAACTTAAGACTTAAATACAGACAGGTGTGAGCCCTGGTTTCTCTAAGGCCTTAAGTATTCCCAGAGAACTTCGACTTAGCGAGTATCCTGGAGGGAAGGGTGCTGGTTCAGACAACGGGGTTGCGGCACAGCCATCCCCCATTGGAGCTGCGCGCCCTTGGGTGAGTCGGAGCGAGCCTGTGCCCACAGCCAGGGGAGGAAGCCCAGGACAGGGCTCTGCCCACTCTCCAGCGCCACACCAGCAGCAGGGACTCCTGCACGGGGACAGGCGGCACTCTCACCTGCTCCGTGTCCTGAGCCGACGTCAGGCAGCACCGAGAGCCCCACCCACACCCCTGCAGGAGCACGGCTCTGCAGTTCCGGAAGGTGACTGATGCTTCTGTGGTACTCTCCTTTGCCTTAAAGTTAGGTTGCCATAGTTACCAGCCACCTTCATTGGAACAGAGAGCAAAGTGCTGTTTCATAAATTTGTTGGTTTTGGCCCTGGCTGGTGTAGCTCCGTGGATTGAGCACTGGCCTGCGAACCAAAGGGTCATCAGTTTGATTCCCAGTCAGGGCACATGCCTGGGTTGCAGACCTGATCCCCAGTAGGGGGTGCGTGAGAGGCAACCACACATTGATGTTTCTCTCCTCTTTCTCCCTCCCTTCCCTTCTGTCTAAAAATGAATAAATAAAATCTTAAAAAATAAATTCATTGTTTTTATTATTAGAAGGGTAACGTATGATTACTGCCTTAAACATCCATGTGTTATATATAAATCTGGAAATGCAGAAGGCACCAGACCCTCTCCAACTTGTTCAGATACACCTTCAACAGCAGTTTGATGCGTTTTCCCTCTTAAGCAGGTAAATCTAAATATTATTCTCTAAATAAAAACAGGACCTTAACATGCATACTGTTTAGAAATTTGCTCTTTCACTTAGTAATATATCTTGGACATCTTTCTGTTTGTAGACAGGCTTCTACTCTCGCTCTTTTCAAAGTAAATCAACTTTCTGAGCAACAAATGGGCTGAGATCACGGACAAACGCCACCACCACGAGCTGGGGCTTATTTCTCTTAACTCCAATTCGTTTTGCTGTCCTTGTCATCCACTGAAATAACAGGAGGCCATGGGGACACCTTCCACATGAAATGATTTTCCTGACACCTAGGCAATTAAGAGGTCCACCCCAGGCCGATGACAACAGCAAGAACTCGGAAGTGACTTCTCTAGGGTGTGACGTGTGCTGCTGGGAAAGCAGCTCGCGTCACGACAGTGGGACAGCAGAGCGCAGCAGTCTGCCGTGGCGCTCGCTGCAGAGCTCGCTCCCTGAACACACGGTTAGTGAGTGAGCACTGGTCTGGTTCTGTCCGAGATGACACATTAGCCCCAATGCCATTATCTGCATTTGCCTCCGGTGCAGTTACAAACACTGCCTGCAGGCGCCCTCAGTGAGTCAGCTGGGGAGGGCGTGCAGCAGACTGGACCCTGCTCCCAGCCCACGGAGGGCCTCTGTGCCTGTGCCCAGCACCGCGGTCCCCCCAGGACGACACACCCTACCACCTCGGGAAGGGGGCACAGATCACTGGCAACGCTGACCGCTCCCACCCCTTTAGTGACCACGGCTGTTATCAGGGCCTGGTACCTTCCGGGTCCTCTTCCCCCCGCTCCTGTCCATCCTTCAGGCTGTGCTCGCTGAGGTCTGCCACTATGCCGCTGCTCTGCTTCTTCCCTTCTTCGTCGCCCGATTCTTCAGACTCGACCCGCCTGTCAACTGAACCACACAGACCAGTGAGCATTCCACTTAGGACACACAGCAGACTGCACCTGGCCGTAAGTCAGCAAGACTTCATGTAACACATGAGCTGAATTCGGTTCAACGACCATCTGAGTGTCTTGCATGTCCCAGGTGCCATCTGTCCAGTGGCAGGAGCACTGGGCGAGGTGAGGGGCGGGGCAAGGAGGCCACACAGGTGTGAATGTGAGTGTCACACGACTCCTGCCCTCAAGGAGCTCACGAAGAGTTACCAGGTGTTCCCCAAGCCCGGGATGTGGTGACTGTGTGTACTGAGGCTAACACGTAGTGGAGCCTGGTTCCCGCGTCGAGGGAACCGCTGTGGCCCTCCCACCACGTACCTTCATCCATGCTCCACTATCCACTTGGCCCAGAAAACCAGCCCAGTTCACAGGCCCACATTCTGAAAGGAATCAAGACTAACTCAAATCAGACTGTGGGTGGGAGCTCCAGTGAAAAAGGAGAAGACAGCCCACAGTGCTCATAGCCCCACGTGAAGGTCATGGACACTAACCCTCAGGACACAGTGATGCCAGCCAGCGCAGAGCTTTGAGGGGCTGGTAAATAGATAGTTTTTGAATTAATAAATAAGGCAGTGGTTGAATGTGGCAGACTGGTAAAAGTTCATTGGTGAAACTGTCAAATAATGTTCCCTTCCCCTAATTCTTTCCTTGACCCCTTTTGGGGAGTCTGTCTGAAAGCCCTGAGGCCCCAACAACTGACTAGCAAGAGCAGCCACCAACCCACTGAAAGGCACCTTGCTCTTGGTTCCAGCTTATCCACAGAGGTGGGGAAGGGCAGTCACCTCTTTGGGTCTCCCGCTGGGCCGAGGAGGGAGGTGTCCAGGAAAGGACTGCTGGATGAAATACGTTCCTGTGGAACCCACCTCCCACTCTGCAGCGGGGCTCCTCCTCCCTGCCCCAGCAACCACCCAGGACTCCCACTGGGCCTCCTGACCGGCCTCTCTGTGGCATGTGCTGACCTGTCTATTCTCTATTGCCAGAGAATCCGATCTGATTTTAAAATCTAAATCTCATCTTTGATTCCAAAACCTTCTGGAATGCCAACGACCCCTCCTGAGTCTGCATCTCACTCCCAGAGGCCCAGCTTGGTAAGCAACTTCCTCTTCCAAGCCTCAGCCTCCAAATCTGCAGAAGGGACCTGACACAGTCACTGTATCTTAAGAGTTGCTCAGAATTAAACTAGAAAAGGCATCAAAGCTGTTAGCTTTTAGTAAACAAAAGCAGCAAACACCTAATAAATTAATTACAAGTATCCTCTGCTTCCTGAAAGTTCATCTTATGCTACATTATTTTTAAGAAGGAACTACATTAGTACAGTTTACACTAATGAAAAAACTCCAAGAAGGATTTTGTTTCATGAGAAAAATGCGAAAAGCAAAACCAGCGTCACTGATTTGCAGTGAGGCCCAACAGAGGCAGCGTGAACCCTGGTCAGCGTGGCTGCACCGGGCACCTTCTGCAGGGACCTCACCCAGCATCTCGGCGTCAAGCCGCCAGAGCTCTGAACTGTGTCTGTGAGCGTCTACGCTTCATCCTGATTTTGTTCATCCATTAGCGAGATGTGCCCTAAGATGACTGCTTCTTCACTTTATGCTAATTTGGCTTTGAAAGGTTTCTTAGGCTTGTTCCATTTCCCGAGAGGGAGGCAAACCTGCACTGTGAGGTGAAGGCTAAGGAAGAGTGAGTTGGCTGGGCCCCAAGTTCATGGTCTAGTTCAGCTCAGACCCCAGCAGGAGGGTCTTAGTTAAGGAAGGGCAGCCCAGGTGACACCTGGGACTCCGTCCTGAGGACTGTAGAGGGTCTGCAACATGGGATAGAGGATCAGCACATAAGGTGACTTTGGGGCACCGGGGACAATGGACTGGCTCAAGGTATTGGCAGCGGGAATGAAGAGATTTGAAAATTTGGACACTTTAAGGTGGTAGAAAGGTCAGAGCTTGTTGATGAATTGGAGAAGTAAAATCAGGAGAGAAAAATGCCTGGGTCTTGTACTCATCCTTTGCCCAGACATGGACACGGCTGGGTGAGGGGTAGAGGAGGGAAAGAGGGATAAGAAGAGGCACTTCCTTTCTTTAGAAGATCCAAGGGTTCCCAAATCCAAGAGGTTCACGAACGTCTCCTCCACAACCTTCTCTTGCCAGCTTCCCTGGTACTGGCCACTCTCAACCAAAATGACTGTCACAAAACCACATTCACACCCTTTGCCTTTCATTAGGTGGTTTCCTTTGCCAGAAATGACCTTTGATCTTTCCCCGACTCTATCTCCAACGTAGCTGAACCTTTAAGGGTCAGCCTGGAGCTGGCTCTGGTCAGGGAGCCATCACTCCCCGACTTGAGGGTTCTTCCTTCCCGCCCCCACCCTCGCTCCCTTCTTCTCCAGTACGGATGCGCGAGCACCCTCTTCTCTAGGAAACCAGCTCAGGCGCCCTCGGGAAGAGCTGGCTCTCCAACTGGGGGCGAGCGTGTGTGCACGTGTGCACACAGCTACACGCACAGATAACTCACCATCTTTCTCAACAAAGTGGAAAAGCTGAATCTAGTCTTTGCATAACTGTGATAACTTTACAAACTGACCCCGGTGGTCTCTACCAAGCCCTCGACCGCTTGTCACCCTTCCCCACAGTCCGTTAGCTTTCGCGAGGATCCTTCTCCGAGGCGGCCACGCTCCCCTACGAGCCCCCGACTAGCCGAGTGCACGAGGAACGACGCGTGGGTCAGATCGGAAGGTCCGGGCGAGGCTCGAAGCAGCAGACGGACGCCGAGGATGCGCTACCACCTCGCCTTCATACCCCACCCTCGGGCGCCGCTCTCCACGCCGCCCGCGCCCCCCAGGCTACCGCGCCCTCCCGAGAGCCCCCGCCCCTCTGAACCGGCCGGCAGCTGTCAGGGGCCGCGCGCCGGGCCTGGACCACGACCAGAGGCGGAAGCCCTCGTTTCTCTCGAGCAAGGTGGCGGCGGCGGCAGGCCGCCGCCCGCCGGGCCCTTTGACCGCCGTCCCACGGGGCTGCTCACCCTCCATCATCTCCTGCGACAGTTGCTGACCCGCGCCGCGCTCCGCCGCCATGTCCGCTGCTTTTTCCCCCTTTCCGGAATCTGTCGCCTCAGGTCCCTCAGCCAATCAGAACCCCCAATCTAGAGCCAGCCCAGCCAATGGAATCCCAGCTCAGGGGAGGCTGAACCTGGAAGCGCTGGCACGGCCCCAGAGCCTCATGGGAGTTGTAGTTTATCCCCTAGGCCGTTCGCCTCACCTCCCCCGAGCAGGTAATTTAAGAACGCCTGGAGGCGTCAGGAGGCGAGGAGCGGAGAAGGCAGGGAGTGGCAGGGTGTAAACACGCAGCCAAGGAGAGAAAAAGCTGGGAGATTCGCTGGCTTGTAGCGGGTCTCTGCGTAGGGCTGCAATATGTGGGACTCCGGGCCTCACCGGCCGCTTCTGCAAAATGGGTCGACTTAGTCCCGCGTCGCCGTGCGGATTTAATCCGTGTGAAGGGGCCGTCTCCAGTTAACGCTCAGCTCAGAGCGGGCTCAGTACGGCGCTTTTGCTCGTGCCGGGCCCGGGGGCCGGCTTCGCCGCAAGTCCCAGGAGAGCCGCTCGGGACCCTGGACGCCGATCAAGTCCACGGCGGGCTCAGTGACCTTCGTGGGTCCTCGGCCCCACGGGCGCTCTCGGCCCGTGAGGGAGCCGACGCCGTAGTCCCCATCTCCAGGCCGAGGCCGCTGAAGGAGACTCCGCAGCGCTCACCCTTCTCGATTCCGAGACCGGAGGAACTGGAGTCAGCTGGACCGGGCTGTTGGAGGTGCTATTTCTTTTGGCTCCTTGGAGGCGCCGTAGGAGTCCCGTGCGTCCTTAGCAACCGTCAGCGCGGGTTTCACCACTCAAACTGACTGAATCCCGCCCCCAGGCGCCAGTGGTTGGCCCAGGAGGGCTGTCAATCACCGTGAACTGCTCTCTGATCCGCCGGCTGAGTGGAGGCGAAGGTCTGTTTCTGCGCGGCTAGGTGAATCCAGCTTCGCCTGGAATCAGTCGTCAGCCCCAGGTGAGATGCCTACTCTCGGGAAGGCGGCCGGGGCTCCGCGGTGTCCGGTCTCCCAGCCCAGCGCGGCCCTTGGACGAGCCAGCCGGAACGCTATGTCCTCGCCGCTGCCGTTCCCTTTTGTGAGTCTCTGGCCCGGTGGTGGCCCGCCGCCCTGCAGCCGTTTTCCCCGCGCCGCGCCCCGGGGCCCAGCCGAGCCTGCCCGGTCCTCTTGTTTCCTTGGCCCGGCCCGGCCTGCCCGGCGCCCGTGCTCCCCTGGAGCTAACTGTGTGCTCTTTATCCATTGTTATCGCCTCTCCTTCGAGGAGCCGAGCTCCGGAACGGAGACCGAGTCTTGATCAGCTGCGGACGGTGCCCGGCAGTAGGAGCTTTCGGTAAATCTTTGCGGATGAATGCGTGAGCTGTGGGCACAGCTCACAGCTTCCCGGCATCTTCACTTGGATGGCCCACGCACACCCTGCTTTCTCCTGCCTTTTGTCTTCACCCGTTTTTATTTCCCAGAGAATGGCAGTGGCCTGAGCTGAAACCGCGGATGCGGTCCTGATGCCGTCCATTCATTCTCTCACCTCATGGCCTTGTGAACTGATGGCAGTTCTGGGTCGCATTTTCTCTACGGGTTCCCCGGTACCTTTCTGCCATCGCTTTAATTTAGGACCTGATAATTTCTTGCCTGGATTACTGTAACCTTCCTGTCCGCATCTCCCTCCACCTTTGCTTGCCCCTGGAGTGATCTTCATAAAAGGTGCCTCTGGTCTCGCAGCTCCCAAGCGGGGAGCTCATTCTAGTCAGTCTTAGGGGTAAAATCCAGACCGCTCTGGCAGGCGGAGGATGCCCTGGGAGTTGGTGGGGCTGCTCCTCCCTAAGGGCAGTGGGTGTCTCTGCCTTGGGGTGGGGCTGCCTGGAGGGCGTCTTCCTCCTGCCTGTGCAGCCCTGGGTGGTGGTGGAGGTGCTTGAGGAAGCCTTTGCCTTCACTCTGTGACCACAGCCATTATCCTGGGGTTGTTCAGGGTGCCTTGACGCAGTTCAGGGTGCCTTGACGCAAGGCACAGAGACACAGGCTCAGTAGGGCTCTGATGGCCATAAAGTCTGTGGCTCCAAACCTGAGGTCCAGAGGAAGGCAGGTTTTAGGCTCACTGGTGGCTCCAAGTGACATTCGTGCCACTTTGTCCTGTGCTGTTCATCCAGAGGCTGGCTGTGCTCTTGGCTGCACGGCAGTGGTGGAGCAGTGGAGCTATTTGCTTTCCCGCTTGTGTTCTGGTGGCTGGAAGACGGTGCCTTCTGGAAGGTCACCATCAGAGGAAGGAGTACTGTTCCAGAAACTCCCTGTAAACCTCTTCTGGCTTCTCTTTGGTCTGACTGAGCTGGGTCCCTCCTGCCTTGTGGAATCAAAATTGGCAACAGGTGCAGGGTTAGTCCAAGGCAACATGAGGTCCTCTCTGGGTTCAGGGCCCCATGATAATCCCCCTTCACTCAGCCCCCGCATAGCGCTCCCCACAACGGCATTGCTTTAAAACAGCAACAACAACAAAAAACAGCAACAACAACAACCAAAATGCACACATTTCTGGTGGCTGTTTGACTCAGAATTAAACCTGAGGAAAGGAAGTGTTCGCAGGTGGTGGGGGTCAGACTCTGTGCTCAGAGACCAGAGGCCCTGGGAGGCTCTGGCTGGTTCCTGGGGTTCCCAGGGATGGACGTGCAGTGCCGAGCTGGCCCCCCAGGTAACACAGGCAGCACAGAGGGAAAAGGATGTGTCTTTCTTGCACCTCACATTTTGGTTTATCAACTTAGGACTATTTACCTCTTTGGGGGCACGACGAAATTTCTTGCCCTTCCCTTCCCTTCATGTTTCCCTCCCCATCTCCTGGTTCTTATTACTTTTACAAAGTAAAGTTTCATAACAATTACAATGTATCCTGGAGAGTTTTAGTGCTTTTTTTTTTTTTTTACAAAGTAAGTTTTTGTAAGATTTACAGTGTACTCAACTTGTAATCAAGTCTTCTGTGCTTTTGTCTGTGGGCTGGTCGTGGGAGTAGGAAAGTTTGACACCCAGAGAAAGAAATATAAACCTGTGACAGGAAATGTTGCCACTTGAAGAAAAGCAACATATTCTGATGGTTTTATTATGATTTTTCTTTGTAGCTTCCTGATCATTCAGCTGTTGCTGTTCAGGATCCCATGCTGGATATTTCATGTGTATGAAACATCTGTGCCTTTTCCGTATAGCCCAGTTGACCTGTATAGAAGGATACATGCAGTGTTACTTGTGGGTTGTAACAGTGACATGAGCCGTTTAAACCCACCGCTCCCATTTGGAGCCGAGGGGCCCTGAGCCACCGTGTCCTCACCGGGCCAGCTTGCTGCTGGGCCCGCAGAGGAAGCCTTTGCCCGAGGTTTGGGTTTGTCACATACGTGCGTGTCCCTAAATGACATATTTAGATTGGGGGATTCCTTTTGTAACTTCATCCCTCCCCACTTATTATATGGCTAAGATTTACCCTTATTGTACATGTAACATTTGTCTTCACTCTGTGATTCATGACATGGATATACCAGAATTTTCCATCTGTTTTCTTGCTGGCAAATGTTTGGGGTGTGTGGTTGTTTGTCTGTTTTTCAGGGTGACCGCACTGTCCCGGACGTTCTGGCGGGACTTGCTGACCACTGTGAGAGTCTCTACAGGGTGTGAGTCACCAGGGCCTGTGCTGTCAGAGCAGGCGGATGTGGGACTCAGGTCGTTCCCACGGAGCTGCATCTTTGTCGGCATTTGGTGTTGTCATGATTTGTGATTTTTGCCGACTTAGGAGGTGTGAGGTCATCATGGTTTTGCTCACATAGTTAAGCCTCTTGTTGTAGGGTCACTGGCCACCAGGGCTCCCTCTTCTGTGAGATTCTCGTTTTTATCTCTTTTTAAAAATATATATATTTTATTTATTTATTTTTAGACAGGGGAAGGGAAGGAGAAAGAACGGGAGAGAAACATCAGTGTGTGGTTGCCTCTCATGTGTCCCGTACAGGGGACCTGGCCTGCAACCCAGGCATGTGCCCTGACTGGGAATTGAACCAGCGACCCTTTGCTTCACAGGCCCGTGCTCAATCCACTGAGCCACACCAGCCACGGCGCATTTCTATCTCTTGTTCATTCTTCTGTCAGCTCTTTGTCTTTTAAATTTTTAATTATGGACCTTTTAAAGTATCCTGGATATCAATTTTCTGTTGGTAATTTATGTCACAAATATCTTCTCCCAAGTTGTGGCTTAGTTCATTTTCTTTATGGTATTTTTTTGTGAATAGATATTTTCAACTTTAATGTTAAATTTATCAACCTTATTTTATAGCTAGAACTTCTCGTGTCTTGTCTAAGAAAACTTTTTCAACCCAAAGACTTGTAGGAAGCCTGGTTTTCTTCTAAAATTCAGTGTTTGATTTTCCCAAACTAAGTCTGGCCCCGGGTATTGGTTTTTCACATGATGTGTTGACGGCGGTTTCGTTGCTTCCACCTGGACGCTGAGTTGCCCCAGCACCTGCGCAAGGGGGCAAAAGGTCCGTGCTGCCTCAGCGGAAGCGAACAGCCCTCAGTCATGTGTCCCGTGTTTGTGTGTGCACGTACATGCACTACATGGTCAGGCTCCACACTGTTCCTTTGATCCATGCAGTCAGTCCCACAGTCACGTCACCAAGACGACACCGTGGCAGGATGCCTGGTGGCCCGAGCACCCCACTGGGGGCCCCGGCCTGTGGGTTTATTTCTCTGTGGTTGAGCACGTTCACTTTTACCTCCCCAGGTACTTCTTCCTCTCCATTCCCTCCCCAGCAGGCGTCGGGTGAGCTCAGTCCGTGTCTCTCAGCTCCTCTGTGGTATTTTTGTGCTCTTGTTTCTGAGTTGCATTCCAGGCTCTCTATTCAAATATATCTCCCAATGCACGAGTTTCCTGTTCAACTCTAACTACCCGCCTGGTTTACCCGTCGCTGACATTGAAAATGAACTCTGTTGAGATAAAACTTGCAGACAATGCGATGCCCCCAGCTGGTTCAGTGAGCTTTGAGATGCACTGGGGTCACGTTGGAGGATGTTTCCATGGCCCTAAGAATTTCCTCTGCTCTTTCTCAGCTGCCCCACTGGCCCCCCACCGCTGCCCTGGAGGAGCACTTCTCCTGGAGGAGCGTGGCTTCCTGTCCCTGGGAATGAGGGCCGTCCTTTCTGGTGTGTGGCGTCGGAGGGGCTGGCTGCGCCGTGAGCTCACCGTCCTGCACACGGCTGCAGTGGTTGTCAAGGGCTCACTCGCTGTCACTGCCAGCACGACCCCGCCTGCTAATCTGTCTTTCGACGCCGGCCGATGCGCTGCTCCCCGCTCCGGGCAGTGCACGTTTGTGTGGAGGCCTGTGGACGTGTGCGCGCGTGCGTGCTGTGGGTCCCCGGGTGCCTAGCAGCAGCTGCCCGGCGTGGGTGCCTGTGCGCGTACACCCACCCACTGTCAGCGGGCGTCCAGCTGCTCCACATCCCCGCCAACACTTCCTGTTTTCATTCTTTTCCTTCTCTGTTCTTTTCCGTTTTCGGCACCCCAGTGGCTGTGCGGTGGCAGCTCACGGTGGGTTTAATGGGCGTTTCCCTGATGACTGGGGGGAGGGATGTTCTCTTACGGGCTTCTTGGCGGTTTCGGAGCCTTCTTTGGTGACCCGTCTGTCCACTCCCTTTTCCTCCCACCTCCTTTTAAAAAGATCGATGTGTTAATCCCAGAGTCCTTCGGACTTCCCACGTAGATGACGGTGCCTTCTGTGACCTGAGACAGCTCTAGGCCCTCCTTCTCAGTACGTTCCTTTTATTTCTTTTTCTTGCCTTGTGCATGTCTCGGACCCCCACGAGGGCGTGACTGGAAGAGGCTTGAGCGGCCTCCCCCTCCCTGCCGACCTCGGGTGGAAGGTGCTCTGTCTCTCACAGTCCCGAGCTGCTGGTGCAGACTTTTTTTCCTGGGTCTCTGTTTGTGGGGCGTGTCTTCTGAGGGGGCGGGGTCAGATGCTGGTTCTGCATCAATCGGTGTGATAATGGGAGTTTTCTTCTTTAGCCTCTTTGTGTGGTGGGTGATCTTGAATAGACTTTCAAACATTACACTGGCCCGTCATCCCTGTAGCATGTTCCCCTTTTCACATCGCTCGAAGGGTTCGCCAGTATGTCGTTGAAGCCTTTTAAACCCATGCTCAGGAGAGGTACCGGCCGGCAGTGTTCTTCTCTGGCCGCGCCTTTGTCTGGCTCCAGAGACGGGGCTGGAGCTGCTCCCCCCTCCTCCTCTAGAGAGTCCGTGTGGCGTCGCTGCTGTTTCCTCCTCCTCCAGGTTTCACCAGCGAAGCTTCGGGTCCCTGTTTTCTTTGTGGGAAAGTGTGAATCACAAACACTTATTTCTAATACTGAAACTTAAAATTTCATTTCCAGAAAGCTTATATCTTTCAAAGTCTAGCTAGCCATGTGAGAAACTCTTTCCTGCTTTCCTTTGTGACTTCGTATTTCAGACTCTAAGAGTCTGCAGGTATTTCCACTGCCAAACGTGCTGCGTGTCTAAACGCATGGTCTGCCTTCTGCGTGCGGTCACCGTGGTGGCTGCTTCCTTGCCTGTGCAGTGGGAAGGGCACGCGTCTGGTTGCTCCTAGTCTTCGGAAAACTGCAGGCCCGTGTGTAGGATGTGTTGCTTCGGACAGGGTGGCTTTTGCCAGGGTCCCGGGGTGCTGCTGAATCAGGGCAGTCCTGGCCCTCGTTAAGGGTTGCTGGCCACTTTGGGGGGCCCTGGGGGTGCTCTTCAGGCTCTTTCGGACGACTCACTCTAGCAGGCCTGGTTTCAGCGCTTGTGTGTGGTGTGCACCTCTCGGAAGTTTCTCCTACTGTCAGGTGGTGCGGGATGCCGTGGGGACAGCGCTCTGGATGAGGGCTCGTTCTGAGACAGCACGGCCGCTCATCTGGTCTGCGGAAATGTGTGTCTTCATCTTCCTGAAACCATCTTCTTTTGTTCCTAAGTTCATCTGGAATGAACTTTGTATACGGTGAGTCACAGGGGTGCGGTTTTACCCCATGTGTTGTTGCCGGATACAAAATTACAAATCAGGCTCACAGATTGGCCGTGAAAGACACAGCCCTCCTATCCCGATGGCCTGGAGCAGTGACCATGAAGCCAGGCTGGAGCTGGTGGGTGGCTCCCTTGGAGTCTCACGCTGGACCATGGCGGCGTGAGGAGGGCTGACCTCTTCCCTTCCCAGCAGCCCGGGTCTGCTCCATGTGGGGCCCACCTGCCTGCTGACACCTCATCTTCCTGCAGAGGCCACCCCCCAGCTTGTCCTCAGTCCTCGTGTGTGCCTGTGTGTGTGCTGGGGCGGGAGGGCTTATGGGGGCCGAGGCCTGGGCAGGTCTGGGAAGCTGGCGGGGAACTCTGGGGTCGTCATCCCCAGAAGGTGGTCCAGAAGATGGGGTGCAGGCTCTGGGGGGCTCGCTGCCCTGGCCCTGGGGCTCCTTGTTCCGTCAGGTCCCAGCCCAGGCTCCCGGACGGCTGGTCAGTCCTGCAGTCATGTAAGGTGTCACTGTCCAGGGAACCCAGGGCAGGGCATGTGGGGTTTTTCTTACCTTTTTTATAGCTGCATGGAAATCTACAAGTGTCTAAAAATAAAAAGTTAAAAATGTAAACTTCTGGTATGGGCCCATCTCTGGACCTCAGCCTTGGCCTCAATATCACTGTGCTGTGGAAGCTGTGTGGACGGTGCTGCAGCTGGTCAGACCCCTGCGCTGTGGCCTCGGTAACGCTGCTCTCGACCTGGGAGCGTTTTGGGTCCTGCGGCCTGGACCCACGGCCCTCTCCCACCCTCGTCTGTCTCTCTCCCTCCTTCCCCGCCTCTTCCTGTGCAGGCCTCGGAAGGGCGCCTTGTAGCAGGACTTCAGTCTGACTCCCTGCAGGTGGTGGGTCCCGACTCAAAGAGCAGGTGAGTGTGTGAGTCTTATGGGGCCACGCTTAATGCGGCCTTGGGAGGAATGAGCTGGTTAAACCATCTTTACACACTTGCAGTGCAGGTGCTGAGCGGGGTCCCCCTGTCTCGTAGTTGGCGGTTGTGGCACGACCCACCGGCTCCCGATGGAGGACAGAGGCCCGCCAGCCGTGGAAGAGGGTCAGAGGAGCCAGAGTGGGGGCCGGCCCTCGCCAGCGCCCACTGAGGGCCCGGCCACGCAGACCTCTCCCCGGCCCAGCAAGTCTGGGTCCTCGGCCCACAGGCACCTGAGCAGAAGGAATGGGCTCTCAAAGCTCTGCCAGAGCAGGATGGCACTCTCCGGTGACAGTCCCCGTGTGGCTGTTGTAGGCGTCTGGTCCCTGTCCTTACAGAGAAAGGTCTGGGCTTCGGCCCTGGCCCTCGCGGCACGCAGGTCCTCCCTGCGGCGTCTGGTCTGCGAGACCCCTAGGCAGGAAATGTTCTCTTCCGTGTTTCAGAGCCAGGTCTGAGCCAGAGTTCTCTCTCGCTGCAGAGTGTAGAGAGTGCCGTCCTGGGCAGGGCGGCCTTGCAGGCGTGATGCAGGTTTGCCGGCTCAGTTCAGCCAGTGCCCACCGACCACACAGGGACTCAGGCCCTTCTGGACCTGTGAGGGGACAGCAGGCAGGCAGGGACAGACGCCTTCCTGACCAGGGTGGTGGGGGTGTCCAGGGGTGGCCCAGCAGCTGGACCCGCTGCCCACCCCTTCACTGACTTCTCCAAGTCAGCCAGAGCCCGCAGCCCAGACACCCCCGGCCTGGTGCGCTGGCCCAGGGCCAGGCCACTGGGCACCAGAGGCAGAGCTGGTGCCGCAGGGACTGTCTGGAGGCAGGAGGTGGAGCTGCCCTTGGGCCCGGCCGCCTCCAGAGAGGGGACCCGGGCAGCCACGGGGTTTCCGGTCCAGTGTGGCCACTGACTGAGAAGGTGGGGGCTCCTCAGTGAAAGACCCGGAGGGGATAGGGGATGACTCTGGCTTGGCTTTTGAGCTGCTGCGGGGAGGGGCAGCCCTTACTGAGGTGGGGGCAGCACCGGAGCTACGAGGGGAGCAGAGGTTCTTCGGCTGATGGGAGGCCGGACGGGGTGCAGTGCCGAGGGTGGGCGTTGTAGGAGCCTGTGTGGCTGGGGCGTTGTCCAGAGCAGAGTTTCTGGAGGCGAGGGGTGTCAGACGGTGCCGCAGAGCGGAGGGAGGGGAGTGGGGACAGCAGGCAGTGCCTGAAGTGACAGGGCCGTAGCTGGGCTGCGAGTCCTGGAACAACAGACGCGGAAGAGCACCCTTGGCTGGGTGGGGGGTGGGGGACCTCAGCGCCATTTGCACAGAAATGCTGGGTGCTCGGGGACACAGCCTGCTGACAGTGGAGTCCCTGCGGGTGCTTAGCTGGACCCCGGGGCCCGTTCTGAAACAACCACGCATCGCTGGCCCAGACTCGACCCTGCCTGCAGGTTGACTTAGTCCTTTTGCAGGGTTTGGGTACAAGGATGGGGGCTTTGTGTATCTCAGAAGTGAGGTCCTGGCAGCCTCGGGGTCTAAAGTTTCCTTTCCTTTTCTTTCCAGAAGACAGATGGAGCTCCTACTGCCTCTCATCACTGGCTGCCCAGAACATCTGCACAGGGAAAGTGCCCTGTGCTTCCCTGGCCGAGCAGGCCGGCCCGGCCGCGCCCCCTGGCAGCACGTCCTGTTGCTCGCTGCTGCGTGGCTTGTCCTCGGGGTGCTCCACGCCCTTGCTCCCAGCCCCTGCTGGCAACCCCAACAAGGCGGTCTTCACAGTTGACCCCAAGACCTCAGAGGTATTTGCTGCGCTTTGTGAGGCAGCCGTGGGTCTGGGGACTGCACCTTGAACCTGTAACCTCATTCCGAGGTGTTTGTACATCTTAAGTGCAATTTGAAAGACATTTCGTTTTACCGATATAGTAACAAAAGAGATGAATTTGGAGATCTAACATGGCTGTCGGGCTCACTGAATCCTGGAGTCAGGACGGAGGCTCAGGGACAGGAGGAGCCTGTTGTTACTCGTGCTTGCTAGGGTTGGTGTGACAGAACTGAGGGTGGCAGGCGTTAGCTTGGGTGCACACATCACAAAGACCTGAAGCTGCAGGAGGGTGGTGTGTGTCCGTTGCTGCCTTGCGGTCTCGATGACATGCCCATCCCGGCAGGTGAAGGGCTCATGGCCTGGGCACTGACCAGGCGATTCTTGTTTCCACTCGGTGGAGACACAGAGGTCCCGAGGGCGTCACCGTGTGAGCGCGTCCAGGTGGTCGGGAGAGGAAGGGCCTCCCTCCCCGGTGGGTGCCCAGGAGTGAGAGATACTGCTGCTGATGCCGGTGTCCTCTCCTGGCCACACGCAGATCCTGGTTGCCAATGACAATGCTTGCTGGCTCCTGGGGTACAGCAGCCACGACCTGATTGGCCAGAAGCTCACACAGTTCTTCCTGAAGCCGGATTGCGACGTGGTCGAAGCACTCAGTGAGGAGCACGTGGAGGCCGACGGCCATGCCGCCGTGGTGTTTGGCACAGTGGTGAGAATGGGCATGGAGGCTGGCTGCCTGGCAGAGCGTGCAGTGGGGGGCTCAGCCGGGCGGCGGGGACACACCGGAACAGAAGCATCCGCTGCTGGCCGAGCGCCTGCAAACCTGCAGGCACCAAACCCGAGTGGCTCCCCAAAGAGAAACATGTTTTCACTGTGTGGGGGGAGGGGGGCCGGCGAGCCTGGAAAGGCTTCCTGGAGCTTGGCTCCTTCGGCTGGTGTGATATGTCGGGCTTGGACTTCGACAAGTCAAACTGCAAGTTTGAATCTGGGCCCTGAGCCTCAGGCCCTGGAAGAAGTGAGACAGGATCCAGCACACCAGAAAATTGCCCATCTGGGGACTGAGTGTTGAGAGGGAAGATGAAGATGTTCAGCGTGTCTGTGTCTTTAAGAAACTGGAGACACTGCTAAGAGTGATACCCGCTCCCCTGTTAGGACCCTTCCCAGAGGCCGTAGGGCCCAGAGTCAGAAACCTGGCCTGCGCTTTGGTTGATTTCTGAATGTCAGGCAGTTGAGCTGATCCTGAAGATGCCACATACCTGGGAGGGGTGGGCCTGGCGCAGGGGCGGCAGGTGCAGCCTCTCCTTGCCTGCAGGTGGACATGGTGGGCCGAGGGGGGGAGCGGATCCCGGTGTCCGTGTGGATGAAGAGGGTGAAGCAGGAGCCCCGGCCGTGCTGCGTGGTCGTGCTGGAGCCCGTGGAGAGGGTCTCAGCCTGGGTCTCCTTCCAAAGTGACGTGAGTTTGCTGGGTCTCTCTGCTGCACAGGTGGGACTCTGCGTCTCCTCCCCCATGTGCCTCTGAGTTCTGTGGGGTCGGCCCCCATCTGCTGAGCCCCTTGCTGCCCTGGGCGAGGAGCCCTAGCTCCTTGAGCTTCAGTTTCTGCCTGTGTAAAACCAGGACACAATCGCAGCCACTTGCAGGTCGGCTCTCACACGGCCGGAAAACTCTGTACCTCAAGCCCTCAGGGCGGTGGCCTCACACAGGTGGCCCTGAGGGCACAGGTGTCTGCAGGCTGCCTTCGGCCAGTGGTTTCGGTCCTGGTGGCAGGAGCCGGCCGACGCTGTTGCTAGCAGCTGGTGTGCGCCTCTGGCAGGAGGCACAGCTGGAAGACGTCACTGAGTTCAGTGACATTTGGAGCCAAAGTGCAAGGAGCTGGCATCACAAGGCTGGCTCTTCCACCCAGGGCACCGTCACCTCCTGCGACAGCGTCTTCGCCCATCTGCACGGCTACGAGTGTGAGGGCGCGGTGGCCGGGCAGCTCATCACAGACCTCATCCCCTCCCTGCAGCTCCCCGCACCTGGCCAGGGCCTGCCCCAGGTAGGGCTCAGCCGCCTGCCCTGCCTTTCCTGGGGGCTGCAGGGAGGAGCAGGCTGTGGGGAGCTGGCTGGTTGGGCGCTCCCACCCTCGACGGGCAAGCGAGGGGCGGTCTAAGGCAGCAGAGCCCAGAGCTGGGTCACATGAGGCGCCTTTCTTTCAGAACCTTCAGATTCAGAGGTCTGTTGGGAGAGCCAAGGATGGCACCACCTTCCCCCTGAGCTTAAAGCTGAAACCCAGCCCCTGTGCGGAGGAAGCAGGAGCTGGCCAGGCCCCCGAGCCGGGCTACTCGGCGTCTGTCTGGGTGTTTTTCACCATCAGCGGCCTCATCACGCTCCTGCCGGACGGGACCATCTACGGCATCAACCACAGCTTTGCGCTGATGCTGTTTGGTTATGGGCGGACCGAGCTCCTGGGCAAGGTGGGCCCCTGGGTGGCCGGCCAAGTCCCTGGGGTGGAGCTGGTCTGTGCCCGCTGGGAGGGTGTGTGTGGGCCCCAGGTCTGTGCTTCCCACTTCACAACAGACATTCAGCTTAATGGATTCCCTGCTCACTTTTCTGGACCCCACATTGAGCAGACACCATGTCGTGACCCCCTGGACCATCCCCAGGTCACGCCAGGAGAGGGAGGGGCTCTGGCCTTGAGGCTCCATCCTGATCCGGTCTGGGATCCGGGTGTGTGTCCAGGCTGTGGGCATGGGCTGCGTGCCCCCCGACTGCCCTGGGGCTGTTGGGGGAGCTGTCGCTTGGCCAGGCTCGGAGGAAGGTGTCTCTGTGGCCTTTTTGGGTTGAGCTTGCCCTCAGTTCCTTGAACACGGGAGGTGGATGTCTCCGCACACCAGGGCAGTGACTGCCCTGTTTCTGTCCAAGATTTCAGAGTGGCTCTGTGTCAGCTACTGCAAACAGACCACTGCAGAGGGGTGGGCTCGTCACCCTCTGACCGAGTTTCAGCTGGGACCGCCCATTCTGTTGCACGTGGTGTTGGCTGGGGGTGAAGCCCCCCACCCCAGGCTCATAGTCCTGTTGAAGTTCATGGAGACTTGGCATGATTTTTGGACGAGGGATTCCAGCAGGTCCCTTCAGGGGGTGTGTATGGGTTAGCACATGTTCTGGATTCCCCTGGCCAGGAGCCACCTGGGAGTGGGGGGCTGCATGTAAGTTCAGAGGAAGCATCTGGCCTTGCACCCCGGGGCCCAGCCCACGGCACGGAGGCCCCGCCACACCCTGGGGGCTGTGTTCTGCTGCCCAGCCCCTTGTGTCCTTTCACGGCAGGACGCTCGGAGCAGGGAGCGTGCTGGCTGGGGCTCCCAGGCCGGGCCAGAGGCCACATGTCTGCTCGGAGGACGGGCAGACAGCAGGGTCACTAGCTTCAGAGTGTGCTAATTTTATCTTTTCTACAAGAAAAAGGAGAGAAGCCGCAGATTCCACGATGAGGGTCAGGACCCTCAGGCCACTCACAGGAGTCGGACCCTGCGTCCTTCACCTGGGGGAGCGACCCCGAGACCCGGGCCCTTGTGTTCACTGCCCCCCGGAGGGACGGCGAGCAGTTCGTGGGCCAGGGCTGTGGCAGGTCTGAGTGCCGCTGTCTGTCTTCTAGAACGTCACCTTCCTGATCCCAGGTTTCTACCACTACATGGGCCTCGAGTGTGGCAGCCCGTCACCCCCGCCAGACCTGGCCAGCCGCCTGGATGCGGGCAGCCTGCGTGGGCCCGGGGAGATGCCTGGGCAGCCCTCGCAGGGCTGGACCACCACCGATGGTGAGGCCCGGCCTTCCTCTCCGTGGGGGCCTGCCTGAGCCTCTGGGGGTCGGCGGGTGAGGGGCAGGACTGAGCGTGAGCCGCAGTCCTCTGTCTCTGCTGGCCCCTCAGTGTTTCCTGGCCCAGGACACGGGGCACGTCTGTGCCTTAGTCGTGTGTTATCAGGCAGAGGAGGATTAGGGGCTTCTCTGTGTCCAGTGGGGGCAGAGAGCTCACGGCTCCTGCCCTGGAGGAACCCTGCCCTGGAGCTCGAGGCCGTGGCACCTGGGCTTGAAGGAGTGGGGCCCGCAGCCTCCTGGGGGCTCACCTGTCCTGACCAGGTGCCTGGAGGAGCTGCACCGGGCTTTGCGGCTACCAGCTGCTTGTTGCCACAGGCTGTGTATGGTTCTGGGAGGGTCACAAGAGTCTAGTCGCAGGTCTGTGGGCGTCATCGTAGGGACGGCGGCTTTTACCCCGAGTCAGCACACAGCCGTTGGAGGGCTGATGAGGGCCCTGCTCCGACTCCGGTGCTGGTAGGACCGTTCTGGCCAAGTGCAGGGCCCAGCACAGTGCAGGGGAGTGGGCAGAGGGTGCTGGCCTGGACGGGGTGCCTGCGCGCTGGCCTGAGGTGGCTGGACAGTCTTGAATGTGAGGAGAGGGAGTTTACCCCCCACCTTCAAATGAAAAACACTCTTTCGCTGGTGTTGCTGCATCCAGGGGTTAATGCCATGCTCGCTGCTGACCCCCTGCTGACTCCAGACAGGACGTCAGAGCCAGAGGGAAGCCAGGACACCGTCCCGGTAGCGCAGGCCCAAGAGGACACCAGAGGCCAGCTCCCTTCTGCCCTCAGGGCACCGCCCAGTCTGGGGTAAGTGCTCTGGGCCTGCCAGTTGCCTGGTGCGGCCCCACGTGACCTGGACAGAAGCGTCCAGGGAGCGAATGTGAAGCACAGTCACTTTGACTCACGTGACTTCGTCCTCTGTGTGCGTCCAGGCTGCCCGGCTTCTCCCTCCTTCTCTGTGGTGCCCACTGTCGGTGCCGGGAGCCGCTGATGCCTCGCTACCCTGGCTCACCCACAGAGGAGGGGCAGTTCCGCCCCAGCAGGGGCATGCTGTGGGCGCCCACGCAGGGTCCCAGTGGGGGTGGGCGTGCTCTGCCCTGAGCCACTCAGCGCCTGGACAGCTGCTGTGCCGGGAGGTGGTCGTGTGGTGAGGGTGTCGCACAGACGGGCCCAGCCCCTGTCTCAGTTGGCTGGTGAGGAGCCCAGTGGCTCACAGACTCCAGGCCCCAGGCCGAGGCCCTGGGCAGGCATGGGCAGCCGGGTCCCCGGGTCCCCATGCTCCACACGGCTTGCTCACTTGGCAGTAGAGGAGGGGATGGAGGTGGAGAGGGTTGTCCCCACACTTCCTCCCTTCTCCTTGGCCGGAATTTGGTGACACAGTGGCACTGGCTGCTGGAGAGGGGCAGAGACTAAAGGGCCTGACCTCAGGCCTGCATCCGAGGGGTCGCTGCGCTGCTTGGTGAGGGGAACTAGACTCTCCTGCCTGAGCTGCCTCCCGCCGCGGACCTGCAGCTCCGAGGCTGGCACGGGGCAGGGGAGATGGTGAGACACCGCTGCAGCGAGGGCACCGGTCCTGTGGTCCCCACCTCAGGCCCCCCAGCAGACCCCTGCTGTTCCTCCAAACTCTGCTCACTGTTCCCTCCCTCACGGGGCCCGTCCTCGAGTGGGGTCCGCTGTCTTCTGTGCCTCTGTGAACCACTGGTGTGTTTGTCACGTTGCCGGCACATCTGCCCGACGAGGCTGGGCATGGCTATATCCGTTGGCCTCGGTGCCGGTCCGGTGTGCACCCGGGGCCGGCACAGGTCCGACATGTGGGTGCCGCTGCGGCCGGGCCACCTGAGGGCAGTCTCGACCTAGGCCTCCCCACAGCCGCCTGGTCCGTATGCTGGTGCCCTCTTCCTCAGTGGCCGCCCCATGCTGAGTGTGCTCTGGGCTCCACTCCAGCTCCGAGGGGTCAGTTAACCCCCACACCAGACCCCTCTCTTCAGCCCACCTGGTCCTCCCCACCGGCCACAAGGCCGGACGGTGTTGGTAGCCAGTTGCCGTCTAACTTCACTCAGGGCCCAAGACACTCGGTCCCTCCCCCCGTGCTCGGCCCTCCGCGGGGCCCTGCTCACCGGTGGGCACCACCGTCAGCGCCCGGACCTGGAGCCCGGCTTTGTCTGGCGGATCATCGCCAAACGTGCACATGGCGAGGCAGTGTGCGGGTTGGCGCTTGTTTATTAACTTGGTTACAAAGTCTCGTCTTTTTCTGTCTTATGTTTTTGTTGTTAGATGCTTTGTGCTTGTTTCCAAAGGGGGGAAGTGCACGTGATCTATGTTTCTGACTCTTTGGTGGCCCGTAAGTGGCCGTGCTACCTGTAGTGTACTCCCCAGGGCAGACAGCACCCCAGAAGGAGACCTGCCAGCCCAGGGACAGTCACCGCCTGAGGGCCCGTGGGACGGCGTCCTGGAGGAGCAGGAGCAGGAGCAGGCAGCACCAAGAAGACACGGTCGGGAGCTTCTGGGGGGAAGCAGGTCTGACTCAGGGGACACAAGACCATTTGCTTCCCGCGATGATTCTGAAGCTCTGACCCCAGCTGAGGGCAGGAGCGGGAGCAAGGTGTGTGGCCTGACCTGGGAAGCGCAGCTGCAGGGCAGGGGTTTGAGCACGGCCAGCCACCCCAGCCATCAGGCGGACGCAGGGGGGCTGCCGGCAGGGGCGGGCCTCCCACTGCTGCACCCTGGGCATGGGCCGGGGCACAGCACGCCGCAGGGGCGCCCAGACGCAGCCCCTAGCCTGCCAGAGACAGCATGGCTCTCGCAGCCGGCTTTGGAGGAGCCGTGGCCGGGGACGCAGGAGGACAGGGAGGAGCTACAGACCTGCTTACTGAAGGAGCAGCTGTCCCAGTTGAGCTTTGGAGGACCTCAGGGTGTTGCCTCTGCTGAGCTGGTCCTGGCCAAGCGCACCCCCTGCTCCACCCCCGTGTCGCCATGTGACCTGGGAGATGCAGACCCGCTCAGCCGCCGTGCGGGCAGCTCCTCGGCCTGCTACGCCCTGGCCACCGACCTCCCCGGCGCCTCAGACGCAGCAGTGGCCCTGGAGGCTGAAGGGGACACGTTTTCCTGGGACCACAAGGGGTTGTTTTTCAGCACGTGGACAGACCGAACTTCTTTGGACTGTTCCTGCGCCTCGTCCGAATGTGTGGGGACAGCTGGCTCTGTGGTGGACGTGAGCGCCGGGCTCAGGCTGAGGGCTGAGGTTCTGGAGGACAGGGAGCTGTCACTGCTAAGTGGCACCTATTCTGACTTTGGCGAGGGCCGGCGGTTCTGTGAGACCCACGTGGACCTCGATGGGACAGACCCGTCCGACACCTTGGAGCAAGATGACGAGAGTGGCAGGGAGAGTCCCGGTGGCACCCCGTCCAGGCTGGGCGCCGTCCCCGTGAACGCACACCAGCCAGAGGAGCCCGGGCTGAGCATCCAGGTCACCTCCACGCCTGTGAGAGGGGACAGCTCAGGGACGCCCGAGGCCCCCAGCCTGCAGCTGGAGATCCAGGAGGGCGCCTACACCGGGAGCTGCTGCCACCGAGACGGCTCGCTGCTGAGTATGTCCTGGGCAGGGGTGTCCTTGTCCTGGGGCCCGAGGGCAGAAGGGGTGGCTTCGAGGGCCTGAAGTCACTGTGCACCCCCTGGACATCAGGGTTCCTGTGCGCGCCTGGGGCTGGGGAGCCTGGGTCCCGCTGGGGCTGGAGGGGACTCGAGGAGACGTCTGGCCCCGTCCACCCTCCGGGAGGGCGCTGTGATCCCACCCCTGCCCTGGCCCCTTGGGGTGGGTTGTTTTACTCTTTTTCGTTGTTGTTAGATTTTGTTATTTGTTTTTAGACAGAGAGGGAGGGAGAGAAACATCAGGGTGTGGTTGCCTCTCCCTTGCCCCATACTGGGACCTGGCCTGCAACCCAGGCATGCGCTCTGACTGGGAATCGAACCAGCGGCCTTTCAGTTTGCCGGCCAGCACTCAGTCCACTGAGCCACACTAGCCAGGGTGGTTTACTTTCCTTTTTAAAAAATTTTTCTAACTACTTAACAGGTCACGTTACTTTAGCCAGTCATTTATCGCTGGTTTTGTATTGTCGATTCCAAAAGCTTTATTCCCAAACTCTAAAAACTTAATTTAAGTAATACGTAAGTTATATTTAAAAATATTTGAAAATACAAACCTGAAGAAAGTAAGGTCACCTGTCATCCCCGTAAAAGCTGCTTGTCCGGGTGCAGGCCCAGGAGGCGTGTGAAAGCAGGTGCAGCCCCGTGTCAGGCCGGGGCCCGCAGCCGGCACGGCCTTGTTCCGCCGGCTCGTTCACGTCCCTCCACCCGAGGCCCAGCCCCGGCGCCCCTGCCCCAGGCCCCCTGTGCGGTTCCATGCTGCCCGGGGGCGAGTGCTTGTCTGGTCACAACCCCATGGTGATGCGGTCAGCGGGGGGCCCTGCGCTCTCGCTCCTCAGGTGTGCAGTTCGAGGTGAAGCGGGTGGAGCTCCGAGGCCCTGCACCCCTGTTCTGCTGCTGGCTGGTGAAAGACCTGCTGCGTGACCACCAGGCCTCGGCCGCGTGGACCCACCTGCTGCTGGCCAGCCCGCCCGGCGCCGTGCACTCTGTGTGTGAGCGCCCCGGGCCGAGCCCCGGGGAGGTGGGTGTCTGCGGCCGCCTTTCCCCTCAGCACTCTCCCTCTTCCTGCCTCCTCTGGGACTGGAGGGAAGTCTGCTTCCAGCTCTGTAACTCTCTTCTAACGCCCTGTGGATTACCCCACGGGCGGGTTCCCGATCCGTGATGCCCCTGTGCTGGGGTGTGAACACACTTTCACGTGTGTGCTAGTTTGGCTCTCAGGTGGGGTCCCCGTGGGCACAGAGCAGTGGGCTGCCGGCGGCTCGGGGCTGCTGCCCACAGCTGCAGGGGCTGCTGGGGCGACGCGCCTGCCTGCTGCCGCCGCCTCTCCTTTACCCCTCAGACCTTCCTTCGCTCGCACAGGTGCTCAGAAGCAGGCCATGGTTCGAGGAGCCCCCCAGGGCGGGGGAGCTGGAGGGGCTGGCAGCCTGTGAGGGCGCGTACTCCCAGAAGTACAGCACGCTGAGCCCGCTGGGCAGCGGGGCCTTCGGTTTTGTGTGGACTGCGCTGGACAGGGAACAGAATAAGGAGGTATGTGGGCCCTCGGAGGGGGTGGGGTGCGCGCCAGGTGGCCGGCCTGTGTGGGGTCTGGATTCTGGGAGGCAGCCTCTCCGCACAGCGGACATGCTCAGCCCTGGCCGTCCAGGTCGCTGCTTCGGACGCACCGCAGACAGCACCTGCGCCCTTTCCTGTGCCGGATGGGACCCTTCAGGGCTTCCCCCTGGCTGTGCCCCAGCCGCTGGATTGGCCTTTGACCTGGGCCTGTCGGGAGGCGACTGGTAGTTGCCTGTTCATTTGTGACGTGGGGAACGGACATGGTGACAGGGCTGCTGGTCCCTGTGGACCCTGCGCAGGGCCCTGTGCCCAGCCTGCCGAGTGTCAGGAAGGACATGCCTCCTGGCATTGACCAGAGCCACGTGCCTGGGCTGGTGGTAGCTGGTCATACACCCGGGCATGTGCCCTGACCTGCACCCGTCCCCCTGCTCCCAGCACCTTGCCGCAGCCCCCGTGGCTGTGTGATGGACGAGAGCTCCCCTGCGGTCATGCCAGCGGTCACTCCTCTTCTGCGCGTGTCTCCTGGCCCTTTTCCTTCCCTCCCGTCACCGGGGCAGGACCCCCGGAGCAGGGGCAGGCACGGGCGGGCTGCTCGCTGGTTCCCTGCCTCTCCCAGATGCCCCGCTTGTTCCTCGATGATGTCTTTTGTTTGAAAATAAGATTTTCAGCTCCGAATTTTTTTTTTAAGATGAGCGTTGAGTTCTCTGATATGTCTCTGCAGCCTCTACCGAGAGAGCCACGTGTCTGTTTCCTTTACTGACCCCGTGTGAGTGACAGCACAGGGTCAGGCCTGGATTGTGCCGTCCTAGCCTCGTAATACGTTGCTGAGTGTAGTTGGGTAGTTTTTTTTTTTAAGATTGATTGATTGATTTAGAGAGAGGGGAAGGGAGGGAGAAAGAAAGGGAGAGAAACATCAGTGTGTGGCTGCCTCTCTTTCGCCCCCTACTGGGGACCTGGCCCCTGACCCAGGCATATGCCTGACTGAGGATTGAACCTGTCACCTTTCAGTTCCCAGGCTGGCAGTCAATCCACTGTGTCACCCATCCGGGCTGGGCTGCTAATAATTTTGTTGGGGATTTCTTTCATTTACACTCACACCTAAATTTTGTCACTGTGTCAGTTGTGAGAGCCTGCAGAGTCTGCACTGAGCATCTGTGCATGGGGAGCCCGCTGCGTCTTCCGCTGCGTCCTCTGTGGCTCCGCCCCCCTGGCTGTGCGAACTGTCTGCTCTCCTTTCTTCCCCACGCCTGCCAGAGAATTGTCGCTGTTGTCCACCAAGTGTTTGTTTTGCTGTCTTTTCCTTTTCCCTTGTACTGTGAGTTAATGTTGCTCTTTCTGTAGCTTGTTGGGTTGAATGGGCTTAGGTTGTTCCCTATGATAAAAGCAACTGCAGGCCGAGTTTTCTGAGGGCGGATGCGCTGGCCACGCCCACTGCGCTGGCCACGCCCACTGTCAGCCTCTCCCTGGCCGTCTGGGGAGAAGAACGAAGCCCCAAAGTTTTTCTCTTGGGCTAAAAAGAGACACATGAGTATTTTTGCCTTTCAGGGTATAGACCTTGTCAGTTTACACAGTATTCTGTGCCAGTCGGAAACAGACTTTTAAGGGTTAGGCTGCAGTTCACAGGAGAGAGGGCGATTCCCACGCCCTGAGCGATGGGTCTGTCTGGGGAGTCTTGCGGTCTTGACAGGACTGATTCCTGTCACTCAGAGACCGGGCTGTCTTTCTGGTGCCTTGGGTCTTTAATTTCTTTCAACCATGTTGTGTCGTTCTTGCTTCAGACTTGGTAAGACCCTCAGTTTTTGAAGCGTTCTTTATTGGGAGAACGCAGCTGTTCAGTGCGGAGCTTGCCCCCTCTTTTCTTGCTCTTTGTCCCCGAGGGTCATCTAAGGCTGCAGCTGGTGGGGAGCCTGGGCCAGGCAGCAGGCACCTCTCCTCCCGACATCCGAACGCGCACACCTGCCGTCCGGGGCTCCCCCTACTCACAGTCAGTGGCCACCTCACCTGCTTGCCTCCTCCGCTTCTCTGCGGGCGCGCACAGGCTGCTGTGTCCACTGCCACCACTCACGCTGGCCCGAAGCTGTCGCCCTCTTCCTCCCAATCATGGTGACGGGTGATTGCACCTGCAGATGCTCCTCGCAGTTCTTCTCACTCCCACCCTGGGCTCAGTGCTACCGCCACAGCTGCGGGTGGTCTGCGCAGACCACGCCTGCCCTGCCGGGGGTGTGACCCCGGGGGCCCGGTTCTGTCACTTCCCCAGTCTCCTGCTGAGGGTGGGCTAGGCCTGGCCTGCGGTCACCACTCACCCCTTGGCTCCTTCAGCTGTGTCCCGGGCACTCACTGCTGTTGCCGTTCAGGGCCGTGCCGGCCCGTCTCTGCTGTGGACAGTTCTTCTTTCTTCCCCGCTGCTTCTCTCACGTTGGCCCTGTGCTCAGCGGCCTTGCTGAGCTCTGACTCGTCTCGGTCAATGTGGGTGACAGTTTCCATTTTCTAGTTCTCACGCTTCTAGTTCCATTTTCTCACCAGGACACAGAGTTGCCGGTTGGGGTAGTCGGGAGATGGGAGTTCTGGGGACTACACGGTGGCCCCATGTCCCCTGTGAGCCACCATGGGCACCAGGCCCCGTGGGCGCTGCCGGAGCCCCCGAGCGGCCTCTACCCACTGCTTTCCCCGCAGGTGGTGGTGAAGTTCATTAAGAAGGAGAAGGTGCTGGAGGACTGCTGGGTCGAGGACGCCGAACTTGGGAAAGTCACCTTGGAGATCGCGGTCCTGTCCAAGGTGCAGCACCCCAACATCATCAAGGTGGGGTCCGGGCCCAGGTGCCTTTGTGGGGCCCACGGGGGTGTCCTGCGCGTGCCTCTGGGAGGCACCTGGCAGGGCCGGACCCCACTCCGTTGCCCCAGGTCTTGGACGTGTTCGAGAACCAGGGCTTCTTCCAGCTGGTGATGGAGAAGCACGGCTCCGGCCTGGACCTCTTCGCCTTCATCGACCGCCACCCCAGCCTAGATGAGCCTCTGGCCAGCTATATCTTCCGACAGGTGACGTGGAAGGCAGGCGGGGGGTGCGGGCCGGGGTGCTCGGTCCCGGAGGCTTCAGAGATTGGGGGTTCACACGCGGTTCTCTCTGGGCTGCATCCGGCCTCCAGTTCCTGAGAAGAGAATTCTATGGTCGAAGTCAAGAGCGGGAGGGTGGAAAGGGAGGATAAGGCTGCCACCCTGGAGCGACTGGGGAGGGAGGCGCAGGGTTCGGGTCCATTTACAGTTCTGGGATAGCCACCCCTCCTTGGGAAGGAGCCAGCAGAGCCGGGAGACCGGGCCCTGTGGCCAATGCGGTTTGATCGGGGTCCTTGCCCACCACTGGGCACCCAACGCCCGTCTGGCCGGCAGGGGTCTTTCTGGCACTGACGCTGGGAGACCGAGGGGGTCAGAGCAGGGAGCCTGTCCCTCCGAGGCCGGTGTGCAGCAGTGTGCTGGAAGCAGGGGTATGGACGAGGCCCGTGTTTGCTCTTTGTTTCCTGGAGGTGACTCCGTGTCAGCTGCGGTTCAGCTTCCCTCATTTGACATTCCTTCCTCAGCTGTAAACTTCCAGAAGTTTCTGGGTTTCTGAAATTTAGTGTCTGAGGCCTCAGCTGTAAGCATCAGGCATCGCGTGGTTCTGTGAGAAGAACATCATCTCCCCTCCTCTCGTGCGGGAAGATCACACACTCGGTCGGCTTCTTCCTGGCAGAGACTTGTTTCTGAAACTGCCAGGCCAGAAGGAGTGTCTGTCTGATGTGACATGGGAGTCACTTGTTAGAAGCTGCTGCTGCTGTTAGTTCTGGGGCTGCCGACACAGGTAACTGTTGTGTTCGATGCCCTGCAGCCTCTGTAAGATGCACAGTAAAGGGATCCGCAGCGTCACAGAGCCGAGCCACCACGCGTAACCACGCACTCACACTGCCCGTTGTCAGCGTGCCGCTGGCGGGGCCGGGCCGGGGGCTGGACCTGCTCCCCGGGGGCTGGGGGCCCGGGGCTGCGGCCAGCAAGTGCCCCGCCCAGGCCCAGGCGCCCTTGGCCTTTGTTGCTGATGAACCCGACAGAACTTCCCGGGCTCTGGTGACACGTGGTCTGTGCCTCAACTGGGCCCTGCTCTGCACGCGTGCGCGTGTCCACATGTTTGTGTACGTGTGTGTGAATGTGCATGCGTGTGCAGGTACGTGTGGTGTGCCAGTGTGTCTACATGTAAGTAAGCTGGCGTCGTGTGTGTGTTTGCATCCACGTGTGCATGTGTGCACAGTTACTCAGTGTAAATTGACTGGTCGGGCCTAGTCAACCTGCTCTGAGCTGCTGCTTCTGGTTCCAAAGTGTTCATTTGAGGCTTGGTGCCTGGTGACAGCCGTGGGGCCCTGTGCCAGGGGCACAGCCCGTGTCTGACTCACCAGTGCAGCCGGAACCCCAGTCTGCTTCAGCCGTGTGGGGCGGCCCTCGCTGGCCTCTGTCTGCAGGTCAGCAGCGTGGGCCATTCCAGGTCCAGGTGCACAGGGGCCTGCTGCGGGGTTGCCGCGGTAACCTCACCCTTGCAGAGCATAGGCCGATGCCCTGGGCTTCCAGAGATGGAGCTGTTTTCAATGGAGTCGCTCTAAGCCTGTGTGGCTGGGAGGCCCGCACATAGTGGGGCAGGCGACTGGCAGGCGCCGCTGCTCTGCGGGAGGCCGTGAGAGCCCAGGAGGAGAGGACTGGGGTCGGCGCTCCTGGGCCCACCTCTGCTCCCAAACCGCGGCTGAGCTCTGCTGCACCCTCGGGCCGGACTCAGGCTTTCTCTACAGTCCTGCCCATTAGCACCCGCCCCTCCCTCACTGAAGAGCCACTGCGCAAGTCTGTGGCTCCTGCTTGTGGTCTGTGTCCTGTCCCCGTGATTGTTGGGCGTGGGTGGTGGGGTAAGCAGGTGCTGCCCGCAAAGTTTTTGTGAGCAGCACAGACACGAGAGTACGTGGGAGCCATGTGTTTGCAGGAGGAGGAGAGGGGCAGTGCAGGCGCGGAGCCCAGGTCGGCTGCGTGGCCTGGTGCCGTGGCTGCGATGCTGTCTCGGGCACCTGGACACATGAAGGGGCAGGTCCAGTGCTGTGTCTTTACCCAGCTGATGACGGTAGCGCCGTCTCGAGAGTCATCTGTTCCGCTCGCTGGTGCGGCGGGGACAGCAGGCCGCCTGGCAGCGCTTCGCCCCCGGGCCAGTCGGGCCGTGTCTGTGGCATCTAGCCATCGTTCCTGTCGGTGTTTCGTGACAAGTCAGGGCGTGGTTCTGTCCTTCGTCGTTGTTCTTCCTGTTTTGCTTGTCACTCTCTATTGTGAATGCGTGTTTTGCTTGAACTGCTTCGTGAAAGGCTCCCTGGCCTCCTGGTTCCAGCTGGTGTCAGCGGTGGGGTATCTGCGCTCCAAGAGCATCCTGCACCGGGACATCAAGGACGAGAACGTCGTCATCGCCGAGGACTTCACCATCAAGCTCATAGACTTCGGCTCCGCCGCCTACCTGGAGAGGGGCAAACTGTTCTACACCTTCTGCGGGACGATTGAGTACTGCGCACCCGAAGTCCTCATGGGGAATCCGTACGTATCGCCCGCAGGCCCCGTCTCCTGTGAGTTTTAGGCAGAGAAGCGGGTTCAGTTTTGTGCGTCTTTGTGACACGGAAGCTGAGGAGTAAAGGGCGGCCTTTGGGGAGTGAGCAGGCAAGGGCAGCTGGGCGATGGGTGCGGGTTCCTTCCCTGCAGTGGTTTCTCGACTTGTTTATGCAGTTTCATACAATTGGAAGTTAAGGAAGAGGTAAAGGATCCCAGAAGACAGGATTCCCCAGATTAGCAAAGCTTATTAGTTGAGCTTATTTTTGTGGTGGGAGTAATAACTGGTTAAACACTGGGGGGCTCTCCGTTGACAGTGGGGCCCACACGGAGCACTGAGGTGCATGAGCCCACGCGGCTGCTGCATCCCACCGTGGGAAGCAGACCCTGGGGCGCAGCTGCCTGGTGTCTGCCCGGGAAGCTGGGGCGCTGTGGGGCCTGGGCAGGTGAGCAGAGGACCCGCTTGCTGCCCAGGTCCCATTCCACTTCCGAGTTGGGCAATGAGGGCTGCAGGCTGCTCCTGTCCAGTCAAGGCCCTCCTGACCCACAGGCCGGGCCCAGGAGCAGAATGGCCGGGGTCTCTGTCTGCAGTGGGCAGGAGGGGGCGCTAAAGAAACTGTCCCCATCGCCTCTGTGCACGTCCAGAGCCACCAGCAGTGACGTATTGAGGGGGATTGTCTACGAAGAGCCCTGGAGTTTCTTTTTTCTAAATTGAAAAACATTTTTTTATCCTCACCTGAAGACATGCTTATTGGTTTGAGAGAAAGGGCAGAAACATCAGTGTGAGAGATAAGCGTCAGTTGGCTGCCTCCTGTCCGCACCCGGTCAGGGATGGGACCCACGGCCTGGTCGGTGAGCAGATGACGCTCCCACCACCCGAGCCGCTGGCCGGGGCTGCGGGCTCTCGTGGGACAGACCTTGGTTGCCCTGACGGCTGAGCGCCCTGGCCATCGCGTCGTCACTGTTGTTGGAGGGGCTGCGTGTCCACGGGACGGCGACACGTGCTGCTGCCCCACCCCCCACCCCCGTGCCTTGGAGCTGCGCGGGGCCCTGCCCCCGAGGGCACCCCTGAACGAGCCACTTCCGCTCTGTCCCTGCCGGCTGGGCGGGAGGCGCCCTCGGCCCTGCGTGCTCTCCTGTCTCATGGGCCTAAGGGTTTCTGAGCTCGGGTTCGAGATCCCTCCTCGGAGGCAGTGCTTCTGCTCTCGTGTCCAGGTCCGTGTCCATCTGCTCCAGGGCCCGGCACACGCTGCGGCCCTGGGCCCATCGCCTGCCGCTTGTTCTCGTGAATGAGCTTCACTGGCAGCCGTGCGCCTCGGCCCCCTCGTGGCTGTGGCTGCTGCGCAGCCGAGCGGAGGGGCAGCGGCAGAGGCCACCGGCCTGCACGTTGACTCTTGGGCCCTTTGGGAGTTTGTTGGCCCTTGTTCTACTCTGTTGAATTTTTCTCTTTGGCCTTCCAAACTCTTGAAATCTGTTTCTACAAAACCGAAATGATGCAAAAGCAAAAAGCACCAAACCTGGTGTTCCTGCTGTAGCCGCCGCAGCCCTCGCCTCGCGGTTCCCTGAGGCCTGTCCCCGCCACCCTCCCGCTCAGCCACACAGGCCCGACCGCTGCTCTGCGATCTGCAGGCTCCGGGCCCCTCCTGTCACCCACCCCCTGGTTTCCTGCCTCCTGAACTCCCCAGACTCTTGGGGTGTCCTTGATGGCAGAAGGCTCTGGCCTGGGCCTGTTGCTCACTCACCAGTTTTTCTCAGCTGCCTCGTCTGAACTTGTGGGCTGACGAAGTGCTTTCCACACCCACTCTGTGGGCCAGATTACGCCCCGACCTGAGGACCCGCGTGGCCGACTGCCTCAGGCAGCTCCGGGCGTGTGCAGGTCAGGCAGCCCAACTCCAGGCCCCCCTCGGGCAGCAGCTTCAGCCTCACCTCCTCTCTGTGAGACCCACCATGTTTATCTTGCAGTCTTGAGGATTGAGGCTGAACTGTGTAAGGGCCTGGTGGCCACGTCTCCTGGTGTCCAGAGCGTGGTGGCTGGGTGGAGGGTGTTTCTGACGACAGGAGACAGGAGTGACGGCAATGTCCGGTGTTGCCTCCCCAGAGCTGCTCCCTGTGGGCACCTTCTGGTTCACCTTCTCCTCTGCCCCCCAAGGGGTCATCTTACTTGGCCTTAAGAGCTCCCACTGGCACCAGCCTCTCCCTGAGTGTTTTCAAGGGGCGCCCTGTGCTCCCCGAGGCCGTTGCCTCCAGGAGGCCCCCACCCCGGGCGGATGCTGTCCCTGCTACCTCGTGCTGTGCGAGTTGTCCGGTCCTCGCAGTGGGTGTCCCGTTCCTGGATCAGCCTCAGCCGACACGGCGCCGAGGCTTTGCATCCCCCGCCTCCCCCAGCGTGTGGTGCCGGGCTGGGGCAGACACGAAGCCTGTGGCCGGGAGTGTTGTGAGCGAGCGTCACTGGGCACATCTCGGGGGACGGGACTCAGGCTCATGTGCCTTGACTGAGCCCCCTTCTCTGGCAGCTACGAGGGGCCGGAGCTGGAGATGTGGTCGCTGGGAGTCACACTGTACACGCTCATCTTTGAGGAGAACCCCTTCTGTGAGGTGGAGGAGACCATGGAGGCCATGCTCAACCCCCCGTACCTGGTGTCAGAAGGTGAGAGGGCCGCGGCCAGCTCCCCCTGCCCCGTCTCCCTTGGTCTCTGTGGGAGTGGATGGCCACGCCCTCTGCCGTCCCATCCCCCTCGGGCCTTGGTCCTCGCAGAAGGACGAGTGGGATCGGACTTGGAAATGTGACGACAGCTCTGTTGCGGTGAGCACCCCCTTCCGGCTCCAGGTGGGTCTTCTGGCAGGACCTTAGTGCTTGTGGGCCTGGCTCTGGCAGTGACCGTCAGCGGGGAGGGGCTGTGGAGGGCCCTGACCCCCAGCCGCTCCTGTGGCAGGAAGCACGGGCCGGCATCGTGGGCTCGGCATCGTGGGCTCGGCTTGCTTCTGCCGCGAGGGCTGGCGCGGGGAGGCCGATGTGGGTTTGCTGGCCGGAAGGACTGCGCGGTCTGCAGCCGCCCCCAGGGCTCTGGGGTCCCCTAACCTTAACGTTCTGCGATCGTGTAGTCGTCAGTTACTGTGACGAGTACCAAGAGGACGAGTGTCTGTCTGTGCGCGAGGCTTGTGCCCTGGTGCCTTGTTTCGGTTGCAGTCTGTGTCTCCATCAGCTCAGGCGCCGGGACAGTCACTGCAGATGAGGCGCTCAAACCACGGCCATTTACTCCCTGCTCTGGAGGCTGGGCGTCCAAGGTTCAGGCGCTGTGGGGTCAGCGCCTGGTCAGAGCCTCTTCCTGTCCACCCTTCTCAGGAGGGCTGAGTCCCATCCCACGCGCCCCACCCTCAAGGCCTCATCTAAGAACCTGTCACCTCCCAGAGGCCCCGCCCCTGACACCACGGGGTCAGAGCTGCAGCGCCTGTGTCTGAGGGGCTGTGGTCGCCCCATGACTGCCCGGGAGGACTGCACGGTTCAGCAAGTTCTGATTCTAGGGCCCCTGCTGGCTGCCTCCCTCCCCTCTGTCACACGCACCCCATCACTCCTGGCTCTGCACAGCCACAGCCCCCAAGCGCAGGCCGCGGGTAGCGACCTCTGCGCACTGTGTGGCGGGGCAGGGTCTCGAACACTCTGCTCTTGTCTCAGGTGGTGATAGACAACTCTTTCGGCTTTTCTCAAAGTGCTGCAGGAGGCCCTATGCCCCAAAAGCCCTGGGTGCTGGTTAAAATGGGGGTTCCAGGGCCACCTGCTACCCAGTCAGAATGGTCACGGGGCAGACAGGACTTGGGGTTTCGAGATGCCCTGTACTTGACCCCAGCCTGGACCACAGATGGTCTCCTGGCCCCATGCCTAGGGTGATATTTTATGTCCCCAGATCTCATGAAGCTCATTGCCGGGCTACTGCAGCCTGTCCCTGAGCAGCGTGTCACCTTGGAGAAGCTGGTGACAGACCCCTGGGTGACACAGCCTGTGAATCTTGCTGACTACACCTGGGAGGAGGTGTGTGGGATCCACCAGCCAGGTGAGAGGCGTGGTCTGTGAACCAGGAGGGTGAGTGGGTTCCCTGGGCAGCCCTCTGGACCAGGGAGGACGGTGGCCCCCCACTGCACGCTGTCCTGGGTTTCCAGCTGCGAAACGGATGGGGGTGGATCCTGTTCCAGGGGCCCCCGAGCACACCGGGGCTCAGGGCTTGCTGTGGGCCTTTGAGGTGTGTAAGAGCCCATGGGAGCCTGTCACGAGGTGGTACCTACTGAGGGGCCGGGGGCTGGGGCTTTGACGGCGCAGCTGGCGATGGTCGGAGTGGGCTGAAGGGGGAGCTGAGGCCCAACTATCACCCTGATGCTCCGGGGCTGTCTGGCTGCGTAGCCAGGCAGTAGCAGCCATGTGTCAGGCACCACTGTTCAGGGCGGGCCCACTGGTGTCGGTGGCTCTGGGCATGACAGCCCTGCAGCTCCTTGGCAGCCTGGGAGCCCTAGGGTGTGGCCAGTTGGGTTCTGAAAGGTCCCTTTGATGGGTTCTGAAAAGTCCCTTTGATGTCCTTTGGTCCTAGGATTCTGCACAGAGAAGCCAGGTATTTGTGAGTTGTGTGTTGCCAGCATGTGACACAGTGTCTTCTTCTTTCTCCAGAAAGCGGAGTTCTGTCCTCTGAGAGTCTGGAGGTGGAGAGCAGGAGCCCCAGCGAAGCTGCTCGGCGTCCGGAGCGTGGGGCCTCGTGCCCCAGGGCACCTTCTTATGGGCCATCCACTCAGGGAAAGTAATTCTCAACACTGGCCCAATTTCCCTAAAAACTCGTGTGGGTTTGATAAAGGCCAGAACAAAAGCCAGTGACGCTGTGTCATTCTAGGGTTACAAAACAGATGTGGAGTTCATGTTTTCATAACCTAGAAAAAACACTGTCGTGTTCAATTGAATTTTGAGTCTGTGAACTTCTGAGAGGCTTGGAGGCATTTTAAAATTCTTTCCTCTGTATATATGCATATGTTTTGTTTTCTCTGACCAGGTGTATGTTTGCTCTGATAGGTAAAACCTGTAGAACTAATGACCAGGGTATCTCATTAATTTATTTCCTTGAACATTTTCCAAATTAAAGCACTTTTGATGGTAACCAGTCACCCCGATTTGGACTGTATGAAACACAGTGCTGGTGTGGGGACCCTGGGGAGAGACTCAGTCTCAGGCGGTGTGGCCCCCCCCGCCGGCCGCCGGGTGGGCTCTGCACGTTGCTCAGTCCAGGGAGGCCCGAGTGTCCTCGGGCTCCTCCCTTCTGTCCATGCACAGCCTCTTAGGGCTGGCCCGCCATCTGTCCAGGCGCTGCTGTGCAGGGCCGTCCTCCCACGGTGCCCCCAGCAGGTCTCCCCTCTTCGCTGATGTGGGGGCACCCAGCTCTGGGTGTCATTGCCCCACACCTGCCCAGGTCCCAGGGCCCCTCTGAGCCCATCAGCTAGCTCCAGCATGTGAAATTCAGCCTCTATTTTGTATCTGTCGGAGGGGAGGGTGCGATTAGGGGTAAGAGGAAAATCTTTTATTCCCCCCATTGAAATAAAAGGAAAAAACCAAAACTACCAGCCCCACCCCACACCTTCCCCCACATCATTATTCCCTGCAGGTGCCAAGGCTCCTCCTGCCCAGAGCCCTCGGGGGGAAGCTGGGGGCCAGGCCCCTGCAGGAAGGGCCTGTGCTCAGCTTCCGGGGCTCATTCAGGACGCAGTGCACTGTGTTCATATTTTCGGACTCTCAGAAAACGGTTAACTTTATTTTCAACGTCTTCCTTCTAGAAAGTGCTGCTGACCTTGCAGCCATCACAAGATACTGGAGGGTCCCCTCCTCCAGCATGGCCAGTAACGGCAGGTTTTTTAGGAGTGTGCTTTTTAAAGCCCACAGAAAAAAACAAACAGTTCATCCTTGTAGTGTTTATAATGTTTGTAACACAGAGAAGGTACAGAATGTTTTTTCCAGACAGGTGTGCATTGGGCTGATACTGCAGAGCCCTTACTCTCCAGTAACTCCTCCTTCTTTAGAAGAAAAAATGATTAGAATTCACTTGACTTGGTGGCAGTGGAAGGTTTGCTACTTGGAGAGTGTTTTTCGCAGAAAGAATCCTGGCAGAAAAGTCCCGAGTCTGAGGTGGACCCATCTCCCTGTCCGTGTTCCAGGGAGTCCAGAGCGAAGTTTCCAGAACAAACTGAGGTGCTATCGACTTTCAGAGCAGTTGCTGCGCCCCAGCTGCCCCTTTATTTCAGGGACTGGAGAACTGCTTAGGTTCCTTGGTTCTTTCCAGCATGTGGGGGTGGCTCCTGGATTTTCTCAGGCTTTGGGTATAAAAGGATTAACAATTTATTCTGAGGTGCTGATTGACAGATGAGTGTTTTAAGAAGAAAGATGAAAACTAACCAATTCTTCGGTTCCACACAGATTATAACCTTCCTTTTCTTTGATAAAATCCTTGTCTAGAAGGATGTGTCTCAGCACCCAGCCTAGTTTCTGGCACACAGCAAGAACTCTGTAAATTGTGTCTGAGAATCAGGTCCCTTTTCTCAGTTCAGAAACAAGTAGGTAAAACAAGAAGAAATGCTTGTAAATTAAGGTTTGGGTCTCAAGGGTGGTAGGATTTAGGCGGCCAAGAGCTCACCATTTCATCCTCTTTCACAACCACCCATTTTGGAAAGAGGTGTAGGCCCGACACCTGAATGATCACAGGCCTAGAGATGAATCTGTTATGAATACATGACAAGGAGAACGTTCTCCGATGTCCTAAGTTAGTGACAGCGGCCGGGAGGTCGCAGGAAGAGACAAGCATAGGTTGTCAGCTAACGACAAGGCAAAACCAGCAAAGGCTGGCAGGCTCCCAAGCGTGTGCGTTAACTTCCTCCCAGGGGCCTATTTCTATGATTATCCAAAGAGAACAGCCCCGATGCACCAGCTGTCGAGGGGCAAACACTTTTCCTCCGACCTCACCTGCCTTCTCCTGCCCCTTCATCTGTGGGGAGGTCTGTCTTCCTCAACGTGGTAGACAAAGGGCCGCAGGCCTCGCCGCCCCGTCACGGGGGATCAAGCTCTCGACCATGCATGTGTTTTGTTTAATAACACATTCGGCTGAAACGTCACTGGCTTTCATCCCAAGAGGAAGCCAGACCCAGCGGCGAGGACCGCGTTTCTGAAGGGAAACGGGACGCGGGAGCTCACGGGACGCGCCGCCTGCAGTGTGCGTGTCCTCGGCATTCGGGCTGGGCTCAGGTTTTCGTGGAGGGACAACTCCAAGCATCTTCACCGGGCTGCACGCTCGCACGCGACGCCTCGTCCCTCAATGTGCGACGGCCTTGGGAGGCTCTTCCCCGCAAGGCCCCTGCGCTGCAGCACTTGACCGGTCGGGATCCGCGCAGAGATCCCGGGGTTTGGGCGGCAGAGTCTGCGGAGAGGAGACAGTGGGAACCCGGCCGAGGCCTGCGCCCTTGGGGCCCCTGGGGGAAACTGCCCGACCAGCGCCGCGGCGGAACGCGCTCTTCGCACGCTCGCGTGTGCTCGGGGGAAGGCGGGAGCGGCGGACACGGGAGGGCGGAAGTGGCAGAACGAAGGGGCTCTGCTTCCGGCGCCGGAGTCGCTGCGCTATCTTCTCGCAATGGCGGCGCTTGGCCGGCGGGTGAGGGCGAGGGGGGTCCAGGCAGTGTGGGGCGGCAACCGCGGGGCCCCGGCGGGAAGGGCGGCGGTGTTGGGTTTGCTCCGCGCGGGAGCAGCCGCTGAGGCTCTTCGTACCCAGCAGGGTGCTTGATGGGATGGATGTGGACGCGGGCACCCGGGCACCGGCGTGAGAAACTAGTTTCAGGAGTCGGGCCGAGCTGGCACCCACAGGGGGCAGGAAAGTTACTGCAACCTGGAAACGTTTCTTTGTCGGAGTTTCTCTCACCACTAACAGCGGGAACCCTTGGGGGCGAGGCTGCCACGAGTCCTCCCTCTTGGGAGTCTGCGTCCAGGAGGGAGAGGGAGACCCCTTGCGTCTGTATGCACTAGACACGGTGACGGACTTTCTCACGTCCTTTGTTCCCGGGAAACCCTGCGCTCCCCGTAGGAGCCCTTTCTCCTCCGTCCCCCCTCCGCCCTGAAGTTTTCTTCCCGTTACTCTGTCTGTCTGTTGCGAGTTGCCCCCAGGCACTGAACCTTAGCGGGTAGAGGAACAGCAGCGCCCTCCCCTCCCGACCCGCCGCCGGGCACGCGGAGAACTTGACCAGGTGCCCGTGAAACAGTTCTCCCCAGTCCCCTCCACCCTCGTTCCGTCTCCTCAGCTGCCACCGGGAAAGCTAAAGGGCACTCGCAATGCTCTGTTCTCTGCATGTTCACATAGGATTTTGGAGATTTATTTTTAGTTTTTAAGACTTTATTTTTAGAGGGGGAGGGAGGGAGAAACAGGGAGAGAAACATTAATGTGTGGTTGCCTCTTACACGTCCCCTACTGGGGACCTGGCTCTCGACCCAGGCATGTGCCCTGACTGGGAATTGAACCTGCAGCCCTTTGGTTTGCAGTCCAGCACTCAATCCACTGAGCCAGTTTTGCAGATTTCTTATAAAGACTGTTTGTGTGGGATCCTGCTCACAAATCCTGTGGTGCCCACCCAGTAGTGGGATGGTGAGGAAGGAACTCCCTTTTGTGCTGCATTTCACAGGTCTTGGATTGGCATCGCCTGGTCCCCCTCACCTGGGCCCGTGTCGCTGCGCAGACTCCTCGTCTTGGAGAACAGAGAAGGGCACCGGCTCTCTTGTTGTGTAAACTGACCACAGCCTCCAGTGGAGGGGGCCTTGGGGGGCTATCCCATGTGGAATCTGGAAAGCATGTGCAGGAATCAGAGTGCAAGATGAGCCTCAGGTGGTGCCCCCTTGAGAAACAGAGGGCTCCTGTGGACGGAGCATCCTTGGAGCAAGAGGAGGTCATCAGCTTCCTCCTGGACATGGGTTTCAGTGGTGTCCATGCTCACGAACTGCTCAGCATACGACCAGGGACCCCCCATCAACAGTTGCTGGACATCGTTTCAGAATTAATACTCCTGGGTGTGAATCCAGAGCCTGTGTACGTGGCCCTGAAGAAGAGTCCTCAGTTACTGAAGCTGCCCGTGATGCACGTGAAGAAGCGCGCTGATTACCTGCGGAAGCTGGGGCTTGGAGAAGGTACGCGCTGGCCTGTGTGGAGACTGCCGGGTCTGAGCTTGGGGACAGGAGGCCCGGGTGAGGATTTGTCTGTGAAGGGGTGTGTGAGTGCCTTCAGGCTGAGGCAGAGGAGTGACCTGCGCTGCAGGAGGGAGGGGGGATTGAGTGACAGACAGGGACTCCCACCTGGGTTGTTCAAGGTGGGGACTTGAGCATCTGGGACCGAGGTGGCACCGTGGTGCGTGCTCAGCAGGTAGATGTTGATCTGTGCTGTCGTCACGAGTCTGTGTAACCTCTGATGTTTAAGTGACTTGATGTGGTCTCCATGCTGTGCCTGTATGATGTGAAGCCAGAGACTTACGGAGTCCCTTTTTAAGGCGATTCCATCCTGGGAGGCTGGTGGAGTGGCCCTTCCCTCCAGACACCACCCCCACCCCCACCAGGATTCTCCCCTGCAGGGACCCTAGACGTGGATTTGTTTACGGGCTCTGGAGAAGGGGGCTGGGGGCCCACTCTGCCCACAGGAGCTGCACTCTTCTGTTTTTTCGTTCTTGACTCTTCCTGGTGCGATATTGTTGGGGGGACGAGCTCTGTGGGTCTGCTGTTTCAGAGGCACTCAGCAGTCCTCCTCCAGGAGAGGCGAGAAAGACAGGCCTGCGCGTTTCCCTGAACAGACGCCCATTGCAGCACAGGCTGATAGGCTGAACTCTGCTTTGTGTGCTGTGCTTATAGATTAGCAAGCTCAGTGTGGCCTTGAGCTCCCAAGTCTAAACTCCTGAAATTCATTCCTGACACATTTCAGCAAGGCAGTGACTAGCTCAGATGTTAGGCAGATTTTAGCCAGCTGTGCAAGTAAGTGATTTCAGGTTTCCAGGTATAACTTTCCTCAGCTGTCCACAGGAGGCCTGCGTGCCCCTGTTCACCCAGGTCGCCTTGGCTTAGCCAGTTCATTCTATCACTACTAACAGGCCCCAGTGTGGGTGAAATAGGTGGTCTTCCCACTAACCAGGATGTCGGCGTTCATGGTCGTGTATTGTGTGGTTACTCTGTCAATTGTTGTCATGGAACACCTTTTCTTGAGTTCAGGCATCTGTGACTTTTATTATGGAAGGAAACCTCAGCCCAAAACCCCAACATGGGGGACACTGTCACTCATCTTACTGTATGACTCTTCCAGTAAATTCCTGGGAAATTCTTTCCTCGGTGAGATGGGCAGGAGGGGGACCCTAGGACGTAGAGTAGTTGCCTTTCAGCAGGGAGGCCGGAGGAGGCAGGGACACGGTGCAGGTGCAGGGGGGTTGGTGAGTCTGAGGAGTGAGGGTGTCAGTGGGGCGACGGGCCATTCTGGTACCCCACCTCCACGGCACTGCTGGGAAGACACTGGGGGCCGGCACCTGCAGAGGGGAGGGGTGTCCTTGTTCGATTTGGAAGTGCTGGGTACGGCCGGCCCCTGGGCTTGGGAACCCTCGGGGGTGACATGCTCGCCTTCTCTGTGTGGTGCAGGGAGACTGAAGAAGGTGCTGCACTGTTGCCCCGAAGTTTTCACCAGGCGCCACCAGGACCTCGACGGCGTCGTCAGGGTTCTCAGGGAGAAGTGCCTGTTCACAGCCCAGCAGGTGACTGAGATTCTGCACAGGTGCCCCCATGTTCTGCGGGAGGATCCCGGTGAGCTGGAGTACAAGTTCCAGGTAAGATGGGCAGACAGTGACTGGGGGTGGCCGTGGGCTCTGGGGCGCTCGGGTCAGCTCTGTGGGCAAGAATCTGGTGACACCGATTCTGCAGCTTTCCTGTCATTAATGGTGAATGGTCCTGCCCAGGTCTCAGAGTCCAGGCAGGGCCTCTGTTTGAAATAGATAATGTGAAAATAGCTAAAACCTTCCTGGTGTTGGAGCCTCTTTTGCATGCCAATTTCAGAAACGTCGTTGTGACAGCTGTCCTAAGTTTTTGGTGACAATGACGATGACTCAGGTCAGATCCCTAGATGTTTTCTGACTTTTTGGCCTGTGCTTTTCATACTTGTCACTTTCCTCTTGTCTGAAGAAAAATAGAACTTAATCTCTCCCTCCTGCCCTTTATATCCTGTTGCATTTTTCTCAATATGAATTTTTAAATGCTTTGGGAATCGTCAGCTGTCGTGTAGTCGTGGGGTCCGAGGGTGCCCTCTTTCTGAATGCTGTGCACAGGCCGGTCGCCGTGACTGTGAGGGGTGGTCTGAGAACCTGCGCCCAGACCCTAACCTGCCTGTGTCTGCAGTATGCCTACTTCAGGATGGGGGTGAAGCATGCGGACATGGTGAAGACCGACTTGCTGCAGTACCCCATCACCAAGATTAGGCAGAGGCACACCTTCCTGGAGCGCCTGGGACGGTACCAGACCCCGGACAAGAAGGGGCAGACACAGGTCCCCAACCCTCTGCTCAAAGACATTCTCAGAGTTTCGGAAGCTGAGTTTCTGGCCAGGACGGCCTGTTCTTCTGCTGAGGAGTTTGAAGTTTTTAAGAAGCTCTTGGCTCGGGAGGAAGAGGCAGAGTCTGAGAGCCCCAGTGAAGAGGATGAGGACTCGGAGGAGGGGGAGGAGCTGTGACAGAGGCCCAGGGACATCTGTGGACATTTTAATTCTCCCAAAGCCCTTGGGACCTTCACTTGGATCTTCTCAGGCCATTTTTCATTCCAAAACTGGTCTTTTTATGAAAAATTATTATAGATCATCTGAAAAGCAGGTCAGAGGGCCCTGCTGCATTGTGAATAAAAGACTGGCTCCCAGCTGTTGAAATGGGGAACGCAGTGCATCAAAGTTGGGTTTCATTTTCTCGGCAGTAGCTGTGGGGAATCATTCCATGACAGTGTGTGCTTCTGGAGTCATTTTGTATGTCCTTCTAGTGCTAAAGGTACAAATAAGAGAAGACAGTGAGGTTTTAGTACATCACAGCACTTTATTTTATGAAAACAAGTAGCAAGCTTTCCACAAAGAGACTCGTGTATTTAACCGGAAGTGCTGTTTCCTAACGGCGTTCGGTGTGCAGCAGAGCAGGGGGAGTGGGTCAGTGATCTTCGGCTTCATGTGGCACAGCAGCTTCCGCCAGCACAGTGCCGGGCACCCCTCTCTGAGGGCAGGCCTGCCTCTGGCCTCAGGAACTTGGCTTTCCTGTCCGCTCACAGCCAGTGGGCCACACGGGGGCCTGACATCGCCGGCAGCTAGGAGTGCTGGCGTGGGGCTGGCCAGAACCGGGGGGGCCGTGGAGCCGACCCAGCCAGGCAGCCCCGTCCTCTTGGGGGGGGTTTCCGATGCCAGAGGAGAAGAGCACTGGAACTCGGCTGGGCGGGGCGGGGCTGGTCAGGGCGGCATTCCGGGGCGCTCTCCATGGCACCAACGAAGAGGAAGCCCCCTCAGGAACCCTGTGAGTCTGAGCAGCAATTTGAGGCCTTGAGGGCAAAGGCCCAGCCCTGATGGCATGAGCTGTGTGACGGGAGGGTTGGTGCATCCCAGGACGTGCTGGGCGCCCTCCCTCGGGTGACGCTGCAGAGTGGCCCCCATGCCCTGGAGCACAGTGTGCAGGCCTGAGCTCTGTTTTCCGGGGCGTTCAGCGCTGAGCCGAGGTGTGTGCTTTTGCGTTCCCTGGCTCCTGTTCCCCGTTCAACTGCAAAAAGAAAGGCATTGTTTGCAAAACACAGATAGCTCAGGGGATTTCTGCCCCATGACCTAGACATTGTGGCCCCGGTCAGCGGTGGGAGGTGGTCCAGCCAAGGGAAGGTGCTGGGGGTCGGTGACACGGTGGCCCTTGCCTAGCAGGCTCCTGATGGGAGAGCAGTTCCATTTCCTTGGTGACAGCCGTGCCCCGTGGGGGAAAGGGCCACTCTGTCTTTCTTTTTCTTGGCCATGGTAAAAAAATATTGAGAAGAAGGACATTTCTCCACGCGCCAGTGTTCTCATGTCACTTTGTGATATCTGTGCGACCAGCATGGGACTGAGCAGGACCCTAAACTGATGCCTGACTGGATGGTCAGGTCACCAGCCTGGTCAGAAGGTGGCTAACTCAAGCTTGTGGTCACTCCCTGTCATTTTGGCAGAAATAAACATTAGGCCCAATGGTTTTCTGATCCATGGTTCCTAATTTGCTCGGGTGGACGGTGCGTGTTTTCAAGGAAGGTGTTTTATGAAGGAGACTTTTGAAAGCTCCCTTGGAATGTTTCCAGGTGATCTGTAGTTTCCTTTAATGTCAGGAAGTCTTTCCGCTGGATACGTAATTCGTACAACATCAAAGTGGGTGAGTCGTGAGGCCACATAGCACCACGCTCAGGATCCAGTACGCTGTGCCTTTTAGAAACAAACGCTTTTAAGCCCAGATCTGGAGCACGTCAGCACCTCAGCATGGCTGAGGGGCTTGGGTCAGTGTGGTCGCAGAAAGTTTCACTCACTTTTCCAGTGATGTCACTTGGTCTCATTATCTGCTAGTGATGCTGTAGCTTACATGGATGCACAGTGACAGGTTCCAGTGCTGCAGCAGGAGTCAGCAGCCCATGTTCACGGTCGTGGTTTGGAGCCCCTTGACGGAGCTCAGCCATCCCCTTCAGGTGGCCCTGAGGTTAGGGACATTCTGGAGTACTGTAGAAGACTTCTCAAAATGACTAACCGTCCTTTCTGGAAAGGACCAATTGTGTAATACACAGATACTACATGCCCATGCAATTCTAATAAAAATAGGAAGTCTAAAATATACTCTAATTTAAAAAATGTTTTTACAAAGATGAGAGGAAAGCCCTTTTGGTGGCTGTAAGGCTGACTCAGGCAGCATCGGTAAAGACCCACAGGGGCTCCAGTTCCAGTGCCTAGGAGGTGGAGGTTGGGCTGACCTTGGCCGTGACCTCACGTGCCAAGGGGAAGGGAGAGCTGCTCAGAAGGTGCTGGACCATGGGTGTGGCAGTGGCACGCATCTGCCTGCCATAGAGCGGCTGGGTGGCCTGAGCTGTGGTTTGAGAGGTTCCCAAATCTCTGGCCTCGCCCACCCAAGGTGTCCGTCTTTGTCTTTCAGGCCTGGGCAGCCAGGTGCCTGCAAGCAGTTCCTGGAGCACTTCCACAACCCTCCAGGCAGGGTCTTGAGTGCCATGGTGTGACTTGTCCAGATGGCTTTCTCTGCAGAAGGCCGCAGCCGGAGAGGTTAGCCAGGCATGGCCCAGAGGATGTGGCCCTGTTTTAGTGAATCCGGTTTCACTGGAGCACGGCCTCACCAGTCTAGGCACACGTGTACAGCTGTGTTTGCACTCTCGTGGGGTGCTGAGTCGGCACACAGGCCTCCTGGTCCACAAAGCCAGCAATCTTCACTGCCTGGCCCACACAGAAAACGTGGCGGGCTGGGTGTCTGACTCCCTCTGGGCACCAACACTCTCCTTCACAGTCTGCTGGTCGGTGATGGGCACGAGCCCTCGCCTTCCCCAGTGAGGGGTCCCAGGGAGGTGGCCTGCTCCCTGCCTTACCCTCTGCTGTGCAGTCAGTCAGTGGGTCTCAGAGGGAGAACCCCGCCTCTGGTTTGGAACTGGAATCTGGAACTGGGTTCTGGGTGTCGCTGAGGCTTCCCCTGATGGCCTTGCTCATCCAGGGCTCCTGCCGTGGCGGCTGCTGCTTCGCAGCACAGGCGGCCCCTGGGGACGTGTGGCCTGGGCTCCAGCTCGGCTGCTTCGGGCAGCGTGGGACTTGGGGGTCTCCGTCCAGAGGACCGGCCTGGCCCTCTGTCTTACAGAGGCCAGAGGAGAGAAGCCACGGAGGGGACAGACTCCAGCCAGGACCCTGCCACTCAGGGCGTCCTTGTCAGTTTGGTTTTAGACCTCGTCTTCCTAGGTCTCAGAAACCCGTGAGGGGACAGAGTATAGCAAGAGCACCTGGAATCCTTGGGAGAGAAACAAACAGGCGGGAAGAGGGTGGTGCCCTTCCCTTCGGAGAGGCCGGCAGCTTGTTTCTCTGACCGAGGCAGCACGCAGGTAGGACGGGTGTGTCTCCAGTGGGGGGACCTTTGAGCAGCATCACAGGCTGCTCCTCCACTCGGTGACGCCCTTGACCTTTCCCGTGCAGGCGTGCTGGCTGCCCAGTCACTCTGTGAGGCCGTGAGTTCTTGCGTGGTGGCCTCGAGTGTGTGTCTGTCCGGTGTCCCGCCTGTTGGTGTCCCCTCCACTGTGTCAAGTGTTAGTATATTCTAAAGGCCGGTGTTTGCTAACTGGTGGGGGGTTTCTGGGTTGTCTTTATAGAAGTGGGTTTGCTGAGCAGCTTTATAAAAATGATATTCTTTCAGGTCAGTACCTTGCAATATCAGTATTTTAAACCAGACCATGTTCATGGGTTCTTAACCCCAGTGCTGAATGGCTTGCAGGCCTCAGAGTGTGTGCTTGGCAGGCAGGTGTCTTTGGAGCGTGAGGTGGGGCGATGCCTCTGAGTGACTTCTCGTGTGACAGACTGCTGCCCAAGGCCACAGCTGTCTTGGGGCTTCCCACCCGAGGTCCCGCCTGGGTGGGGTGAGCCCATAGCTTCAGGACTCTTCTGTTGCCGGTACAGGCCTCTGAATAAGGCTCCTTGGCCACACTGTGATCGTGGCTGGCGTGTGAAGCTGCGCGTGGCCCGGGCCCCTCCCTCCCCGGACGTGCAGCACAGGCTGCATGTGGGTGTGAGCAGCGAGCTGTCTGGCCGCCCGGGGGCGTCACATTGATAGGAATGCTCGGTCTGTAGGAAGCTGGGCACAGGCTGTAGAGGGGCCTCGGGGTCTCTGTCTTGCAGGTGACCGTGGAGACTTGGGCCGTTCACGTATAGGGAGATGGGGTCAGATGGGGTGGAGTTTCCAGAAGGTTTGGGAACTGCTGGGTGAGATCGTCGGGAAGTTTCTTTCCTCCCAGGTTCCCAGGTGTTCGGGGACCTCCCAGAGGGTAGGTGGCCGAAGCCCCGCCCCACACGTCCCACCCTTTCCATCAGCAGATGGCCCTTCACAGGTCGGGAGGCAGTCCCGGAACTCCCAGCCCCTCGAGTTCTGAGCGCCCACCTGTCAGTCCCACCTCCCGCCAGGTGTTGGGTGGGCTCCACTTCTAAGCCCTGCTGTTGGAAGGGGTTTCTGGGGGCCCCAGCGACAGAACCTCCTTTCCACCTAGAGATGCACCTGCCACAGGTGGTCTGCCGGGAGGCCCTGGGAATGTTTCTGCATGCAGCCCCTCGGCATTCTGAACCGGCCTGGGGTTCCTCCCAGGGACCCCTGAGCTTTCTTGAAGGGACGCCCCACCTCCCTGCAGTTCTGCCGGCTGCCAGGAACGTACCTTATGCTGTCTTCAGTGTTGGGCTATTACTTTGTTTCCTGAAAGAAATAGAGAAGGTGGTTTAGGAACAGAGACTGGGGGCCTGGGGCCCCCTCCGCCCAGCTGCCTGTTCCCACGTCCCAGTGCAGGGACGCCACTGGTGCACTGGGGGGGGCGTCCCCTCGCCAGATGGGGAAGTGCAGGCTGGGGGAGTCGTGCAGCGTGATGAGGCGAGAGCTGCCGACAGGGAGACAAGGACACGCCCTGCGGCCTTGGCTCTCCCTGGACACTGAAGGATGCAGACCCTGTGTGGGGTTACTGGGTGGTCCGCGAAGGCTGGGCCTGGAGGTCGGCCTCGGCTCTTCTGCGTGCATGTGATGTACTCGGCACTTTATGTAAGAATTCTGGTGACTACCTTGAGCCCTTGGGGAAAGAAGCTGCGGTAAGTGGGTCAAAAGCAGAGACTTGCTACACGTGCCGTTATGTGCTCGGGCCTGTCTGCCACACTCACGCTTCCCAGTTCGAGCACTGGCTGCCGAGTGTGCGTGCATGGCCAGAGTCACCCCTCAGCGCCACCGTGCCCAGCTCCTCCCATCCGTGCGCGCTCACACGCACACGCGTGCACCCAGTTTCTTAGCGGAACAGGCTGTGGATGGCGGCACCTTTGGGCAGGCAGCCTGGCTCAGCTCCAGGCCTGGGGCTTCCCCCAGGGCTCTGTCCCCAGGGCCACCCTCAGCCCGTGACCCTCGGACCGCAGCGTGGCCGCGTGCCCGTGCCGGCACCTGTGTGGGGCTTTCTTGGCGCCGGTGCCTTCGCAGCTCTCTCTGAAGCAGACGTCCCGGTGCACCTTGTAGACTCGCTTGTACCTGTCACAGGAAAGCTGCGTGACGCGGGGCGCTGGGGTGGGTGCCGCCTGCCTGGCTGGAGGGGGCCCGGCAGCCGGGAGGGAAAGGCCGGTGTGTCCCTAAGAGATCTTTACCTCACGGCAGGATGTTGAAATGTGCCACATAAGTCACGTAACACTAAAAATTCACTTTACCGAGGCGTAATTTACGTATACTAAGATACATCCACGTTAAGTGTCCACTTTGAGGAGTGTTGATAAAGTCGAACGATGTTAAGAGAGAAGCGTGACGTTTCAGACATGTCTTGCCTGAGGCAGGTCACTTGGCCTGAGGGCCCGGAGATGCTGGGACCGCACGTTCTGTCCATGGCATCCACCAAGAGGGGACACCTTGGCGATGAGGCGTCAGGTGTGGGCAGCGTGGAGCGGGAGGGCGACTTCAAGCCCTGCCTCCTACCTGATGACTGCCTTGAGCACGTCCCCAGCACAGAGCCTGTCTTGTGTGAAGTGGGGACGACTCACGCTGCCTCTCCCATGAGTCTGTGGTTGATGGTGAAGGGGAAATTGGGTTCTTTTTAAAGCTCTCGGACATGAGAGAGACCCAGGGATTGTGATGGACAAAGCCCCAGCGCATGTGCTCGCTCTGTCTAGGAGAGCGGTGAGGGCCAAGGTCTTTGGCAGCACACCTGGCTGTCAGGGAGTGACAGGGTTGGGAATTAATCTCCCAATACAACTTCCGGAGAACTGGACAGAACGTAAGGAGTAACTCTCCTCAGGTGTTAGAAAACAGCCAGCCAGACTGGCCCCGAGGAGAGGAAGCGAATGGGACGAGCCTTGCGGCTGCCCTGGAATCCAGTCTGGAGGCACTTTTGGACTGGGCATCAGGGAGTCTGAGCAGTGGTTGCACTGAGTTGGAGACGGACTGGAGTTGGGAAGCAGAGGTGGCTGGACTCTGCGGGGCAAAGGGCTGGAGAGGAGGCAGCCACATGGGGAAGAGCCCGGGGCTCCGGAGGGGTCCCCTCGGAAACAGGCTGTGGATTCCCAGGACGAAGCCCCAAGGGGCTGGGCAAAAGAAACTAGCGAGGAGGTGACCGTTCTTCAGGCCAGAGTGGAGGGACCTTGGTCAGTAAGAGGCCGTTCCCTGGACACAGGAGCCCCAGGAAGCCCTGCCTCGGCGGGAACTCTAGCACACAGTAACAAAGTGTGTAACGTCCAGCGTTTGACAAAAAATCACCAGACATTCAAAGAATTAATACAAAGAATCAAGACCTCCTAAACAGGCAAAAAATAGCTGAATAGAAAGCCACCTGGAAATGAGAGCAGTGACAGAAGCAGCAGAAAGGACAGTGAAACTTCTGTTATAAATCTGTCCCACGGGCACAGTGATGTGAAGGGAAGCACACATATAAGGAGGGACGTGGAGCTCCTGGCGATGGCGAACAGCATCTGAGGTGGACGGTCTGCCGACTGACGCTGGCAGGTTGGACACCGCAGGAGGACAGGGCAGGGAACTTGGAGGCCTAGCAATGGGGTCTGCCCGAGACGCGGTGGGGAGAAGCGGAAGGCGACCGGAGGAAGCTCAGTGACCCGTGGGATGGCTCAGTCTGACATGTGCGCAGTCTGACATGAAGGAGAAGGGGTAAGTGGAGGAACGGAGAGATACTTGAAAGAAGTAATGGTCCAAACTTTCCAAATTGGATGAAAGCTAAAACCCCAGAGATACAAGAAGCTTAATAAACTCCAGAGAGCGCACACACACACACACACAACCACACTGAAGCTCATCAGGCAGGGTTCCCAGAAGCAGCCACCGGGAGTTGGGGACCCATTGCACACGGTCTCCTTGTCCAAAACCTCTCTCGAGTGCTGAGGGGCAAAGAGGAGCGGCAGCCGAGAGCCCGCAGCCGGCAGGTGTGCCCTGCAAAGTGCGGGGGAAGCGAAGCCTTTCCAGACAGAAGCAGCCGGGAGCACTCTGCACCGGGCCCTGCTGCAGGGACCGTCGGCACATGTGCTTTGGGACACGGGAGGTGCGCAAGGGCTGTGGGCTGGAGACGGCGGACACGCAGGTGAGTCTGAGAGGCTTCACTCTCGACATTTTAGATGTCGCCGAGTGGAAAGACGACGTGGTGTGGTCTCAAGCACGTGCGGAAAAGGTGGACGTCAGCTGTGTCACAGGCACCTTCCCCTCAGCGCAGGGACTCGGGGACGTTGTGATGAGCGCGTTGCCAATCTCAAGAAGCGCCAAAAGTTAGCCAAAGAAGTAGAACCAGTGAGCCCACAGGAGAGGTAGAACGGAATCGTAGGGGGTAATTCAGAAGTAGTCAGGGAAGGGGAAAACGGGACGGAGATCAGGTGTAACAGACAGAAAGCAGTAGCAATGTCACGTTACACGTTACTTTACAATGTAATCTGATTCTCGATGAAAACCAGGGATGAGCAACTAGGTGGAAAGCAGACCCAACCCTGTGCTTACAGGAGAGTCGCTCCAGGGTCAAAGGACTGGGAGCAGCTCACACCCAGGCCCCTGCGGGTCACCATGTGCCGGGCTCCCCCTACACAGCCCGGGCTGGTGGCTGCTGTGGCTTCAGACAGCCCTTCCCCAGAACCCAGAGTCAGAGGGTGTAAACACAGAGTCCCAATCCCAGTGCAGCTGGGAACCTCCTACATCTCCTGCTTGGTGTGACCCCTGGCTTTGCGGCCACACTCACCGCAAGTGTGACCTTGCCTCCCACCTCCCACCCAGAGGGATCTGACAACGTGTAACCAAACATGTCCCTCTGCTCCCAGGTCACACAGAACAAAGACCAGAAGCCTTTCACAAGCACGCTCCCGACTCAGCCCGGGCTTGGTGTCCTTCCCTGAGCCCCTCGCCCCCCTGTGAGTGCAGTGGGACTTTGTCCCCAGGGCTGACGCTGACGCTGTCGATGCTGCAGCGGCACTACCCATCCCCAGCCTGGGCTCTCCTGGCCCTTCACACTGACCACTGCCTAACACACTGCGCTGTCTGTGGGCAGCTGTCTCCCTCCTCTCGACAGGACGTGCCCGAGGGCAGGGTTTGGGCACACAAAGGGGTGTGGCTGCGTCTGCTGCCTAAACAGACTAAGTGGCCCCAGTTGGAGTGTCAGCAGGACGGTCCTAAGAGGCGAGCCTGTCTCTCAGGTGGGGAAACGGCCATGACTGCATTGTTCAGGGCCGTGTCATTGCTTCACGGTGGAACCAAGACTCCAGGCCTCACGTTAGGCAGGTTCTTTTCGGGGGGATCCGTGGCAGTTAGAACCCTGCCATCCGGGGACGGGGGCCGATGCCGTCCAAGTGGTTAGGAGCCAGGGGCCTGGGGCTCCAGGCCTCCTGTGCCTCTGCCCCCAAGCTGTATGGACTCAGACAAGTTGTTCAGCCTTTCTGCCTCGTTTCCTAGTTTGTCACCTGGAGGGAAGGGGTAGTCAAAAGCTAGCCCCTTCTGTGACTGACCATAGTCCTCAGGGGTTTGAGAGGGTGGGGTGAGCTGGAGTCTGTGCAGGCACTTCAGGGGGTTGGGGACTCGACCAGCGTGGTGAGGGCGAGGGCGGAGGGGACTTACACGTGGTGGCAGACGCCTCCTTCCCAGACCGGCAGGGACTTGGTCTCCGAGAACAGCCGAGTGCAGGGCTGGGGCAGCTTCTTGCAGGCTGCCAAGCAAGGGCGAGGCCACGGCTCACAGGTAGCTTGGGCCCTGGCCGCCCCTGCCCACACTCTTGGGAGCCCCTGCAGCTGGTCCCCTTGGGGCTCACTGACCACCCGTCTTTGGCCTCCGCCCAGAAGTCTCCCAGGGGAGGCCTGCAGCCCGCTCCTTCCAGCACCACATTTGGTCCCTGAGCCCCAAGCAGCCCCTTCCCCCACCTCTCACTGTGGGGTGGCCGTTGCTGTGCCCCTTTCTGACTGTCCTCAGGCCCCCCTCTTATCTAGGCGGCAGCCTTCACCCTTGCATTTGGGGAGAGCCTGCCAGCCTCCTGCCCGGGGCCCTGGAAGTCTGGGACACCTCAGGGTTTGGGGTCCCCGTAGCGAACTTGCCCTGGGCCAGGCAGTTTCGTCCCAGCCGTGACAGGGCTGGGCGGCCCTGACTTACCGAGCTCACAGCGTCTGCCCTTGAACCCTGGGCTGCAGTCACAGCTGTGGGCGTCTGCGCCCGGCACGCAGGTGCCTCCATTCTGACAGGGGTTTTCTGTACAGTTTGCAGAGGCATCTGCAAACCAATCGTGAGTGGTCAGTCCCCGGGGCCCCAGAGGAAGGCCTGCCAGCCCCCCCACCGTGCTGCCTCCTGCCGTCTCTAACACTGCCGAGTCCCGGGGGGTCTTAATTCTGCTGGTCGGACGCCTCTTCTGACCCCATTACCTTGAGGGCCAGGGCCTGAGCCGTGATTCTGCTGGGACCCTCAGTGCGGAGTCCTCCAGTGAGGTGAGAAGCCTCAAGCCACTGCTTAGATTATGGGCGGGGGCCGGTGGCCTCAAGAGACTCCCAGCCCTGCCCTGGCCAGGGCCCCGCCCCCTCATTTCTGATGACGTCAGCCCTGCACAGAGTTCCTTCTCCATGGAAGGAACCCCTGGTCCCAGCGCTGGTGCCTCCCCTCAGCAGCCCACGTGTTCTCCAGGACCAGTCCCCAAGCTACCTGTGTCTTCCCAAGTCCTCAGCCCAGGTAGTCTCCCACCCCGAGTCCAGGAGGCCTCTGCGCACGGCCCCACGTGGGCGTTTGTGCCCGGCGGCTGCTGTCTTGGCCTCACCCCTCTCACTCCCGCCCCCGGTGCGGCATCTTCATGCTGCTGGCAGTTAGAAGCAGGACCCTCAGTGGCTGCGGGGAGGGGTGGGCCTGGCCTTCCCTCTCAGGGTCCACTGTATCTTTCTTCTGTAAGCTTTGACAAGATACGTTCTTTTCATTTTTAACTTAAAAAGTTATCCCTGGCTAGTGTGGCTCAGTGGGTTGAGCAACAGACTGCAAACCAACAGGCCACTGGTTTGATTCCTGGTCAGGGCAGGTGTCTGGGTTAAGGGTCCCCACTTAGGGGCACGTGAGAGTCAACGGATCGATGTTTCTCTTACACAGTGACATTTCTTTCCCTTTCTCCTCCTTTCTATTCTCTCTAAAAAATAAATTAAAATTTTAAAAAATAAAAACTGAAAGAATAAGGCAGGGAGTGTCCAACCCCTGGCCTGTGGGCTGCATGTGGCCACGGACGTGGCCCGACATACGGCCCTAAGTTCACTTCAAACACAGGGTTTTGTGTGTGTGCGACTGTGTCCCAATGTGTTGAACGTGTCGCGCGAGACAACTCTTTTCCTTCCAGTGTGGCCCAGAGGTGCCGCAAGGTGGGACGCCCCTGGTCAGTAGGGTCCGCCCCTTCCAGTGTCAGGCCGGCCTCCCTCACCACCTGGCCGACACCCCCCCCTCAGGAGGCCGATGGGCAGACGTGGACCCAGTGTCCCCACGTCCCTGCCAGCCTTTAGGGTCTGTTGGACCGTGTCTACTTTACTCCTGTCCCCTCACCCCCCTCTGGCTGTCCTTGTCCTTTTTTCTTTCTTGATATGCTGGTGGTGGGTTGTGGGCTTTTAAAAAACTTTTTTAAGAACCTTGAAAAATGTCAAAGCTACAAAATCAGAATCTGAGGGGCCCCACACACCAGCCCCGGCTCCAGCAGTCAGCACCGTGCAGTCGTTTCCAGTCCAGTCGTTCCCCCACCTCCCATGTCAGAGCAGCTCCCGGAGGCCATCTCTCCTGTCCACGCGCCAGTGGTGTCTGCACAGGCACTGATGTTCCTAGACACGCATTACTGCAGTCACAAAAGTAGCAGTGATTCCTTAATATCTTCAGAAATCGCAGTCCACGTTCCAGTTGCCCTGATTGTGTTAAAAATGTCGTTTCCAGTTGGCCTCAGCTGATGAGCGCTGCCTCGGTGTGGCGTGTCTCATGTCTCGTTTCACCTGTCACGTCCACCTTCCCCTGGAGGTACTGAAGAGACCAGGTTGCCAGTCCCACGGAGCTCCCTCCTCGACCTGCCTTACTGCCCCCTTGGGGCACTCTTCATCTCCACCTGTGTTTCCTGTAAGCTGGTCACTGGTGAAGGGGCCTCCCAGGGTCCAGTGCCATGTCCTTGCAAGTCTGCTTTCCATGGAGGCCATATACCTTCAGCACGTCAGGAGGTGTGAAGGTGGGTCCCTGGTTCAGCACTGGCAGCTTGTTGATGCAGAATGGAGATCCCTGCTTAGGGCCCAGATCCATCAACTCACAAGGGACACACCTAGTTTCCAATGGCCCACAGTCAAGGTTCTGCTTCCCCTGACTCACTCCATGGTCACCGGAAACGCCCTCCCCACCACAGGCAAGGCCAGTGTCAACTTGTGCCTGTTCTTTCCTTGCCTTGTGCCCTTGTAGCAGGAGCCTGGCCTCACGTGCTTGGAAGCTGAGCAGCACGCTCTGCTCATGGGGCCTCATGTGTTTGGTGGTTCCCTCTGCTGCTGTTGGTGTCCTGGTCTTAGGCCAGTGGGACCCCTTTCTGCTCGGCTGCTGTGCCCTTCAGACCAGTGTGGGTCCATGTTCTGCTTCAGTCTTGGACTCAGTCATTTATCCCAGGTCTCCTGGTCCCTTTCTGTGCAGAGTGGAACTGAGAGCCCAGTGCAGGAAGCGCGGGGCCTGCTGTTACTGGGTGTCAGGTCTGTGCAGTGGGCAGAACTAGGAAGTTAGATTTAAAACAACTCACGAGTTTACACCATATTTCCTGTTCAAAGAAACAGAGTTGCATAAAAATGAAAACACAAGGCTTTTACCTCTGCTTGTATCTTTATGATGGAAATCTTGGCATTAATATGGTTATTATTTACTCTGCAATGCACTGGCAGTTTAAAATACTGTAAAATAAGCAACAGTACTACTAACATTGAGATCACTAAGTACAGCTTAAACTTTCCTGGCAGTCCCTTTCATCCTTTGAAGCGATCCCACTAGGAGTGAAGAGTCAGAACTCTGTCTTAAAATCACTTAAAATGGCACTTTTTCCCTGTGTGGTTACACCAACAACATGAGAAGGAAGTTTCAGTTTGCTTTCACTGTCACCCTAGCTTTTCCTTGGGTGTCACGGAACAGCGTCGTCTCGCTCTCCGACGTACACAGGAGCCTTCAGAGGTGTCCACACCGTCTCCGGGCCTTTGACTTCCTTGCTTTTGTTCCCTCCTCACGTAGTTAACGCTTTTATTAGTTTTATTTATTTTTAAATATAAGAAAATAGGTAAATATATTTCCCTTTCCCACTCTCCTACATTGAAGAGATACCCAAAATGCTGTTGTTCACATTATGTTTTTAAAACAGCTTTATTGAGATGTAATTTATATACCACATGATGCACCCATTAAAGCATGCTGCTCGTTGTTTTTTAGTGCAACACAGGTGTGTGTGTCCATCATGAGTCAGTCTCAGTAGGCGCCTGTTAGCCGCCACCCCCAGACTTCCCCACCCCCACTAGTCCTGAGCCGCCACCGACCCTCTACCTGTCTGTACGTCGCCCGTTCTGGACTTTGATGTGAAGGAATCGCACTACTTGTGGTCTTCGGGACAGGCTGCTTTCGCCCGGTTTGACCTTCTCGAGCCCCCGTGGTGCAGCTTGATGGGACTCACTCCTCCCGTGGTCAGCAGTGTTCCGTTGTGTGGACGGACCACATTCTGTCTCATCCTTCGGTTGACAGACGGGTCGTTTCTGGCCTTTGGTGATTGTGAACCATGCCGTGAATGTTTGTGTGTAGCTCCTCGTGTGGACACGTGTGTTGGCTTCTCGGATGCACACCCCCGCAGCAGTGGCGCCGCTGGGCCACGTGGGGACTCTGCGTTTGGTTCCCTGAGGGACGGCCAGGCTTCCTGCCCACAGTGGCTGCACGTGGATGTTCACGCCAGCAGCGAGCGAGGGTTCCAGTCCCCCTGCGTCCTTCCGTCTGTGACTGCGGCCGTCCTGGCGGCTCTGAGGGGCAGTTCCAGTGCCCGAGGGCATCAGCATCTTTTCCTGGGCTTGTTGGCCATTGTGTGTTTTCCTGGGAGAAGCGTCTGTTCAGAGTCTTTGCTCATTTTTTAAGTTATTTGTCTGCTTGCTATTAGTTGTGTTTTTTTATATATTGTAGATAAATTACTTTTTCCGATATGATTTGCAAATGTCTTCTCCCAGTCCATGGGCTTTTGTTTCACTTCCTTTGAGGAATAAAAACTTTTAAATTCTGATGAAGTCCAGTTTGCCTTTTAATTTTGTTGCTCATGCTCTTGGTGTCAGAGCTAAAAATCCCTTGCCAACTCGGAGGTCATGGAGATTTACCCTATGTTTTCCTCTAAGAGTTTCATAGGTTTAGCTCTTACATTTAGGCCTTTGAGCCGTTTTCACTTCTGGGTGACGTGAGGCAGGGGTTCAGCTCCCTTCCTCCGGGTGTGGGCGCCCAGCTGTCCCAGCTCCGTTTGTTCAAAGGGCTCTTGTTTCCCTACCAAGAGGCCTGGGCACCCTGGCTGAAAAAGTCAGGTGGCCGCTGGTGGCAGGCCTGTTCCACTGACTGCAAACTGTACCAGGGACACACCGGCCTGGTGGCCGCTGCTTCACAGTGAGTTTCGAAATGGGGTGTGCAGGCCCTCTGCTTCTATAGGATTGTGTTTGCTCCCCCAGATCCCTTCCAACTCCACATGAACTTAAGACACTATACATGACAATTGTCCAGAGATATTTTGCGGCCGCATGAACCCTGTCAGCTGCCCTTACCCCCTGCACTTGGAATACCAGGCTGCGGAGACACGGCCGATGGCCCTGCTGCTCAAGGGCAGCGGCCCTCAGCCTGTAGCCCACACAGCAGGGTTTTACCAGAGTGCCACCACCGTAGGCTCGTCCTGCACGGTGGTCTCCCCTCGATCCTGACCTGATACACACACTTCAAAATATACAACCAGGGAGAAGGCAGGCTGGCGTGGGGGCAGGGCAGGGGGCTGCTCCTGTGTGAGAGTAGATCCCAGAGCTGCCCGCTGTTGCTGGGCAGGCTGCCTCTTTCTGGGCGGCAGCTCCCCAGACCACCTGTGCCGGTGCTGGGGGCCAAGGCCCAGGCCGCCCGAAAGCCCTGCAGGGGGAGTCTGAGGAGCCTCAGTGCTCCCTCCAAATCCCTGACAGCAGGTGACAGGCCTGGGAACCTTCCTCTTCTCCTCACCAGAGCCTTCCTTAACTGTGCTCTTGGGGTGCCTGGGGCTCTCTGGGGTCCTCCTTCCTTGAGAAAGAAAAGTGTAGCAGCTTCTAGAGAGGAGAAGCTTATCCTACAAGGAAACAAGAATAAGACGGCCACCAGTGACAGCACAGACAGAGGGTGACCGCAGAGCAGCATGTGAAGCGCCGGAAGGAGGGAACTTTGAACCCTGAGTTTCATACCAGGGTATAAAGTAGAAGAACCAGGGAGAGCATTTCCAGGCCCACAGGGGACTCAGGAGTTTGGCCAGATCGAGTGCCAACCGGCACTTTGTGAAGCTGATGTGCTGATCATACACTTTTGCAAAGGGCCGGGCACAGCACAGACACCGAGGGGCCAAGTGAGAGGACCGGCCCTGCAGGATGGCACGCCTTACCGCAGAGACTGCCGTGAAGTCATTGCTGTGGGCACAGTGACAGCGAAGCCCTGGAAAGGACAGGTGAGTCCAGAGTCTCTGGCCGGGACCAGTGGAGCAACACTCGACTGCAACACGTCAGTGCGAATCGGCCTGGCAGGTGCGCTTCACACCTGCTCCACCAGGCCCTGGCGAGGCTGTGGATCGATCACCCTGGACCCCGCTTGAGGGGCTGCAAGCAGAGAGCTCCTTCATGGAAAACAGTGGAGCCATCCCTGCCCTTGGGAACTTCTCGCGTCCCCAGTCCTGCCACTCCCTCACCTGGGCCTGAAGACTCCTGCTTGAGCGTCAGAGTGGCTCTGCTGAGGACCCCCGAGTGCCTGCGTGCCCTCCGGGCAGAGAGCAGCCCAGCCTCGGTGAGTCTCCGTCGGACGGACGCCCAGCAGTGACAGTGAGTGGGCAGCGGCTGCCCGTGGTGGCCCCGGCCACCCGCAGGGAAGCCTGGCCGACTGTAAGTCTGAAATGGCACCCAGCCAGATGCTCCCTGTGACGCCACCTCCCACCCCCACCACCGATGCTGCCTGGCTCGTGGGGAGTGGACACGGACTCAGGTTCCGGGTCAGCGGGCCGTTCACCCAGCAACAGTCCCTGACTGAACAACTGTACGGAGGCGCAGCCCGGCCCGGCCCGACTGTGATGGGGACTGAAGCCCGGGGCCGACGGTGCGCACCTGCAGGCCCTAGCGGTGTTTTCTTGTCACCGCCTCCAATCAGCCCCACTGTGGCCGCCCCAGAGCACGCGCGCCTTGCATTACGCAGCACCGCAGGTGGCAGTGATGCCTGGGACCCGGGAAGGCGGTTCCCCTCCCTGGAGTTCCGGAGTTTTATGGTGCAAACCAGCTGACACGCCACCGTTGGTGGAAACGCCAGCCAGCGGCGGCCCCTCACTGCTCTGTGACTGATGGCCTTAGCTGCCCCGGCCTCCCTGCAAACCGGCCCTCTTGGAGTCACGCGGTGGACGGCCGCCTTGGGCCTCGCCTGCACTGCGGCATCACCGTTGGCAGGTGCACCCTGTGGTGCAGGTGCGGGGAATGCACAGTGTCCTGGGGGCTGGCAGCCGGCATACAGTGACCTGCACCCTCAAAGGGGGCGTCCTGGGTGCTGGGCTGCTCGCTCCTGCGGACTCTGCCCTCTTCAGGCCCAGTCTCAGCCTGTAGCTGACCCAGTAGAAGGCCGCTGGGCCCTGGGAGGACTGTCCCTAGAGAAACACGGTCCTGAGGGTTAGAGCGAAGCAAAGGGAGAACGGTGCCCGGCCTGTGCTGACACCCTGCAGGGCTACACCAGCCAGGACTCTCCTGAGGGAGGGTGGGGACAGGTTCGGGAGTCTAAGCCCGCTGTCAGCAGGGGCCCTGCTGGCCCTACACAGCGCTCCCTGCCCACCGACTCCTTCCCTGCTGCCCAGCAGGCTCCTCTGAGGGACGGCTGGGGTCGGGGGCAGGTGGGCCCTGCCCTGTGCAGACGGATGGGGCAGGTCTGGGCAGCTGGTCTGTAACAGGAGAGGGTGCCCATGCCGCCTCTCCTGGCTGGGACGTCTGGCTGCCCCGGGGCGGGGCCCTGTGCCTCCCACTCCCACTCGGGGTGCTCAGCCCTGGAAGTCTGTCCCTGTTGACTTACTTCCCATGTCCTTGTCGCTGTCACGTTCGGGAAGCTGGGGGGCCAGGCTGGCCTGCTCAAGGGCGTCTTCTGGCTGCACCAGCACCGTGGGTTCTAGGAGAAACCGGGACCTGCAGTGCTGACCACGTGGCCTGCTGCCTCAGGCCCAGGACTGCCCCTGCGCTGCCCTCCTGAGCTGCTTCTCCCCCAGGGTGAGGGGTGGAGGGGCTGTCCCTGTGGGGAGCCCTGCGTGGTGGGAGCAGGACATTCACTTACCCTCCGGCCCCAACGTGGGCACAGCACCCACGGGCTGGCACTCTCTCCCGCAGGACCTGCTTTTCCCCAGGCCCAGCCCTCGGCTCCGGCCCCGCCCTCTGCAGGGACTGGCTTCCACCGCCGCCCCAGCGGAAGCTTCTCAGAGAAGGTCGGCAGCGGCCTGAGGCAGGGCCCCACCCCTGCCCGACCCCCTGGCCTCCGCCTTCCAAGCAGCCTTCCAACCCTGCTCTGCTCTCCTGCCGCCCTCGGCTTCTTGGGGGGCAGTCCTACCTCCTCCCACCTCGTATCTGCACTCGGCCACCGCTTACTGCAAGTCAGCTTCTCGCAGGTCCCTGCCGGCGCCCTCCCCCATCCCGGTCCCCACAGACTGCGGACACCCTGCCCTCCCTCATCACGCCCTGGCGCACGCTGTCCGCCTGCTCGGGAACACTGTCGTTGGAGGAGACGTCTCACTGGGTGCTGATGAGGTTGTCTGCCCGGAATTCTCCGAGGGTGCTGAGGGCAGGGCCTGGCGAGCCTGGGGCCTCCCCCATCTGGATTTCAGAGTGGGGGGCCCTGCTGTGCTAGGTGTGAGGGGCCAGGGTGTCCGGACCTGTCACTCACGCATGCCCTGTGCCTCTGGGCTGGGTAGGGAGGCGCAGTGGGTGCTGCAGGTGGCCCTACTAGTTCGGGCCCGGCAGGACCTAAACCCAAAGGCTCTGCTCCTACCTGGGTCATGACCTCAATGTGATGGGCCGTGAGCTCCTGGGACCGTGATGTGCGTGCCCGCCGCCTGCTGCTTGTTCTACTGTGCAGGCTGGCGCTGGTCTGAGCGGCAGCACCTCAGACCGAGTCATGTCCCCCCGTCTACGCTCTCCAGCAACGCGCAGGACCTGGCTCGGCCTGAGATGCTTCTAACACACTCACTGTTGTCCTGTCACTTGCTCGGCCAGCAGCCTGCACCCTCACCCACACGGCTGCCTTGGGGAAGCCCCTGTGACTCCAGGAGCATGGACACTGCATGTTGGCCCCGTGGCCCAGGGCCTCTGGTGCCATCCTGCGCTGGGGCCAGGTGGGTGGCAGTGAGGCCACTAGGGTGGACTGAGGCACTCACGTGGTCTCACGGGGACTGACTGGCCAGGGGAGCCACCGAGCTTGGCACTCACTCGTCCTCTGCTGTCCACGAGCTCCGAGAACCTGCTGGCAAAGTCACCAGGGTCACCACGTAGAGCTCTGTGCCTGGGGCCGCACCAGGTGACCCCGGGGGGCTGATGGCAGAGCTGTGTACCTGGGGGCCTGGGTTGGCATTTCAGGGGCCCCTCGGTCGTTGAGCAGACGCAACTCTGGCAGGCGCCCAGGGGCCGGTCTGTTTCTGAGCACCCGTGGGTGTAGTCCTTCCCGGTGCCAGCGTCTGTCAGCACTGTCCCTTGGGGCTGAGGGCGGCAGTGGGCGACATGGAGGGGGGGTGTCGGCCACGTAAGGCAGGTCTGAGGCTTCCCTTTGCCTCACCCCACCCCACTGCCCCAGTGCCCAGAGAGAGCTGAGGGGACTGGACTGTCCCTGTAGTCAATGGCATCTTTGTGGCCGAGAAGCCCTGGAGCCCACTGCCCCCAAGGAGGAACCACGGTGTCCCTGCTGGGGAGCAGACACTGCTGGGCCATGTTGAGGGGCTGGTCTGGGCCCAGGTTCCCTACCTTTGGGGTTGGTGGAGGCCTCACCCGACACTTGCCCCAGAGTGATGCTGCTCTGTGGGTTCTTGTCGCCTGATCGTGTCTCCCAACTACACGATTCAGTCCCCTCCCTGGGAACTCCCCCATCTGGCCAGCTCACAGAGGGGCCAGTGCACCTGGAGCGGAGCTGGGCCCCGCTCCCCGGGCAAGCTGCCGCTCAGACGCGCTGCCTCCCACGCTGCCTCGAGGAAGCTTTAAAGCACGAGCAGGGCCCTGTGGGAGCCCAGTGGGACCTGAGGGGCCTCTGTGCATTTCGGGGTGAGCCTTCCTCCTTAGTGTGGCCCTTTGGAGCCTCCCTGCTCCCAAACTGCACCCTCTTTCTGTGCCTGTCCTGGCCTCTGTCCCCTGCTGCTGTCCAGCGATTCCTCGTGGTCGGCCTGGCTGCGAGGCTGCTCCCTGGGCCCTCACACTGCCCGTTCTCAGCACCTGTTTTCAGTGATGCCTGTGATCACTGCTCAGCTTGTCTGGGGCCCACAGGGGTGGACGGCACAGGTGGGGAGCGAAACGCTCCTTTCCGAGTCCTATTGTGTTGGCACAGCACCAACCGGGTGAACCCACTGCTTCTCACACGCGAACTCTCCCGTGGTAACACGGTCCTGTTCTAGGCCGCTTGTCTGACATCCCTTGGACAGTGTGGTCATGCCGGGCGAGGGTCTTGGGGAACAGGTGGCCCACACGGCCACCCTGGGCCCGCAGCCCTGCACTCACGGGTCATGATAGAAAGGTGTGCAGGCTCGCTGTGCAGCTCACTGCCCTCAGCGCCCTGCACGGCCGTCACCGAGAGCTGGTGCCGCCTCCCAGGCAGCAGGTCCCGCACCGTGTAGGAGACCAGCCTCCCGTTGGGGATGTAGCGGCTCTTGGTGCTCTGGCTGGTGGTCACGTTGATGACGTATGCCTCCAGGGAAGTGCCCGGAGTGGGGGCATCCCAGACCACGTGGGCGGAGGTGGCCGTGACTCGGGCAGCGGTCAGGTTTGCTGGTGGCAGAGGCCCTGGAAGCACAGGGAGGGGAGGCAGGTGAAGGGGACTGATGGGGCTGCACACTCGGGGCGGTTCAAAGACCCGACACAGACTGCCAGCACCTCATCCGAGGTCGGGTTTAGTTACTATAGCTGTCGCCGTGGTCCTGGGGACTGGGGGGTGCCTGCTGTACCTCCTCCTGCCCCGAGCGGCGCCCCCACAGTGCCACCCACCAGCACCCAGCACGGCCCCAAGCCTTCTCACCATCAGCACCCCCTCTGTGTGAAACTTCTCACATGCTTGAGCCTGGCCACACACCCCTTCTCCTGGGATGCAGCTGAGGGGCGTAGGGCCCGGCACGCAGGGTCCAAGTGAGGACTTAAGCCTGGGCCGACTCCCTGCCCCATCTGGCCAGGCCCTGCTCACACCTTCCCTCAGCCAAGACACTTGTCCCTGCCCCCCACCTGGTTTGCATGTTCATCATCAACAGCATGGTGCCCGTCCGACCCATGAACTGGGGAAGAAGGGGCAGTGAGGGCCGGTCTGGTCCCCATGAGACATCACGGAGCTGCGCAGAGTGGACAGCGTGGCATCCTCGCCAAGGCTTCTCTGCCCCTTCTCTCAGTGACCCCGTCGTGAGAAGCTCACGAGCCACTGGGTATGAAGGGCATCCCCGCAGGAGGGGACGAGTGCTCCGGGCCCGCCACCAGGTGGGGCACACACAGCCAGGGCTGAGGCTCTGGTGTGGCGGCCTCTTTGGGGAGGGTGGGGCGGGGGTGGGGTGGAGAGCCCCCGAGGGCCCCGCCCTCGTGTGCGGCCGCATCGTGCACTCACGGGTCCACACACGCAGTGGGGTGGAGGCCAGGCTCTCGGTGCGGTGCTCCTGCCCCCCAAGGCCGCTGAGGGTGGTCACCCGGATGGCGTACCTCCTTCCGGGCAGCAGAGCCCTGCAGAGAGAGAGGACAGGACGGTTTCGGGCCTCATGTCCAGCTCTTCCCTGGACTGAGGCTCCTCCACAGCAGGGCTGACTGGGGCCGTGGGTGGCCCCACTGCTGATGGCCCTGGTGGCCTCTGTGAGGGCGGGTTGTGGCCGAGACCTGGGTGCTCCTTGGTGGGAAGCCGCTGTCTGGTGCAGCAAGAGGCCGGGGGGTGCAGGCTTGTGTTCAGATAGCAAAAGGGCCCGTGGCTGGAACTCCCAGGAGGCCTCACTGCCCCTCACGTTTCTGCGAAGGGTGGGTCACGCCTCCTCCTGGAGCCTGGAGCCTCCCCAGGCAGAGGGCACCCGGGACCAGCCCCACGACCCTGGGTCCCACGTCTCCCGTGGGCCCCTCACATGTGTCATCACAGCTGCTGCTCCATGGGGGGCAGGGGGCTCTGGGAACTCACTCCACACCCCTAATTCTCCATGTGGGCCTCTCCCCTCCCGTGTGCAGTGACGTTTCTCTGTCATGGGTCAGCTGTGCCTGTGGCCTCGGTTGCATCCTGGGAGACCTCCCAGCGAGCCAGGGGTCGTCTTGGGGACCCCAACACAGTCATATCATTCTTTGAAAGTGGGCAGGATGCGAATCAAGAAAAGTCACAGTAGAGACTTCCGCCAAGATGGAGGCATAGGTGGATGTGCCGTGCCTTCTCACACAACCAAGTTTAGAGACAACTGAATATTAGCAACAGAAAACACAGTCAGAACACGGAAAATTGAACTTTTCGGAAGTCCGTTAACAACAAATTCTTCAGCCTGACCGCGTCATAACCCAGCGACTCTGAGTGGCCCAGCCCAGGTGAACCACCTAAGGCGCTGCTCCTCACCGAGCTGTGAGAAACAGCAGAGGGGGCCGCCATTTCCCTGCTCTGGCCACGCCCCCACATACAGCGTCACAACCCCGCGACCTGGGAGTCCAAGGCGCCGCTTCTCACACTTAAAAGGCGCGAACAGACCAAAAATGGCGCAAGAAGATCTCAAAGCCCCAGAGCCTATAAATCTAAGCTATGAAGAAATAGCAAAACTCTCAGACGCACAGTTTAAAACACTGGTGATCAGGATCCTCACAGAACTGGTTGATTATAGCCACAAATTAGACAAATATATGAAGGCGAAACTAATTGAAATGAATGGAATTGCACAGGACACCAATAGTGATGAAAAGGAAACTGGGACTCAAATCAATGGAGTGGACCAGAAGAAAGCAAATAATGGCCAAACAGAAAAGAGTGAAGAAGCAAGAATTCAAAGAAATGAGGAGAGTCTTAGGAACCTCCAGGACATCTTTAAACGCTCCAACATCTGAATTATAGGGGTACCAGAAGGGGGAAAGGAACAGCCACCAGTGGAAAACTTATTTGAACAAATAATAAAGGAGAATTTCCCCAATCTGGCAAAGGGAAATAGACTTCCAGGAAATCCAGGAAGCTCAGAGAGTCCCAAAGAAGTTGGACCCAAGAAGGAACACACCAAGGCACATCATCATTACATTAGCCAAGATTAAAATGAAGGAGAGAATTCTGGAAGCAGCAAGAGCTAAGGGGACAGTCACCTACAAAGGAGTCCCCATCAGACTGTCAGCAGATTTCTCAAAAGAGACCTTACAGGCAAGAAGGGGCTGGAAAGAGGTATTTCAAGTCATGAAATCCAAGGACCTACAACCAAGATTGCTCTATCCAGCAAAACTTTCATTTAGAATGGAAGGACAGATAAAGTGCTTCTCAGATAAGATCAAATTCAAGGAGTTCATCATCACCAAGCCCTTATTATATGAAATGTTAAAGGGACTTATCTAAGAAAAAGAAGTTAAAGAAACATGAACAGTGAAAGGACAACAAACTCACAGTTAGTAACAACCACACCTAAAACGAAAGCAAACTAAAAGGGCAGCTAGATCAGGAGTGGAAACATAGAAAGGAAGATCTCAAGGAGGGTTAGCAACAGGGGAGTGGGAGGAGGAGAAGGGGGGGAGAAGGTACAGAAAATAAGTAGCATAGACAGTAGATAGAAAATAGATGGGGGGGGCAAGAATAGCATGGGAAATATAGAATCTAAAGAACTTGAGACACATGGTCATAAACTAAAGGGGGTAATGGTGGGGATGGGGGGGGTAGGGTGGAGGGGAATGAAGGGGGGAATAGAACAAATGTAACAGCATAATCAATAAAAAAAAAGAAATAAAAAAAAAAAGAAAAGTCACAGTAGCTCTTAAGGAACTAGAGTCTCGTCTCCAGCACAGACGACCATCTGGTTAGAGACAACAAACATGGCTGGAAAGAGCTGGTCTCGATGAATCTGCAGATCAGAGATGTTCAGGTGTGCGTGTAGGCCAAAGGAGGCGCGGGGCCCCCGCACTCCACACACTCCTCCCGTGACCGTGGCCCCCCACCTGCCTGGGCTGCCGCACTGTCTTGCTGAGCCCATCTGGACATCCGTCGTCAGAGGCGGTCACTGGGTGGGGGTCTCCTCTGCCACAGCTGCGGTTGCTCTGCAGGCCCCCGAACCCGGGGCCCTGTGTGGCCGGGGCCGTCCCTCCCCGGACACTGGCAGCCCCTTCCTCGCTCTCCTGTCCACCTGCCCACGCAGGGTCAGAGCAACCCAGGGCCCCGTCATGCACCTGACCCCAAGGGCCTTGCGCCTGAGACCCCATGTGGGTCATGAAAGGGGTTGTTTCAATCAGCAGTTCATTTGAGTTTTCATTATTCTCGATCATGACCTTGTAACAACTGGGCACAAGAAGTTTATGTGCTTAGCTGAAGGTTCGAATGCATCGCTTGCCTGTTCTTTCCCTCTCAGGGCATCTGTGTGACTGGAGTGGCCGCCAGGAGGCCAGTCTGCCTCACTCTGTGCAGGAGGACACCGCCCCATGTTTCTGGGCGCCCCTGCTCTTTTGGGACCTTTAAACCCCCATCGGGCAGCCCCATGAGGAGGCAGAGTGAGCCGGGGCCGAGGATGGCCATGCGCGGTGTGGACAGCCAGGTGCCGGGAAGACAGGAGGGCTGGGGGGACAGGGGGAGACTGGCCAGCCCCTCACCCAAATGTGAACGTGTCCACACTCCTGTCCACATCGGTGGACTGGTCCTCTGGGGCCTCGGGATGGCGGATGGACACGCGGACACCGCTGACGGTGGCGTGGCGGGTCCTGTGCAGAGCCCACCGCACGGAGATGGCGCTGGCCGTCACGTTGGTGACCTCAAGGCCCTCGACAGGGCGGGGTCCTGGGGGGCAGAGGGTTGCTCAGCCTCGCCAGCACCTCCTCACTCCTGGGGGCGCTCAGGGAGGTGCTGGGGGTCAGAGAGGTGCCGAGTGAGGCAGCAGCCCGCCGACTCCTGCTGCGTGGGTCCTTTGGCCACAGCGGGGACTTGGTCCGGTGGACACTCTTCAGGCACCTGCCTGGGCCAGCCAATTCCACCAGAGGCCAGTGGGTGGGGGCAGGGTCCTTCCTATCACCTGCTGAGCCTGGCTCTCCCCTGTCTTTCTCTGGCTGACTGGGCAGTGCTGGGCCTGCTGCCTGAGGCCAGGAGAACGCTCCACAGCCCAGGGAAGGGGCTGGGCGTGGGCCAGATCCAGACCAAGCAGACTGGGATGATGCCGCAGCGCCCTAGTCCAGTGGGCAGTGGTTCCTCCTGCCCCACCTTAGTGTCCTGGTGGAGACCCCATTCTGATGGGGGAGGGGCCCCTTTTCCTGGCAGACCCCGTATCGAGCAGCCTCAAGAGCACTTCTTCCTAAAGCCAAGCTCCACATGAGCTCTCTCCTCCTCTGAGTCCCCAGCACCCCTTCCCCGCCCAGGCTGCGTTCCGCAGTGCGCTCCACCACCCCCAGGCACCCCACCACGTCCAACTGCCCTGCCCCAGGACAGCCTTCCCCGCTGTCCCACTGGCTCACCATCCTTCCCATCGCTACCCGCTCCGCAGCTGACACCTGGCCTGTGTGGGCTGGCTCACCTGGGCACCGTCTCACGGGGCACCCCACCCTCCTCCCCAGCCTGTTCCCCTCCCACCTCTGCGCCTGGCCTGCGTCCGGGGCAGACAGCGCCTGGGTGGACTCACGCGTGCGGGCGAGTAGTGCCACAGGCCTGCTGATGTCATTCCGGTTGGTGTTTCGTTTAACCGAGAAGATGGAGATGTTGTAGGCCCTGCCGGCCGCCAGGGCCCGCAGCTGGTGTGAGGAGCGGCTCTGGTCCACAAAGTCAGTGCGGCGGAAGGAGCCGTCAGAGGAGGCGTAGGTGACTGCGTACCCGTCCAGCATCTGCCTGGCGGCCTGGCCTTCAGGGGGGTGCCAGGAGATGGAGACCCCACTCTCCTCCACTCGGTCCACCTTGAGGGCCGTTGGTGGGAAGAGCTCTTCAGGGTTTCAGTCAAGAACAAGGGAACGGGGTGGTCAGCTGTGGGCCATCGAAGCCCCGGCCCCCCAAGGCGGTGCCCAGGCTGGTGACTCTAGGGCCTGGCTACTCTGGGGCAGACGTGGGCACTGCTGGTGGGGACATGCTCCTGGCACCGCAGGGGACCCCTTCATCTTGTCTCTGGGCCTTGCTGTGGAGGGGCTCGTGTGCACGTGCGACCCTGTTTAAGCCTCCCAGGGCTCACGTGCCCCTCCTCGCTTCTTGGGCACAGGCGGGTAAGCAACTGTTCAGATGCTCTGCCCTTTGTGGGGAAGCCCTTGGACCCTTGGTCTGTCCTCTGGGGTACCTGCTGCCCCTGAGGGGAGAAGGGGCCTCCAGCACACCTTGGTGGTACCCGCGTGCCTCACCTTTGGCACAGTCCTTGCCCGTGTAGCCCACTTTGCAGGTACAACTGTGGGACCCATTGCTGGCCAGGCAGTAGCCACGGCCCCCACAGGGGCTGAAGAAGCAGGGATCACTCACTGCGGGACAGGGAAGCAGCGGTGAGCTCTGGGGTGTGGCCAGGCTCCCCCGCCCTGCTCCCCGCTGTGGCCCGGGCCTTGCTCCTGGGGGAGCGGGTTGTTCCTGTGTGGGTGGGCTTGAGGGTGGACACGGTGGTGCTATCAGACAGATGTGGGTGGTGGGAGAGGAGAGGGAACACTCGGGATGGGGGGGCAGGGCCCACAAGAGGTCCGGCAGGTACGGCCTCTGGACTCCGAGCCAGGTCATCCTGCCACAGCCCCAAGCCAGGGTGCCCTGGTGGGCAGTGAATTGGGGTGGGGGGGACACAGTGCTGATCCCTCCATGGCCTCCCCCTGCACTGCAGCTGTGGGTGCCCCTTGTGGACCCGAGGTCCTGGGCCAGGACAGCACCTGCAGCCCCCAGCGCGGCCCCAGGAAACACTTGCAAACAGACACCAAGTCACTGATCACTGTCACAGAGGCTGCCCTGTCCTCTGGGGCCCCTGCCTGCCCCAGGCCTGGACAAAGACAGTCCCCCTGTGCTTGTCCCCAGGCAGGCTCCTGTGCACCGCAGTCCTGGGTCACAGACCTTGTCCTTAGGAGCCCCACCCACCCTGTGCAGCTGAGTGCTGCCAGCCAGGCCCAGCAGGGGGTTGGGGTGTACCTGCCCCGAAGGCCAGGCCTGTTCTAGGAGGGTGGCGTGACCACAGGTGGGAGCAGTTCGGCTGAGACAACCCCAAGGGCAGGGAGTGGGGGAGGTGGTGTATATCAGTGGTCAGGGCAGTCAGGGCGGGGCCTCCTGGGAGGGAAGAGGCCCTGCCACAGGCTGATGGGGAGACGATTCCAGGCGTGGGGAACGGCAGCTGCTTGGACCCCAGGCCTGCAGTGAGCCTAGCTGCCCGGGGCGGCAGGGGAAGGGCATCTGGGCTCTGCCCCCACCTGTCTCACAGTGGTGGCCGAAGAAGCCCTCTGGGCAGATGCACAGGTAGGCCCCGCCGCCGTTCTCGCACCGGCCTCCGTGCTGGCAGGGGCTGGAGTCGCAGGCGTCCACCTCTGGAGAACACCCAGAGAGTGGGCCCGAGCGGCAAAGGGGTGTCTGGGGGAGGGAGGAGAGGACAGCGGGAAGAAGGGAAGGGGCGGCGGAGAGAGAGGCCAGGCAGGGGTGGCGTGGGCCCTGAGGGGCGAAGTCTCCCTCACCCTTGACAGACACTTGGCCCGCCCCTCACCCCTCACCTGTGGGGTCCTGCCCCCCAGGGGACCTGTCCAGCAGGGCCAGGGGGGCTGCCTCTCCCCTGTGCTCTCTGAAGGCCCAGGGTCTACGCTTGTAGAAGATAGGTTTTCCTGGGGTGTCTGAGGTGTCACAAGTGTAGGTGAGCACCTAGGTGCCTGGGACCCACCCATGCATAGCCCTGACCTGTCTTGCAGTGGGTTCCCATGAAGCCTGCAGGGCTCTGGCACCCACAGGCCCCTGGGAGGTCCCTCTAGGAGCCTCCATTTCTGCACTTGTTTGTCTCCCCAGAGACGGGACGCAGGGCTGCATGGGCCTGGAGGGGCCTACACAGGCTTACGCGACTGCCGGGCCCCGCCTCACACCTGCCTACTCCACTACCAACCCCACAGGGCCTGGAGGGGCCTACACAGGCTTACCCGACTGCCGGGCCCCGCCTCACACTTGCCTACTCCACTACCAACCCCACAGGGCCTGGAGGGGCCTACACAGGCTTACCCGACTGCCGGGCCCTGCCTCACACCTGCCTACTCCACTACCAACCCCACAGGGCCCGCACCCCAGGCTGTTCCCACACTCCATTGCTCAGGCTCTGCAGGGGCCTTGACTGGACATCCAGGCCTGGCCTCCCCTGGGGCTCGGACCCCAGCACTGGCAGCAGGGGTGGGCAGGGCTTGCCCCACAGCGCACCTGACACTCCCCACTCCCTCCACCAGTTTGGCACACCGGCCAGGCATCAGGACTGTGACCTGACCTCTCCAAGCCCCAGGCCAGAGTCTGTAAGAGCAGAAGGGGTCAGTCCGCATTTGCCAGCCGAGCTCCTAACCTCCCTGGGCAGGTGGAGAGAGCTGGCAGGGGCCTGGGCTCATGGGGAAGGCCCAGTCAGGGAGAGGAGTGGCTGGGGTAGGTGACCGCAGTAGGGGCACCGCTGTGCCTCACGCCATGGCCAGTCTGCCGGAGCTGCTGCCTCGTGGCCAGGATGTCTTACCCAACTCACAGCGGGCGCCTTCACGGCCTGGGCTGCAAACGCACAGGTACCCGGCGACTCCGTCCTGGCAGGAGCCCCCATGCAGGCACGGCTGGGACTGGCACTCGTCAATTTCTGGGAGAGAGGCGCACCCAGGTTGCAAGTGCCAGGAGAGACCCGAGAATAAAGCAATGTTGCCATTATTAGGGGCAGTGGCATGAAGCCGAGTTAGGATGGCCACAGGCGAGTGTGTCCCCAGGAGCTGGGTGGACTGTGAGGTCCCTGTGGCACTGGGAGACAGCAGACTCCAGGGAGGGCACCCATGATGGGAGGGACATGCACACAGCAGACCAGGGACTCAGTCCTGGGCCTTGTCCCTGGATAATGCTGTTGAGGGGACTCAATCCCACAGCTCCAGGTGGATGGGCCCAATCTTGCCAATTCAATACATAAGTCATGTATAAAACCAAGGAAGTGGGGTTGAGTCCTCTGCTTTAAAGTATTCATCCTGGTTTTCCTGAAACTGGGAGTTGTGCTGTTCCTGAATTCAAAATGTTCACTTCAGAAAAGTTTAATTTGAATGCTTAACATATAAGTGAATAAACGGTCATGACGTGACACTTGGGCCTGCACCCAACCTCAGTGCTGACAGCTTCCCAAGGTTGCGTGTGCTTCCCCACCCTGTGGGACAAATTACTGTGCGTCTGTGCCTCTTCAAATTTAAGTTTTATGAATTGCCTAAACAATACTGCATATAGCTTTGCTTTTGCTATTTATGAACTTTATTGATAGGATATTGTGGATGTGTTCTCTTCTCTGTCTACACTACGTTAACATTTCCCTGTCATTGTGGGTCTCTCCCTTTCAAGGTTGTATAGCATTCCACGGTGCGATCGTACCCTGCTTTATCCATCCTTGTTGTGTATATTTGGGTTGGTTCTAGACTTGTTGCTATCGCAGACGAAATGTTCCTGTGTCTTCTTTCCTGCTTCCTGGTGTGGATGTTCACGCACTTCTCAGATGCGCACCGAGAAGCGGAGCTGCTGGGACTCCGTGTATACGAACAGTCAGCTCGGCGGGCAGATCGCCACATGGTGGTCAATGTGCGTGAATAGTTCACACTTCCTCACAACCCTGTGCATCCGCATCCTCACCAGCACGTGGGCCTCCTTGACCTGGAAGTGGGGCCTACTGCACGCACGTCAGTGTGTTTTGATTTGCATTTGGGTGGTTGCTGCGTTCTGCACATTTGGTGGCTCTGTGTACCCTCTCCCATGAAACGCCTGTTCATGCGTTTTGCAAAATTTCCCGTTGGGCCCATTGTTTCTCATTGATTCATAACGTTCTCTGTGTATTCTCGAAAGCGCTTTGTAGCTTATACTTTACTTTCTTCTTTAAGGCTGATGAACTTAAGTTCCTAATTTTTGCACAGCAATTTGTCCATTTTTTTCTTTTATAGTTAATGCTCTTGTTTTTCTTGCTTAAGGACTCTTTCCTTACCCCAAGGCCAAAAAATTACTTACCTATATTTTCCGCACAAAAATGTATGGTTAAAAAAGCATTTAAATCCTTAATTCCCAAGGGAATTAGTTGTTGTGCATGGTAATAAGTGGGAAATCAGTGTAACATTTTCCCGAGTGTGTGACCATTTTATTCCAGACATCGCGAAGATTTTTCTCACGCTTTTTAGAGATATTTGTGGTTTTACATGTATGTCCATAATGAATTTCACACATAGAAGTTTTTCATGTTTGATACTATAATATAATTTTGTTTCACTTCCTTTCCCAAGAGTTCACTGGTAGAATCTGAAAATATAATTGGTTCTGTGTATTGACTGTATGCTGTGATCTAGTTGAATTCACGTATTAGTTCCATGGCTTCTTTTGTAGAATCTCCTCAGGATTTGCTGTTAATGATCGTGTCCTCTCTACTCCTTCCCTTTTAGTAGATACACCTTTTATTTCCCCTTCTTGTCTGTGGCCCATCTAGGTCCAGGATCATGTTGGGAGCAGAGGTGAGGTGGGCCCTTCACCTCATTACTGGCGATGGCAGAAAGCCTTTCATCATTAACTGTTCTGTCGGTTCTTGGGTACCCTTTATCAGGTTGAAGAAATTCTCTTCTCCTCTTAGTTTATTAAGAATTTTTAATAATGGTTGAATTCAGTCAAATGATTTTTCTGCATCTGTTGAGGTGATTGTGTGGTTTTCTCTTTTCTTTCCTAAGACGATGAATTACACTGACTGGTATTCACATGTCAAACCATGGCCTGATGTGTCATCTCTTTTCACATAGTGCTGGGTTTCACTTAGTAATATTTTGCTAGGGGTTTTGCATTTATGTCATAAGGAATGTGTTCTGATCTGTAACTTCATTTTTTATAATGTCTCTGTCTAGTTTTGGTCTCATGAGTAGAGAAATGCTCCTTCCTTCTGTGTTTTCTAGAGGCTCACACAGCACATTATTCCTTAAATGCTCGATAAAACCCACAAGTGTTCTGAAAATCTGACCCCTCCATTTTCTTTGCAGGAAGGTTTTTATTACAAATTAAACAAATTTGTAAATTTAAATATGAATAAGGGATATTCATATTTTCTATTTCTTCTCTTGCCAGTTCTGGTAATTTGTGTCTTGTCCTTGAACACCTTATTCATCCATTACTTCTAGGTTGTCAGAGATCTTGACCTAAAGTCACAATACCTTCTATTGTGCTTTAAACATTGGTAGGATCTTTAGTGATGTCTCTTCTGTCATTCTGATATTGCCAATGTTCCTTTTCTTTTTATTGGTTGGTCTTACTAGAGGTTTATCAATTTCACTGACTTTCCAAGGAACCAGATTACGGTTTCATTGATTCTTCTCGGTATATGTATTTTTATCATTAAATTCTCTAAATGTTGCTGATATATAAAAATGCAATTAATTTTGTTATAACCTATATTCACTAAACGTGTTACATTTCCTATCATTTTTTCAGTAGTTTGCCTGTAGATTAAAGATAACCATATCAGCCGCAAGCACTGACATTTTTACTTCCTTCTTTAGCATTTTGTGGCATTAATATCTTTTTCTTACATCACTGCACTGGCTAGTACTTCCAGTACAATACTGGTTAGACCTAGTAATAATGGGCTCCCATTTTAAGGGGTATATTTTTCTATTTAGGGTCATGTTCATTTGAGGTTTGAGAAGAGGCATAAGTAAGTTACCTCAGATGCTAATTTCCTTCCCCTGCTGTACCTCAGCATTACAGAACTGCGTTCGAATCCCAGATGAACTTCCTGTATAACGAGGATCAGGAAACTCTGTTCCACAGCTCTCTGGATACGGCCCGAACCGTTCACTGTCCTGCTCACAGGCTGTGGCCATCCTAGCTATGCCTGGCCAAAGTACACTTCTCTGTAGGGTAGCGAGCAGCTGGGGGCACATGGGCCCTACCCCTTCTCTCTCTTAAGTTTTCCCTTCAATAGAGCATTTTTTACCACCATTTGGCCCTAGAGGTGTGTGTGTGTACACATCCTGTTATTTTTATCTGGATAAGGAGGTACGTTTTTATTCCTTGCTTGGTAAGACTTTATTTCATGAATGGGCATGAATTTTGTCAAATGCTTATTGTGCATTTGTTGAGATTCTTACAATTTTTCTTCTTCAGTTGGTTAATATGGCAGATTTTTTTAGTATCAAACTATTCTTTCAGCAAGCCCACTTGTAGCGATGTAGCTAGTCTTGGTACACGGTTGAATTTCTGCGTTTCTGTTCGTATGTTTTATGGGCCTGTAATTCTACCCCCTCCGACTGTCCATACCTGGTGTTGGTTCAGGATTTCGCTGGCCTGGAAGGGGCTGTTCCGTGCACTGTGTGTCCCGCCCTCTGGAAAAGGCTGTCTGATGCTGCAGTGGTCTGTCTGTGCTGGGCTGTTTGGTAGGGTTTTCCTGTGTGGGCCTGGTATTTCTTTGTGGGAAAATGCTTCCATGTCTTTAAGTAGTGATAGAATTATGTAGATTTTCTATACTTCCTGAGTCATTTTTGGTAAGTTATATTTTTCTATGTATGTAATATCCATTTTTTCTAAGGCTTCAAATTTGTTTGTATAGACTGGTCAATAGTACTCCCTTATCTTTTGACTCTCTGGTGTGTCTATGGCTATCACCTGCTTCATATATAAAGATGTAAATTAGTGCTCTTTTTCTTTTCCTGATCAGTCTGGATAGAGATCTGCCCCCTTTAGTGAGCTTGTCAAAGAACTAAGGCCAGTGCTGTTTGTCTCGTCCATTGTGGCTTTGACTTGTCTCATTAATGATGGCACCTCCCTCCTCTCCCTTCCTCAGTGTCACATGTTGTCATCTTAACTTCTGGAGTTGGACAGTGAGTTCTTTCATTTTGAACTCTTCTAATGTGCGTGTTTAAGGCTCTAAATTTCCCACGGAGCATGGCTTTTGCTACATCATGTGTTTCGACGTAGAAAGTGATCATTATTACTCATTTAAACAGTATCACTGGCCATGTCATTTCTTCTTTGACTTATGAGCTATTTCAGTATCTTTAAAAATGTCTAAACAGAGAATTAGACATTTATCTTCTTGTTCTACAAAAATTAACTAATTTTTTTGTGTTTAGAGAATGAATTAGTTCAAATTGTTAACGATATTGTTCAAATCTTCTTTTTGCTGATTTATTTATCTATCTATTTATTTATTTTCTCTCCTTAACCTGAACTGAGAGGACATTCGAACTTCCCCCATATGTTGGTGAACCTGTCAGTTTCTTCCTCAGTCTGTTCATTTTTGCTTTGTATATTTTGAGACTGTTGTATTTGATGTTTCAATGTTTATAACAGTTGTAGCTTCTTGGTGAATTGGAAAGAACCTCCCCATCCATAATGATGCTTTCTGTCTATAGTCTATTTTGTCTGAGGGTGACGTAGCTACACCCACCTTATTTTGATTGGTATTCACCTGACTCCCCCATACTTTGTCATGCTGTGTCCTTGTGCTTTAGGGGTATCTCTTGGAAGGGCCTGGAGCAGGAGGCGTGGCCTGAGCCCCGACGCTGGGCCCCTCCCTCCTGGCCTCGTCTTCCTGGTCTGCAGAGTCTGCTGCTCCGAGGATGGGGAGCCCTTAGTGAAAGGTCCAGAGCAGAACTAATGCTGGCCACCCCCACCATCACCACAGGTTATAGCCTCACTTCTCCAGAACAAAGGAAGCAGGGCAGGGCCAGGGTCGGAACTGCACCCCGGGGCTCCTCCACCTCAGGTATGGCCCTCACCACAGTGCCCGCCCGCCTGCCCGCCCGCGGGGGCCCGCGGATCACCGTGGCACCGGGGAGGCTCGCTCCAGACGCCCTGCAGCTGGCAGATCCGGACGGGGCTGGGGCTGCTCGGGCTGTAGCCCCGGTCACACGAGTAGAGTGCCACGGAGCCCAGCAGCGTGCTATTGAAGCGCAGTGTGGCGTGCTTCACCTCCTCGGGGGGGCCGCAGTCCACCTCTGCAAGGACACAGCCATCCGTCTGCACCACGGGACACTGCCAGCCCCCGACTCCGCCCTCTGCCCACTGGGCCGTGGGGCCCGGGACCCCCGCTCCCCATGCTGCCTGCCCATCCCATACAAAGGTGACTCAACCTCCAGCATGGGCTTCCAGAGCTTTCCTTTCCTTCTTTCCCTCCATCCCCTGCACTCCCTTCCCACCGTCCTCTGTTCTCCCAGGATTAGGAAGAACTCTTGTGTCCCCTCAATGGCCCCTCTGCCTCCTCACCTGCCTGGCACCGGCGTCCAGTGTACCCTGCTCGGCAGTGACAGGAGAAATCTGTGCCCAGGTCCTCGCAGGTGCCCCCATTTACACAGGGGTTCCGGAAGCAGGGGGAGGGGGCTGCAAGGTCACAGGGTCACTATAACCATCACTGTCCTGCATAGTGGCCTCTGGGCTGCACCGGGGCACCCCCACCTGTGCTGCTCTTCCCCTGCCTGGGCCAGCCTTGGGGGGTCTGTTTTTGGTCTCCAGCTGGGCTGTGTTCACCATACCTATCTCGCAGTGCCGCCCGGAGAAGCCTGGGGGACAGTCACACTTGTACTTGCCGATGTAGTGGAAGCAGGTGCCGCCATTGTGACAGGGGCCTGAGGCACACGAGTCTGGCTTCCCTGGGAGCAGAAGGCACCACTGGGGTCAGGTGTCATGTGCCCACCACCACTGCCCCTCCCCTGGTCCTGGACATCCCAGAGCTGGGAACCTTCCTCACAGGGACACTCCTGACAAGCAGACACTGCAGCAGGCCAGGGTCCCCCGCCCCCGCCCCATTCCTGGCCTGGGGCCGCACCAATCTCGCAGTGCCTCCCGGTGAAGCGGTATGGGCAGCTGCACTGGTACTCGCCGCCTGCCTCCTTGCATGTGCCCCCATTCCGGCAGGGCCCTGAGCTGCACAGGCGTGGCCGGGCTGTGGAGAGGCAGAGAGAGACCGGAGGTGGGTGACCAACGCCCACGGTGCCCCTCATGTCTGCCCAGTGCCTGTGCATGCCCGGGGGCATCGAGGGCCAACCCCATCTGGAGACCCTCACTCCACCTGGGGCCTCTGTCTGCCCAAGGCCCTGGGACCACCGGCACTTCTGGTGGAAAGCCAGCACAGAGACCTGGTTGTCCTTCCTGCAGGACACCTGGGCCCCGGTGGCCTCCTGCCCCATGTGGCCCAGCAGCAGGAGCTCACTCCCAGGGCTTGTGCACATCCTTCCAGGGGCCAGTCCAGGGACAAATCTGTCTGCACCTTAAGTCATGCCCAGGGACCGCCCCTTGGCCTCCTGGATGTTCACGGGGCATGGTGCAGCAGGTGGGGCCTGCCCACTGTGCACAGCCCTTACACGCCCCCCCACCCTGAGGCAGTGCTTCACAGGCTGCCTGTCCAGGTTCCAGCCACGCCGTCCCGAGAGCAGTCCCTGTGTCTCTGTGGGACGCCTTTGTCAGGGTGAAGAACCAAGGGGTGAGGCCTTTGCCTGCTACAGGGGGAGCAGTGGGGGTTCCATGGGTCAGGGTATCAGGGACCTGTCCCCCGGGCCACTGTGGGAGCAGAAGGTCCCAGGTGAATCCAACCAGGTCTCTGGTGGGTTCTCACAAGCAAGGGAGAGGGAGGGCTGCAAGGGATGTTGGTGGTGCCTGTGCCCCAGGAGGACGGCCCTCCAGGCTCTGAACGAGGGGTTCTGGGGCCTGCAAGGGACCGTCCGGGGCGCCGGTGAGAACAAGGACCCCTGGGAGGCACCGGGGGGAGAATAGGTGCACTTTCAAGTGGCTAAATGTTGTTGATGTTCTCTAAGTTGCATTACATTTAACAAAGTCCTAAGGAATTTTTTTAAATCAATGATTTTAAAATCTAGTTGGAAAAATGCTGAGCAGGAAATGAGGTGTATTCTGAGGGCACAGTCTTGATCAGACTGAGGAGGGAGGTGCAGGCCCGCGGGGCTGCCCGGCGCTGTCCAAGGTGCTGGCGCCCCACCTTTCTCACAGTGCCTGCCGTGGAACCCGCGTGGGCACTCGCAGGTGTAGGAGTCCTCGTGGGCCTCGCAGGAGCCTCCGTTGAAGCAGGGGTCCGAGTCGCAGGGTGATGGCAGCGCTGTGGGGTCAGAGGGCGGCCCTGGAGCCCATGTCAATAGGGAAGGCCACCCTGACACCCTGCCTGGAACCTTTGCCTCTTAAAATACACTGCTGGGTCTCGATTCCTCCTGCTGGGCTCTAAGACCCCTCCCCAGAATTTCTCTTATTCCTAATTATTCCAGAATTCAGCCTCCCTCTTCTTGGAGCTGGGGTGGGGCCGTGGTTCACCGTCATCATCATCGCACGCAGTTCCACACTGTGCGGATGGCTGCACACTGACTGGTCCCCAGCGGCAAGTGGGTTAACCACAGGCTGCATTGCGCATGCACCACCGATGTCCACAGCTAAGCTGGGGCTTGGGAGGGTGCTGCGTGGCCACCAGGTGCCCTTCCCATTGCCAGCCTGCCGCAGGAAGGCGGGCGGAGACCAGTCCATGTAACAGAGGACCGGGAGAGAGGACACCCACTGCGGGTCCTCTGCTGCCTGGTGGAGAACCCACTGCTTTCCTCCCGACACCAACCCCCAGGTTTCTGGGCGGCTTCCCAGCCCACAGGTTCGTCCCTGCCCCCGCCCCTCTCACAGTGGCTGATGTTGTGGTCGGTGTGGCAGACGCACAGGTAGCTCCCACCATACTCCATGCAGTAGCCGTCAGGGCATTGGCTGTTCATGTTGCAGGGTGTGGCTGTGACTTCTGCAGGGGAAGGGTGAAGCCCTGTCTCAGGTTTTCCTGGGACCTTGTGTCCTTGACAAGGGCGAGACTGTGCAAGACCCAGTGATCCCAGCAGGGAGACTAGGTTGAGGCCTTTTTGTTGCCAGCTCCCTCCTGCGTGGGGGTGGTGCCGCAGAACCACTGGTCGAGGGCTGCACCTGTGGGTCCTGGTCCAGGCCCAAGCCAGGGTCTGGAGAACAGCCAGAGACAGGCAAGGTGTCCCCTGCCCCAGCTCTGAGCACCTACCAAATTCACAGAAGGGCCCAAAGAAGCCTGGAGGGCACTGGCAGAGGGTGGTGTTGGCTCCCCGGCATCTGCCACCGTTGCGGCACTCACAGTCATCAGGGGTCCCTGCCACAGAGAGGAGGAGGGGCCTCCAGTGTAGGGGTGCTGGAGGGCGGGGCCTCCCTCCCCTGCTCCTGGTAACCTTCCCGTAAGAGCTGCTGTGCACCCTCCCTTGCACACACTCTCTGTCCTAGTGTTCGCACGCACACCCATGGGAGGCCCCAGCCTGACCGCAGCCCCGCAGCCCCGCAGCCCCGCAGCCCGGCCACACGCACTGTCCCTGCAGTCGGGGCCCATGAAGCCTCCGGGGCACTCGCACACGTGGCCCTGGTCTGCATCCACACAGGTGCCCCCATTCTGGCAAGGGGCCGAGAGGCAGGTGTCGGGCATGGGGGTGCTTCCTGTAAGAAAGACAGTGGTCACCAGAGCAATAGCACACGTTGGCGGTTTGGCCTCTGTTCTCAGTGCCAAGTGGAGTTTGGGCCTGAGGCCTGTTTCCTGGAAGCTGCCTTCCAGTTGCCCCTCCTCCACGAGCCCCTCTAGGGAGCAGAATGACAGGCAAGGGTAAGAGGGGCCCAGCAAGGCTGGGGGCCTCCGGACGCTTCTGGTCAAGCATGTCTGTTAGTAAAATACTGCGATTTTCTATATGCTTTTCAGTCATTGGTTTCTAGTTTAATTTCGCTATAGTCAGATAACACAGTCTTTTTCAATTTATTGAGCCTTAGTTCACGGCGGCAGGATGGCCTGTCACGGTGAGAGCTCCCTGGGCCCTCGAGGAGAACGAGTGTGTGCACGCCCGCCGACCAGACTGGCTGACAGGGCCGGGCGGGCCTGCCCCTGCCCACTGCTGTCCACGTGAGCTCTCCACCGACAACTGTCTGTCTCCCCTGTGCCCCCGCTGGCTCTCGCCCTGCGTGTCCTGATTCACGTCAGCACTGTATTTAGAATCACCGCAGCCTCTCAGTGAATTGCGCCCCTTGTCATTAGGAAGAGTCTCTCTTTGTCCCCCATACACTCCTTGTTCCTGAGAAGCCAGGCCAGCTCCCCTCTTCGTTTCTTGGATGCCCATTTCTTCACGTTTCAGAATTTATCTGTTAAATTAATACACAGTAAAATTGGCTTTTGTTTGCACTACATTTCCATGAATTTGAACTCCCATGCAGATTTATGTGGCCTCGGCCATGGTTAGGATCAGCACATTCTGTCACCCTCAAGACGTCTGTTTCCTCGTTTCAGCGTCACAGACGCCCCCATACATAATGGAGGACCCCACAGTGTTATACTGCCTTTACCCAGAGGCTGGTAAATGGTGGTCCACAGATCAAATCTTGCCTGATGCCGACTTTGAACATAAAGTTTCCTTGGACTCTGCTGTGCCCATCTGTTTATGTGCTGTCTGTGGCTGGCTGCTGGGCAGCACCCTGGCAGTGCGGAGCGGCTGCGACCATGTGGCCAGAAAGCCAAAAATATTAACATCCAGCTCTTTGCAGAAAAAGCTGGCATACTCTGCTTCAAGCTATTGGTGTCATGTAACTTATTTCTGTATATATTATACAGTCCAAAATTTATCATTATTTTGTTTTAAAATTACCTTTAAAGAGATTAAAAGATAACAAAAAAGTTATGTCTAGAACTCTTCATTCCTTGGTGTCGATCCAGGTTTTCATCTGGTGCCACTGTCTTCTGTCTAAAGAGTTTCTTTTAACATCTCATGTACTGCAGATGGGCAGGCGATGAATGCCCTCGGTCTTCTGTCTAAGTCTTTATTTCACCTTCATTTCTGAAAGCAGTTTGACACTGTTTTCCTTTCCATGTGTTAGGGGCGCTGCCCCACCGTCTTTGGCCTTGGATACGCTGGCTGCCGCCACCCCAATTCTCCATGTGGGTTCTGTCTTTTTTGCTCCGGCTGCTTTTGAAATGTTCAGCAAGTTCACTGTGATGTGGCTTCCTGTGGGTTTCTTCATGCTTTCCTTGGATCTGTTCTAGTTTTCAGTAAGTGTAGCAAATGCTTCCTCGTGTACTTGCTGGGCCTCCAGCACTTCCCTCCAGCTGGGGCTCCATGTGCGTCCACGGCACGGAAGAGCTTCAGTCTCACTCTACGCTGCCTGTCGACTCGTTCCTACTTCTGCCTTCAAGTTCTCTGATGTCTCCTTCTGCAGAGTCTAGTCTGCTGTCAAAGGTCCAGTGTGGTTTTATTTTCTTTTTTAAAATATATTTTATTGAGACTTCCGCCAAGATGGAGGCATAGGTGGATGTGCCGTGCCTTCTCACACAACCAAGTTTAGAGACAACTAAATATTAGCAACAGAAAACACAGCCAGAACACAGAAAATTGAACTTTTCGGAAATCTGTTAACAACAAATTCTTCAGTCTGACCGGTAAGGGGCGACACCAGCAGCTGGTGGAGCGGGGTTGCACAGGAAAACTCAGTCAGACGGACTCAGGCGCGCGGAATCCAGGCGCAGGGTTGAACCTAGTGAGCGACCGAGCAAGCGAGTGAGCGACCAAGCGAGCGACCAAGCGAGCGACCGCCGGGGGAAACAGCGATGGAGCAGGGCTGCGGGTTGACTGTGGTCGTGCACTGGTGCGCAGATAGACAAGGGAGGGAGTGGGCGATTGGACCGGGACCCAGCGGGTCCCTGCAGCAAGCGGCCGGGGGGGGGGGGGGGCACCGCCATTTCCCTGCTCTGACCCCACCTCCACATACAGCGTCATAACCCAGCGACTCTGAGTGGCCCGGCCCTGGTGAACCACCTGAGGCTCTGCTCCTCACCCAGCTGGGTGAAACAGCAGAGGGGGCCGCCATTTCCCCGCTCGGACCACGCCCCCATATACAACCCAGCGACCTGGGAGTCCAAGGCTCCCCTCCTCACACTTAAAGGGCACAAACAGACCAAAAATGGCGCAAGAAGATCTCAAAGCCCCAGAGCCTATAAATCTAAGCGATGAAGAAACAGCAAAACTCTCAGATGCACAGTTTAAAACACTGGTGATCACGATCCTCACAGAACTGGTTGATTATAGCCACAAATTAGACAAATATATGAAGGCGAAACTAATTGAAATGAATGGAATTGCACAGGACACCAATAGCAATGAAAAGGAAACTGGGACTCAAATCAATGGAGTGGACCAGAAGAAAGCAAATAATGGCCAAACAGAAAAGAGTGAAGAAGCAAGAATTCAAAGAAATGAGGAGAGTCTTAGGAACCTCCAGGACATCTTTAAATGCTCCAACATCCGAATTATAGGGGTACCAGAAGGGGGAAAGGAACAGCCACCAGTGGAAAACTTATTTGAACAAATAATAAAGGAGAATTTCCCCAATCTGGCAAAGGAAATAGACTTCCAGGAAATCCAGGAAGCTCAGAGAGTCCCAAAGAAGTTGGACCCAAGAAGGAACACACCAAGGCACATCATAATTATATTAGCCAAAATTAAAATGAAGGAGAGAATCCTAGAAGCAGCAAGAGCTAAGGGGACAGTCACCTACAAAGGAGTCCCCATCAGACTGTCAGCAGATTTCTCAAAAGAGACCTTACAGGCAAGAAGGGGCTGGAAAGAGGTATTCCAAGTCATGAAAGGCAAGGACCTACAACCAAGATTGCTCTATCCAGCAAAACTTTCATTTAGAATGGAAGGAAAGATAAAGTGCTTCTCAGATAAGATCAAATTCAAGGAGTTCATCATCACCAAGCCCTTATTATATGAAATGTTAAAGGGACTTATCAAAGAAAAAGAAGTTAAAGAAACATGAACAGTGAAAGGACAACAAACTCACAGTTATTAGCAACCACACCTAAAACAAAAGCAAACTAAAAGGACAGCTAGATCAGGAGTGGAAACATAGAAATGAAGATCTCAAGGAGGGTTAGCAACAGGGGCGTGGGAGGAGGGAGAAGGGGGGAGAAGGTACAGAAAATAAGTAGCATAGACAGTAGATAGAAAATAGATGGGGGCAAGAATAGCATGGGAAATATAGAATCTAAAGAACTTGAGACACATGGACATAAACTAAAGCGGGGGTAATGGTGGGGGTGGGGGGTAGGGTGGAGGGGAATGAAGGGGGGTAATAGAACAACTGTAACAGCATAATGAATAAAAACATTAAAATATATATATATTTTATTGATTATGCTATCACAGTTGTCTCATTTCTCCCTCATTTCCCTCCACCCTGCACACCCTCTCCCACCCACATTCCCCCCTTTAGTTCATGTCCATGTGTCACTAGTTCTTTAGCTTTTACATTTCCCATACTATTCTTGCCCTCCCCCTATTTTCTACCCACCATCAATGCTACTTATTTTCTGTATCTTTCCTCCCTCTCTCCTTCTCCCACTCCCCTGTTGCTAACCCTCCATGTGATCTCCATTTCTGTGGTTCTGTTCCTGTTCTAGTTGTTTCCTTAGTTTGTTTTTGTTTTAGGTGTGGTTGTTAATAATTGTGAGTTTGCTGTCATTTTACTATACATGTTTTTTTTATCTTCTTTTTCTTACCAGTGTGGTTTTAAATTCAGATATTATATTTTCCATCTCTAGAAGTTTCTCTTTTACCTCCTACTTCTGTGTCTTCCTGCTGCAGCACTCTTGGGTACATAGTAACAGTTCATCATAGGTGATTAAATATTCTTAGTCACTGATTCGGTCATTTCTGCCCCCTGTTTGTATTGATCCACTTTTCTCCTGGTTTTGGGCCATATTTTATTAAGTCTTTGTATACCTGATAAGTTTTGATTGTATATTTCAGGGTTCTGGGTTCTGCTGTATTCCTTTGAAGAGTGCAGGATTTTATTCTGGCATGTAGCTAAATTACTTGGGATCAGTTTGATCCTTTCAAACTTTCTTTTGGATTGCTGGGGAGGTCAGATTCTCCTTTAGCTCAGCAATTATTTATCTCCACCATGATGGTGATGCTGCACTGAGGACTCCACACAGTGTTGGCCCACCCTGGGTACCAGGAGCTCCCTCCACTTTGGCTGCCAAGGCCAGGGATTGCTTGACTTTCAGCTCCCAGCTTTGGAGACTTCACCCACCTGGACTGTACTGAGCAAAGGCACAAGGGGTCTGTCTGCAGAGCTTTAGGGCTCGATTTCACCCCCACCTCCAGCAGCTCTGTCCTCACTGATATTCTGCCCACAAATTCCAGCCAGCAAACTCGAGTATCTCTCTCCTTGACTCAGAGACCCAGGACTGCTGGAGTCTGGACCCTTCAGGTCACAGCGGGCTGGAAACTGCCCCCAGTCAGAACTGGGCAACTGTAGGGCCCACTCATCTCATTCCTGCTTCTTGGGGGCAACAGTCATGTCCAGTGTCCAGTGGCTGAGAGACGTTGTTTCACATATTTTGTCTAATTTTCTAGTTCTTAGTGATAGAAATTCTCAGCACAGCTAATCCTTCTTGACAGGAGCAGGAGGCTAGATACTCACTCTCTTTTTAACAATCTCCAAGTTTTAGCCAGTTTCTTGTTGGATCTGATCGGAATGTCAAGGTTTGCACCTTGTAATGTGGCTACTGAGCAGGTACCACCAGGGTGGAATGTCAGCTCTGTTGTTTCTTCCAGTTTGCTTTCGTTTGCTCTATTCTTCTGTACAAAACGTGTTTTCTTTGCAAAATCGCTTTAAGTCACTTAACTGTTTTCTGACTACAGTTTAGTTAAACACACTGATATTAAGGTAAAAATCTGGGTAAGGTTGCCAGTTCCACTGCGCTCAGGGCACGCGCCTGAGTTGTGGACCAGGTCCCAGGCTGGGGGCGCACGGGAGGCCACTGCCAACGCTTCTCTTGCGCATCGATCTTTCTCCCTCCCTTTCCCACTCTGAAAAATAAACAAATCTGGGCACGGAGAACTGTGACATACACCGTCATTTCAGGTAGCCAAGCGGCAAAGAGCGCCACCCTCCGCCCCCTGCACCGCTGGCCTTGCCCTCCTCTCGGACACAGCGACCGACGGTGGGCGCAGCGCCCCCACCCGTCCAGGCGGCGTCTTACTCGCAGGTAAACGTAACGTCCTCCTCGGGTGTTTAGGCTCCCGTAAACCTGCTGGGGTGTCCTGAGCGTTTCCTGGGGAGAAGCCGGCCGAGCCGCGCGCAGTGTCGGGGCGCCGCGAGGCAGCAGGTCGGCCGCGCCTCGCCCTGAAGCCCCCGATTGACTCCGTGGGCTGCGGCATCTAGTGGGTCTTCAATCGACCTGAGTCCTAACCGGCATTTACAGCAACGTGAGGCAGGACGGAAACGAGCGGATCTTGTCACACCCAGTCACGGTCTCCCGTGGGGGTCCCCTCGCAGGAAGGATGTGACCTCCAGGTCAGTTCTCTCCCGCAGGAGCAGGGGCCGGAGAGTGGCCACCGTCCCCGCGTCCCTGCGCAGGACAGGGAGAACCCCCCGGCAGGGGGAGGCCCGCGCTCGGCCTCACACAGCGCGGGGTGGCGGTCCCGGACTCAGGGGACAGGCTGGGGCTGCGCCGGCAGTGAGGGGCAGAGGGCGGCGACCCGAAAGCGCTGCCACCCGTGGGGGGCCTGAGGCCATTACCTGTCTCGCAGCGTGGTCCCTCGAAGGGCTCCGCGCACAGGCAGGTGAAGTTCCCCACGAGATCGACACACGAGCCCCCGTTCAGGCACGGGCCCGAGGCGCACTCGTCCAGGTCTGCCGGCGTGGAGGCGGGAGCCGGGTTCGGCGGGGAGGAGCTGCGCCTTCCCCGGCGCGCCCGGCCCCGCCAGCCCCGCCCCTCGCCCTCCCTCTGCACCCAATCCCAGGGCCGGGGAGAAACAGCCCCTCCCCCTCCACGCCCACCAGCCGCTCCCAGTCCGCTCCCTGCCCCACCCAAACCCCGCCCCCGCCCCGCCCACACCCGCCCAGGCAGCCCCGCCCCTCCCCGCCTGGCTGGTGCTGGCCGCTCACTCGTCTCGCAGTCCTCGCCGGTGTAGCCCGCCGGGCACGCGCACACCGCGGAGCCGCTGACCATCTGGCACTGGCCGCCGTTCGCACACGCTTTGGCGTCGCACGGAGACTGTGCTAAGGGGCAGAGGGTGGAAGGCCGTTGGCATCCTGGCTGCTGTAGTCCCTGGGCCCCAACAGGCGGTGGGGATGCTGCCCAGGGTAGTCCAGACCCAGGGCCGCTGAAAGCTCGGCTGAACCCGTTTGTTTTTCAGAGGCGGGGGTCGCTGGGCTGACTGCGACAAGCGCTGCGTCAGAGCGGGGCTCCAGGCCCCAGCTGGTGGGGACTCAGCCTGTGGCGGAGCCTCGAAGGGCAGCAGTGCTCGGGGGAACAGGAGGGGCCTAAATGGTCCTGGGGTGGCGGGGGTGGGGGAGGTGACGCTGCTGCAGGGATGGCGGGAGGAGGCACTGGACCCCAGTCAGAGTGGGAGTGAGGGGTGCAGCCCACCTGTCACCCTCCCCACCTGCCTCTCACAGGGGAACATGGGCTTCCTGGCTCCCTCACGGCCACTGACAGCAGAGCGGGGGTGGGGACACCACTACCTTCCGAGTCCTACTGACAGCTGGTTCCCCAAACAACGCAACACAGTGACCCCCCAACGAGCTGGCGGACATGCAGCCCTCCCTGTGTTGTGGGGGCCAGGGGAGGAAGGAGGGAGGGCCCAGCCCCCCGGTGTGCAGGTGTGTTGGTGGCTGAGGTCTGTGGGCAGCAGAGGCCTTGGAGCATGTGAGGCAAGGGGCGTCTCAAGGAGGACCCCAACCCAGGGCCCATCTGTGAGAGCTCCAGGGCTGGAGAGAAACAGCCTCCCCTCCTGCCAGAGCTGCCAGGGTTCAGGGTTCTAGGGTGTAGGCGGGAAGGAGGTGGGGGGCAGATGGTCCTGTTTTCCACCTACAGCTGCCTGTTTGACCTCAGAAGCCCCTATGCTCCCTGCAAGCTGGTCATCAAGCTGAGAGGGATCTATCTGGAGCAGGGCACTGGCCTGGCCCAAGGCTGCTCCCTGGCCTGAGCGCCAGGCTTCTGTGGTCAGTCTGCTGCCACAGCCCTCAGCTGTTATGGGTGGCCCAGGGGTGGCACCAAGCCCTCTGCAGCTTGGTGACCCCATGCCCCCCCCCAGGCTGCCCACTGCCCTCTGGCCAGGCAGGACTACCTGGCCATCCCGCAGTCAGTGGAACTTAGGGGCCTGGAGGTTTCCTCTTACCTGTCTCACAGGTGGGTCCCCCGAAGCCAGCCAGGCACTGGCAGCTGAAGCTGTTGACACCGTGCGTGCAGGTGCCACCGTTCTGACACGGCTGGGAAGCACACTCATTCACATCTGAAAAGGGGCGGCTGGGGCCTCAGTGGAGGAAGCTGGTCAGGAGGACCTGCCGGCACCTGGGGCGGTGGGCTCAAGGGGCTGCTGTGCACCGGCCTCTCACCTTATCATCAGGAACCCACTGGGTTTGGTACCCCTGGCAGTGCCCCATGTATGTCATTCCCTGCCATAGGGACAGAGACCCTTGACCTTGGGCTCTTGGGGCCAGTGGCTGTGCCTCCAGGGTTGCTCTAGAGCACAGGTGACAAACACAGGGCCCACAGGCCGAATTCGGCCCTCCACCTTGTTTTTTCTGGCCCGCGCCTTGTTTCTACCCAGTGGCTGCGCTGAGTTGTCACTTAACTGTTAAGGAGTAGTTACATGTATACAGTCCTAAAAGTGCATTCAGCCCTCTGAAGGCAATGACGAGGCTGATGTGGACCCTGGTGAAAATTACTTTAACATCCCTGCCTAGAACCCAGTGCCTCCCAGTGGGCGGTGCCCTGGGTGAACTCACCCAGCTGGCACCTCTTCCCCGTGAAGCCCGAGAGGCAGGAGCAGGTGTAGGAGGGGTTGCCGGTGACACAGTCGTCAATGCACTTGCCGCCATTGAGGCACGGGCGCAGGGCCAGACACACAGAGGCTGTGAATAGAGAAGGAATGAAGGTGTCACCTCCCTTGGCCCTCCCCGGCCCAAAGGTTCCATCTCAAGGAACGGCTGTGCTGCCCACTGGAAGTCGAGCATCTGGAGTTTGACTTTCAGGGCTGCGCAGGGTGTGCACTGATCCCTGCCCCGTGTCCCACGGATGTGTGACTCGGCTCCCGAGCCGTGACTCTGGCTGCCCTGGGAAGGCAGGCTTATCTAGAATCCCTTGTACCCACAGCAGCTTCTTATCCCATTAATCTGTCGGCTTCCAAACTTGTCCAAGGGGCTCCCAACAGCACAGGGAGACACGAGTACACCTTGTGGACGAGGGGGTCCCTGTGTGGGAACCAGAGGCTGTGGGGAGCCCTCAGCTCCTCTGGGGGTTGCAGTCTAGTCCCAGTGTTGCCTCAGTCACAGAAGTCAGATAGCCCTGTGCACTCTACCCGCGTGCACAGCCAGGCCTGTGCTCAGAGTTGTTGACGGCAGTGTCTTCCAGCTGGCAGGGTGGGGCAGCTCCTGGGGTCCCTCGGGGCCAGTGGACCCGCACACCCGGCCCTCTAGGACAGGCAGCCTGCAGGGCCCTCTGGAGAAGCAAGGCTGCTGCAGTCTATGGTTGGTCAGCACAGAGTGGCAGGTTATGGGCAGTGTCCCAAGGTCAGTTACTAGGAGGGCCCTGGGGAGAGTGGGCATGGCATTGAGGGGTGGACACTCTGGGGAGGACCCTGTGGCCCAGAGCACCATCAAGGCTGTGGGACCACACCTTTCCATCACTGAGCCGTACTTCTCTCAGACCACATGGCGTGGCTACCCTGCACTGAGTGGTGGCTGCCTGTGCCTGGAGAGGCTTTGCTCAGGAGCCTGAGTTCTGGGTGTGAACCCATAGCCCTCCCTTCCCAGTATCCCTGGCTCCATCTCCTGGGCTTGCAGTGGGGTGGTGGGGACGCGAGGGGGCGGCCCTCCGTACCTTACCTCCCACCAAGCGCTGAGCTCCCAAGAGCCTCTCTGCAGCTGGTGTGGAGGGGCCAGCCTGCCTGTTCCACCTTCCCCCCTAGACGCCTCAGAAAGTGGGGGAGGCACCTCTACATGGAAGAGGGGTCTTGGAAAGACCCCTGAGGACCCTACCCCTTAGGGTCACAGCCTGCAGCCTCTGCAGAAGAGCATGGACCTGCCCACACCTGCCGATCCACCTTTCCCCACCTGTACTGTACCCACTCACACCAGTCCACAGCTGCACCCATACCTTACCCCTCAACCACAGCATAAGCCCCTGGCCACTGGCCGGTGACAAACAGCCAGAGCTCTCTGTGCCCCACCCACAATGGTACCCCATGCCCTGAACCCCCACTGTCCAGAGCCCTGGCTGGGGTGCAGAAGGGCTTGACCCTCGGAGGAGGGAGCAAGACCATTGGCTCCTGGGCTCCCAACGCGCTTGCCCCAGCTAAGCTCAAACTCTGGACTGGGGTCCGCTCAGTGCCCCAGTGAGAGGGGGCTCAGGCTCCCAGGTCTCTCTCAGGGGACGCCATCCCCAGTCCTCTGTGAGTCTTCCTGCCCCAAAGGAGCACTCGGTGTCTGTCCCTCCTGCGTGCACAGCCTCCCTGGCTCTGACCCCGCCTTGTGTGCCTGCCCCCCGTGGGTCTCTCGTGGACTTGATGTTTGGGGAAGCAGCCCCTTCCAGGGGCGTGGATCCCCACCGGGATGGAGGTGAGTCTGCAGGGCAGGTCTCGAACTGGCCTCACCAGGCCCGGCAGGATTTGTGATCAGAGTGGCTGAGCCAGCCGCTTGACACCTCCTCCCTCTATTTGTAAGTAGTCAAGTTTCGGGGGCACTGTGTCTTGCCCAGGGCCACACACCCTTCTGCAGTCAGTCCAACTGTCCTCCACCCGTCCCATGCTCAACCTGGGGTGGACCCTCCCCCCTCTGCTGTGTGTTCTGGGCCAGAAGGCCCCTGGGTGTCAGGGGCCCTGGGTGTCTCCTTCCTATTGGGTAGATGGGTGTCCAGGTTGTCAAACAAGCTGCGAGTCCCAGCAGAAAAGCTGAAATGGGGTGAACAGAACGCCTGCCCCCTTGGGTGGTCCTGGGGACTCAGGTGACCCAGCCGGGCCCAGGAAGGAGGCTGGACTTCTTCCCGCAGCAAATCCTGCCCTCCACAGGGGATCCCCTCCCACCTCGCAGCGGTGACGCTAGGCCCCCAGGCCCCCGCACCAGGAGAAGACTGAGGTTCAGGGGCCAGCCCACGAGGGCTGCAGATGTGGAGGGCGGGGCCCGCGACCGCCCCCCTTCCCGCTCCTTCTTGCCCCACCCCCGCCCCAAGGCCAAGCCCCCAGGCGCCTAAGCCGCCCGCTCGGTGCTCTTACTTGCATGGGCGCAGCCCCCCACGCGCACCTGGGCATCATCGATTCTGAACGCCCAGCGCCCGGGCACGCCCACGTTGGTGCTGGTCTCCACCTCCGCCATGTCCGCGGTGCGCGAGCCGGGGATGCTGAAGTAGCGCCGCCCATCTCCCGCATTGAAGCCGGCCTGGGGGGGTGTTGAGAGTAGGGGCAGGTGCGGGCGGGTCCGCAGGTCTTCTGCAAGTTCCTGACACCCACCTCCCCCTCACCCCCCCCCTCCCCGGGTTCCCAAGGTCTAAGAGCCCACGTAGGGGACATCCTTGGAAACCAGAGAGCTCTAAGGCTTACGGGTGCCCTCCCACCCTGCAAGGATCACATCCTCCCAGCTGGTCCTGACAGCGAGGGACAGCTCCCTGAGCCAAGGGCATGGTTAGGCCTGCATCCCAAGCCCTGCTCCAGTGACTCAGTGCTGAGGCTCTGGGGCTCCCCTGGGGAAGTGGGTGGGGGTGCACAGCCACAAGGAGGACTGGCCGGCTCTGGGCAGTGGCGCTTGACCACACCTCCCACACCCGGTACCGCCCACGGACACAGGTCCTCTGGGGCCACCGCCCTGCTGGACCTGGGGCAGTCAGTGAGTGCACAGAGACCCCGAGCCCCCCGTCGCTGCGGCAGCTGGCCCTCTGGGGCCCTGCAGTGTGCTCAGGACACCGGTGCTTTCAGCCCCAGGGCCTTCCGGCGCCTGTGTGTCCGGGGCTGCCTGTCTCATCGGCCCATGGCAGTGCCGGCAGTGGGAGCAGGGCCCTACCTGGGCCGCGATGCCCCCCAGGCCAGTGGCATCACCTCCGCTGCTGGCGTGCGTGCCTGTGGTCCACGTGACGGACTCGTAGTTGAAAATGGTGAAAGAGAACCTGCCGTCCGTGATGAGCACCGTCTGGAACGTGTTGACCTGCCGAGGAGGAGGCCTGACAGGGTCCCACCCCACCCACCACCCTGCACACGCTGTCCTTGTTCCCCGACGGGACGGCTGGTCAGCGCGGGGCAGCGCTGCGCTTGCCGGGGTTTCCCGCCTCCGGGGGCCCGTCCGCCGGCTCCGACCGCGCTGGGTAAAGTGCTGTTACTGAGCTTGTGGTTTGTCGTGTTTGGCACCGTCAAGGACTAGCCTGGAGGACGTGGTCACGTTCTGCCTGACCCTCTGAGGACTGGAGCCCCAGTGGGGGTCCTGCTAACATGCCCCTGCTTTTCCCCGAGCATCGGGGGTTTTCCTGGGGCACCAGGAGGGTCCCTCATCCTTTCCCAGTCTGGCTCTGGGACCTTGATGCGTCACTGCTGTGCCTGAACCCTGTTTTTCCTCTTGGCTATGGGCCAGCGACTGCGCCACCCCTCCTCAGCAAGTTGGGGACCAAGGCCCAGCCGCACCTCCTCCCCTTCCAGGACAGAAACTCACGGGGGAGGAGGAGCTGCCTCCAAAGAAGGTCACGCGGTACCAGGTGGCGATGAAAACCCAGGTGGCGGAGAAGTTTGGCAGCTCGGGGAAGTAGCGTTTGATGTCCTCTGTGGCTCTGTGCAATGTGGCCGGGTCGGTGGCTTCCCGGTAGTACACGTCACCTGCACGCCGGTTGTCCACGTCCGCCCAGAAGGCGGCCACCACGCAGCGGTCCTTGGCGATGGGGAAGGCCACCGGGGTGAACTGAGAGACCTCCTTCAGGAAGGAGATGATCCCGTTGTTGTTCACCTGTCGGGCGGGGAGCCGGAGAGGCCCTGAGAAGGGTGGCAGGTAGGCTGGCAGGCCAGTGGCCCACCCTCCGCCACCCAGCCCCTGCAGGGTGAGCTGGCCTTGGCCAGGGCGTCCCAGGAAGGCCTGACAGTTCTGGTTCCAGACATGGGAACCCTCAGCCGGCTCCATCTCTTTCTAGACAAGCTGTGTCCCCAGTGGGCACCCAGCCCCATGCTGCTGCTCTGAGGTCAGGGCGCCCCAGTGTGGGCGCTGGTCTTGGGCAGGTGGGGTGCTCAGGCCTGCTTGGCAGCCCCACTTTTGGGTCCCATTCCAGCCAGGGGCCTCAGGAGGCTGGGGCCCTGTCCGGAGGGTGGGGTGAGGGGAGGAGTGCCCACAGGGCAGAGGCTTCTCGGGCCCAGACCCCCGGGGGCATCTGCAGGACTCTGCGCTCAGTACGTGGGCAGTGGGAGCCTCAGAGGCTGCTGAGCGGAGGGGGAGGAGCAGTGGCTTTTCAGCTGGACACAGCGGGGTCCAACGCCAGCCCTGCATGACCGGCTGTGCAGTCATGAGGGGCAGCCCTGGCTCACTGAGCTCTGGGCTTTCAGCTCCGAGAGGGGCTGGCTCTGGCCTCCTGGGTGCTGGGCAGGTGGACTGACTCAGTGACCAGAGAGCCAGCTCCGGGCCGAGCTGAGTCGGAAAGGACCTTTAGGGCTTCCCCTTGAGCGAAGGCAGGCTGTTACCCGGACCAGCAAACAAGGCTGGTGAATGCACCTGTCTTCTAAAGGCGCTAAGGAGCAAACGAACCAGGGAGGGAGTCTTGGTTCCACAAGGAGGACAAGGGGACCGGAGCGGCCCGGCACTCAGAGTCCTTTCCTCAAGTGATCTGAGTGGCCTCGTGATGGGAGAGGGTAGGTAGCTGTCACAGCTCACAGCTGGCTTGAGGTGAGAGCCCAGGAAACCACTCCCACGGCCGGGGCTGCCCCTCCAGTTTGGGGGGCCATCAGGGCGGCAGTTCTGCGTGGGCTTCCTCTCCACCCTCCGTCAGGCCTGGGCCTTGGGTTAAGGTGGCTCCTGCCGGGCACCACCGCTCGGTCCCAGGCGGAAGCAGAGGGACACCTGCTCTGGAGGCAGAGGGCAGCAACATCTTAGTCCTCCAGTTACTCTGGTAACTGACCCTTCACACACAAAACCCAAGACACAGTCGGACACAGTCAGACACAGTTGGCACTAGACGGGGCAGGATACCACCGGCGGGAGCAGCAGAAATGAGAGTCACAGGACATGGGCACCCTTCGGCAAAGGAGCAAGCTGACTGTGGCCACAGAAATAAAACACGCGCCTTGAAACGTCATTGGGAGAGCAGCCGAAAGCGCCTTGCAGAAGAGCAGGGTTGGGGGACTCAAGCTCCTGACTTTAGGACTCACCACAGAGTGACGGCGGCCTGAACAGGGCGGTGCCGCACCCAGGCAGAGACGGCGGGGACAGCAGAGGGTCTGGAGACCAGCCCTCGCACGCGTGGGCAAGCGGTGGCGACGGGTGGTGGTGGGAAAGTGGGGCAGCGTGGGCAAAACCAGGAAGCGGGACCTGGCCGGGCCGGGTGCAAGGAGGGACTGGAAGGCGTCGCAGGCTGTCAGAGCGTAGAAGGGAGCACGCGCACGGAGACGGGACGGACGCCGCGCAGTGCCGGCCTTGGCAGTGATGCCACGGGGCAGCAAAGGCACCGAAACAAAAGGAAACAGGCCGACTGCAGTGTGTCAAAACTAAAAGCATTTTGTTCATCAAAGGACGCTCGCTACAGCAACCCACAGACGGGAGAGGACACTTGCGAGTCTGTTCAGTAAGGGATTTACATCCAGGACGCACCGAAAAACCCCTACAATGTAACAAGAAAGCCCAGAGAACCTGATATGAGAATGGGCCAAGGACCTGAAACAGACATTTCCCCAAAGAAGACGCCTGAACAGCCAGGAAGCAGTGGCCGTCGGGGAAACACCATTAGTCACAGTGCGATGCCACCCCCACCCACCGGGGCGGCTGCTATCGAAAACAGGAGCCGCGGAGTGTGAGGATGTGCCCGACGTGCGGGAACCCGAGCCCACGCCCTGCGAGGGGGCTGGAACTAGGCTCTGCCACGCTGGGAAGCCATTGCCGCCACGGGTTCAGAGGTGAGAGGTCACTGCAGGGGCCCCTCCCAGGCTGCTGCAGAAACTGCAGATTCTGGAGGAGCTTCTGGGCACAGCCACACCCTGTTTAAAGCTGGGGTTCTGCTGGGGCCCATGGGGAGAGCGTGTGGAAGCTGAGTGTGAGCTGCGGTGGCTGGTGGATCACTGGCCCGATGCCCCATTTTGGGAGGGCTGATCGCAGCGCGGGAGGCCCAGTGCCAACGCCTCGGGTGGCAGGAGTCACCCCGGTTTCTGTGACACGGGAGCCTCTTCGCCCACTCCAGTGCCAGCAAAGCCGCCAGTTTCATGGGCTGTCCAGTCACGAGGGTCCCGGGGTGGCAGCAGCCCTCCAGCCACAGCCCCAGCTCGGGGAGCTGGAGGACAGGCCGCCCTGGCCGCGGGGCTGCTCTCCGGGACCGGACACGCCACATTTTTGCGGGTGGTGGTGGATGGTCTGGTCTGGTCAGTGGGCTCCTCCCTCAAGGGCCAGGGAGTGACATTCTCTGGCCCAGGGTCCCCATACAGTCTCTGTCGCACATTCCTTTCCCTTCTTGTTTTTGTTTTTACAGCACTTTAAGAATATAGACAGCATTCCTAGCTTGCGGGCCAGACTGTGGCCAACCTGTGGGCCCCCTGGGTTGTGAACCCAGGCTGGCTGGCACGGCCACACCCACTGGCTCACGCACTCTGTGGGGCCCGGGACGCGCAGCGCATCGGAGCCCTTACGATCACGGCCGAAGGTCCGCTTGGCCCGCTACTGACACAGCCTGCACACCCACCTGCAGGCCCCATCCGGCGGTGTGTCTGCACTGGGAGGAGTACAGACTGGCCACCAAAGACACCTCCTTTTAACGGGGTCACTAATGCGGGAACAGACTGCAGCCACCGACAAAAAAGTCTGGGCCCCTCACAGGTGCCCACAGGGAGGGGCGTCCTCCCCCGGGACTGACCTCCCAGGCCCCTGCCTCTGGATCCCTCCTGAGACCTGCCCCCGATGGGCCCAGTGAGGGGAGGGCTGTGCGCTGCTGAGGCGAAGCCACAGCCAGGCTTGTCTCCCACTGACCCGACTGGTTGGCTGGGGTCGGGGTGGCTCCTGGGGCCACCTGCTGAGGCGGGACCTGCCTGCCCCGCCCCTCCTGTGGGCACATCCCCCTCCCTCCACGGCTGGCCCCCCGTTCCTGCTGTGGCTCCTGCTGTGGCTCCTGCAGATGGACCGGGTTTCCTTCCTGCCTTTGAAGTGCAAGTCCAACTCTCAGGTGTGTGCAGGGGCCTCTCCAGCCTGCCCACCAGCTCTTGGACTCCTTCCTCCCTCCTGTGTGCCTTCCCCAGGGGCCGTGGGCCCAGAGCCCAGGGGTCCAGGAAGGAGGCAGAACAAGCCGGCCCTGTTCCCCTGCCAGGGCCAGGCAGGGCAGAGCCAGGACCACAGCGGAGAAGGCAATGGGGCCAGGCGCTGGGCAAGTGGGCGGCTGGCAGGCCTGTCACCTGGGCAGGAACTGCCTTGGACGTCCTCTATCCAGCTGAAAACTCTGAATGTCCTCTCGGGGAGGGGAGCGGGCAAGGCCCGGACCGGAGGGCCGGGTGCGGCAGGCCCAGGGAGGCAAGCTGCATGCACCTGGCAAAGGCTACTTCCCTCAAAACATCAGTTTTATTATTATTATTTTTCTACTTGGTAGAACATGCAAGTTGGACATGGAGCCAAGGAGAAAGGACAAAGCCTGTGCCCCTGCCGAGGGGCTGCCTTCACACCCTTCCCAGGGACCCAGCTGTGGCTGGGGTCCTTGCCTGGATGAGCTGCCCCACACCCCCATCCGTGTGGGCCTGAGGCCAGGCCAGCCCGGCCCAGCCCAGGGGACGCTTGCAGAAGCACAGGGAGACCCTGGGAGCAGGAAGCGGGGGTGGGCAGTGCTTGTGCGTGAGGCCTTTTGCTCCGCCCCCTTGGCCTCCCCGCTTGCCGGCAGGTTCCCTAGCTCAGGCCATGGGCTCAGCTCTGGCCATTGCTCTCCTCTCCAGTCGGGCCACCTCTCTGGGGCCCAAGTACCTGCTGCTGAGAAAAGCAAGGTGCCACTGGGTGTCACAGCCTGGGGTGGGACTGCATACAGGCTGCTTGTGAGGGACGGAGCTGAGTGCGGGGTGGGTGGCGGCAGGTGCACCCTCCTGGGCCTGTCCAGGAGGCCTCTGGTCAGGGGGCAGGATCCTGTCCCTTCTGAACAGGCTGAGAATCTGTGCAGGAGCGTGGCTGGTCAGTTGGGGGCTGCCCTGCAGTGAGCCTGTGAATGGCGGTGGCCTTGGGGGCATGAAGGAGGCCTACCCTTGCCCTGGTGTGGTCTGTGGGGGGCTGGCCAGCAGGGCCCTAGGCCTCTCCTGCAAGACTGGCTGGCCGGCTGCCCCTGTGTCTCAGGAGAAGGGACGCAGACTGCGCTGGGGGCGTCTCCGACTTGGAGAGGACCAGGAAACAGAGGAAGTGTCCTGGAGAGTCCCTCGGAGGCGACCTCCTCCCTGCCCCAAGTGTGTAAACCCGACTGGCTGGTCCCCAGTGGCAGAGCTCCAGGGCGCGGCTCTCTGGTGCCACTGTGCCGGGCGGGGGGCTGCGCTGAGCAGGCGGCCTGGAGGGGAGCCAGGGACCCCGTGTGTGCGGCCACGGCACCCCAGCTCTGCAAACATCAGAGCTGAGAAGGGGTGGGCCTTGGTTCCTGCTTTGACTTCTCTGCCAAAAATACAACAATCAAGCCCCTGAGGCCTTTTATAAGTTTGTTTTGAGAAATGTAGGCATGTCTTTTATTTCCTGGCAGCTTTCTGGGTAATCAGGGCCCCTCCCACCAGCATAGTCGCTGGAGTCCTACTCACAGGGCAGCGAGTGGGCAGGGACCCTGGGGCCCATGGGCCTGGGTGCGAGGCCTGGAGGACGAGGGCCCGCGCTCACCCAGCCGGGGAAAGGGAAGGCTGCTCTTGGCTGGACACTGGCCGGAGGTCCTGGGGGAGCCGCCCTTGGGGCTGCAGGAGGGTGGGAAGGGCCAAGGCCAGCTTCCTGGGGGCGGGGATCTGAGTGGGGCCAGTGCCCAGTGGGCTGTGGGGGTGAGAAAGAGAAGCTGGTGTTGGGGAGACGGCCCTCCCTGCCCTTCCAGGTGGAGCCCCGCTGGGCTGTGGGGCCTGGGCTGTGCTTCCTGCCGTCTGCACCCAGGGTCCCCTGTGGGCACCCCACCCTGCTCCTCTGCCTCTCCCCAGCCTGGCCCTTTGAGCCCCTCCCACGGGGGCTGCCTCTCCTGGATGTACGAGCACCCTGCCGTCCCAAGTCCTGTCACCGGCTCCACAGGCCCCCTCCTGCCTTGTGGAGACGCAGGCTCCTGCCTCCCCTCCCTGGCAAAGCCACCTCTTTGCCTCACCTCCGGTACCCCTTGGCCAGGTGCCCCTCTAGGACCAGAGCCCAGCTCTGCAGAGGGCCCTGGCTGTGCTGCCAGTGGGCAGCAGCCCATGCCCTCCCTCTGCACCCATAGGCAGCCTGAGCCGAGCACACACTTCCGTGGGGACCGATGCGCCCTGCTCCCCACTCACATCTGGGCAGGCTCACCTCCCCCACTGCGGCTGCTCCTCGGGGACCCAGGCCCCTCCCAGGCCCCACCCCCTGCAGGCCTCTGCGCTGGCCTGTGCCCAGTGTGTCCCCGGACCTGAGCAGGCGGCAGACTGTGTTCGAGGACCCAGGGCTGTGTCTCGTCCTGGACAAGCCCCTGGCCCGACCTGGAGGACAGTGTGGCACTGAGTGCCGCTGTGTGTGAAGCATGTGGGGTCCCCTCAGAGCTCTGAGGGTGCACACGCCGGCGGCCAACAGATAACTCGGCCCACTTGGCAAAAATCTGGGCTGTGGAGGCTGAGGCACCGAGGCTGGGCCCTGTGGTGGGGGCGGGGACACAACCACTTGGGTGGCCCCACCCAGCCGCCTGCTCTCTGGCCCACAGGAGGGGCTGCCCCAGGGCCCAGGCTCGTCCAGCTGCTTCTGTCCTGGGGACCCTGCCCCCACCCTGATCATCAGTTTGACCACAAGGATGCCCAGTCCAGCCCGGCAGCCAGGGATGCAGGAGCACCCATGGCTGAGGCCCTTGGGGGCAGCTTGCGCCAGCCAGTCCTGCAGGGTTAGCAGTGTCCAGGGTCACCAGGCTGGCAGGTGCATCAGGAGGAACAGTGCGTCCCAGGTGGGGCCCTGGACAGGCACCAGTACACCTGGTTACAAGGCCGGTCCTGGGGCCCATGTACACTGGGCGGGCCCCGGGCTGTGTGTTTCTACCCTGCTCCAGGTGGCCTCACAGCGCTCCCGCTGGGGCCCACTCTGGCAGTGTGCACAGCCCTGGGCGATGTTGGAGCTGGGCGGATGGCTACTTCCAGGCTGACCTGGGACTGATGAGGTGGCTCCTTCATCCGGGAGAGAGGGGTGCTGGCAGGAGTGCCCTCCTGGGCGGCAGGACAGCAGGTGGACACTGGGAGAAGCACTGCGTCTCAGACCCAGTCCACATATCAGAGGCATTTGCAGCCGGGAAAGGGAAGAGCGGCTTCCTGCGTCTCACCAGCTTGTCCCTGTGGCTCGGGCTGGGCTTCTAGGGGCTTGGACGTGAGTCATGGGCATGCTCAGATGGGCACGCTCTGCTGCACAGAGGGGAGACTGAGACTAGCCATGGCTGCCCTGACCTGGAGGAGGCGGGTCGGGACAGTGTGCATGCGGCGGGGGTGCAGGCAGCTTTCCTCTGCCAGGTCCACTATCAACGCTGCCTCCACAGGGCACATGGCCCACCCTGGCTCCCACTCCTGGCTCTGTGTGCTGGAACTGGCCGCAAAGAACAGTCTTCCAAAGGACACGGGGGGTCAGGAGGGTCAGAGACACGCAGGTGAGGGGCCAGCAGGGGCTGGAGGAGGCCTGGGGTGACGGGTGGGAGGGACCCTAGAGGCACACCTTGTCCACCACCCCAAAAGCTCGGCCTTGGAGACGGATAGACTGGGATCTCCCTTCACACCTGCTTGGCCCCACCCTGGGCAAGGCCACGCCAGAGGCTTCGGCAGCAACGCTGCCCCTCAGTGCCCCTGCTGCCCCGAGTGGACGGGTGCTCCACCTCGGCCAGTCCCAGAGGCCAGTGCACAGCTGCCATCTGTACCCCTGAGCACTGTCAGCAGCTTCGGGGACGCCCCATGGTGGTGGTGGTGGTGGCGGATGCCCCCCTTCCCCAATGCCCCTCCTGGACCACGGGCTGGCCAGTGTGGGACCTGAGCAACAGGACGATGCTCTGCGTGTTCAGAGCCTCGCAGCCGCTGGGACCCAAGAAGAGGCACCGTGCTGGGTGCCTTCCGGAAGGGGCCCCCGTGTCCCGTAGCGCTGGTCCTCGCTGGGCTGCAGCCTGCGTGCCGTTCTGACGGAGACGCAGAAAGCCTGTCTCCCAGCAGGGTCACTTCCCACCTCACACCGTGTGACAGGTGGGCCCTGCCAGACGGTGCAGGTGCCTGTCCATCGTCATCCACTCACCAAGCCTGCTCTGTGCCAAGCACCGGGCTGGGGACTGAGGTGACAGAGCCCAGTGGGGTGGGGCTGGCCTATAGAAGATTACCACTAGGCTGGACACAGGCGCCTGGGCTCAGGGCTGGCCCACCCGAGGCCTGCTGGACAAGGCTACAGCCAAGCGCATGCATTGCGGTGTCTTCTCACCTGAGGGGGCTCGGCTGGGGGCACCCGTGGGACTCACTCCCTTCGGAACAAATGCCTTCCCTTCTCGCCCTAGGCTGTGAGTCTAAGGCCGCCCTGCCCCGCCTGCCGGGAGCCCCAACCAGGAGCCCTGGAGCTACTTCCTTGAGGGAGCCCCAGAGCAAGACTCCCTGAAGAATTCCGTTGTCCCTCCCCCCGCGTGAGGAGGAGGTGGAGGGCTCACTGTGTGCACACAGACAAGTGCTTTCCAAACGCCGACTGTTTCGGGGGGAGCTCTCACAGAGACCTGTTTTGTTAGCAGCAGAGGGCTGGTTTCTGATGAAACCGTTTGTTTTGCTAGCGGGTCCGTCCGCTTCAGAGCCCTCTCTCCTGTTGTTTTGGCCTGGGCCGGTGTTTTCGGGGGGGCTGGTAAGGGGCCCGACCCTTTTGTCAGAGCCTGGGACTATGAGTAGGGACGTTGAGCCTGGCCCCGTCCTTAAGGGACACTCTGAAGTAGTGTTGTGCTTCGGCGCGCGACTGGCGTTTACCCATTTCCCAGCTGATCGGGCCTCCCCGGCCCTGGCACACCCCACACCTTTGAAGTCAGTCCCACCCCAGTGACCGAGTCCCGGCCCCCAGGGACTCCCAGCAGGTGGCATCTGCAGAGGGAATGGCTGCCCCCTTGCACCACGGCCACACCCGCAAATGCTGCCTCTAAGCGAGGAGGCCTTTCTGCACGGGCACGAAAACGCAGCTGCCTGTGGGGGCGGGGCACCTCCGGGGGCGGGGCACAGAGGGAGCCAAAGACGCTGAGAACCTTGGTGGTGCGGGGCTGGCAGAGGCCATGAGAGCACTGGCAGGTAAAGATGACAGTTGGGCCCAAGATGGGGATGACGATGGAAGTGGGGAGACAGAGCAGGTGACAGTGCTGATGGGGGGAGTTGCTGGTCACGGTGGGGGTGCTGGTCGCAGGGGCGGGGTGTTGCTGGTGGTGATGGAAGTGGCCTGGGCTGTGTCCAGGGCCCTGGTGTGAGCGGTGACAGGACACCCAGATGCCAGCCCCTTTCCAGCCTGGGTTCAGGGTGGTTCCGGAAGGCGGGGCACAGTGTGCGGAGGCCCACCCACAGTAAATGCCCACGGCGTGTCTTTCCCTCCCTGGCGAGAGTCCGCCCTGGGCGCGTGGAGACCGAACTGGCCAATCCCTGCTCCCTGAAAGAACCAGGACGGGCCGGACGCCCCCACCGAGCTGGAGACCAGGCACCCGACTGCCGCTCAGTGCACGCTGCCCAAGCTCCGGGCTGGTCAGACCCGGGCCGAGCGGGGGCAGGGCGCGCCGCGCTGCAGTCGCCAAAGTGGCCGGGCTGCCGCTCGCACCCCCGCCCGGCGCGCCTCTCCCCCGGCCGCTGTCCGGCCTTGGCCGCCGGGGAGGAAGCGCTGTCCTCATTCCACCCCTGGCCGCTGCGGTGCCAAGTTGCTGGCGGCGGCGGGAGTCGGGGCGGCGGGCAGCGGCGGGGCGCAGCGCCCTCCCTGGTGCCCGCGGGCTCGGGTACTCACGTAAAGTCCGGAGTGTTCGGCGCCGAAGAACGGGAAGGGCACGGAGAGTGGCCGCAGCCCCGAGCCGCCGTCGTCCTGCTTGGGGGTGACAGCGTCTCCGTGCTCCGCGCCGAACGGGTAGAAGTCGGTCAGCGCCACCGCGCCGTGCGCTCCGCGCGCCCCGAGCCACAGGGCCGCCGCCAAGAGCAGCGCCCAGGCGGCACCGGGAGGCATCGCTGGGTGTCGGCGGCGGGGACAGAGTGGGGACAGAGCGGGGCGCGGTGGGGACGGAGCGGGATGGAGCGGGGCCTCGTGGTCCCCGCGGGCTGGGCCGAGGTCGAGGTTGGCAGGGACGAGCGGTTGCAGGCAGCGCGGCCGCGCCGTCGGTAGCTCCGCGCCCCGCGCCCGCGAGCTCCGCCGGGCCGCGCTCCGGGGACCGCTCAGCGGACGGAGGCGCTGGGCCGGACCGCGTTGGGAGCCGGCCCCGCCCCGGGGCCGCGATTTAAATATCTAGCGGGGCGGCCACCGGCCGGGGCGGGGCCATGTAAATCCAGCGGCTCTTAAAGCGCCAGGCCCGCGGGGGCTCGCGGAGCCTGACCCGGCGCCCGGGGCGCCTCCCGGGCCGAGCGGCTTGGAGGCCCAGCCCGCGGCCCCCGCGGCCCCTGGCTCTCCTGGCCCGAGCCCTGGCGAGGTGAGGGCTTCGTGGGCGCACACCCGGGACAGGGGCCGTCCTCCTCCTTCGCGAGCCTACAGTCCTGTCCCCTGAGCAGTGTGGGGACAGAAAGGCCTGCCTGAGATGTTGGGCCTGGCTGGCAGGCTTTTCTGGTGCCCTTGCAACCCGCTGCGGAGTGTCGTCGGTGGGGGCAACCCTGGCTTAGCAGTGCCTGATGAGCCCTTCTAGAAGAGGCTGGAGGCCAGCCCCAAGCTAGTCCCATGCTGCCCCCCACTCCCAGCCCTGAGCCTGGGGACCTTGGATTCCTGCAAAGGGCTGAGGCTTCCCGTCTAGTTTCATGTGGGAACGACCCCTGGCCTGGGGGACCTCAGGGTATTAAACAAAGTGTTTCTGCCCTGGAGGTTTCCTGGTGGGTTCTGGGCATCGGGGGTCTCTCAGCAGAGGGATCTTGGCAGACTCCCCGTAGGGCAGTCTCAGGCGGCTCTGTCCATCCGTCCGGCACGGGGGGTGGGGTAGGGGGGGGGGGGGGGGGAAGCAGCCTGGTGCCACTGGGCCCCTGGGTAGGAGTAGGACCTCCAGAGCTCACAGTGCAGATTGTCCCCAGCCAGTGGCCCTGCCAGCCCCTCCCCCAACTCAGGGACTGCTGAACTTGATTGTCACTCTGAGCGTTTGTGTTCACCTCTGAGTCCCCAGGCCCACTGTGGGACCTGAGTCCCCAGCCTCAGTCCCACCCCGACCCCTCTGCTCTCAGAGCCCTGGGTTCTGCAACACCAGGTGACCACGAGCCCAGCCCTCGGCCCTTGGGAACAGGTGCACCCCTACCAGCCAGAGACGAGCAGAGAGGAAGACAGGCCTGGCAGCCCCCAGGGGCTGGGGGTTCACATTTGTCCGTGTTTTTCTGTGTTTTCTGAATCGTCTCCAAGGAGCAACGAGTCAGTTTACAGTCAGAGCAAGGAGCCCCTGACGTGGCTTTTCACAGGGGTGGGAGGGCCTCTGTGGGGAGCGTGGCTCTGGGGCCGCAGGTGTGGGCAGGTCCCGGGAGGCTGCAGTCAGGGCCCGGTGAGGACCTCCGGAGGCCTGCACTGCACGGGCCGCACCCGGGAGTGAGCGCCCCCCAAACGTGGCCCTAGGCCCCCAGACCCAGGCTGCAGGACAGGAAGGGCGAGAACGGCACACGGCCCCCTCCGCGGGGGGAAGGAGCCAGAGATGGAGGCTGCTCTCGGGGCTGTGCTGCGGACAGAACCCCAAGTTCGAGAAGCTCTCAGCGCAGCTGGGAAGGGAAGGCCCGTCCCCACTGGCCACACCCACTCACACCCAGGTCCACACTCACATGTGCACCTCACATGCAGACACACTGTGCTCTGTCACACACGTGTATTCCCACACACATGCTCACACTCACACACATCCTCTCACACCCTCACAGCTCACCTGCATGTCCAAGTTCACACACAAGTGCACCACATTACACACGCGCAGCACCAAGCAGGGTGGGGGCCTCAGGGCCTGACCTCTGACCTCTGACCGCTTCTCAACCTGCCCACCTCCTCCCCAGCTGCTGCTCCCCGTCCTCCCGGGCACTGCTGACCTTCAGCTGAGACGTGCCTCAGCGGACCCCAGGACAGGCCTGTTCCTGGGTCCCCCTGGGGGCCCATGGGGGCACTGGTGCCCCAGAGCCCAGCGCAGCCCTGGGCACCTGGGCGTCTGTTCCTGCCGGCGCACTGGGAGGGGCCGTGTAGACACAGGTTCCCAGCCCGGCCACTCGCTGGCACCCCGAGGGTGTGGGATGGGAGATGTTCGGCAGCCCCCCCCCCCCACTGCCAAGCCCGATGACCCCCACGGCCTTCGCCCTGGGCAGATCTGAGCCTGGCCTGGCAGAGGAGGGCGGGCGGGGGTGGGGTGGGCGGTGACAAGAGGGTTCCTCCCGTCCCCCCACAGTGGACATTGCAGTGGACATTGCATTTCAGAAACAACAACAACACACACACACAAACACAACTCCACAGGAGAAAAAAGAGGAGAAGCCATTTTTTTTCAGGTGCTAAAAATATTATCAGGAAATAGTTTCAGCAATGTGCCCGCTCGGGCTCTGCCGGACTCAAGGGCGCCTTTGTCTGGGCCGCGGAAAGTCCGCCTTTATCAAAGCCAAGCGGGTTCTATCGAGCAGGCTCGCGTTCTGCGGCAGGAAACCTGAGCCTCCCCACAGGCCTGTGACATTTTAATTTAGGGCCTGAGTGTGTGTGCCGTTTGGATGGGGAGCCCGGAGCTGACCTCCAGACACTCCAGGACTTGGGGCTCCGCGCAGGGAAGGTGGTAGGCGACCTCACCTGGCCTGGAGGCTGCTTCCTGCAGGGCTGAGGTGGGGGCTCTGGCTGGGGTTGCTAGGGGCAGGTCTGGCTGCCCGGCTGCACCGCCCTCCCCCGAACTTTCTCTCGTTCCCTCCAAGAGGCAGCCAAGGGGGCATGGCTCTTCCCAGAGCAGCCGGTCCTTCCATGGAGGAGGAACCAGAGCCCTGGCCCCAGGTGCTGGGAATGAGGTTGAGAGGTCCCAGGGCCCGGCGGGGCAGGTAGGGTCTGTGCCTGTCACTATACTGTCAGGCTGGGTGGTGCGGCTGGGGCACCCAGGTGGGGGTGGGAGGGCCTGGTGAGCACCCAGCAGCCGGCACAGCCGGCACCTCCTGACCTGGCCCCCTTGGCTCCTCCTGTGTGCAGGGAGTGGCAGAGTCTCTGTGGAATCCCCCCCCACACACACCCGACACCCTCCACGGGCTCTGGCCGTGACCTTAGAGAAACCATGTGGGCAGCCCTCACAGCTGGGATGCTCACTGCTGCTTCAGTTCAGGAAGACGGGGCAGCGTTGGAAGCACTTCGAGCCAGAGGGTCTGCAGGGAGAGGCGGTAGACGGGCTACCGGTGGGCTCAGGTGGGGCACTCCCGCCCTGGGGTGAAGACAGCCCCCCCCACCCCGCCTTCTGCGGGAAGCCAGGCGGGCTCCCTGGTTCAAGGGCAGACGCTCCCATTCCTGGCTGGTGCCTGACAGCCCGGGACAGCCCAGGTGGGCCCAGGCCGCAGGAGACCGGGGCCACCCCTGCTTCGCAGCCAATGAAGTTGCGCTCCGTTCAGGAAAACTGGCGATGTAATAATGTTGGATGCGGGCCATTGAAAAGCGCATTCGAAGCAGTAGATGCAGTGCAAGGCCACAGCCCCGAGCCCTCGGGGCGGGGTGGGGGGCGGGGGGGCTCTGGCCGCACTGCAGCGTCCGCAGGTGAGGTGCCAGCGGCCCCGGCCTGGCTGGCCTCCTCCGTCCTGCTCGCTCGCTGCCTCCCCAGCGGTGGCCCAGCCAGGACTCTGGGGGCTGGGCCGGTCCCTCAGAGCGGTCACACTCCCGTGGTCCTGGGGCCTCGCTGCCTTCCGCCTGCGGGGGCCATGCTTCAGGACGGCCCTCTGCCCTCCCGCTCCCTCCGGACGTGAGCCCCTCCCACTGTGGCTGCAGGCTGGTCCTCTGACACCTGGGAAGACTGGTGCCCCACACCTGGCGGGGCCCAGTGCCACGGCAGCCACGGGGTGATGGGGCGTCTGGCGTCAGCCCGGGCCATACCTTGTGTGGCACTCACCATAACAGCCCTCTGGGGCGGGTTCGCCCCGAGTTACAGAGGAGAAAGAGGAGGCCAGGGAGCCAGCCTGGCCTTGCGGGGCTGCAGAGGGACCCGCCAGGCCTCCACGGAGGGGAGGGGAGGTGACCTGACTCCGCTCTCCAGTTTCCGGCCCCTTCCCCCCATCCCGCCCCCACCCCAGCAGAAGGCCCACAGGGGAAGGGCACACCTGGTGTTCAAGGGTGGCAGAGGCCACCGAATGCCAGGCCCTGGCCGTCCCTGTTCGGGGGAACACTCCCCAGGAGTGGGGTGCACAGACCTGCAGGGCTGCTACTCGCCCCAGCTGGGCGAATATCAGGGTGCACACACGCCCCACTGACTGTCCTTTGCCCCAAGCAGCCATCGCCGAGGGCCACCTCTGTCCCCCCTGAGCCTGTGCTGAGCTTCGGATCCTCCTCAGCGCAGTGCCGACCGTTGAAGAAGCTCTTTCCAGCAGTCACTCTTGTCAGTTTTCAACATGTGGTCACTGCACTCCTATGTCCAACCAGAAAACAAGCCGGATCCGTCTCGAAAGAGACAGAAGACAGCCAGACTCGTGGGCCGCAGCCTACTGTGACCATGATGGGGGACTTTCTGAGCGTGCGTCCCTTCCCGCCCCCGTCCTTGAGGGTATGACGGGGTTCCCAGATGAGCTGGGCCCACAGGGACCTCGGTGCTGAGCCAGTCACTCACAGAAGCAAGGAGGCCATTTGCCGAGGACACGACCACTCCGACCAGCGTTAACGGGGGAATGAGGAAAACCACCGGCAGGTGGACCACTGACGCTGCCCCGTCTCGGGGGGGGGGCCGATCCCAGGGACCGGCCCGGGCCACAGGCTGGGAAAGTGGGAGCCTGTGCAAGCCTGACTGTTACACCCTGCGCCTCCCCGGCCAGTGAGTGAGTCACGGGGAAGACTGAGTCATTTCCAGCCACCTGCCACCGTGACAGACCTGCAGTTCCTGGATCCGGAAGGTTCCGCAGGCTCTGGACGTGGGAGGTGGGGCTGGGCCTCGTGGGACATTCTGTTTTTGGCTCCGGCCGGTGGAAATGTTTTCCACGTGTTTCCCCGTGTTTACAGAGCCAAGGGCACGGATGCAGCCGTTGGCCGAGAAAGCCGGCCTGGCGGGGCCTGGCCACCAGGGTCTACTCCGATCAGCATGTCCAGGTGGGGACCTGGTGTGGCTGGGGTTGCTGCTTGGTGGGAGCACCCACAGGAGCCGTCCAGCGGCAGCGAACACCCGAGTCACGGGCCAGGGGAGCTCGGCGGTCGAGGACCAGGAGAGGCCTGGGGGTGAGCGTGGCCTGGGCTGCCCGCGGCCTTGGCCCCTCTGCCAGCACCGGGCCCGCCCTGTGCAGCGGGGTCCCCTGAGCCACACGAGTGCCGCTTCCCCGGCCGTGCTCCGCCCCGGCTGGTCAGGGTGCGTGCTCGGCCCCGTCAGCCCTGGCGGGGGCCGCCCGCAGGGCTCACTTCTTGGCTGGGGTGGCCTGGTGGAGGCGGGCCTGTCGCTGCCGCGGCACTTTCTGGTCCAGCTGCTCCTTCCTGCTGGCCACCTGGGGACGGACGAGAGCTCCGGTGGCTGGTCCTGGGCCAGCGCCCCCAGAGCCCTGTCGCAGGAGGGGCTGGGGGCCCCGTCTCCCTGGGAGTTGATGTGCTCAGGACCCCCTTCCATTCAGGCCGTGAACTTGCTCAGTGTGATAAGGAATCAACAGCTCGGTGGGTCAGGGACACTAGCTTGGGGGTGACACTGGGCGGTGACGTCACCTCTGGGTCTTGGTTTCCTTGCCACATGCCCGAGGCTCTGTCACATCGTGTCACTGCCTTGTCCCCCACATGCTGCTCTCCCCTCCTGACTCCGAAGGACGGTGCAGGGGTCATGTCTGCTGGTCACGGTCTGGACAGGTCCCAGGCAGCCATCTCTGAGCAAGGGACCATCCTCACCGCCTCTCCTTGCGGGCGGTGATGGGGGCAGAGGGTGGTGGCCCGCCCTGGAGACCTGCCCAGCCTCTCGCTGAGTGAGGCTCTTGGCGGGGAGTGGGGGAGGGGCAGCAGTGCTGAGACCCAGGGCTGGCAGGCCCGCCGCTCCCCTGCCTCTGCCCCCGATGCTGCCCCACCTGCCCCTCCAGCACCTTCACCCGCCCCTGGTGGGCCCGCCCCGGCCAGGTCTTGCTGGTGCTGGTCAGCCAGCTCCCGGGGCTGCTGGGCGAGGGCCTGGAGCAGCTCCGATGTCCAGACCTGGGTGAGAACTCGGGCACCTCACTGCCCCTGGGGGTCTCCATCCTGTCATCCTGCCCTCACCTGGCCCAGGACTGGCAAGTGGGCCGGGGCCTCATTTGGGCGAGAGTCCCACCCGAGGTCCTGCAGGGCAGACTCGCGTCCGTTTTAACGGCACTACCCTGGCTCCCGCAGGTGCCACAGGCTGGGTCTGGCTGCCTCCTACCTGCTGCAGGTTCTTTTTCTGGGGGTGGAGGTTCCGTCCAGCGGAAAAGGGGAGATTCCACCCCTCCCCCCACACAGGGAGCAGCCTGGCCCTGCTCAGCCGGGCTCCCCACTCTCTTCCCACTCTGCCCCCTGCGCCAGCTCACAAGGTCCCCTGACCAGGCACCACTCCCAGGTGTGGCCGGTCAGACGCCACTGTGGTCTGGGGCGGCGTCTGTGCATCTGTCCTTGTGCTCTGAGACAGAGGCTGGCCCAGCGGCTCCTCCCCTCGCCCTGACCGGTCCTGCTCCGGCTGCGGGAGCGGAGCCTAGAGCGGCAGCTGACGGTGGTCGGACCGGCCTTCTCTCGGGTGACCATGCAGGTGCCTCTGGGAAGGGCCCTGGGTCCCCAGAGCACTGGTGGGGTGGGGTCAGGGCGCTGCCCGGGCCAGGACCTCCAGCCCCACCAGGGACACCGACAGCTGAGCCGGGACGGAAGCCGAAGGGAACGGGGCCAAGTCGCCATCTGCTTCAGAGCTGTCCTCAGCGGGGCCTCTCGGCTGCCCTCCCTGCCTTGTGGGGCCCGGCACCCTGTGTCCACCCGAACACACAGCACCCGGTCCTATCAAGTGACCTGTTGTGTCACTGTCCCCACCATCTGTCCTTAGAGCTGCCAGTGGCCTGAGCGGAGCCCCCTTCTTTGCCGCTCCCCCCACCCACCTGCCGCTTGCGGGCACAGGGCAGGAGGAGTGGGCTGGGGTCCGACACCCAGTGCCAGGAGGCAGCGCTCTGGCTGGGGCCCCATCTGCCCCCGGGGGAGCCCTTTGGAGGAAGGAACTGAGCCCCGGACGCTGGTGCTGCTGGGCACCGGCTCCTGCTTCTCGGGCACCAGCCTGCCAGCAGCTGGGCCCAGGCCCTCCGCCCCTGCAGGGTCGTATCTGGGGCCACGGGGGCCCCCAATCAGGGAGGGCCATGTGGGGAGAAACTGTGGGGTCGGTGGTCAGAGCACCACAGAAGCAAGGGCTCCCTCCTCCTCCAGGACTGCGAGAAACACACCCTCCGCCGAGCAAGGGAGTCCTGCCCCTGAAGCCCCCACAGATGGTCCTGGCAGCGCGTGTGAAACAGAGAGAAGTGGGTCCAAAGCAAACACTCGGCCGCGGCCGGGCTTCCCCTCCTGAGACACCGGGACGGGGTTTGTGGGTTTGCAGCCCCCACAGCCGACCTCCTGGAGCTCATTAGCCGCGCCTGCCTGCCCCCACCGGGGTTCCGGAGCTCAGCGCTGGGCCTGCCCTGCAGGAGGAGCGAGGGGTCCTGGTGACTGTGCCCTGCTGGCCGCCCTCCTTCCTGGATGGGCAGGTGGCCTGGGGTGGGCTGAGGGCTGTCCAGTGATTGTCCTGACCTACGCGGGACTCTGCCCCCATCCAGAACCCAATCCTGTCCCCAGGGTCCCTGCCCCCAACCCCGACTTGGCCACTCCCCTCTGGAAAGCCCTCCCGTCCCTGAGTCTCCCGCAGCTGAATGGTGTGGGCCTGGTGGCCAGGGCCTGCCTGGCACTGGGGACAGACCCCCCCCCTGGGGGCCGTGTGTGCTCGGCGCACAGGCAGCCATCACCCCCAACCTGTCCCCGGGACCCCGGCTGCTGCTGGTCCGGCCTGTCCCCGACAGGACTGAACAGCGCCTTCCTGCCCAGCAGCGTGGCCTGCACCTCTCCCAGGGCCCTGCCCGCCCCTTCCTCTCCTCCCTGGGTCCCATGCGCCCTGTGGGCACCTTTCTGCTCAGAGTCCGAGCGCCAGGCACTCACACCGCCGGCCAGTGGGGCGGAGCCCTTGGGCCGCACTGCCCAGACCAGAGGAGCCTGCCCCGCCGGGGCGCCAGTCTTCACAGGGCTCGGTGGGCAGGTGGCCCAGTGACAAGCCCAGGGATCCCCTGGACCTGAGGGGGCCCCTGCAATGTCTGTGGGGGCGACACTTAACACTGCCTCCCCCACCTGCTCTGAGCAGCTGGCCACCGCTGCCTGGAACAGCTGGGTGTGGCAGGCACCTGGATCTCCCTGCACAGGTGAGCCCCGCCCAGGGCCAGTGCCGCTGTGGGAGGGATGGCAGCTGTGTGGGTGTCTGTGCCCAGTCGGCAGGCGCTCGTCCCTGAGCCCCTCCCCGGTCTGGGCCCCAACTCTGCTTCGGATCCCTGCCCTGGGGGACAGGCAGCGACCCTCCGCCCGGACGCGGCCCAGGCGTGCTCACAGAGGCTCTGGGCCACCCCCTGCTAGGTCTCCTGGGCAGCAGGACACACGTGCAGGGCTTCAGCCTGGCACGGGACCCCTGACCCCTCTCTAGGGACCACCCGTCGGAGTCTGTGTCCAAGCCGGGTGTGTGCAAAGCATCCTGAGCTCCCCCTGCGGGCGGCCCCCTCGGGCAGGGAGAGGGTCATATGGGGGAGGGAACCCTCCTCGGTTCCTGGTCTGTCGGCGGGGCCTCGGGCGGTGCCTGGACACTGGGACCCCTGCTCACGCCCTGGGGATGACTCCGTGAAGGGGTGCGGGGCCTGCCGTCTGGGGCTCTCACCTGCCGAGGGGCCCCCAGAGCTCTCTCCGCCGCCGGGCACCTGCGCTCCAGGCCAGGGACCTGGCCTTCCAGCAGGTGACTCTTCTGGGCGGGGCCCTGGCTGTGTGTCCTGCTCGCGTCCAGGGCCCAGTGTAGCACGTCCAGCTGCTCCTGGGGAAGGGGACGTGGGTGTCTGCGTGTGGCCCGCAGCAGGTGGCTGGGGTGCAAGGTGGCATGACTGGCCATGTGTCCCGTGCACAGACCGGCGGTCTGGGTGCAGCCTCGGGGGTCCCAGTTCTGTGCTGTGGCCCAAGTGGCCTCAAAGACACACCTGGTGCCCCTTCGCTGCCTCCAGACTTGGAACGAAGGCCAGAGTCCCTCTGAGCCCTTGGAGCCTGACAGGCTCGGGCCCTGCGCGGCGGCACCGCACCCCAGCCATTACTCCCCCGCCTCAGGGCTGTGCCCGCTGCCCAGCCCTGGACCCCCACCTTGAGCCCTGCTCAGCCCTGAGCCCAGTGGATGGCTCTGGGCCCCACACAGACACTACTCACACCAGCGGCCCTGCCCTGCCCCGTCACCCCTCTGCTCAGAGCCTTCTTGTCCCCTGGGCCTCTAGCCACCCCTCGGGGGTCCCCGGGGACCTCTCGTGAGTTCTATACAGGCTCCGTTGTGAGGAACTTGGGTTGGCCTGGGACCCAGCACGGCTCTGAGAGGTGGGCAGGTCTCCAGCTGGGATCTCCCACACGTTCCGTGGAAGAGGTGGCCAGTGCCTCCGATTGGGTGGGGTCTGATGTCGGACAGAGTGGCTGGACTCTGGCGGGGGGTAGAGGGGCCTGGAGGGGCCGTGCTGGGAGCTCCCAGGCACGGGCTGCGGGTGGTCCCAGACCCACTCACCTGACAGAAAAGTAGGTGGGGGGGCGTGTTTGGGGGTGAAGGTTTGGGGTTCGGTGTTGAGGGGTCTCAGGAGTCACGGAACTCGGGGACAGTGTGGCTCTGGAGGCTAGAGAAGGGGAGGCAGGGGCCCCACCACACGGACATCGGGCGGAGGGACGGAGGAGATGGCTGTGCAGGGGGGGCGCTGGTGGACATCGGGGGGACGGGCCGGTCCCTCTGTGGGGTGCCCCAAGGGGTCAGGGGGCACAGGCCTGGAAAGGACCAGTTGCACGGGACCAGGCACTGCCGGTGCCTCGGTGAGTGTGGGCGAGGGTGCGGGGGTGGTGAGAGGGAGACAGGGCACAGAGTCGGGGTGGGGCCTGAGGGTGGGGGCCCCCGGGAGCCCCAGCGGTCGTGTTCCGGGGGTGGGGTTTGAGGGGACACAACCCGTTGAGTCCCGCCTCTCACTTTGTTGTCATTGCCGGCGCTGACGCCGAGGGCTGCTGGAGGGGCTGGAGACGGCGGAGCCCCGGACACACTTTAGTACTTGGTGAGAGGAAAGGGAGGAGGGCCATGCCTGTCCCTGAAACGGTGACATTTCACCCTCCCTTGCAACTTTGAACATCACAATTTTCTGTTCGTACGCCTTTTCCAGCAGAAAAGCAGAGGCTTCCTTCAACTATGGTTCGAGCGCTCCCTGGCCCTGCACCGGGGCCGGACCACTCCCATGGGGCACCGGGCCCAGCTTCTGCCGTCACACTGAACAGCACTGGCCGCGTCACATCTGCTGTGTTGCGCTGCTTCTGAGTCCTGGTCCGGCACGAGATGGGCGCTGGCCAAGCAAGCCGCACAGCCAGGTTCACTCTGAGGGTCCCCGTGGCCACCGGAAAGTGCGACCCCGGCCCCTGCCCAGCCTCGAGCGTTGGCCCCTGTGGCTCCAACCTGGGGGCCGGGTGGGGAGGAGATGGGCTCGGGCCGGGGCCTCGGTCTCCCCATCTGTGGCACAGGGCGGTGCAGCCTCACAGGGTTATTGTCCGTGGGTCCGGAGCCAGGAGGAGGGTGGGAGGGGCCGCTGTGAACTGAGGGGGCTGCGGGAGGAAGCTCGGAAAGCACCTTGCGCCCCCACGGTGGGCGGGTCTCAGCAAGCAGCCTGCAGTGCCATGAGGAGGAGGAGACCCTGGCCAGTGCATCCTCTAGGCCCCGGGGGTCGGGTCCTCAGCCTGACACCTTTTCAGCCGCTTGAGACACGTGTCCACCCATCGCCGCGGGTTCCACACTCCGGCCAGTCCCAGGACACAGGGAGCCCAGGGCCGCTCGGAGAGAAGGGGCGTGGAGTCCCTCACTTTGCACGGTGAGCCGCGGCGGCCCAGCCGGGGGCCCGGTGCGGGTTAGCGGAAGATGGCCCCTCCGCCGCGCTGGCCTCCCTGTGCAGCCGGTGCTGCCGCTCCCGCCGCCACCACACTGGTGTCTAATTGGTTGTGACCCTCCATTCTTCTCCGTGCACTCGGCAGTCAGCTTGGCTGGTCTGCCTCCAAACGCAGGGACCAAAGCCGACCAAGAAAGCAAGAGGTAAACACCCGACAAATCAGGAAGCCGAGCCCGACTCCGTTGGGAGCCGATCACGGGACCCACAGCACCCGGGCCACAGTGGAATCTTCCTCACAGAAGCAACCACCACCCTTGAACTAAAGGAGAAATAAAAACGAAGCTGCTAGAAAACGGGTAGAAAGGAAAAGAACTCTCATCGGAAAGCCACGGCTCCCGCAGCAAACCGCACCCGGGGACACCGACACTTGCAAGCGAGAGAGAATGTGCGGACAGAGGCACACAGCTTAGTCACCGTCGGAAATCAGAACGACAACGACCCGAAGAGGGTGCTGAAGAAGATGCAGCTGGAAGGAAAACAGAGACGGAATCGAGAACAGACGGAAGCTGATTCTCCGAAAGACCGGGAGGAGAGGCAGACTGCCGGCCTGCGGGACTCGGGGAAGCAAACTGAACCCCCACAACAGCTCTAACTGCAGACGTGACCACGGTGACGGCAGAGGTGGGCGGCGGCCAGGTGCCAACAGCTGACCCACGCCGGGGCGGCGAACTGGAGACGAGCCGAAATGGGACAGAGCCGGAGGGGAGTGCACCCGGGTGTCAGAGGGCGTGAGGGTGCCGGCGAGTTCACCCTGAGCCTCTAAAATGCTGAACGCTTAGACTATTCGGATCACTCCAGGTGATGGAAAAAGATGCCTCACGGATTCACTTCGAGAAGGGAAGGTCATCTTAACAAAAGAGGCCGATGCAGACGACACCCCAAAGCGGTGCCGAGACAGATCGTGGACCTGTGCCCAGGAGGCCGAGGGCTCCCTGGCTTTGCTTCCAGAACCCGGGGACTGAGTTCAGTCCGGGCCTGGGGGAGCATTGTCAGGAGGGGCGGGGTGGGGCGGGGCCGGCACTGGGGCAGGTCCAGGTGCCAGGAGGTCACTGTGCCCTGGCTCCGCGTCAGGGTCGGGGGCGGGATGCAGGGCTGGGTCCTCACGCCCGGGCTCCCTCTGCACTGTGGCTCCAGTGAATCCCCGGAGACGGGAGGGCTTTGCTCTCAAACAAGAATCTTACTGTTTGCATAGCACAGCCTACCATTTAATTAGAAAAATATGTTTTTAATTAGCTTTCTCTTGACAAACACATTGGCTTATGCAGAACGGAGAGAAGCCCAGTTCGCGGACGTGCCGCATGCCGACCTTGCTCTGGCTCACGGTGCGGGGAGGGTCCTGCAGCGGCTCGGCCACACTCGCGTCCGCCTGGGTTTGCCGGAGACCCAGGCGAGGCTCCACCCGCCCCCCACGCCACTGCAACGGCCAGCAGGTCACAGAACTCGGGGTGACCTCCCCTGGACCTGGAGAGTAGGGCTTCTGGGAGAGGAGAAGCGGTCAGAGCAAGCTGGCCTACAAATAAAAGAAATGGCAATTGCCAGAATTCTCGAAAAATTTGACATGATACTGATAGATTCTAGTGTACACACTTCCCTAAAAGATTGAATGAATTCTCAATCAAGCAGAAAAACGAGAATGGGCCCAGGAGGTCTGAACGGCACCCGGAAGTGCCCGCAGCACCCACGCATGAAGACCCCAGGTGGAAACCACTGGTGCCCTGGGACCCCGGCTTCAGGGCCAGGCCGGAGGGGCTGCGGGATGTGGAGGGGAGGCCCCTGGGGGCCAGGACCAAGGCGGCCCCCTCCCACCTCGCTCAGGGAACGGAGCAGCTGGCCCCCCACAGCCCCCACAGCCCAGACTAGAACTTCTCTCTGCCTTTCGTCTGGGCCTGACATTTCAGGGTCACACGGAGCCCCCGAGGGATCCTCTCCCTCTCTGAAGACGTGTGGAGGAGGGAAACACGACATAAGGGGCGATGAACTGTGGTCCAAGAGACCGAGTCCTGAGGAACCGGGGCCGAGGGTCTGGAACAGGGACAGAGCGGAGTGCGTGTCGGGAAGGGCTGACTGACGTTCTCAGGGCGGGAGCCTGCGGGGAAGCTGTCACGAGACGAAAACGCAAGCGCAGCTGAACACGGGTCAGTGGCACTGAACCTGGGAGGGGGCAGTTCAAGGTCGGTAAGGAGGACGGGCCGGGAGAGCGGAGCCGGGCTGCTGTGAACTTCAGGACAAGTGGGCGGGGAAGCGTGGGGAGGAGAGAGGTCCTCCAGGTGGGCCGGGACCAGGCGCTGCTGCAGAGCAGGCTCGCGGAGCGCAGGCCCGAATAGTGCGGGCCGGCTACGTCCCAAATTTCAGTAGTGACTGGGCGCCCCCCCTCGGCAAGTACCCTGCCGCAACCACCCGTTCCCGGAACGGGCTGAGACCGGGTTGGCGGGCGGACTGACGGCCTGGAATCTGAGCACGGGCCGGCCCTCTGCAGGGATGGGGCTCCCCTGGTCCCCCCCCCCCCCGCCCCGACGCCTGCGTGCACCAGGGTTCAGCTGGCATGTTCCACCCACCACTGGGCCCGGTAGTCGGCAGTCACAGAGGGACCAGGACCACGGGCCGCGAGGTCACCCTGGGGTGGTGTCACATCGCGTGGGAACAGGGTTTGCAGATGTGATGAAGGCTGGCGACCGACCCAAGGGAGAGCAAGCGGCTCTCCGGGTGGGCCAAGCGGCATCGAGGTCTGGGCTGAGGGCTCCGAGGGAGGGCCTATGTGGAGGCCCAGCAGGGGCTGGGAGAAACTTCTAGAAGCTGCTCCATCCTTGGCTGATGGCTGGGAAACGGGACTTTGGTCCCGGGCCCACAGGACGCTGGACCCTGCCACACCCTGAGTGAACCGTAAGGGGTCTCTTCCAGCCCCAGGGGAGGACCCAGGAGAGAACCAGCCACCCACGTGGGACTCCCGCCCTGCAGGGCTGGGGGCGCATGAGTCGGGGGGCTCCCTGGGCCTCCACGGCTGAGTGGGAGCGCACCAAATGCAGGCTTGGGGCCGGCTCTGCAGGGACTGGCCGGCACTGAGCAGAAAGAGGGGGGTGGGTGGGTGCCCCCAGGACACAGGTGCAGAGACCTGGCAGCTGGGGGAGGCCAGGACACAGGAAGGGGTCCGGCTGCCACCCACAGTCCCTGAGCCCAGCGTGACTTTGCTGCCGAGTTCACCGCCGTAAGGCTCCCGTGCCCCCCAGACCAGGGAGACAGACGAGGGCAGGATGCGGGCGCCACAGGGAAGGGGAGAGCGACAGACCTACATCGAGGACAGAGTGGAGGTCGTGAGGAAGTGTTAAAGCAGAGGGGCAGAACAAATGTCCACGACGGCTGTGAGAGGAACGAGTCCCCCCGGGAGAGGCACGCACCGCGGTGGAGCGGAAATGCGGCCAGGCTGGTGGGAGGAGGGTCAGAAAGGGTGGGTGGTGGGCCGTGCCGCATCAGGTGACGTGGGGCTCGGGACCGACGTGGGCACCGGGCACAGAGGCCCCCGGACCTGGAAAAGCTCGAGCAGCGAGACACTTTGAGTTCTGAACAGCAGGCAGTCGCAGCCCACAGGCCGAACACGCTCGGGAAGAGGAGACGGTTGCCGCCAGGACCCGAGGCCGTGGGGGAGCCCCGCCCGGCGCTCTGACGCGGGTCCGTTCGGGAGACAGACCCAGTGCGGAGCGTCTGAGTGTCCTGTTTGCGAGGGCTGATGGGACGGTGCAGTTCAACCTCATTTTCAAACGTGCATGGGGTGCACACGCGAACACATGTGGAACACGGAACTCGGCCCCGCCCGCCTCCCCTGTTTCTCGGGTCCACACCTCACCAGTCCTGCTGCCCCCCGCCGCACCGGCCCATCATCGCCCCAGCGGCTTCGGCCACAAGGGTCTTGAACAGAAATGGCCTTTTGCCTCACAAGTCTCTCTCGGGGCCCCGGGCAGAGAGCCGAGTCCCCACTCGGCAGCCGGCAGCCTCAGCTTCCTGGTGTGGGGCCTCGGCCCCGGACACCCCATCCTCCGAGCCCCCAGGCCTGGGCTGGGCGGGGTGGGGAGGCCGGGGCCAGCCCCTCTCTGGGCCCGGACTCCTCACCTGAAAAGCGCAGACCCCAGACCACCTTCACAGCACAGAGTTCACACTGGGGACATTGGGTGAGTTCGTGCTGCGTCACCTCCTTCCCCATGTGAGGGACACGGGGCCAAAAGCGGTCCCCCGGCAGCAGAGGTGGGACCCCGAGAAGGAGACCAGGGGTCTGCCCTTCTCAGGCTCTGCCTCCAGACCAAGTCTCTCTGCCCAGGACTCAGTTTCCCCAGTCTGTAAAACAAGGGCTAGGACCATTTCAGAGACAGCGAGGGACCCAGCGCCCCTGGAGGCCACCCGCCCACGGGGACCTTAGACGGCCCCTCCCCCTCCCGGCCCCGGGGCGGGGCCCCACCTGGAGCCACCTCCTCTCCTGGCCCGCAGACCGCACACTCGCCAGGTGCTCTGCCTGCAGTCTCCGCAGCGCCTCCTCCTGCAGGGCCCTTGTGGCCTGGGCGCCGCCTGCCTCCCCCTCTGCCTGGCGCCAGCCTGTGGGGTGAGTGGGGTGGCCACCTGGCTCCCAGGTCTAGGGGAAGGGGTCGTCCCCTCCCACCGCACCTGCACCCAGAGGGTGGGGGCTGAGGCCCCCGGGGGACTCCTCCCTGCCTCTGAGCTCCAGGCCCCTCCCCCCCATCCTTCCCTCTGGCCTCCTTCCCTTCCAGATGGTCCGGTCCTGGGCCCAGCCCCCGTGTGAACCACTAACGGGGACAGGGGGACAGAAATGCGGTGGGGGTGGCCAGCAGGGCAGGGGGCCTCTCTGAGGTGACGGTGGGGGGGCGGGGGGGGAGAAGACTCCAAGGGTGGGCGCAGCCAGTGCCGAGGCCCTGGGTGGGAAGGGCAGGAGGCCGGCGCGGCGGGAGGGCTTTTCATGGTCTCTGGGGCAGTGTGTCCCCCCAACTTGATGGGTGCTGGTCTGGGTGTCTCCCTGGAATCCCCAGAGAAGGTGGGGAAGGGACCTCACCTTCCTCTGCCCGGACCAGCGCCCTGTGCAGCTGCCCCACGCGGCTCTGGGCTCGGGCACGCTCGCTCTGCTCCTCCCTCAGCTGGCTGCTCAGGCTGGCCACCTGGGAGCGCCAGGTGTCCTGGGAGAAGGACAAGGTCAACAGGCTGCCAGGGTGAGTGCGGGGCCGAGGTGTCATGTGAGAGGCTTTGGGGGTCTGGTGGGCAACCCATGGAAACTCGGGGGAGATCCTGGAAGGGTGTGGAGGGGCTGGAGGGGGGGCCGTGTGTCCAGATTCAGGGTGTGGACCTAGAGTGGGGGAACAGGGTGTGCAGTGGCAGGTGGTGACCCATAGCCTGTGGGGTCAAGGTGACTTTCAGGGACTGAACACCGGCCACGACCTGGGACTGAGTGGGTTTGGGCCCTGCCCCCCGGGTCTGGCATTGGGGGAGGGAGGACCGTGGGCCAAGTCCAGAAGGCCCCCCAGCTGTGGGCGGGTGGCTCTGGGGGAGCCCCGAGGCGGTGGGATGGGGAGAACACGTGAGCAGCTGCTGGGAGTGGTCACTGGGGTCGCTCTGCAGGTGGCCCAGCCAGCCCTTCTAGGAGCTGCACGCAGGGGCGGAGAAGGCCCAGCCCCCGGCCCAGTGCGTCCCTGCCGGGCCGGCTTCAGGGCCTCTGCTGCTGGGCACAGCCCACTTGGGGCCACCAGGCTTTGAGGGGCTCCTCACACAAAGGAGGGTCTGGGCCCTGAGGGGCCTAGCAACCTGCAGGGCCCTGCTGGGGTCTCAGCAGATGCAGGACAGGCAGACAGGCGGACAGGGCAGACAGGCGGACAGGGCAGGGCCTCCCACCCCACTTACCCGCTCCCGCCGGGCGTCCCGCAGCTGCCGCATCAGGTCCCGCAGGGCCTGCTGCACGGTGGCCACGTCCACCTCCGGGCTGTGCTGCCCCAGGGCAGGTGGGGGCCATCGGGGTGGTGAGTGGGGCCGGGCAGGGGGGCTGCCACTGTGCCGCCCAGTGTGGCCCTGGGAGCCGCTCGGGCCTGTAGGACAGCAAGGGCTGAGGGGGCGTGGGGTGCACTCCATGACACGTGCAGGCGTCCCGTCCCCGCCCACAGGGCACAGGGGCCCAGTGACCAGGCCCTCACTGTGCAGCCTGTGAGGCCCAGGTGGGTGGCGGAGCCGGGATGGGAGCCCCCGAAGCCCCCAAGGACACTGACCTTTGCGGGGGGAGCCGGGCCGCCCGGGGCGGGCACAGGGGCTCTGTGCTCGGAGGCCCAGCTCGCGGCAGAGCATGGCCCACAGCTGGTCCAGCTGGCCCTGTGTGTCCTGCCTGGCGCCCTTGGCCCGGGCCAGCTCCTGCTCCAGGCTGTGGACCTGGTGGCAGGCCCTGTCCAGGCGAGCCTGGAGGCCATCGGCCACGCCGTTGGCCTGCTGCAGCTTCCTGCTGGCGATGTGCAGCTCAGCCCGGAGGGTCTGCTCGGCCCCCCGGCTCTCGAGGAGGTGTGCCTCCACCTGCTTCGCCTGGGCCTCCGCTCCGGCCTCCACCTCTGCCAGCTTCCGCTGCAGCCTCAGGACCTGCGGCCAGGCCGTGAAGGCTCAGACGCAGGCTGCACACAGGGCCTCTGAAGCTTCTCCCTGGGCCTCTTGCCTCAGCCCCTTCTCGGCATAGGGGGGCCCAGGGCCTGCTTCCCAGCCCATGTTTGGCGATGGGGCCACCTGAGCCCCAGTGGGGAAGGGCTCCCCGGGCCCATGGAGCACACGCTGGTGGGCAGCACAGCCACACCGGCAGCCTCCCGAAAACTGGGGCCAGACAGGGCCCACGCTTGTCTGCCTGCTCAGGGCCTGGGGTGGCCCGGTCTGGGTCAGCGTCACCCGAGACCAGGCTGGGGACCCTCAGGGTGCCCGACACCCCTCCACAGGCTTCCCAGTGGGTAACAGCATGGGCACATGGAATGTCGTCAACCCGCGCCTGGGTCGTGAGGGTGGATGGGCCACCCTGACCCCCCCATCCCTCTGCTGCCACCGGTCCCTTCGCTTCCACATAGGCCACCTATCTGCCACCACAGACCCCAGGAAGGGCCTGTCCCCAGCCCTCCACTCACACGAGTGACCAGGGCAATGGATGGGGCCCCCCACCCCTGGAGAAGTGCAGGGGCTGGGGGAAGGGGCAGCCGGGCCCCAGCTTCAGCCCCGGGGCAGGAGGTCTGGCGCCACCAGGCAGGGCAGGGGCCTCCTCACTGCCCTCCCTGGGTGGCCGCTGTATAAGGACCCCATTCACAGCTGGAGGTGAGGGGCTGTGAGGTCACGAGGGGGTCACATGGGCCAGGGGAGGTGAACCCATGTTTCTGGGCACGGCAGGTGCTTGGCAACGGCCCCTTGGGCGTGGTGTTGGGTCTGAACCAGGGCATCCCATGCAGGCCGAGGCCCGGGGAGGCCGGCTCAGGCTGTGAGCAGGGGGGCGTCTGGGGCCACCAGCCTCGTGCAGCCCAGCCTGGCAGCAAGCAGAACCTGGGGGGCGGAGCCTGTGACTGAACAGAGGGTCTTTCAAGCTGCCTGGGGCTGTGTGTGAAGGCATGGGGGGGTCATGGGCTGAGGCGTGCAGACATGTGTGCGGCCATGGGTGTGGGAGTGAGCTCAGAGTCCTAGAGCTCATGAGTTGGACTTTTCAGGGCCCTGCCTGTCCCTGGACTCAGAACTCTGTTCACCTGGGGGGCTCTGCCCTTCACTGAATCTCAGATCCCTGCAGGGGGTCATGCAAAGGGAGAGAGTGAGGACCAAGCGGCGCAAGGCCTCTGCCCCCCTCCAGGCCCCTGGTCCTCTACCTCCTTCTGGGCCTCCTCCCAGGTGGCCTCCACCTCCGCCGCCTGCCTCTGTAGCTCCAGGGCCTCCTGCCGGCTCCGCTGCTGCCTCTGAGCATCCCGTGCACACCGGTCCTGCAGGTGGTGCACCTCCCGGCCCTTCTGCCGGTTCTCAGCCTCTAGCGTCTTCACCTGGAGGGGGCGGGGCCACTGATGGGGGCCAGGCAGCCCCTGCACCCCTGCCTCCGCTCTCCTGTCCTGGGAGGAAGCCTTCCTCTTGGCCAGCTCCCCACACTCAGGTTCAGTCCAGCTCTGCACACGGGTCCGTGCGGTGCCCTTGACTTTGGCCCTCTGCCAGACTCCGCAGACCCCTGGCACATCCTCCCCAGGCCGGGACCCCATGGAGCTCGGAGCCCGAAACCAGCCGAGCCCCAGCTGGCCACCGGCCGCAGCCACCGGTTGTGAGGATGAGGCGCCTGCGAGTGAGCCAGGCCCGCACTCCAGCCCCGAGGTGGGGCCGCCCCGAGGTGGGGCCGCCCCGGCGGGGCCTGTGCGGTGGGGCAGAGCCCAGCTGCGCTCTGTGTCCTCAGCCTGGATTCCCGACCCTCAGGGTCCACGGGTCTCAGAACAGTTTTTATGCCATGCATTTTGAGGCTTGTCATCTGCACCCTACGGGGCAGACCCTGACCCCCCAGGGACCGTGAGTCTGAGCAGCCCGGGGTGCCCTGGCAGCTGCGCCCCTCACCCGTCTGCCCAGCTCCTGCAGCTCCTGGCGGGCGTCGGCCGCGGCCTGCTCTGCCTCCTGCAGCCGGGCCTGCAGCTCGCTGGCCTCCCTCTGGGCTGCGGCCTGGGCCGCCTGCAGCACCAGCAGCTCTTGCTCCTTCTCCTCCTTGGACCGCTGAAACCTAAGCGGGGGGTCACTGACTGGGAGTCGGGGGCCTCCTGGGGCCTCTGGCGTCTCCCATGGTCACGGTCACGGTCACAGGCTGCCCAGCAGGGCTTCCTCCTCATTCCAGCGAGACACGCCCTGTGGTGTCCCAAAGCCCAGCCTCCTTGGGGCTGCCCGTCCCCTTTGGGCACAGTGGGTCCCAGTGCCCAGCAGCCCTGGCTCCTCTCTCTCCAGCCCCTCCCCTACCACTGCCCTCACTCCAGCCCCCGAGGGCGTGGCCTGCCGGATGGGAACTCCCTGAGGGCAGGGACAGGCCTTTCTGTGTCCCAGCCTCCCCTCCCGCGACCAGCAGTGCCGCCCCTTCGGATGGGCAGCGGCACCCTGGGTCTGCCGGGTGTGTCTGCCCGCCTCCTCTGGCCCCGCTCGGGGGCACACCACTGTCCTCCCGAGGCCTGGGCGTGGGGGCAGAGCTGCCGGGCCGGAGGACACAGCCCCTGTGCGGCGGTTGCCCCACCTGGCCTTCTCCTGCTCCGCCCTGTGCACGGCGGCCCTCAGCTCGGCGCCAACCCTCTGCAGCACGTCCCTCTCCAGGGCCTCGGCGCTCAGTGCCCGGTGGGCCTCCTCGGCCGTCCTACGCAGCCCCTCGCGGCTGTCCTCGCTGCCCTGCAGCTCCCTGCGCAGCGTGGCCAGCTCCTCCTGGGCCTCCCTGAGCTGCGCTTGCAGCCGCTCGACCTGGAAGAGGGACAGGCAGCTGCAGGCACCGGGGCCTGTACGGGTGGGGGGTGAGGAACGAGGGGTCAGGCAGCCGCGGCCCTGGGCTCTGGTCTGCGGACGACACGGTTGTGCCAGTCTGTGGTCAACTATTGCCACCGAGGCTGCAGAGCATCTCACCACGGCCAGTGCTGGAGCACAGGCTGGGGACACCAGACCGCTCCTGGCCCTGGTCCTGCCCTGTGCTCCCAGCCCGGGCCCCTGAGTTGCTGGCCACTGGTTGGCAGGGCCTGTGTGGGCCCTGGCCTCACCCACAGGTCTGCACTGTCCCCAGCCAGGTCCGGTCACCACTGCCTGATGGTCCCCCACCCACTGGGCCCTGGCGTGCACTCCCCTCCTCCAGTGATGGCCCAGCACTCAGGGCCTTGTCCAGCCCGTGCGTGGTGGCGGACCCTGGTCCGCTGCTGGGGTGGGAGCTGGCGGGGGGGGCGGGTCCCTGGTGTCCTTGGAGTCCTCTGTTGCCACCAGGACCCACGTGGGCTGGGCCGTCCAGTGGCTTGGGCTGGGGGTTCCTGCTGTCACGTGTGCTTGTCACGGAGCGAGGAAGTGTGGGCCTCCCGAACGGGCCCATCCTGCACCCCTGGGAGCTGACCCAGGGCAGATGGGAGGCTGTGATGTGAGTCCTCTGCCCCCCAGACCAGCTCTGGGCCCAGCGTGGGACACGTCCCCGGGAACCAGGGCACCGGACGCTGGGGGCTTCCAGGCAGAGGCTGCTGACACTGAAATGGGGGTGGGGGTCAGGGCGCCCACTCACTCGGGGCTCAGCCCCTGTGGGGAGGATCGGGGGAGAGTGCAGGCAGAGGGCAGCCGGGCCCTCAGTGCCCAGCCTGGGGGTGGGTGCTCGCCAGGGCGCAGCCAGGGCCTCTGGCCTCCTGCCTCCCAGGCAGGCTGTGGCCCTAGCACGGACACTCTGGAGAAGGCTCTGTTCCGACTCTCGCGTCCCCTGGGGGAGGCCGAGGGAGCCGGAGGGGGCGCGCCAGAGCGGGGAGGCCACAGGAACTCGGAGCCGTGTCCAGGCGCCAGTGTGCCAAGAGCAAGCCCCACTTCGCTGGCCGCTTCGGCGGGACATTGTCCAGGCCCCCGGCCGGCCTGGCTCCCGCGTCAGCCTGCTGTTATTGTTGTTCTGTTTTTGGGAAGGGCCAGAGCCCCCGCTCCACTCCCTCCCAACCCCCACATGTGGGAGCCACAAGCCATGCAGAGGATTTTCCGCTGAGCTCAGCAGAAACCCACCCAGAAGGTCAAGGACCAGGGAAAGGGCCGATCCGTCACAAAAGAAGCTGCTTTCAGTTCCCAGGACAGGGAGATGAAAACAAGCAAAACAAACGCGGCCCCTCCCCCGCGCCCCCACCCGCCGCCCTCGGCCTGAGAACAACCATCCCTTTTACAGGAATTTTACGGCCAAATCGCTTAATGTGATTATAATAATTATTTCTTTACTAGAAATTGTATAAACAGCCTCTTTTGAAATCTTCTGCAGGGGGGTTGGCTGAGAGCTCTGTGCGGAGGAGGGGAGGGGTGTCGAGGGGCCCTGGCCTGTGTGTGGCACGTCCATGTGTAGGCACACAAGAGCACACACATGTGCTTGGTGTGCATGTGTGTGCGCGCAGCATGGCGAGCATGTGGCCATGCATCTGTGTGCATGTATGTGTGAACACACAGGCAACACCGCACCCGTGTGCCAGCATGTGTGGAGGTACACGTGCTGCCTGTTGCATACACATGTGAACTTCATGGGGCCCACATGCATTTGCATGTGTGTGGCCACTTTTGCGCATCGTGTGTGCGTGGGGGCACGTGGTCTCCATGTCGGCAAGAGTGAATGAGTACGTGGGATGTGCGTGTGTGAGCCGTGCGTGGGTGCATGGGGTGCACTCACATGCACACATGTGTGGACTCAGCCAGAGGCCTGGATGTGCCTCCAGTTTAAGGGCTGTGAAAATGTTGCCGTTTCCATGGCGACTCTGGCCAGCCTGGCGCCAGTGAGGGTGCTTCTGTGCTCCTCTTGCCCCCTCACCCCCCGGCTCTCTGCCCCCCACTCCCTTTCTGGGGGCCCCTCTCCGAGAACCTGAACTTGTGAGCCTCCCAGCTCCTCCCCTTGCGGCCCCCAGTTTTAAAATCTCATTTTGCTTCCCCGTGTGGTCGCTGACCGGCCTGACTTTGAAATCTGTTGAAAGGAGACCTTTCTCTTTGGGGGCCAAAGTAAACAGCCTGTCATGTTAAATCACGCTCTCTTCCTCCGTCCACCCCGCCCGCCCCCTCCCTGTGCCGGGGGAGCGCCAGCCCCTCTCCTCCCTCCTCCGCGGCCGCCGGGCGTGTGGTGTGTGAGCGGGTCAGCTCCGCCTGCCAGCCTTGGCGCGTTGCCCGGTGCGCGAGAGCCGCCTGGTCCCTGCAGGCCCCACCTGGGCGCCGCTTGCCCTCCCCCAGCTCGGCTCCCATGCCCCCCTGCCCTCCCCTCTCCCTCCCCTCCCCCAGCCACCCCGAGTCCCTTCGAACCTGCCTCGGGGACACCTCCCCACTCTGCCTGCCTGCCGGGCTCCACCTGGTCTAGCTAGGGCCTCTCGTCACCCTGCCCAAGCCTGTCCTTACCCAGGACACCGTCCTGGGGCTCCTGGGGCCTGTGTCAGGACCCCCTGCGCTTCCCCTTCCCCTCGACCCCAGGCACCTCCAGGGTGGCCTCTCCCTACGCCAGTCTCGGTCCCAGGGGGCCCCTGCCTAGTGCCGTGTGCCAACGGTCCAGCTTCCCCTCACTCTCAGGTCACGCCTGCCTTCTCCCTGCTCCTGGCACCCCCTTACCTCTCTGCCTGCGACACCCCGCTCTGTCGCCACCTCCCGGAGGCTCCCCAGCAGAGCCGCGGCCTCTGTCTGATGGGCCGAGATGGCCTCCTCAAACTGCGCCTGCAGGGCCCTCAGCTCCGCGGCCGAGGTGCTCGCCGTGGCCTGGGGGGGAGGGGGTGGCACCGGGCCATTGAGTCATCAAGGGGCCGCCCACGGCATGGTGCCAGGCGGGGGGGGGGGTGCCAGGGCCGGGCCTGGGTCTTGTCCTGGCCACTGCCTGGGTCACCCACGCCAGGGCTGGGGAGGCAGTGGTGTCGGGTGGGGGCAGAGGCCCCAGAGGGGAGCCCTGTGGGGAGGGGCTGAGCCCGTGCCTTCGTGCCTTCCCTCCGGGGTCCCAGGCAGCCAGCCCAGGGCAGGGTCCTCCAGCACGGACCCCTCTCCTGCCCGAAACCTGGCCGCTGGGCCCATTGGGCCAAGTGGCTTGGGGCAGGAGCCAGGCTGTTCAGCAAACGGGAAGAGGCCCTGCCCTCGAGTGAGGCTGGACTTGGGCTCTTGCAGCTGGACAGGGGTGGCCTTTGTACCCAGGGGCTTGGGGCTGGGTCTTTGCCCTCTCGGGCTTGTGGGGCACAGGAAGAGCCCCCGACATCCTCTGGTCCCTCGCTTCTGCCTGTCCACTCTCTCCTTCACCCTGAGTCACTCACTCGGCACTGGGTGCAGCTGGCTGTGCCCTTGGGTGGGGACCTGCCAGGGACCAGGTGAACAGGGGCCTTGGGGTTAACAGTGAAAGAGCAACGCCGCATGGAGGTGACAAGGGCAGCAGCTGAGGAGATGGGCTGGCCCTTGAGGCCACGTGGGTGTGGCTGCAGGCGTGGCTGTGGCCCCCAGCGGGGGACCTCCCAGCACCGCAAGGCCGTTCCCTGGGGGACACCTGCAGCCGGTGCCTGCTCAGGGCCAGACCCCGGGACAGCTGTCCGAGCCCGCCTGCAGGCAGTGCCCTGGGCTCCCTGTCCCTGCGTCCTATCACTCTGCTCTGGCCACTTGCCTCCGCACGGCCCACTTCCGAAAGGGGCTGAGGCCAGCGGTCAGCGATGGGTTGGGGACATGGGGCCCCACAGCCCCAGTTACTACTCCCTGCCCTGCCCCAGACACGAGCTCCTGAAGAGAGGTCCTGGCCCCGGTGACCCTGGCTGGCAGCCTGCAGTGGCCTCTGTCCACCAGCTGAGGGCAGGCGGCCACCTCTCAGGGTCTCTCCCCAGGCCCAGTGGGACCCCCCACGGAGGGGGGGTGTCCTGGCGGGGAGGGCCTGCCTCAGGTGGATGCTGCCCACCCCCCGTTCAGTTTCTCTCTTGAAGGGGCCCCACCAGCGAGCAAGGTCCCCTGCAGTTACACTCAGACTGGCTGACTGGGGCCGGCAGGGCTGGGGGCCGGGGCCTCGGCCTGGGTTCGGTCCCCTCTGCGGCCGGCTCCTGTGTGGCCCGGGCCCTCCCTGTTCTGGTCCCCAGTGCTGTGGGGGCGGGGACCGGCCTTTCCTTCCTGTGGGGGGAGACAGTACCCCCTCCCAGCAGGAGACCTGGGGTGTTGGCTGGCGGGGAGCCCGGCGCTCACCTCCGCCTGCTCCTGCCGGCCGCGGGCCTCTTGCTGCACCCGCTCCAGCTCCCGCTCGGCCCTGCAGAGCTGCTCTTGCAGGAGGCTCTTTTCTGCTTCTTCCCGAGACAGGGCCTGGTGGGACACAGTGTGCGCCCAGCTCCCCATCCGCTCTGGAGGGGCCGCACCCCAGACACAGCCACGTCCCGAGAGGGTCGGGGAGCCTGTCGCCCCATCCCGTATGGCCTGGCCTTTGAGCCTGCGGTCAGGCAGCTCCCCATGCCGGGCGCCCTCCCCCCACCCCATCACACGCCTGTGGGATAGCCGCCCCTCCCTGAGCCACTCAGGGCCTTCACGGACCTTCACGAAGCCCCCCCCAGCCCCTTCAGCTCTGCTTCTCACGGAGCACAAGTGGGGCCCACTAAGGAATCCGAACCTCTGAAAATGCTGTGTCGCTGAGGGCGACGGGTGCCGGTGAGAGCCCCCAGCCCCCTGCCCCCCAGAGGGCTGCAGAAGGTGACTGTCAAGGCCACAGGTGCTGCTCTGGGGGCCCCCCGGCCCCGGGGAGGCAGCCTCGGGGACCCCGGTCACTGAGCACCGCTCTGACAGCCCCGCCCTGGGCGCCGCCCAGAGGCACTGACGGGGGGGCCAGCAGAACCGTTCTGACCCGGCACCGGGGGCTTGGAGCAGCTGCGACAGAGTGAGCCTGCCTTGCATGCGCAGGTCGCCCCGTCTCATGATGGAGTTGGTCTGTGGCTTTGTCCTGGGAGGAGCCTCTGGACCCTGCGCCTGCCCAGGTGAGCAGTGTCCTTGGCACCCCGGGGCCCCGGGCCCTAAGGTGACTCTGGGCTGACATGGTCTGGGGAGGGTGGCTTCGGCCCGCCCACCGTGCACTGGCGCAGTGGGACCGTGTGGGCCGCTGAGCTGCCCCGGCCTCTGGGAGGGCGTGGGGTCTGGGTGCCATCAATCACGGCCACGTGAGGACCCCAGTAAAAACCCGGCATGCACTGGGTGACGGTCCAGGGGGCGACGGGCTCCGATTCTGGCAGCAGAGACTGCGCCTCATGTGTCTCCTCACTGGGCTGGTCTCACTTGTGTCCTTTACAAGGACGCTAGCAACATGCAGGTAGCACCTTCTTGAGTTCTGAGTCGCTCTGGGGAGCGGATGAACTGAGGGGCTCTACACAGACCTTCGCGTTACCCCTGGCCTCCCCTAAATGCACCCCCCCGACCCCCCCTCCCCCGAGTGCCATACAGCTGCGGGTCCTCTTCCTCCTCCTGCTCGGGAAGCAGGAGGGCGTGGCAGCTAACAGCACCGGCCCGGGGGCAGCAGGCACCGTGCAGCCCACGGCAAGGCCGGTGCCACGCGTGAACCTGCCTTTTCTCTTCTGTAAAAGGGGCTGATGAGGGCACGCAGCTCGGAGAGTTGTGAGAACCCAACGGGAAATGCAGGGAGTCTGGCCACAGCCATGGTCACTCCTGCTCCTGTCGCCCCTCCCGGTGATGTGTGACTTGTGCCAACCCCCGAGCCCCGTCCCAGTGCGTCCCAGCACACACCGATGTGACTACTAGTGAGTGCCTCCCGGGGTCACGGTGAACTGCTGGAGCCTGGACCCACAGGGTGACTTTGACATGTCCAGTGTCTGTGCCCAGCAGCCAGGGGAGGAGGGTGGGCAGGTGGTTCCACTGGATGAATCGTGGGTATGAATGGACAGCTGAGTGTGAGGGCAGAGGAAGGCTGTGTGAATGAAGGAACAGATGCGTGCAAATGAGTGGTTAGATACGTGGGTGGTCAGACGAGTGGGTGGACAGTCATGTGGATGGATGATGGGTGGGTGGGTGCACAGCCTCCCCCACGGCTGCTGTGGAAGGACAGCTGCACTCCGACGGTGGTGACCTGGGGAGGCTGCCCCCCAGCCCTCTTTCTGGGTCAGGAAGGCCCGGTGCAGTGGATGGGAGGGCGCTCCGCTGCCTCATCACCCCCCCCCGTCACCTGTTGCGTCTCATGCTCCAGCTGGAGGAGGCGCTCCTCCTGCTCATGCTTCAGGCTGCGAATCTGCTTCTCCAGAGCTTCCCTCTTGGCCGTAGTCTTTGCCACCAGCTGCTTCTCCTGCTCCAACTCGAGAGCCGCTCCCTCCCTCTCCTCCAGCAGAGACAGACGCAGGGCCTCCTGGGCCGAGACAAAGGGACAGGCCATGAGGACGGCAGGTGCCTGTGGTCCTGAATGAGACCTGGTTTGGGGGCACCAGGGCAGGGAAATGCCCAGGGAGTGTCCTGTGCAGCCGGCCGCATGCCCTCATCTCACACAGTGTGGCTGCGAGTGGGCTGCCGGGCCCCACCCCCACTCCTCTGTCTGACCCAGGCTGACAGTGCATGGGCCTCCCTGCGCTCCCCGGTGGGCCAAGCGCCACTGTCATGCATGAGACACGAGGACGCATCCAGTGAGTCTTGCAGGGGCCTGTGGCCAGGGGACGGCTCGGACAGTGACGAAGCTCCTCTCAGCGATATCCTCCGAGTGCGGCCAGGCCATCTGGTGCTGAGGCTGGTCCCTCCTGTGAGGGAGGGGACTGGACACCCTGGCTCAGCCCCATGACCCCAGACCCTATCGGCCCACTTGACCTCCTCTGGGCCCCACCTCAGTGTGGCCGGCACCTCTGCCTGCTGGCTGGTCTCCTAGGACCCCTAGCCCGAGGGTCCAGAGTCTCCGGGACATGGAAGGCTCCTGGGAGGGGCAGCAGCTAGCAGCCCAGGGAGACAGACCTTCTCCCTCTGGAGCCGTGCGAGGTCCTCGTGGTGGCCCCGTGCCTGGCTCTGCAGGGCCAGCTGCGCCCCCTGGTCCTGCTGTGCCAGCTGCCTCCGCAGACGCCCCACGTCCCGCTCCAGCTTCGTCTCCCGGGCCTCCCAGGCGCCTCTCAGCCGCTCCAGTTCCACTGCAAAGTGACGATGCATCCAGGATCCGCCAAAGGGCCCCACTCCCTGGAACCCTCTGTGGCCTCTCTGTGGAGTGACAGCCACCTGCTCTGAGGACACTGCTCGAGCTGCAGGGACAGAGCCCCACTGCAGGGCATGCATCCTGGCTGAGGCCAGGCCCAGGGGCTGGGGAGGCCGCACTCGGTGCCCGGGGCAGGGTGGGCTAAGCTGGGGGCTCAGGGATGGGGCAGGGCCATTGCACTGACCCAAAGCTAAGCCTCGGGCCAGGGAGGGAAGCAGGCTGGGCAGGGCCACTCCTCAGGGACAACAGTGGCAGGGCCCGTGCAGCCCTGGGAGCTCCAGGCCCGAGGCCCAGGAGCTCCTCCTGGGGGGCCGGCAGTGCGACTGAGCTCTGCGGAAGGAGCCCTTCTGGGACAACTGGGGAGGGGCTGAAGCTGCAGGAGCACCTTGCAGGGCCTGCCGGGCGCTCTGGGCGCTCTGGGCCTCTCCCTCCAGCTGCTCCCGCTGCGCCTGCAGCTGCTGTGCCCGCTGTCGGGCCTCCAGGAGGCTGCTCTCCAGCGTGTCCCGCTGGGCCCTGTGGGGAACGGTCGGATGGCAGGCCAGTCACCTGCCCGCTGGGGCCAGGCAGGTAGACAGAGGGTAAACAGAGGACATCTTCATGTTAAATCCGTACAGACCACCTGGACCCTACGCAAAAACGTGTCACGTGGATTAAAAGCTAAATGCAAAAACAAAACCACTAAAGAACTCAGAACTATAAAAGTAGCAGAAAAAACACAGAGGGGTGTTTTATAACCTTAGGGAAGACACCAAACCCAGAAGACAGGGACGCAGAGGCCGACGGGCCTGAGCCCACACAGAGACGGGGTGGGGCGGCTTTCACGCAGAACAGAGCCCACCGACCGACTTGAGGAACAAGGCACAGGCTGGAAGGCAAACTCCGCACTGGACACACAGAGGGTCCGTAGCCACCATATACAAAGAGCGCCTACCAATCAATGACAGAAAGTCAGCTGACCCTACAGAAAAGTGAGAAAAACGACTGTTACCCACAAAACCCACCAATGGTCAACACCCTATGGGACTTGCTCAACCTTATTACTGCTCGGCGAGGTTAAAAGTCACAACCGTGTGCTAGATTTGCCCAGAGACCGAAATCATGATGCCCTGCAGGGTTGGCTGGGGTGCGAGGGCCACCTTCCTGGGGAGGGGACTCAGAGCTGACGCCTGCCTGTCCTCGCACCAGCAGCCGAGCCGCCCAGGGCTCGGTCCTTAGAAACACGGCGGACCAGCAGCGTGCAGACCGGGTGTGCCGTGGCCGTACGACGCCCTGGGGTGGGGTGCCGGTGGACGGCACAGTGTTTTAGAAATCAGGGCATGTGTGTTGTCGTGAGCAGGATGAGGACACTCTCTTCCTCATTCCCCTGTCGCATAACAGCTTCTCTGGAAGCAGGAGCAGGACCGCACACACGTGGCTCCGTCACAGGCAGGGAACGCCCCTGCACAAGTGTGCAACTCAGAAAATACCCGGGACGGGGATGGCACCTGACAGCAGCCCCGTCTCTGGCTTGAATTCTGACAGCCAGCCCGTCAGCACTGGCCAGTCGTGGGCACGTGGTAAGCGGTGCCCTGCTTTGCCGGCAGAGTGCGCACGGGTGCAGCACGGACACCGAACACAAGTGCCCACACGAACACGGACACACCGGCACCCAGCCCACGCGAGTCAGTGGGTCAGAGCGGGTGCGGGCCCTGTGCGGTCTTGCCTCCCAGCACGGCCCCGCCACCTCAGCAGGGGGTTGGGCACGTCCGCATCTTCTAGGCACGTCACAACCCCGATATCCGCAGAGCCCAGAAGGTTCACTTCTCTGATATCCCGGTCCCCTGCCCTGTCCCCACCCGGTCAGCACCCACGTGCTCCCTACCCTCTCTGCCTGGACCGCTGTCCCCACCTCCAGGTCCCCTCTGGGAGAGATGCCTGTGCCTCACAGAGTCAGCACCTGGAGGCCGGGAGGCTAAGGACGTGTCCAGTCTCTCCCTCCAGGAGCCCGAGGGCAGCTCAGCCCCCGAGACCAGCCCGGGCGAGTGTGTGGGGTGCAGGTGGACCCGGGTCCACCTCCCTGGCTGAGCAGCGCGCTGGCACCTTGTGAACTTGAGGGCATGTCCCCCGGGCCTGGGGTCCTCCCAAGTCAGGCGGACTGTGGAGGAAGCTGGCCGCCCACACGCTCTGGGAACTCTGGGAATGGCGGTGGCCGGACTGTCTGGGCCCATCGGGATGGACATGCACTGTGGGGGCCAGGCAGCCACGGTTTCAGGGCAGGTCCCAAGCAGCCCCGTCACCAGAAGCTCAGACTTGTCACCCTGAAATGCTGCTTGGCGGGTGTGTGGCCATGCTCAGGGGTCCTGGGCCCAGTGGTCAGGGCTAAGTCAGGGGAGGGTCCCAGGTTCCCGGAACCGCTGGCCAGGGCCCCCGACCCAGCGGCAGGTGGTGGCAGGATGGGCAGGGCCCCGCCCTGCTCTCCCAGCACCGTGGGCCTGGGGGCGGTGACGGGCAGGGCCCCAGGACCCCTCCACTCCCGACACCCCGCAGCAGCCTTAGCCAGGTTTCCTGTTTGGACTTCCCAGAAGCTGTTACTCTGTGGAGACAATTTCAGGCCCCCAGGTTCTAGAATTCCAGGAGGACATCTTTTCTACAGAAGCACTCGGATGCTCCTGAGATGGGCCCTCGAGGCCCAGAAGGCCAATGGCGTCCGAATGTCCAGAGGCCATGGGACCAGCACAGCTCACTGGTGGCAGCCAGCAGAGCACCCCTGGTGTGACCTGAAGTGTCCATTCCACGTCTGTTGGAAGTGGCCCCGTGGTCACTGGAGCTCACTCTGCCCCTGCTCTCGGCCCCAGGGTTGCCTGGGGTTGGCATCCCCCATGCCGATGCCAGGAATGGACATGTGACCCCAGCTGGCCAATCTGAGCCCCATAACTCCCAGGACTGGTTCAGGGACATGACATAGTTCAAGATGGTCAAAGGCTGTGGCTCTCGGGCCCTGTGGGGAAGGGGCACTCTGTGTCTGCCAGGGGTGGGCCCTGGAGCAGCCACTGGGCCCTGGCCCCCTCTAACATGAGCGTGCAAACCAGAGAGGTAGAAGCAGGTTTCTGGTGGCACTGTGGGAGTGCCTGGATCCAGCCTTGCCTGAAGCCATAGGTACCCTGAACTTCTCACTTCCACACACAAGAAATTCCACCTGTTCCCCCCACTAGTTGCTACCTGGCCCAGGAAGGCCACTCCAGGGCTCTCACCAGACCCCCCTGTTCTAGATGTGCCCCTCACCACAGCCTCTCTCCCGGGCGGACAACTCACCCGCCCGCCCCCTGCCGATTCTCTGAGGGCAGAGCCATGCAGACAGAGGGTGTGCCCAGCCCGAAGGCCGCTGGGTACCTGAGATCAGCTGCCTCCTCAGCTGTGAGCTGGCCCTGCCTCTCCAGGGCCTCCTGCTTGGCCAGCAGCTGGGCCCGCTCCTCAGACCAAGCCGCCTTCTCCTGCAGGGCCCTCTGCAGAGTGTCCATCTGGGCTTCTCGATCCTGCAGGCTCTGGGCCAGCTGCTCCTCCAGGGCTTGTTTCTCACCAGTGACCTAGAGCGGGGGTGGGAGGGGCAACCAGCAGGGGGGGGGCGGGGGGGAGAGAGGGCGGGGCCTCTTCAGGGAACGGACTTCAGAAGCCTTTTCCCTGCAACCTGGATGGAGGAAAAGGTGGAAGAGAGGGCGAATGGGACACATGGGACCTCAGGGGGCTCGTGTGCTGTCCCAGCAGAGGGGGCCTCCGGGCCAGTGGCCGTGACGGCAGAGTGGCAGCCCCGGGTATGGCCGGCTGCCAGCCTGCACAGCCACCCAGGCAGGGCCGCAGGTGTCCGGGCCGAGCAAACACCGTGCAGAAATGGCAGCAGAAGCTGGCAGAGGACCGGCCTGCTCCAGACTAACACCTCCACCCAGCACGTCACACAGATCTGGTCCGAACCCATCACGGAGGCTGACCAAGACCCTGTGAACTGCCAGGCCAGCTGGACTGAAGGAGCCTGGACCTCGGGGAGAAGGGGAAGAGGAACGAGCCCCCACTCCAGGTCTCGTCTCTCTTCAGAGCGTGTGCTGAGTTCAACGTTTTTGCTGAGAAACGGAACAGCCGAGGAGAGTATTGTGGCCTCAAGGTCCAGAAGCTCAAGTTCAGAGCCACTGCAGGGGAAGAGGGCCCCAGTAGGCCCCAGGTTTCCGGCTGTGTCCCGCTGGACTGAGCAGAGCCATTCTCCCTCGCTGCCGGTCAGAGCCCAGCGCAAACCCTCCCGGGGGATGGCATCTGTCCAACCGTTTCCGTGGTGTTCACGTGTGTGGTGTTTGACATCCAATCAGCTCGCCGGGCGCATCAGGGGATAAGATCACAGGGCAGACAAACATCAAATGAACACAGACGGCCCTCGCCTCCTTGGGGCTGACGGACGCACTCTAACAGCCATGAGCAAATAAACGTCCGGGAAGGTGAATGGCAAGGTGTGGTTTCACCACTGAACCAGAAACAAACAAACCATGTGACTTACAAATACAGTGTCTCATGACATATTGGACAGGATAGAAGACTAAGGATCTGGAAAGCAGACAACAATGTATTCAGACTGAATCATGAGGAGGAAAAAGGGTGGAAAATACAGAAAAGAGTGTGACGGGTGCACAGGACAAGGCCCGGCACGTTCATGGTCAGTCTTGGGGAGAGGGGAGAGAATATTTGAACAGACACTGGAGAGGAATTTGGCAATTCTAATAGAATACGTCAAGCCTTAGATTCAAAATGAGCCGTAATACCCTAAAAAGGTAAATGCAAAGAAAATATCACATAGATATATCTTAATGCTAAGTTTTTGACTCTTAAAATAAGAGAAAATATCTTTACAAATCAGAGGGGCCAAAAAAATCACAGACGTTGCATTTAAGTGAGCGACAAGGCTGATGCTTGAGCCCCAAACAGCAGCAGGGACAGTCCAAGCCTGGTGGGACGAATCCAGCAACTTGCTCCAGAAGATGATGCCTGCCCCGGGGCTCCACACCCCGCAAAACGTCCTTCGGCGGAAGGACCAGAACTTCCTGCTCCTGGTAATGGCGCAGGAGGCTGCTAAAGACCACCCCTCCTGCCTAGGGCTGCTAGAGAATCTGCACAATATCCCACCAACGTCTCTGCCAAGGCCGCCAGCACCAGAGCCACCAAGGGGCCCAGGGCCCACGCAGCAGAAGAAGGAGCCGCAAGCGAACCGGAAACCCGGAGGCCTGTACCGGTTAAACCGAATTCACTGCTGAAGTTTTTCTCGCAGAGGGCACTGAGATCCAAACAACGCCACCAGTGAATTCTACCAACATTTAGGAGGACGCAACACCCCTTTACAGACACTTCCAGGAAACGAGGGGAGGAAACCTTCCCAACCTACTTTATGAAGCCCTGACTCCAAATCTGACGAAAACATTATGAGAAAATAAAACTACAGACTGGTATTACTCATGAATATACACACAAAAATCCTTCAAAAATTGTATCAAGCCCTGGCTGGTGTAGCTCAGTGGACTGAGTGTGGGCTGCAAACCGAAGAGTCACTGGTTCGATTCCCAGTCAGGGCACATGCCGGGGCTGTGGGCCAGGTCCCCAGTAGGGGGCGCATGAGAGGTAACCACACACTGATGTTTCTCTCCCTCTCTTTCTCCCTCCCTTCACTCTTTCTCTAAAAATAAATAAGTGAAATGTCTTGAAAAATAGTATCAAGACTTGTGGCCAAGATGGAGATGTACGTAGACACGCTGTGCCTCCTCGCACAACCAAAATGACAACAACAATTTAAAAACACGAATGACCAGAACTGATGGAAAATTGAACTGTATGGAAGTCCGCCAACCAAGAAGTTAAAGAAGAAACATTCACCCAGACCAGTAGGAAAGGCAAAGACGGGCCGGGCAGAGAGGATTCACGGCCAGGTGGCAGCTGGAGGGCCCGGTCAGGTGGCAGATTGTGGACCGAGTGGTCCCACATCTGTGTGCCGATGAACCAGGACGAACAACTGGAGAGAAAAACACTGAACAACCCAGGGCTCCAGCTCGGGGACCTAAAGCCTCAAAACCTCTGGCTATAAAAACCTGTGAGGGTTGAGGCAGTGGTGGGAGAAGCTCCCAGACTCACAGGAGACTTCACTGGAGAGACCCATTGGGTCCTAGAACAAACACAAACCCACGCACCCGAAACCAGCATCAGAAGGGCCCACTCTGCTTGTGGGCAGCCGGGGAACTGACTGAAAGCTGCAGAGAGCTGAGCGAGCGGCACCGCGCCCTCTCAGAGGCTTCCCCACAGACAGCATCCCAACTCGGTGACGTAGCTGCCCCACCCTGGCGAAGACCTAAGGCTCCGCCCCTCACTACGTAACAGGTGTGTCAAGACAAAAAAAAAAAAAAATGGCCCAAAGAAAAGAACAGATCAAAGCTCCAGAAAAAATACAACTGAGTAATGAAGAGATAGGCAAACTATCAGAGGCACAGTTCAAAACACTGGTGATCAGGATGCTCACAGAATTGGTTGAATTTTGTTGCAAATTAGATGAAAAAATGAAGGCTACACTAATGAAATAAAGGAAAATGTACAGGGAACCAATAGTGATGGGAAGGAAACTGGGACTCAAATCAATGGTGTGGACCAGAAGGAAGAAAGAAACATCCAACCAGAAAAGAGTGAAGAAACAAGAATCCAAAAATATAAAAAAAGGCTTCAGAACCTCCAGAACATCTTTAAACATTCCAACATCAGAATCATAGGGGTCCCAGAAGGGGAAGAGGAAGAGTAAGAAATGGAAAACTTATTTGAACAAATAATAAAGGAGAATTTCCCCAATCTGACAAAGGAAATAGACTTTCAGGAAATCCAGGAAGCTCAGAGAGTCCCAGAGAAGTTGGATCCAAGAAGGAACACACCAAGGCACATTATCATTACATTAGCCAAGATTAAAGAGAAGAAAAGAATCTTAAAAGCAGCAAGGGAAAAGGAGACAGTTACCTACAAAGGAGTTCCCATCAGACCGTCAGCTGATTTCTCAGAAGGGACCTTACAGGCAAGAAGGGGCTGGAAAGAGGTTTTCCAAGTCATGAAAAGCAAGGACCTACATCCAAGATTGCTCTATCCAGCAAAGCTTTCATTTGGAATGGAAGGGCAGATAAAGTGCTTCCCAGATAAGGTCAAGTTCAAGGAGTTCATCATTACCAAGCCCTTATTATATGAAATGTTAAAGGGACTTATCGAAGAAAAAGAAGAGAAAACATATGAACAGTAAAATGACAGCAAACTCAGTTATTAACAATATACCTAAAACAACTACAAAAGCAAACTAAGCAAACAACTAGAACAGGAACAGAACCACAGAAATGGAGATCACATGGAGGGTGATTGACAGGGGAGTGGGAGGGAGAGAGGGAGAGAAATGAGGAAAAGGTAGAGAACAAGTAGCGTAGACGGTGGGGAGAAAATAGACAGGGGGAGGGCAAGAGTGGTGTGGGAAATGGAGAAGCCAAAGAACTTATATGTAGACACATGGACATGAACTAAAGGGGGGAATGTGGGTGGGAGGGGGTGTGCAGGGTGGAGGGGAATAAAGGGGGGAAATGGGACAACTGTAAGAGCATAATAAATAAAATAGATATTTTAAAATATTTATTTATTTATTTTTAGAGAGAGGGGAAGGGAGGGAGAAAGGGAGAGAAACATCATGCTTCTGTTGCCTTTCATGTGGCCCCCACTGGAGGACCTGGCCTGCAACCCAGGCACGTGCCCTGACTGGGAATCGAACTGGCGACTCTTTGGTTGGTAGCCCAAGCTCAATCCACTGAGCTACACCAGCCAGGGCTCAATAAAATATATTTTAAAAAAGACATAAATAAACCTTAAGAAAAAAAGAGTATCAAATTCGACGGACAAATTTATAAAATATCTGTTAACGTCTGAGCAGGTTTATCTCAGGAACGCCAGGTTGGATCAACCTTAAAACATTAACTAGTGTAATGCACCACAGGAGCAGAATGAGAATAGTGATGTGGTCATATTACAGACACGGAAAGAACTTGGGCAGAACTCAAACCCACTCATGATCGAGATAAGAACGCCTCTCAGCAGAGCAGGGGTGGAAGGGAACATCGCCGATGCCCAAGGGCGTCTGTAAACACCCACGGAGAACGCCTTCCGGGGGTGAACTGGGGACCCCCCTCCCGAGCTGGGACTGCAGGGAGGAAGGCCACCCTCACCGCTGTTGGCCCACGCGACAGCCCCAAACCAGAAACGCCCAGACGTCCTGCCACAGGGGACAGGGACGGGAACGCAGCTCGTCCCCATGAGGGAATGTCACCGTGCACGGAAAGGACACGCTCTCGATCCATCTGCGGGCACGATGACGCGCAGAGACACTGAGAGGCAGGCTGGGCGCCAGGCGCCTGTGACGCCGACTGCCGGGCAGGGCGAGTCCGAGGGACGTGGTGGGGGCGCCCGCTGGGCTGGGGTCCACATTTGGGCCTCGGCGGCGGCCACGCGGGCGTGTGCAGTTGTCCTGCCTCCTGGCGGCGAGCTGACTAACGCTGGAACTAAACGTGCAGACACTGGTGACCCAAAAAGGGGCGGGACCGAGTCTGAGAAACCAGGAGAGGCTGCGCCGAGACCCAGAGGTGACAAGAGCCAGGGAGTCCGGATGCCGCTGGGGCCCAGAAATAGCACAACGCCCTCAGTGTGATGTCCCCACCGCCAGCCGAGTGTGTCCTCCGCCTCAACACAGGACTCATAGCAACGGAAGGTGGGGGTTCGGAGAGCAAGCAAGGCAGGGGGCAGGGAGAGAGGCCCTGTGCCCCCCACCCCGCCACCCCGAGTGGGAGATCCCTGGGCCCTGGACGCCTGCTGAGGGCAGACAGGCGTGGTGTCCAGGGCCTCCCTTGTGCAGCCTCCCCGTCCTCCACCTCCCACCGCGGGGCCCTGCCTGCCCTTTGCACACAGGTCAGGCAGCACTGCAGGTAGAAAGCAGAGCCAGCGAGACCTGGTCAGGCGACCTGTGACCCTGCAGGTCCACACCCTAAGAGGAAGTGATGGTCCTGCAGTGGGGGGGGTGGGGGGGGTGGAGCCAGAAACCTTTGCAAAACCCTCACCTGGCCCACCTGCCCCTCCAGCTGCTCCAGCCGCTGCTCGGCCCGCACCAGGTGCTCCTGGGTGCCCGCCTGCTCCTGCCTCAGCACCCGCTCCTGTTCCCGCAGCTGGTCCCGCAGCTGGTCCCGCTCCCGTTGCAGCTGCCCAGGGTGGGAGTGGGAGGGGTCAGTGTCCGCACCATGCCCCAGGCCCCCGCACCCCATGAGCGGACCACACCTCCCTGCCTGCCCCAGTGGGTGTGACCTTCCCTCCCGCAGTCCAGGCCGGTCAGGCTCCCTGGCCCCGTGTGGGCCCCGCTCCCCCAAACCTGCACTTCACCCGAGAATGGAAAAGATGGGGGGAGGCGGGTACAAGGAGGGCTCTGGGCTCAGGGACTAGAGCGGGGACTGAGTCCCGCGGCCACCTGGGCCCCCCCTCACCTGCAGGACCTGGCGGGTCAGGGCACCTTTGTCCTGTGCCAAGCCCTCCGTCAGGGCGGCCACCCGGGCCAGGGCATCCCGCTGCTGTGCCCCCTCTGACTTCAGCCGGGTCACGAGCAGCTCCAGGGCGGCATTGCTGGACTCGGCCTGGGGAGGGGAGGACAGCGGTCACCCTGAGGGGAATGCCAGAAGGGACTTTCAGGATCACAGGCAGAGCTGTCGGTGCCAGGGAGAGAGCGAGCCCCGCCATCACGGAGGTGCACAAGCCGGAGGTCTGGGTGGGACGGCAGAGGGGCCCCCACAGGGCACTGAGGCTGCAGCCAGGAGAGGTGACAGGTGGCCTGGGGGCAGGGAGGCTGGTGGAGGTAGGAGGCGGAGGGCCCAGAGGCCTACCCGGGCCAGGGTGCTGTGTAGGGCCGCCCTCTCGCTCTCCAGAAAGTCCCTCTGCAGCTGGGCAGTGGTCAGCACCTCCCGGGCCGACACCAGCTCCTTCTTGAGCCCCGAGACCTTCTCTTCCAGCTGCTGCAGACGCCCTTGACTGAGGTCCCCCCAGGTCAGAGGTGTGAGGTCGGCGTAGGGCCCAGGGGGCAGGGGCTGCCTGCAGCTCTCTCCAAGCCCAGGGTCACCCTGGAGGCCTGAACTTGTGAGTTCACAGGTGGCACCAAACCAAGACGCCGGTTCCTGGCTGGTGGGGGGGCTCTGCCTGGGCCTCAGTGGACTTGCCTGGATGAGGTGGGTGCTACCTGCCTGGGGCGTCCCCTCTCTGAGCCTGGGTGGTGGGTTTGCTGAGATGGGCCCTGGGCAGATGCTGGGTGGGTATCAGGGTGATGGCTCAGCCAGGAGGGAGCCTGGGGGCAGCCTGTCACCTCCGCCCCCTGAGACAAGGCTGCCAAGGAAGGGGTCCCTTTCCTGGATGAGGACGCTGAGGCCCTTGGGAGGCAGAGGCCGTGCCCAGCTCACCTGGCCTCCAGCTCCTCCTTCTGCTGCGCCCAGAGCAGGAAGTGGCCCTGCAGCTCGGCCTTCTCTGCCTCCAGCCTCTTCGAGTCCGAGTCCCAAGCACCCGCCTGGCCTCTCAGCTCCTCCACCTCCACCTCCAGAGCCTTCTTCTCTCTGGGGCCAGGGGAGACCGAGGCTGGGGCAGCACTCAGGCAGCACTCACTGAGCACTTTCTGGGTGCCGGGGCAGGCAGGGCAGGTGCTCAGGGAAGTGCAGGGAGGGGAGGGAAGTGCAGCCACCTCCGGTCCCAGGCCAGCCTGCAAGGTGGGGTGGCCCCATGGGAGTCCTTAAAACAGAAAGGCTGCTGCTCCTGGGGTGTCCCTGCGCTCAGCCCTCTGCCACCCACGGGCCTGGCTCAGCCAGTGTTTGTGGAACTTGCTGAAGGAAGGGACACCTCCCCACCAGCGCCCTCCGCAGCGCCACATCTGGTGGTCCTGCCCACCTGTCCTGACGGGGGGGGGGGCAGACCCTCCAGAGCCAGCTCCCTGTGTGAGGCTGAGCTCAGCGCTGGTCACTCAGCGCTGGGCAGCCCATCGCCCATCAGCCTGGGACCTGGACGACAGCTGCACCCTCTGGGACCCTGGCCCCTCAGGCCCCCGTTCCCCAAACGCCCCTTGAATCTGGCCTTCCTCCCCTTCAGGCCTGCCCACCTGTCTCCGGGACGCTGCAGCTTGTCCCCTTGGCAGCCAGACTGGCCCTCCCAGCCACGGTGCCCCTGCTAACAGTCCCCCCAGGGTGCCTGCCTACTCCTCACGCTGCACGCATCACTCCCTGACTCTTCCTGTCTCCCCTGCAAAGACCCTTCCGCCCTCCGGGGGAGCCCTGGTCCCTCTGCTCCCCTGCCCAGGGCCAGTCGTGCTGACCCACGGCTGCCGTGTTCCTTCCGGTGCCCCTGCCAGGTGGGACTGGGACCGACTTCTCGGACCTCCTGTCCCAGCGCTGGACCCTCCCCCAGGCCACTCAGTCCAGGCACCCAGGGTGAGCAGGGGCCTGCCCCTGCGGCGCTCCTGCAGGACGGCTTCCTGAGCGCCCGCCTGCCTTCTGCCCCTGCACATCGCGACCGGCCTAGGGCGACTCCCATGTCCAGCTCGGACAGCGTGTGGGGTCGGGAAGCCCCACTGGGCCTCTCACTCAGGGGGACTCCGGTCCCAACCCCAACTCCCACTGACCCCGGACACTAGCACGGCATAAGCGTCACAGAGCTGCAAGGCCGACGTCGCCAGGGCCACCAGCGCACAGGGTACACCAGGAAGCCGTGTGGGGCCCCCGTGGACACACACAGGCTGTGTGGCTCATTTCTGAAGGATGGAGAAGCCCCCAAGAAGTCCTGGGGGCTGGGGGAGGAGGGAGACACAGCCTGCTCCAGGCAGGGGGCGTGCGAAATGGGGTGGGCCCGGAGAGCTCGGGAAGCAGCGGAGGGGGTGAGGAGGGGAGTCCTGGGCAGCCCGGCCAGCCCTGATGAGGGGAAAGGGGCTGGGTGTTGGCTGCTGGCGGGAGGCGAGGGACGGGCCCAGGGGTGGGCCGGGGGCCGTGGTAGGCAGCCTGGAGCGGGAGGTGCCCAGGGCTGGGACTGCCCGCCCTGCCCTCCGTGAGCCACCTTCCCAGGCGGTCGCTGGCCGCCCTGCAGCTCTGCGCCTCCTGGCGCTGTGCCTCCAGCCTGTCCAGGAGACCCTCGCGCTCTCGTTCCTGCTCCCGCAGGGCCCTCTGGGAGGCCCGCAGCTCCCGCTGCCTCTCCGACAGCTGCTCCCGGAGCCCGGCCACCACCGTCTGGCAAGACTCCAGCTGCAGACGCAGTTCCTGCTCGGGGGTGGGGAGTGGCATGAGCCCTCTCCGGCCTTTGACTACAGACTCCCCAGGAAGCAGGCGCTGTGGACGGAGCCCCCTCCCGGGGCTGTGGGGCTCAGGGGCAGGCCCTGAGGCAGCACCTGCCCGGCCCCCACCTGCTCCTGCCGCCGCCGCCTCTCGATGGCTGCCTGCACGGCCCACAGCGCGGGGTCCAGGGCGGCCGGGGAGTGGGCCCGAGGTGGGGACCGGCTCCAGCAAGGGGACGAGGTGTGCAGGGGGCTCCTCGGTGGACCCGGTGCCTCCTCCCCGTCAGTGGCGCTGGTCGATGCCAGCACCGGGCACCCCGAGTCCGCCCAGGCCACCTGCAGGTGTGGGGACAGCGCTCAGGGCCACGCCTGGCGGGACCTTCCAGGCTTTTCCCCGGGCAGAGACGGCCGCACCTCTGCGATGATGTTCAGGGTGCGCTGCAGGCACTCCACTCGGTCCGCCAGCTCCTCCGCTGCCCGCCCGCCTCCGAGACGCCGGGACTCCTGCGGCCGGCAGAGCCCTCAGCGGAGCGCAGACGCCCCCTGCCCCAGAGCCACCCTTCCCAGCCCCACGCACCAGTCTCCGAACATCCGCCCTGAGGGAAGAGATGGTTCTCTCCTTCTCCGAGTTTTGCTCCGTGAGTTTCCGCACCAGCAGCGTCTGCTCAGAGAGTCTGCAGGACACCCAGGGCCGGGGCCACAGGGGTCAGCGCAGAGCGCAAGCCACAGGCCTGAGGGTGCCCGGCTGGGTCCAGGCTCCTCCCGGGTGCGGCTGGGCCACGGGCACCCGCCACGCCTGTCTCAGTGGGCCTCAGTCCCTGGCCTTTCTCCTACTCTAGAACCTTCCATGACTCCCACTGACTTGGCAGTAAAGCTCAGACCCCAAGGTCAGCATCCAAGGTCCCGCTGCTGATGCCGACTCAGCTCTCCTGCCTCAGGGACAGTGGCTTCTGGGGCCTTGCTTGTCCTTGTGACACTGCAGGTGTGGCGCTCACTCGCCTTTGCTGCTTCTGCTGGCACAGGTCTAGCCCTGAGTGACGGCACTGCTCTGGTCCCTTCCTTCCCAGGACTCCCTCCTTCTGAGTCCATGGGCTCCCCTGTGGCACCGGGGCCTCCCTTCCCGGGGCTCCGGGCGCTCCGCTCAGGCCCTGGGCGCTGCCCCTGCAGGACACACCGGGCCGCCCGCCGCCCACTGTGCTCCAGACCCCTGAGGGCAAGGAGGACCCCAGCCCGTCAGCCTGACAAGGTGCCCTGGCCAGGGGAGCCCCGGGCCCCTGGGTGCTGTGGAATCAGGCCCTGCGGCCATCTCCCCATTTCTGTTGAAGGAAACAGACTTCCAGCCCCGACCGTGGCAGAACCTCCCACACACCCTCTCCTGGCGCCTCTGCTCCTTAAACAGTTGACCCCAAATCAGCGCCAGCCCCCGAAAACTGTGCTTTTAGGCCTGAAACCTCCACTTTCGGGAGCCAGTCTCAAGGATAGTGCACATGCCCACGGCAGTGCCCACGGAGACCCTCCAAGTGGGGACTCTGACTGCGGCCTTCAGGGCTGGCTGCAAAGTTGGGGCACATCAGTCAGCCCGTGGGAACGTCACGTGGCCCCTGGAGTGACGGCGGCCCACCACTCAGAATCCCAGCAGCTGGCAGATGGGAAGGGGCGTGCGGTGCCTCCCCCTTCACCTGCAGTCGCTGGCTCGGGTGCCCACCTGGCCTTCAGCGCCACCTTCTCTGCGTCCCAGCGGCTCCGCAGGTGCAGCATTTTCCGCTCCCTGCCCTGCAGCTGCAGCTCCAGGGCTCCCACCGCGCTGTCGGCCGACAGCCGCAGGTTGGAGTCCAGGTTCAGGCAGGCCATGTGCAGGCGCCGGGCGGTCCTGGCTGCGTCCGCTCGCATGTCAGCAAGGCCCCTGGGGACATGGCAGTGCCCCAGCCGAGCCTCAGGACCAGCTGTGGGCTCCAGGCCCAGGGGGTGCCGGGCTGGCTGGGCAGGACAGGTCTGGTCGAGGCCCCCACCACCTGCTATGGACTGCTCCCCGCCCCGTCACAGCTGGGCGGGGCGGGCGGGCGCTGGGCAAGGCCGCAGAGTGCGTGGCCCCTCGGAGCCCAGCTTCCACGTGCACAAACCGAGGGTCGACAGATGCTCAGCGGCCCAGGACAAAGCCCTGAGGGGCCCGGAGCTGTACCCCGAGGCTCCTCTCTCCTCTGTTCCGACCTCCCTCCAGCCCCCCACCTCTGGTCCCACGGGGCTGGCCTGAGGCCCCAGGTCCCCAGCCTGGGCGCCACCGGGTGCCCCTCCTCCCCGACCATGGCGGGCGGCCGCTCACCTCTCCGCGGTCGATCGCAGCTCAGCCAGGGGTGCTCGGAGCGCTGTCACCTGCTGCCACAGGAGGAGGAAGTCCCGGGGCCGCGCCCCTGGGTGCAGATGCTGCAGGCGGGACAGGGAGGGGCCGGGGGTGAGGAGCCCTGGACCGTCTGCCTCCCACCACCTGCTCCTCCAGTGGCGCTGGCCGACCCCCGCCCCTCACCCGCTAATCTTCCACGTGGGAGAGGCGCCTCCACGGCGCCCAGCTCGCCCAGGGAAGCTTTCCCCTGGGACGGCTCCCAGGGCTCCGGGTGTGCGGCCTGGCCCTGGGAGCACTCTGACCCGCCGACGGGCTTAGGGTTTCAGAAAAGTGACCCGCCAAGGCTTCGGGTCCTGCTGCCCTGGCCAGGGGTGGGGCGGGCGTCACTGCCGTGGTCTGACAAGGAGGCCGCCTGCCCACACCCCTGGCTGTCCCTGGAGCAGGACTCCCGCCTGTCCCTACTTTCCGGATCTGGCCTCAGGGTGCTGCCCTCCTTCTGTCAATGGAGGGGTGGTCTCCCCACCCTGGGGCCCCCTACGCCATATGCTGTGGCCATGCTGAGTAGAGGACATGGGGAGGCAGGAGGCCAGTGCCCAGGGAGGAAGTGCAGTGAAGCCAGCTCCCCTGCCCATCCCATCCTGGTCCCGGTGGCCCACCCCCGACCCGCAGCAGCCTTGGCACCGAGCAGGTGTCCCCGCCAGTGGGCAGTGGCAGAGGAGCACCTGTCTCTGGGCCCAGCGCCGAGCCTCCCTCAGCTCCAGCTGGGCCTGCAGGTGGAACACGCTGCCCGTCGTCCTGGCCAGCTCCGCAGACAGCGCGTCGTTGGCTTTCTTCATGTGTTCCAGCTGTTCCCTGAGCAGTCTGTTCACCTGGGAGAGGCTGGTGCTCCTGGAGGGGCAGGCACCACAGCGGCGTGGTGTGGCGTGGCGTGGCGGGGCGGGGCGTGGCGGGGCGTGGCGGGGCGTGGCGTGGCGGGGCGTGGCGGGGCGTGGCGGGGCGTGGGTGGTGGCTCTGCTCGGGGCAGCTCCGAGACCCCGCCGACACCAGCTCTGTGTGCAGCCCCTGCCTGCCCTATGCAGCAATCTGCAGTGGGTCCCCACTGTCGCCAAGCCAGGGAGAGCATCTGGGTGCCACCCTACCCTCCTCTCCCTCCCTGAGCTCTCCTGGTTCTGCCTCCACAACTGAGGCCGGCTCTGTAGTCCTGGGGGCAGCAGTGAACCCCGAGACAAGCAAGAGAGGCGAGGCTGGGGGGAGGTGTATCCCTGCAGTGAGGCAGGTGGGGACAGGGAGGAGCAGTGCCCAGGCCACGGCCTTCTCCACCCAGGGCGGGTCTGCATATGGCCGGACTCAGGGACACCAAACCCGCCTACTCGGGGTGGCCCACGCTCCAGAGCCAGCACCCTCCCGCAAGGCTGCAGCAGCGCATTCCCCGCTCCTGGGGCGTGATCCTGCACGTGGGTTACCCCCGGAAACACCGGATTCGAACGGCTTCCCAGCACTGTCCTCCCTCTCCAGTCCCCGAGGACGACCCCGTGCGGGAGGGGAGCCCCCTGGGGCTGTGGGTGGCCCAGTGGGGAGCTGGAGGGGCACCCTGCCCTTCTGGGGCCTCGTCCTGGGGCCAGAGGTCAGAGGGCAGGGGCTGCCACTAAGGGCTGAGATCACACGTGCCCTCCATGGTAGACAAATGAGACCCTGACCGTGAAGTCAAAGCCGCTTGAGGCCGAGGGGTCCGGGAGTCCCAGCTGGAGTGAGAAGAAGCCTGGGCTCGGAGCAACCCCACGGGTGCCCGCACGGGCTGGGCTGCCGAGGGCCGCAGTCCACTCAGGGGCCACATTCCAGAGAGAGGGCCCAGGGAGCGCCTCACGGCCTGTGGGACCTGTACCCCGGGCCTGAGGCCATGCCGGGTTGGTCCCACTCCCTGCTCTGCTCTGCCCCCTCCTTTCTCTGGCTGCCACCCACCCCCCATGCGCCTGCCCCAGCCTGTAGCTGAGTGACTGCTAGTCAAACAGGCCTACAGGCAAGTTTGTCTGACAGCGCTTTGGGAAGAGGATGGCCAGCGGCCCCGAGGCACCTTAGGCCCTGCTGCCCCTTGGGGTAACGGCCGAGCCCTTTGCGCCCTGACTGCTGTGCCCCCAGCCTCACCTCTGCTCCGCAGCCTCCAAGCGGCCCAGGGCCCCCTCCAGGCCCACGCTGTGCTCCAGCTCCGACCTCCGCAGCCGCGCCTCCGTGGTCTCCAGCCGGGCCTGCAGCTGGAGAAGAGCGTTGGCCCACCAGGTGGGAGGCAGGGCCCCCCGGGGCGCCCAGCAGGGCTGGCCGGCCAAGGTCAAGCTGGGGCTGGGGCTGGAGAAGCTCAGGCCCCTTCCCAGGATGGATCAGATGGGTGGGTGTCCGCACCCTGCCTGAGGGCCAAGGGTGTGCAGCCAGCTTAGGAGGTGGCCCTGAGGGTCTGGGCTGGCCACAGAAGGGGCAGGATAGCCAGTCACAGAGCAGGCCTGGGGTTGCTCCCACGAGATCGAGTGAGTGGTAGGGTGCCCCCTCCAGCTGCCCCTCCTGCCTGTGAGCACACCTCTGCCTCGTCCGGCAGGTGGGTGGGGACCACACCCAGCTGTGGGCCAGGCCTGCCCCAGCGGTGAGCAGACAGGACCCTGGGGCTCTGAGGGGGCAAGAGGGTGCTGGCCTCCCCAGATGTGTGTACTTGGAGCTCTCTCTGGGGTACGGAGAGAGGGGCTCAGACCCTGAGGGCAGGCTGAGAGGTAGGAAGGTCAGGAGAGCTGGAGGCCACACCTGTGGCTTGACCCGGGGACCTGGGGCACTGGGGACCTGGGGCCCGGTGTGAGGGGAGGCGTGTCCCCTCCTCAGAGAGAGGAGGGGGGAGGGGCCAGAGGTCCTCCATGGAGGCAGGTGCTTGGGCAAAGGCTGCCACCAGACTTGGGGACACCAGGAAGCAGTCACGCTGGCCACCCAGGGAACTTGAGGGAGGCCCAGCCCCCGTTGGTGCCACGCCAGGGGCCGAGTGTGTGCCGAGCTACGGCCTCTGCGAGTTCAGGTCTGACTCACGAGATTGCTAAGCCATCCACAGAATTCCTGCGGCATCTGTTCCCACTGCCGTTCCCACCATCTCCCCGCCCTGTGCGAGGAACACTCCCGCCCCCACGGCCAGCGGGGAGCTCACGGGGTGCTCTCTGGGCCTGGCCCCAGGGAAGGACCCTCACCTCATAGCCCCGCCCCCGGTCCCCTGGGTGTGCCGGCCACCGTGAGAGTGGGTGTCCCCAGTATAGGGGTCCCGGGCCTACAGGCGCTTAGCCATCACTGGTCACTGGTGGTGGTCTCCGCCCTGGGCAACTCTGGCCCACTCTGAGCCTGTTTCCTCCTCTGGAAAGTGGGGTCACCTCTCCTGCCACACAGAGTGCGAGGCTCTGAAGGCAGCAAAGGCAGGAGCTGGGCCTGCCCAGCAGGGTCTCAGAGCCCCCCACACTGTGGGCCGGGCCCCCCACCCGGCCCACTCCTGCCTCAGGAGCAGACTCAGATCAGAGGCTTTCGGCAGAGTCCTCAGCTCCCTGCCTCGGCCTCCCCACATTCACAACGGGAGGCCCCTCCCCACCCTCGATGACCACACGGGCCTCTCGCTGCAGCCTGTGGGGAAGGTCACCCCAGAGGGCACACAGGACGGAGGACCCAGGGCCTAGGGTCACAGCTGCTCCTCAGCTGTCGGGAAGGGGTGGGGGCTGGGGACTGAGCCAGTTCTCCACAGGCTGGGTCTGAGGGTTGGGTGGGGCCAGGCTGACCCCTGGCCTGCGGCAGCCCACCACGCACACCTACCCGCTCGCTGACTGCGTGGTACCTGCTGGCCAGCTCATCCCGCTCGGTGCCCACCTGGGCCAGCAGGCCCTCCAGCCGGGCCAGCTGCTCCTGCAAGAGCTCGCTGTCCTCCTGCCCGGCGGCCCCGGCAGCCAGCTCCTGCACCCCTGCAGGCAAGGCATGGGGTCAGCCCGGGGGCAACGCTGCACCCCCCAGCCACAGCACCCTGTCCCCATGGTGGCAGTGTGGCTGGTCTGACCCAGGGCTGGGTGTGGAGGTGGCCTCATGCTAAGGGCCTGGCCTGCACTCGGTCAGTGGGCCGCCTCCTGCCATTTATCAACATCCTCACCCAAATACAGCCCTTGCCCTGGGTGAACCCCAAAACAATTACAGGGGCGTGAGGTGCCCCCACCCCAGGGACCCGGGGGAACTGCTGATTTCTGGTCACCGGATCCCATCCCTGAGGAGTGAGGGGCTTTGAAACCACACCTGGGGGTTCTCTTTCCTTAGTGCCCACTCCGGACAGGCCTTCAGTGCAGGAGGGGTTGCACCTGGGACCCACGTATGGGGGGTCGGAATGGCTCAGAGTTACGAGTGCCCTGGGGCCAGCCACCCCATGTCTGGGTGGCCTGGAGGCAAGAACCCGGCCTCTGCGCCGGTTCCTCCACGGCACCTCCAGGGGACCTGCAGGGCTGGGTGAGCAAAGCTTTTGGGGTAGGGATGGGGGGCAGATCGGCTCTGTGTCTCCTGAGCCTCAACCATGAGGGTTTCCACTCATCAAATGAAAAACAAGTGTGGATGAAATCGAGACTGGAGGTCACAAATGTGTCACAAACACAAATAACTGCAGGGCTGGCTTGGGAAGGTCCGCGTGGCCAGCAGCGGACCAGGCAGGGGGCAGTAGGGGCTTGGCTCCCTGAAGCTGCACTCCAGCTGGTGGCTGAGCAGCTCCCCCGGTACCTCCCCACCCCCACCACCTCCTTTCACCTTGGGGGGGCTCCTCGCCCAGGCTACTGGCCACGATCTCACGGATGCGGGCAGGCAGGGGTGTGGGGGAGGCCCGCCGGCCTGCCCCGTGCATGGTCAGTGCCCGGTCTTCCCTGCTGGCCGTGGGACTCAGAACAGTGTCCTCCAGCTTCTGAAAAACACCCAGCTGGAGACGCCTGGGGCCGTCAGATCCCGAGAGCTGCCGGGCACCCCCGTGTGAGCCCAGTGGGGTGAGCGGGGGTTGGAGGGGCTCACCACAGGCCTCTCACTGCAGCAAAATGCCCTGGAGAGGACCGGGCCAAACGGAGGCCTCCCGAGACACGTGCCTTGGTTTCCCCCTGCGCCTTGGCTCCCCGACCTGTACCGTGGGTGGAGCCCTGCCTGTCTAGGCACCGCAGGTCACACCCATGGGGAAGTACGGAGAAGGGCTGGTCACAGAACACCTGGCCTAGGCTCTCACCACACCCTGCCCTTTGGCATGACTGTTATTCTGAGGGCTGGGCCGGGCCTCACACCTGTCCAAGGATGCTGGGAGGCAGGGGTCCTCCCTGGGTCCGCAGGGCCCCCTCCCACCCACCTGCAGCAGGTAGTCCCTCAGTTTCCACAGGGGGTCGTTGGGGAGTGGCAGGCGACTGGTGTGAGGACAGAGGCTCCCCCGCTTAGAACAAGGCCAGCTGTGTGGGCATCTGTGGCCCGGGGAGGTGGGCCGTGGCCGGAAAGGGTGGTGATCCTGTCTAGCCTTGGGAACAGCTGTCCTGCCTTGGAAGAGGTCGCAGCCTGGAAGTGGGCAGGAAGCTCAGGTCCTGGGGGTCTCTGGCTCCCAGAGCCCTTTGCCTTGGCCGGGGACGTTCTGCTCCCCTGGGAGGGCCTGGCCCTGCGGTGCCCTTGTTTCTGGGTCGAACTGTGGTGCCGACTGTGGGGAGGACCATCAGGGGCCTGTGAACGCAGGGTGGAGGCAGGAGCCGTTTCAAACTAGCAGGAAACCTCTGGATGGGAGCAGGTAGGGCCAGACAAGGTCACCCAGGACTGGGACAGGCCTTAGCGCCCACCCCGCCACCTTCAGGACATCTGGTTTTGGGGCGGTGGCTGAAATAGTAAAGGGGTCCTGGGGATGGGTGTCGACTCCCATGACTCCAGGGTGGCCAGACAGGGTCCTGCTGTTACCCCCACCCCACCTGCCCCCGTGCGCCCAGACGCCCCTCCCCGGGACTCTTCTCCCTGTGCTCCTCAGAGCCACGGCCTGCTCCCCCTCACCCCGTGACCCCCCCAGCTTTTCCTGCTAGCCCAGGGTACTGGGCAGCGACCACAGGGCAGCCCCCCTGCCTGTCCTCTGTCCTCTGACACCTTCCCAGTTCTCCCAGGACACCCTCTCCTGCGCAGACACCTGACTGGGCACTGGCCCCCTGCCCCCAGGCTGGCGGGACCCGCAGGCTTCCTGCTGGCCTGGGCTCACTCTCACCCTGCCCCCTCCTCCTGAGACCCTGTCTGAAGTCTTCCTCCCACATCCACCTCCAAGGCTCCCTGGTCCCCCAGACTCTCCCCCAGGACCAGACTGACGCCGTCACCGGGAACCTGGCTCCCGCATGGCAGCTGGGAGGCTTGATGTGGTCCCCACGGGAGCCCAGGGTGGGCCACCCTGAACGCATGCTACTGGGGTGACGGCCCTGATCCCCATTCCCTGGAGCCCCTCCCCGCGGCAGGCTGGATGGAGCCTTGCTTTTCCCTGAGTTTGAATGTCAGTCCCCTTGGAGGTCTTGGGGAGTCGCCCTCACTCTACATCCCCCACACGACCCCCTCCGGCCCGAGCTGAGTCTGGGTGGGCGTGAGCAGCCTCCACTGCGCAGCCGGAGGACGTGCCTGCCGCTCCTCCGGGCCAAAGAGGACCCTGTGCCAAGACCACCGCCGCCTCTGCGGTCCTCCCGGGAGGGGCGCCCGGGGTGGGGGGCAGGCGGGGGCCGGGCTCAGCCGCGGCCTGCCCTGAACCCTGGACGCGAACCGGGAAACTGAGGCCCAGCGGGTGGGACGGTCACGTCCAGGAAGCTTCCCTCCTAGGCCAGGAAGGCCTCTGCCCCTGGCCTCCCGCCCGCCCCCCTCCGCTCCCCCGGGCGCCCGCGGCGCCACCCGTAACGGGAAAGCGGCAGCGCGGCCCGAACTTGACTCATTCCTGCGTGTACAGAGGGTCACTTATTAGCCGAGGCGTCCCCAGAGGCGCGGGGGCCTAATGGGTTCCAGCTGTGGCCGGGTGCCTGCGACGGGCCGCGGCCCAGCTGGAGCCGAGGGGGCGCGGCGGGGGCTGCGCGGAGGGGGCGCCAGGGCCCCCTCGGCCCCCGGCCCGCGGGGTGAGGCCGCCCCGCCCCCGCGGAAACAGAAGAGGAGGGAGAGACCAGGAGGGGCGTGGCCTGGGCGGGAGGGGCGTGGCCTGGGCGGGCGGGGGCGGGGCCTGGGCGGGGCGAGGAGCGGAGGGGCCGTGGTGGGTGGGGCCCGTGCGGAGCTGGAGCCCGGGCCCTCCGGGCCTGCGCAGAACTTGGTTCGGACCCCAACGCTGGCCACCTTTTCCGGGCCGGCGGGAGTCTTCCCCCGGGGGGTTCACAGTCCCCTCCCCGGCATGGTGCATCCTGCACCGGGCAGGCCGGGCCCTGCTTCCAGGCCGCTCACGCCCGGGCCAGGCCCTGGAGGGTGGGCGTCTGCTGTGCGGGCAGCGCACCGGGAAACTCCTAGGAGCCCCCTGGGGACCCTGAGTCCGCGAAGGGGACGCCGGGCTGGACTCTGTTTCCCCAAAGACCCCGGACTCAGGGTTGAGCCAGGCCGAGCCCTTCCTCCTCCCCAGCGCTCTCCTCTGCTAACCTGCGCTCTAGACGCAGCACGGTCACAGCTCTGCGGGCACCTGGTGGCCCAGGGATGGGAGGGACACCTCGGCCCCAGAGGGCCCCGGAGTGTGACCGGCGGGGCCACCCCTGCGGCACCCGCTCCTCCATCGTGTCTGTGGAAGGAGAGCGCCACCTGGAGGAGCGTGGGCTCCCCTGTCGAGCCCATCCCGTGTTAGAGCAGGATGGGCCCGTGTTAGAGCAGGACCTTTGTAGCAGACCTGGGCTGGTGCCCTGTGGCGCCGGGGGTGTGGTGCCACCTGCCCGTGGCCTCCTTGTGGCCTCTTCTGTGAAAATGCGTGTGTCAGGGGAAGGTCCCAGAGAAATGCCCCCGCAGCTCAATGGAGGGTGGCGTGTGGTCTCTGGGACTCCCTCTGGGGATGGGAGGAGGTTGGGAGCAGCAGGCGGGTGGGCTTGTAGGTCAGAAACGGAATCACAGAGTCAGAGTGACGTGGCCCTCTCCGTTCGCTGGTGACCAGCATTGGAAGCCCCAGTGGCTCCTCCTGAACCTCCAGGCTGCTAAGGACGCAGGGAGAGGCAGTTTATGGCCTGGTTCTGGGGCCAGAGGAGGACGTATTCCAAAAGGGACTTGGTGACATACGGACAGGATGATGAGGGCCACCCACACCCAGAACCAGATTGCGGAGACCCCTGGGTGGCCCAAGTGAGCCCAGTGGCGGGCCCTGGGAGAGGCCGCCTCCAGGAGGTGCCCGGAATCAGCCGGGCGCAGGGGAGTCACAGTGGAGAGGCTGGCCTGGGCCTCCGCGGCTGGGCCGGTGGATCCGGCAGTGCCACCTCGTGGCTGCCAGGGGCGCTGCAGGACGCCTCACCTGCTGGGCTGTGGGAGGATGAGGCCCAGCTGGTCCCACGGAAGTGGGAACCCCGCGGGAACCCTCAGTGCGGTGAGGCAGGACACTCTCCACACAGGGTCTCTCAGCAAACATTTCATATCCATTATCTTGACCCAAAAGATCACCTTCTCACCTCCACGTGAGGAGGTCGGGGACTTGCTCAAGGCCTCTGTGTCACAAGTGGCAATGTTAAGGCCTGCCTGTGGGCACCCAAGTGCCCCCAGTGGTTGCAGGGCCCGCACCATCCCAGGGGCCAGAGAGCAGGATCCAGCAGGCACTCTGGCCTCAGGTGTCCTCCCCAGTGTGGCTCCCCCAGAGCCCAGGCAGTGCACGGGGCAGCCTCCGGCCCACGCCAGCCACCGCCAGCCTTCCTCCTCCAGCTCTGCTGCCTGGGACATTTCCGAGCCTTGCCCACAGGCCCCCCTTCACGCCCAGGTGGTCAGGGGTGGGCGCAGCTGGAGGAACGATCTGAGGGCGGCTCCAGCCGAGCCCAGCCACTGGCCGTCTGCTTGCCATCCTCCTGCAGCTTGGCAGCTGCAGGGAGGGCTCTGGTCTGGGGTGGCCGCTGCCAGGCTCCATCCCTTCAGAGAAAGGGCTTCTCTGTGTGTGCAGCAGCGTCTGGCCCCGCCGAGGCAGGCGGGGGCGGTTTCGATCTCTCACTGAGACCTGGAGCCCCGGGCGGCGCCCTGCTCCTGGTGGGGGCAGTTTGGTCCTCCCTAATAATGAAGGGGTGACCCGGGCCAGACACCGACTCAGGCACTGGGGATGAGGGAGATGACATCTCACTCACCCTGGGCTGCCACCCCAGCCCCCAGCATGACTGGCGCTTGGCACACAACTGGCTCAGACGGGTCACTACACGCATGACTGGAAACCCAGCCTAAGGTATGTGTCACCCACTGCAAAATGATTCATATCGGGGAGCGCGGGGGAGGGCCACGGCTCCGACGATCGAGTTTGCTCCGGGGTAGCTGGTGCCGCGCAGGTGTCCGGAGGAGGTGGCAGGCGCGTTGGACCTTGAAGGGTAAGTAAGAGCTCAGCAGCCAGAGGAGGTGTTGCAGTGGGTAGTTAGAGAAGCAGCTGCAGCAGACGAGACCTCCACCCGTTCACTCGTAAGATGACAGGGCTCAGGGTCTTCAGGGGAGAAGTGTCGCCGCAGGGAGTTAACTAGGGAGGCGTGAGCCGGTGTCCAGGGGGAGGGAGCGTGGGAGCAAAGCAACAGGATGGGTCTCCAAAGTCCGCGCCAGACTGTGCATGTGTGCAGACGCCTGTGCATACACGTGTACACACTCACGCTGGTTTTCACCAGCGGGGCTCGGGCCACCGGGTAAGCACATGGAAGGAAGGGCACGGTCATCTCCGTGTCACACTGCGCGTAAAGATCGATTCCACTTGGGTTTCAGATTTCAGTGTGAAAGTAAAACAACACGGCTTTTCAGAGGGAACCGGAGAATGTCGCGGTGACGGTGGAGTGGGCAGAGTGTCTCTTAAACAGCGCACAAGCGCTACTGTGAAGGGGGAACATGGACGGGTGCGCCGCAGAAAACTGAGGAGCTTCTGTTCCCCAAAATGTGCTGTGACGGGGGAAAGACCACCCACAAAAGGCACTCGCAAAGCACAGCTTCAAACAGGACTGGTTTCCAGTGTATACAATCACATCCGGGTCAGCATGAAAAGAGAAAGCCCCACACCAGACAAAAATAGGCAAAGGTTTAGAGCAGACACTTCACCAAAGACGTCCAAGGGGCCCATAAACAGAGGGGCAGGCACTCAACATCACTAGCCATCAGGCAAACGGTTAGTAAGACCACAGTCTGAGACCCGGACGGCCGCCTAAGGGCCACAGAGGAGAACGGCAGGAAGTGCCGAGTGCCGGCCAAGGTCTGCAGCAACCAGCCCTGCACACCACGGCCTGGACGGCACAACCCCTTCGGACACCCCTTTGGCAGCGTCCACCAAACCTGCCCACGCCCAACCCAGGACCAGGGTCCGGACTCCTGGAAGGGCCCCAACAGAGATGTGCACACACGGCACCCAGAGACCTCTGGGATGGTACGGAGAGCCAGACAGCAGCGAGCACGGTGACCCACGGCCACGCCGCGTCCTGAGGGGCTCACGGGCCTGGTGCTGCACCAAGGCCGTGTCCGCGCATGCTCACATTCTGCTGTAGTCCTCAAAGGACTGTGAGGATCAGGCCAGGGCTCCTGGCATCCGAGGTCGCCCTGTGGATGTGGGCGCCAGAGTGGGAGTGGGTGAGAGGATGGCGTGGGGTGTCCACGGGCCTCTCTAATACGGGAGCAGGTCCAGGCCCGGTTGCCCACGAGGCCCCTGTGTAATGGCACCTCGGTCTCCATCACCGCAGTGCAAGTGACGGGTGGGGGTCAGATGGGCGGAGCAGACCCCGGCCAGGGCTCCTTGGGGCCTTCAGACGACAGTTTCCGGCTGGCAGCCTCGTTTGCCACCCGCTCACGCCCACTGCTGGTGTTGGCGCCGATCTGCGTTCCACCCACAAAGTGGCCTGTCAGCGAGGCAGCCTGCACCCTGGAGCCTCCATCTCCCCAGACCCAGAGGGGGCGACGGAGCCCTCGGGGCTGACAGGGCCCCGGTCACCAGCCGAAAGTCTGGGAAACTCTCTGTCAGCCTTGCCTCCCTCCCAGCGCCCACCCCACACTGGCCAGCCCCCTGCCAGGCCCCCAGAGAGCAGAGACCCACCCAGGGCCACCACTTGTCTCGCGTCACCCAGCTCGAACACCCTGGTCCCGTGCTTGTGCCAGCACATGTGTGGTGACCCCACCTCGACGGCACACAGCCTGGAACCCTCCCCAGGGCGGTGCTCTTCCCCGGGGACCCGGGTTTTATACGGGGCCTGACCCACCTCCCCCAGGCAGCCCCGAGGTTCTGAGAGCCGGGTGGACAAACAACTCCGAGCCAGCCCCTGCGTGGCCACACTGGGCCCCCTGGGTCAGTGGGGTTGGGGTTGCCGCCTGGCTGTGATGGCAGAGGGGTCCCCTTAAGGGGGTGGGACGTCAGGCCTGGGTAGCAGGTTGGGTCTGGATGTCAGGGTGAAGGGGAGGGGTGTGGGGACAGTTCCAGGTCATTGCTGATGTTGTTATGCAGGTGAGGCTAAGAAAGTCAGAATCCAAACTTCCGGAACTCATAGGACAGGCCCTGGGGACGGTCTCACCTACTGGCCCATGTGCAGAGGTGACAAGTGCCTCTGGGGAAGGGCTGGAAGCCCCCACACTTTGCCACAGCGAGAACAGTGAGCTGGGTCCAGAATGTCAGCTGAGGGTCTTTGCTGTGTCCCCCACTCCCCGTGAGGGGCTCACCAGCAGACTCAGACCTCCAGCCCCGTCCGGGTCAGTCTGTGCCCATGTGGGCTCCCACACACATGCACTTGTGCTGACCACGTGAGCGTGTGTGAAGCGCCCCCAGAGCCAAGGAGGTATGGCCTCTGCAGGGTCCCTTCCCTCTCACGGTGCCCTTGCCGCTGGCTCCTGAGGGGTGCTGGGGGCAGCCACCCACTGACCTGGATCACGGCGCCCAGCCCTGGCAGGGACCGCTCCGCTGCGTCCCCACCTGCAGGCTCGCTGGGGGTGGAACTCATGGCGCCTGGAGCCAGGGCGTCTCCTCCTGAGACCTGGCCGGGCAGGGCCTCCTTCAGCTCCGGGCCCCACACCTGTGCAGCACCTGCTCCCTGTCCTGGACTCCCAGCTGCCCCCTCTGGGTTGGGACTGTAGGCAACCCAGCGTTAGGTGTTGCTCTGGCAACTGAAACACTGAAGGCTTGGTTTCCCTGGAAACCGGAGTGCAAGCCTTGTTGCCGTGGGGACTAGGGAACGCTGTTGTCTGGAAGCCGTTTCCCCGGAGACCTGGACACGCCCTTGGTGAAGCTGTCCAGCTCCTCAACTGCAGGCGGGGCGGTGCTGGCCTCTCCCCCGGCCCCCCCGCCTCCCAGGGGGCTGTGGCCGGGGAGGAGCCCTGTGCCGGGGGCCACAGTCCAGTGGAGGTGACCTGCAGCCTGCCACTTCCTGCCGTTGGAGAACCAAACTCTGACGCTTCCACGGGATCTGGAAAGGAAGCTGGAGTTCAGTGGGGCGCGGCCGGCAGCGGCCCAGTGAGGTGAGGCTGGGGAGGGAGGTCTCATCTTCCTCGCCTGGCCCAGGGCCTCGCCTTCTGGAATCCAATGTCCCAAATGGATGCTGCATCGTGGGTGACGCGCCTCACACCTGTCAGGGGAGGGTCGTTTCCACTCACTCACCTGACCCTTCCCAGAGCCACACAAAGGACCGGCAGGGACTCTCCCAGCCGAGGCCTCCCGGGGCCTCTGGACCAAGACTGGCCGCTGGCGTTCAGCCCCGTCCCGATGCGTGTCGGCAGGACCTACGCCAGCTGGGCTGAAGGGGCCGCGCTGGAGTGGGCCCTGCAGCTGAGTGCCTGTCCCCCTGATGAGAGGAAGCCATTGGGCCCTGTGGGTGGGGTGCGTCCCTCTGGGGCTGCCCAGCGAGGGTGGACGCTCAGTGGGGAGCGCGTCTGTTCCTGGTGCTGCCTTGCTCTCGGGAGCCCGTCGGGGCCTGGACCACGTCCTCAGACCGAGTTCACCAAAGGGGCACCTGTGCTCTGTCCTTGTCCTGATGTCCTCAGGGTCCTGGTGCGCTGCTGGGGGGACAGGGTCCCTGAACCCACCTGCTCCCTGGGGCTGCAGAGAGTGCTCAGCGCTTGGGTTGCTGTGGCCCCCCACCACCGCCTGTCCAGCTCAGGCTGCCTCCCCTTGTCTATGTGGAGGTGGCCCGTGGCTGGGCTTTGTCACCATTTCTCCCCCAAGTAGGGAACCTTGCTGAGTGTCACTCCCGCCCCTCCACACCACCTGTACACTCTGGGTCCCAGCCCCCCTGGGGCAGCTCCCCATTCTGGCCCTGCCAGGCTCATGAGTGGCAGGGACTGGGTCAGGCCTGGCAGAACTCAGCGGGCTGGCCTTCTCCCGTCCCCTGTTGGCCCTGGGGCACCAGAATGTGCCACCCCCGACCCAGACCCTCTCGGCGAGGGGAAGGGACCCTGGAACGTGCAGGACAGTTGGGCACTTCCCTGTGTGAGGCTCGAGTTTCCCACCCTTGCTCAGCCGCTCCCGTCCTCGCCCGGACAGACGGGCCTGTGTGAACCGGACACTCAGTCTTGGTGTGTCCTCTAAAGACGGGTCACATGGAGGACACCTGGGGAAGAGGGTGAGAGGCCACAAAGGAATGTGGCAGCTCTGTCCCGGCCCCTCTTGGCCTCCAGGCTGCAGTCCTGCCCGATGGCTCTGGACCCGCCTGTGTTCCGGGCGCCGTCTGTGCTCTCGGGGACTCTGCCCGGGGCCCTCCACCTTCCCCTGGGTGCACGGCACCCTGGAGGATGGGAAGCAGGCTGTGCGTTGCCCGGTCGCACCGAAACAGGCCGGTTGGGCCCCACCCAGATCTGCCGACAGATGCCAAGGCCGACTGTCCTGCTGCCTGGTGGGTGGGTGTCCCAGGCCGCTGGTCCCTGCCCGTGTGTCCATGTTCTCCAGCCATCTGTCTGCGCCGGAGGCCTGGCTCTGGGACAGCACTGGAAGCCCTGTGAAGGGGGGTGGTTAGAACTGGGGGGACAGGACCGAGCCCTTCCCTCTCCGTCCAGCTCTGGGGGCCTTTGTGGGCATCTGGCCCCTTGCCCAGGGGGCCGCAGGGGCTGCCCCCTCAGTGTAGCCCGAGGACGATGATGCCACAGGCTGGCTGTGGGGCAGTCTCCAGGGGCCCTGGGGGACTCGTGGGCCCTGCCCTCTGCCCCCTGCTCTCACGGGGTGGCTGAGATCCCAGACACACCGGCAGTGAGGAAAGGAGTCTGGGTGCAGGGCTGGGGTTCTCTGCTGAGGCGGCGGAAGGACGAGGCCGTGAAACTCTTAGAAAGGAACGCGGCCTGGGGTTGGGCAGCGACCGCTCAGACGCGACGCCGAAGGCACCGGCAGCCGAAGGAGAGACGCGGATCGGACACGTTCAAAACTCTCGTGCGGCCAAGGGTGGTGTCAGGAGACTGGGAAGGCGGCCCACAGGGCGGAAGGAAACTCACAAATTATTTATCCAGTGTGAGCACTGGTGTCTTGAACACACAAAGAACTGTCCTAAGTCAGTGACAAAAACCCCGAACAGCCCCGTGTTCAAACGCGGGCCGAGGACCGGGGCGGACGCCGCTCCACAGAGGACACACGACTGGCCCCCTGCCCAGGACAAGGTGCGCCCAGCACTGACCACCCAGGAAACGCAAACCTTGCCCAGTGAGGCCACCTCACCTATTGGGGTGGCTGCCGTCCACACCCCAGAAAACACCCACTGCCCGCAAGGATGCAGGGACCCTGCGCACAGCGACTGGAATGGACAATGGGGCGGCTGCTGTGGAACCCGGGACGGACGGCCCTAAAAATTCAACAGAACCGCCCGACGACCCAGCAATTCCGCTCCTGGACACAGACCAGAGGAGCGGAAACCAGGGTCTGCACGGGCCACCTGCTCGCCCTCGTTCACAGCAGCATCAGAAACAGCAGCGACAGCACGGAGGCACCCAGTGTCCACAGACGGACGGAGGGACGGACGGATGAGCAGTGTGGTCCCTGCACACGAGGGAGCCTGCCTCGGCCTCAGAGGTTCGGACACAGGCTACGAGGTGGGTGTCAGTGGGACCCTGCGGTCTCCATCTTCCCGTGGCTGCTTAGTTCACTGGCACTAAGTCCCCGCTTGTGTGGGGGACCCCAGGAGGGTCAGACTGTGGAGACGGGAGCGAGGACGGTGGGTGCCAGGGGCCGGGGAGCGGCTGGGGTTGTGTTGCTGGGACAGGCCTTCGTTCCGGGAAGAAGAGCCCTGGAGACGGGTGGTGATGTTGGCGGCAGAACAGCGTCAATATCCTGAAGCCATTGAGCTGTACAGTTAAAAATGGACAGACGATACATTTTATTTGTCACAGTAATAATAATAATAATACTATAATAAAACAACCCTTTCCGCGGCACCTCACAAGGTCCTTCTCCCACCACTGGCAGCGGCAAAGGAGGCCTCGTGGTCGCCTGGGTCCAGGGGCCGGGTTGAGGGGGCTCCAGGCCAGCCCTACGCTGACCGGCCAGTCCCTGGACCGCAGAGCTGCTGCCCGTGGGGCCCCACCGAGGGCCCTGCCCCACACCACCCTCTCCCAGCCCTGTGCCCAGGCCCTCGGGGCCCCCCGTTCCCATGGACCCCTGCCTGCCCGTCCTGGGCTGGAACCTCCGCTGGCCTCCTAGCCTCAGCGTCTGTCCCCAACTCGCTGCGTCATGGGCAGGCACCTTCCAGAGGACGGCGTCCCCCTGGGGTGGCCCTGAGCCCCACAAACACCTGGGCGGCCCCGTCGGATCCGCCTGCAGGGCCCCAGCCCAGCGCAACAGGCGTTTTCTGCGAGACTGGGTCTTCCGCTCGGCCAGCCTCTCTGTCACCCTGGGGGCTGGCTCCCCCGCCAGCTCCCCCCACGCCTGCTGCTGCCTGTCCCCTGCCCGAAGGAGCTGCAGGGGTGGCCGATGGTGGTGGCCACCCCGAGAGCGGGGTCCCTGAGGTGACGTGCTGCGCGTCACCACAGGGGCTCTCCTCGCCGGCCAGCCCCCCCCCACCCCGTCACTCCTCGCCTGGTGCGGAGACGCGGGGTTTGGGGTGGAAGGGCCCCACACCGTCGCCAGCACGTCCGGGAATTCCTGAAATACAGGACCCATGCTCGCGCCCCTGAGTTTTGAGGGGACTTGGAAGCTGGACCAACAGGCGTTTGAAGTCGGTGTGCGAGCTGCAGGCAAACCCCTTCCCAAGCTGCCAGACCCCGGCAGAAGGAGTCCCATTCGCCCACGCCGGATTCTGCCCCCGCTTCACCACTCTGTCCCGGGGCCTGCCAGGCAACGGGCCTGGGCTGCTGCTCCTCCGTGGCCCACTGCCGGCCAGGTGGGCAGGCGCTGGCGTCTGGGATGGTCCACCCGTCTTCCTCCTGTGCCTGCGGCCCGCCTACCCTCGGGTGACCCCAGGAAACACTGAGGAGAGCTCCTGACCCAGGAAGAGATTGACACGGTCTTTGTCCCCCTCCCAACTGCCACTGTCAGAGGACCAGGGCCGTCCCCTCCTACCCTTGCCCAGCGGATGGGGGTCCCCCGATCCGCTGTCTGGTGTGAAGTTGGGTCCTTGTGTCAGCACAGAGCTCTGGGCTCCGGGGAGACAAGGGCCACGCACCCCTGGGAGAATTCAGGAGACAGTCGTGAGATTCCAGGGAAAATGGGGGAATTCAGGAATATAACTCACAGACGGGGAAGCCACAGTGCTGGCTGAGGGCCTGGGGGAGGGGGGCAGGACTGGGTCCCCTGCACCGCGTCCCTCCCTGCAGGCCAGAGTGGCAGGTGGGCTGTGAGGGGCCCAGGGCTCCTGGTCGGGAGTGTGAGCAGCAGTCCCGGGGGAGGGGCAGATGTGCTCTGTGCGATGGCGGCCCAGCCTGGCCTGGAGGCCAGGACTGTGCCCGGTGCGAGGAGGGAAATCTGTCTCTTGCTTGACTGTGTCATGGGCTCCCCGATCAGGAGTGGGCTCCCCGTCCTAGGAGACATGGAAGCAGAGACCCCTCACCGCGGCTGCAGCTCCTCAGAAGGGCGTCCAAGTACCAGCGAGTGAGAGCCATGGTTCCTGGTTCTGTCCACGGCTGCGATGCAGGCGCACATCCCCGGGGGCGCTGTGGGTGGCGCCGCTGGGTCAGCTGCCTCCACGGGGCCCTCTCCACGGGGCGTCTCCGTGGGCTGTCTCCATGTCTGCCATTTGCAGAAACGCCAGCACAATTCCCTGACGTGTGGGGCCAGACTGGAGGAGCCAAGGGTCCCGGGGCGGGGGTGGGGGGGGGCGGCTTCCACCTGCTGGTTGGGACTCGCACGGCCGGGAGCAGGGAGGCAGCTGGGCCGGGCAGGGTGCCCAGCACCACTGCTGGAGGGGCTGGCAGGGCGAGCTTTCCAGCCCCAAAAGGTGGAGCCAAGGAGGCTTCCCGAGGGCCAGACTCACTCCAGCTCCAGGCCCAGGTGGGTTCCCCTCTCAGGCCCGAGGCCAGGTGGGGTGGGCACCCCAAGGACACAGGGCTGGGGGTGGGCAGGGGAGCACTGGATGCAGGCCTTGCAGCGGGAGGGATTCGTACCTGGACCTCGGCCGGCACCAGGTCTGAGTTTCCCAGCTTCCAAGCGCAGGGCCTGCGGGGTGCCCGGGCTGCTGTGGACACGCAGCCCCAGCCCCGGCTGCTTCCGGGCTGTCTCAGAGGGAGGCTGCTGGGAGCTGTGGCCCCAGGGCGGCCCTCACACTCAGGGACTCGCCTTTCAAGTCAGAGTAAGGGGATGCCGTGAGTCCAGCCCCCAGACTGGTGGGGGGCCCGGAGACAGAGAGACCCTGAGGCTGCTGCCACTGGGATGCAGGTCAGCGGGGCGGGGGGCACCAGAACAGGCCCCCGCCCCCAGGGACAGCAGGGCAGGAGGGCGGGAGGCTCGACCTGCAGGCATCTTGACAGGAGAGGCAGGGCAGTGTGAGGGAGGCCCCTCCCTACCCCTGCCGGCCCCCCCCAGACATTCCCCACTGTTGACGGCTGACTCACCCTCCCTTCAAAGGCTTGGGCCGAGTTCAGGTATTTAACCTGCCGCAGCTCAGTCACTCAGGAATTCGGCTCTGCAGGGAGCCAGTGCCCCTCCTGGGACCTGCCGCTCCTCGCCCGGGCAGGTGCCTCCTCCCAGCTGTCCCTCCGTCCGGCTGTCCTCACGGCCGGGCCCCGGCCATGGACGTGCAGGTGCCCTTGTGGCACCACTACCTGCAGGCCCTCCGCTCGCGGGCGGCGTCCCGGGCGCAGGACTACCAGCGCGCGGAGGACGTGCTGCTCACGGTGCTGGAGCGGGTGCACGCCCGGGACCCCCGCTTCCTCGTGGACTACTCCCGGGACCTGGAGGCCTCGCAGTTCGCCCTGCGCTCCTCGGACGGCCCTGTGGATGTGGAGGTGCCCCTGAGGGTGGACGCCGGAGCCCTCCTGAGCGAGGAGCTGGGGGCCGCTGAGCCGGGCCACGGCCCCGCGTCCTGCTGCCTGGGTGTCCCCCGGGAGGGGGCCGGCCTGGAGCCGTGGGTGACTGACGACGTCTTCACCGCCTCCTCGGACGGCAGCACCAAGGGCTGCGGCCACATCGTGCCCGGCAAGGTCCTCCACCTCCTCAGGGACCTCCTGGTGGCCGCCATCGTGTACTGCAGGCTGCACGGCCTCGTCCCGCCAGGTAGCAGAGGGCCCGCTCTGCACGCGTGTGCGTGTGTTCGTGACTGCTCAGCGGGGGGGGGGGGGGGGGGGGTCGGGGGCCCGGGAGTTGGGGACAGGCTCCGCGGTCCAAGAGGATGAGTTCCGTGTTAAGTTTCCCAGGGTGACTTTGGGATGATGCTGTGATGGCGTCACCATGTAGGCGGCTGGAAATTGTGCCCTGTGGGCTGTCACCGGCTGGTCAGCTTCCTGAGGGTCCCTGGGCAGCTGGCTGTCAGTTCCAGCTGGACCGACGGTCCTTGAAGCTGTCTGCACTTCCAGCCTCTGGTCAAATCACACTGGAGTGGGAGGACTCTGCGTGCACGTGTGAGCGTGTGCACGTGTGCGTGTGCACGTATGTGAGGGCTGCATGGCACACACGAGTGTGCGCAGGTCTGCTCCAGCTGTTGGCCCAGGTGCTAAGTGGCTCTGAGGCAGAGAACTCCCGGTGAGCCGCAGTCCGGCCTCAGCCTCTGTCGGCTCCTCTCTCTCAGGGCCCCCCAGGAGGGGCCGGAAGGATAGGTGCAGGACAGCGGGCCCGGGCGGAGGAAGCCCACCCTCCTGGGTGTCAGGGGAGGGACATCGGATCATCCGGGCAGGCAGCTGAGACGGAATGTCCTGCTGCCCTCGGAGGGCAGCTGCGTGTTGGGGTGGCCCCCACATTGGCGAGTGGGGCAGTCAGCCCACCTGGAGGACCGTGACCTGCCCCAGGCAGCCCGGTGTGCGGGGCCCAGGTCTGGCTGCCATCCGGGCTCCGGCCCTCCGGGGTCCTTGGCCACAGAGGCCCGCAGGCCGGTCTCCCCGCTGCAGGTCCTGGGGGAGCCTCCCGGCTGCGAGTTCTGCCACAGGGTCCTTCCTCTTCATGGTGACGTGAAGATCCAGAAGGCGACCAGGCTTCTGGACAGACTTGTAACTGGGGGGGGGGGGGGGGGTGGCCTTCCAGCCCAGTCCTCCTGAGACCTGCCTGGCGACTGGGGGTGGGGTGGTGACAGCCACCGGGGGCTGAAAACGCCGCCCGCACAGGGCAGCCGGGCCTGTCATTTGGTCTCCTACAGACATCTGATCTGATGGTCTCCGAGCCCTCCAATTACCATCGGTGGCTTTGGCGGGGCCCCTTCTGTCTTCCTCCCTGATGACACACGGTGACCTGTCACCCTCAGGCCCTCGTCCAGCCTGGGAGACACGTTCACCAATCGGTGGGGCACCAGGTTCTGCCTGGCCCTGGCTCCTTCGGGCACATGCTGGGCAGCCAGACCCCTCCACACCTTCCCTGGGTCCCCCCAGCGCTCCCTGTGCTCCCAGTCCCGGCTGAGAAGGCAGCGCAGGCAGCTCTGGTCGCAGGGCGCGCAGGGAGACTCCAAGCATTGCTTCCAGCAGCAGGTGACAAGTTCAGGCTGCCCCCCCGACAACCCTGGGAACCCCTGAGAGCCCAGAGACCAGGCCAGACTGGTTTGGAGTTGCAGGGACAGGTGGCAGGTGTGGCTGGCCACCTTCCAAGTCACCATTTCATGGACAGAATGTGTGACCAGTAGTAGATAAGGAAATGAAGCCACCCATAGCTTTGAGTGACAGGTGCCCCAGGGAGGGGCCAGGGTCGCTGCACCCTTCTCTCGCTGAAGGGAAAACCGAGGCCCATTCAGGGGGTGGAGCAGGAGGGACGTGGCCCGCCCAGAGCCTCGCTGCGGGAGATGGGGGGGTGTACAGGTGGGTTTGGTCCCCCCTGCAGGGCCCCCAGCGCCGTAGACTGTCTGGGGTGGGTCGTGTGCCTTGCGGGGCGTGGGGAAGGGCAGCTGAGGGAGGAGGGGGGGAGGGGGCCCGCGTCCCGCCTCCCCGTGGCCCCTCGGCGTCCCTTCCTGGGCGGTCTTCGGGCTCTCGGCTGGGCCTCCTGGGGTCTGAGTGGGGAGGAGAGTGGGAGCATTTCCGCTGGGAGGTTCTGCCCCTCCCCCCCCAGGTGTGGAGTGGAATCCGGGGCAGCCAGGCTTGTCAGCCTCCCGGGGGCTGGGCCCCGAGCCTGGGAACCCGTCCCAAACAGACTGGTTCTTGTGCCTGGGCCCCTTCTGGGAGGCGTGTCCGAGCTGGGGATTGCCGGGCACCAGCCTGACTGGGGTGGGGAGTTCTCCGGAAGCTTCCACGGAACAGGAAGGGAAGGGTGGGAGGGGGCGGGTGAGTCAGAAGTCCAGCCTCTGCCACCCTCCTGGGCCCCGGAGGCTGCTCCCAGCGGCTGACCCAGGGTCCCAGAGGCACCGGGCTGCCCGGCGGTGGGACCTGACCCCCTGGCCATGCTGACTGAGTCCCGAGACCCAGGAGCAAAGACTGTCCTCAGCAGAGGGGCTGCCAGGGCTATCAGCATCTGGGGGCACACGGGCCCAGGACAGGGGTGCTGGGCCCTGAAAGGACCCACCCCAAGTCATTTCCTGAATCCGAGGAGCATTCATTTTCTGAACCCCGGGGGCGCCTGGACACTGGGGTGCAGAGTGACAGACCGGCCGCTAGGGGACAATTGTGGAGACTGGAGACCCCTCCTCGATTTTCCCTTCAAAAAGATCTCGGTGAGGTCTGAGGGGCCCGGCCTCCTGCGGTACCGGAGCCCAGGGCTGGGCAGCTGGGGCCTGGGATCCAGCCCACACACAGGCCGGTGCCTGGGACCGACTGGCTGAGGGTCCCGCCCTGGGGCAGAACTGCTCCTAGTGGGCTCGTGGCCTCTCCTGGTGCAGCCTGGGCCTCTGCGGCTGTCCTGGAGCAGACAGGTCTTCAGGGGACGTGACCCTGAGGGGAACCAAGCTGGGGCTCAGGGGGCCTGGGAGGAGCCCCGAGGGGCACCTCACCCAGGTGCCGCTGTCATCCAGGGGCTGTGAGCTCCGCAGCCGACAGCGTCCTCACCGCCTTGGTCAGCGGCCCCGGGCCAGGCGCCGCAGACCAGGCGCTCGAACAGCAGTCCGCAGGCTGGAGGGCAAGGCCAAGGCCGAGGTGCAGGCAGACAGTTTCCCCTGAGGCCTCTTCTCTGGGTGGGACTCCCCGCTGTCTCTCCCACGAGGGCCAGGCTCCTCTGCTCGGCGCTGGCCCTGTGGCCTTTTACCTTGTCACCTTCTCAGGGGCCCCCGTCTCCAAATACGGCCACGGTCTGTGCTGCGGGGGGAGGGCTTCTGCACGAGAGTCTGGGGGCAGGACTCGGCCCAGAACGGTTTGCAGGCCCTGCGGGGCCAGCCGGCCCCCTGCAGGCTGCAGTTGCAGATGGACACTGGCATCTGGGGGAGGGGCCTGCAGGTGTGGGCTGCGGTGGAACCCAGAAGGCCACAGGTGAGGGTCCCCGGCGTCCTGGGAAGGCAGGGCCAGGCACAGGTGAGAGCCGGCAGGGCGGTCGTTGCAGGTGCTCTGAACACGGACAGCCTGAGGGAGGAGGAGCTGCACCTGTCCCTGCTGGTGTCCAGCGGCTGGAGGGCCATCCGCTTCCACGTGCTGCCGGCCGTGCGGTGGAAGCACAGGGTGCCCGCCCTGGAGGGCGCCCAGCGGGTGCCCGGCTTCCCTGAAGGCAGCTTGAAAAGGATCATCGGCCAAGAGGTGGCCCTGGTGCCTGCCAGTGCCCAGCTCTGGAGGTAGGAGGCCCCCCCCTGGGTCCTGGGAGGCCGGCAGGAAGGGGGTCCCGCCCCGGTGCTCCCCGCCCACTCCTCCCCCATCCAGAGGTTATGGGGTCTCAGGGGAATTCGGGAACCCTCTCAGAGCTTAGGGGAGCGGGCTGCGTGTAGCCGCCTGAGAGTGTGGAGGGCCGCCCTGGGCCCTTGGGACCCAGCCCGTGTGGGAGGACAGGCGGCCTGTGCAGGGTCAGGGGGGTTCCCGGAGCAGCCGGATGGGCGGTCGTGGGGCGAAGCAGCCCCGGGCCTCACTTGCATCTGCGTCATCCCCTCTGGGGCAGCTCTTCCCAGATCAGTGCTCCTCCAGGAGCCCCCCCCACCAGGTCTTTGGCTGTGAGGCCCTGCACCCCCTCCCCCAGCCCAAGATCCCAGCAGCCTCTCCCGGGGTCCCCAGTCTCCACCCTCAGTCAGAGTGGTGCCTGCTGGGAACGGCAGGCCTGTGGGAGGGAGGGGGAGGGCACTGGCTGAGGCTGAGCCCCCTACAGACCCTGCCGGATTGACATGTGTACCGGCGGGTGGCCGTCGTTGGCCAGGCGATGCCCTGCCCGCTCAGGCCAGGGTGAAGCACCCAGGGCGGTTTTCTGCCTGAGTTACTTCTCAGTGGCGGACGACACCCAGGGGAGCCTCTCAGGCCCTTCTGCAGCTCCCTGCTGCTCAGACTGGCTCGGTGGGCGGCTCCCGGGCCCTCTGTGCCCGGAGCAGGGGCTGCGTCCAGGCTGGCGGTGAGCCACACTGGGCAGAGGCCAGTGTTGCAGTCAGTGGCCTTTCCCTGGGCCCTGTCCACAGACTCGGCGGGCAGACGACGTCTGGTGTTGAGACTGCACAGAGAGGGGACCGTCAGGAGCCACCCCTTGCAGCCGGCACACAGCCAGTGGCTCTGCGGTGTGCTGCCTGTGCTGTGGGCGCTGCTGGGGGAAGGTGCTGGGCCCTCTGTGGTCCGCAGCTGCCTGGGAGCCTGGCTTCCGGACTGGGGTGTGGAGGGCAGATGGGGGCACTCCACCCACTCTCTGCCAGGGAGCAGCAGGCTTGCTTGCTCCACCCTGGGCCGGTGAGAGTGGCACCTTCCTGTCCCCACAAAAGGCTGGTGGCCTGGAAGCTCCCGTGTCCCCCGTGCTCTGGGGCCTGAGCGTCTATGTGAAGACCAGGCATCTCACAGGGGACAGCCCTTTGGGAAGTTCCTAAAACGTGCGGCTGGGTGCAACTGGGCAGCCGCTGCGGTGGGCTGACCACTGTGGCTCGGGAGCGTCCTGCCTGGGGGAGGGGCTTCCTGTCTGGAGGCTGGCAAGGCCGGCTTGGCCAGGGCGTGAGGCCGACCCCAGGGGTGTGTCTGCCTGGCTTCCCAGGGTCTCCACGGACTACCTGCTCACCAGGCTGCTGGGCGAGCTGGGCGCCCTGCCGGGCCATCGCCTGGACAGCCTCTCCATCCTCGACCGGGTCAACCAGGAGAGCTGGCGTGATGGCGGCCAGAGCCCTGGCCTGACCTTTGGCCACCTGAAGGTGCGTGGGGGGGCAGGGCAGGGAGCCTGCTGCCGTGCTGCTCAGCCTGGGTAGGGCCAGGGCAGGGGCCCCAGCTCAGACTCTTGTGCGTGCTCTGGCCGGCGGATGGCCAGGAGCCAGCTCCATGTCAGAGGATTCTACTGCCTTGCTGGGAGCCCGGGGAGCAAGACCCAGGCTCCTGGACACCTGTGGCTGCCCGGTGCGTGGTACCCAGACCCGCCTTTTCCGCCCCGGGGTGGGCGACTCGGGGGCTCTTGCCCCAGTCAGACCCTGGGGCCGGGCAGCACACATCGGCCACTCCCACCAGCCTGTGTCGGTCCTGGGAGGTTCTTCGTCCCAGCTGCCCCGCTGCAGCCTCCAGTCTGTGACAGTTGCTGGCCCTGGAACCCCTTCTCAGCTGGGCCTGGGCTTCTGGGGCCATGATGCAACTGTGTTCCCCTCGGGCTGGGGATGAAAAGTGCCAGGAGGAGCGGCATGGGGCCCCCGGGGCGGCACAGGCAAGCAGTTGAGGCCTCGGAGCGCGGCCCTTGCCACAGCGGGGGGCTTCGGGGACATGTGGCTCGACCTGGTGCAGAAGCTCTGCCAGGCCTCCCACGTGGCCTCAGGCCGCTCACTGCCCCCCTCAGGGCCCCACCCCACCCCTGGGGGTGCCCACTGCTGAGGGGTCCCTTGCGCTCAGCCCCATGGTCGCTCCTGCGGTGACCTAGGGGTGGTGGGGGTCGGCAGAGGGAGAGGGGTTCCCAGCTGGGGGACTTGGGGCCGGGGAGGAAGAGGGTGCCCAGGGTGGCCAGGCGAGCCCAGCTGTGACTCTGAGACACACTCAGACCCCATGTGCTGGGCACACAGGTGGGGCAGTGGGGGTGGGGGGCCCCAGAGGATGTGCAGGAACCTCAGACGCCCTGAGAAGGGCCCCGGTGGCCTGGTGGCTGGGATGCTGTGGGGGGAGGTTGGGTGGGGTCCCGCTCAGCCCCAGTGCCCCCTCGGGAGTCACAGGCCGTGCCTCGGCGGGGGCCGCAGGCGTCATGGGCCGGGGGCCTGCACTGGGACACCTCGGGGGGCGTAAAGAGCGGGGAAATGCCTGTGGGTAGGGGCTTCTGGGGGTCCCGGGGGAGGGCTGGTGGGCCTGGTCGTCCACACGGCCCCCCAGGCAAGGGCCCACCCACTGCCTCCCCGCAGACGGTGCTGCTCTGGGCCTCGGCGCTGTTCCCCGCGCCCGAGGACTGGGCAGAGCTGCAGGGCGCCGTGTACCGGCTGCTGGTGGTGCTGCTGTGCTGCCTGGCCACGCAGAAGCTGCCCCACTTCCTGCATCCCGAGTGCAACCTGCTGCACGGCGCCGGCCTGGACCTCGGCGCCCTCTACCAGCGCGTGGAGCGCTTCGCCAGCCAGCCGGAGGCCTCCCTGCGCATCCACGCCACCCACCTGGGCCCCAGCCCCCCGCCCCGCATCGACCACGGGGTCAAGGCGCTCCTGCAGCTGCCCGCCAGCGACCCCACCTACTGGGCCACCGCCTACTTCGACGTCCTGCTGGACAAGGTGGGCGCAGAGTCCCATGCGGCAGGGAGAGAGCCCCGGGCCGCCGCCCTCCCTCTCCCTCCAAGGTCAGGAGCTTGAGTGGGGCTGGGTCAGGTCAGGCCTCGGGACAGCGTCTTAGGGACCTCGAGGGTCAGGCAGGCCACGGCTGCCCCCTGCCCACCAGGGGCCCCACAGGCCCAGGGCCGCTGGCCAGGGACCAGGGCAGCATGTCCAGGCCTGTCCCCACTACCCTGGAGCCTCCCCAGACCTTCAGCGAGGGGCTCAGAGCCCCAGCTCCACCCTGGGTCCACTCCTCACGAAGGAGTGTGGCCTCCGCAGCTTTACCGCAGGTCTCCGCTGCGTCCCTGTACCCAGGAGTCCCCTGCCACGTCCCTCGGCGTTTGGGGGGGCCTGGCCAGTCTCCCAGCTGCCCCAGAGGTCCACCAGCTCTGCTGGTCTTCCGTCCCCCCATCCCCAGAGAGCCCCCTCCTGCTTCTCCCCAAGGGCCACCCACACCCTCACCCCAAAGAGCCAACATGTGTCCCCTTCTAGGGCACACCCACGGGCGTGGGGTGAGGCGTGACCCACCTTTGGCCCTCAACAAACACCTGGCCAGGCCTCCTCTGTGTCAGGGCCATCCGGGGACACCTGTGTGTGAGGAAGCTGGGGGGAGGGGCCTAGGTGTGGCCACGTGCGGAGTGGACCCTCCAGGAGGAGACCTGGGGGCAGGAAGGCCCAGTGGCCGGGGAGCCGAGGTTGTCCTGCAGGGCGGTGCCGGAGGCCCTGGGACGGACTCCGGGGTGTCTGTGACCCTCTGCCCCGCCCGCAGTTCCAGGTCTTCCACATCCAGGACCAGGACCGGATCGCGGCCATGCAGAGCATCTTCCGGAAGACCAAGGCTGTGGGCGGCGAGGCCAGCTGAGTGGGCGCCGGGCGCTGCCAAGGCTCCCGGCTCCTTGACAGGGGCGTCCCCTGGGGATGGGCGGTGGGTGAGGAGGGGACAGTCCCCTGGGGCCTGAGAGTGCGGACGGCCGGCCTTCTGGAGCAGCTGCTTGTCTCCAGGGGCGAGGGCCGCGGATGCCAGGCTTCCTGTGACCTGTGTCTGTCTGTCCTGTGGGATGCGGTCTAGACGCTGAAGACAGGGTGTCTGCGGGAGATGCGGAACCCAAGGACTCGTCCCGACCTGCGTCCAAAGGCTGCTGCGTGAGACAGAGAGCTGTGTGTCTGACCTTGAATAAATGAATGCACTTCCGAGGGGTCGCAGACGTTCTTGACCCCCGTCCCGGCTTCCACAAAGAACCAGGCGGAACAGGCCCGGTGGTCTGTGTGGCGTGTGGAGATGGCGCCACCTCCTGGGGAAGGTGTGTCGGTGCCTGGGTGGCTCAGAGACAGTTCGGAGCCAAAGTTCCTGCTGGGGTCCCACAGGGGAATGGGCGACACGCGGCGTCTCTGGAAAACCCTGACGTAAGGCCATTCCCACCAAAATTCCAGCAAGCTCCAGACAAGATGAGTCTAGAATTTGTAAGGGAATTCAAAGGCTCTGGGACGGGAACACCAGTTTTCGAAGAACAACGTCGGAGGGCGTGCGCTCCCGGGCCCCAGAGCGGCTGTGCAGCTGCAGGGACGAGGACAGTGCGGCGCAAGGGCGAAGCTGGGGTTGGGCGGGAAGCAGACCCACGCCAGCGGCCAGCTGGTGGGGGGGGGGGGACTGCCCATCAGACGGGGAAGGAGAGTGTGTTTAACGAACGTGCCTTGAACGACTGGACGTCGGGGTGGATGAAATTGCGCTCCACACACAAGACCACTGCGGCGAGGAGCACCATCACCTCCCCGACGGCTGGCACCGCGCCTTCAGGAAGGAAAGGGGACGGTGTCTTGGGACCACGGGGTGGGCGGGCGTGTCCCGGGCAGGACGCAAACAGTGCAGACCGCGAAAGGATGCACAAGCGCAGCTAGGGCACAGATAGGGCTTCATCCAAACTCAAAACACCGGCTATTCAAAAGACTTGTTTAAGAAAATGGATGAGCCCTGGCTGGTGTGGCTCAGTGGACTGAGCACCGGCCTGCGAACCAAAAGGTCGCCCATTCGACTCCTGGTCGGGGCACATGCCTGGGTTGTGGGCCAGGTCCCAAGTGGGGGCATGTAAGAGGCAGCCACACACCGATGCTTCTCTCCCTCTTTCTCCTTCCCTTCCCCTCTCTACAAATAAATGAATAAAATCTTTAAAAAATGGGTGTAGGTCAGCTGCAGAACAGGGAAGATGCTCCCGACTGCATCCGACAGCCTCCAGCTCCCACCCCTCTGCCGCCACAGGTCAGCAACCACCCGCCACCGCCACAGGGCACCCACAGGAAGATGAGAGTTGAGTGATGTGTGCAGGACACTCGGGTGGACTCTCTCAAAGGGAGATGCTCGGAGGGCCCGTAAACACGTGAAAGGAGGCTCAGCGCCGTCACCCCGCAGGGAAAAGGCGGGCTGAGAGACAGTGAGGGGGAAGCCCCTGCCCCCCCAAACTCCTGCGAGGATGTGCAATGCGGCAGCAGCCTCTGGAACTTCGGAGCCAGGCCTCCCAGGCTCCGACCTGCCTTAGCCTGGGACCCTGCCGTTCCTCTCTGGGTGTCCCCCAAGAGAAATGAGTAGCTGCTGCCCACACAAAGCCCGTCTGACAATGCTCATTAATTACCCCGTTACTCATAATGGCCCCCAAGGGGACATCACCCCGAGGTCTCTCCACAGTGGACAAATGCACAGATGGCAGTGTGTCCCTTCAGGGGGACAGCTCCCAGCAGCAGACTCGCCACGTCCGGGCAGTTCTGGCAGCAACAAGGTGCTGAGTGAGGAGGGGCCGTGCCAGAGAGCAGAACACGCTGAGAGAGTCCACGCGTCCGGCCCACCCTCTGCAAAGCCCGGTGGCGGCGGTGATGGAACTCGGATGCGGCCCACCTGGATGGGGGCACCCCGGGCCTGCCAGTGGGTGGTCCTGGTACTGAGTTTCCAGTCTCTGCTTCGGGGGGACCCCCACCCAGCAGGGCTGCTCTCAGCACAGAGGCCAGCGTCTTGGAGCCGACCCACGGGGCCCTGTGCGCTCAGGCCCCCGAACTCTCTGGCCTCCCCTGGGAGAGCTGCACCCGGCCCTGGTCTCCCCACGTCAGACCCTCTGGCCCTCTGAGGCCCCGTGCTGAGTGCCCATCTCCCCGGTGCTGTGAGCAGCGTGGGGTGGACGGCCTCGGTCTGCCCCCTGCTCCAGCCACATTGGGTGAGTGACGGGGCAGAGCCAGGCCCACCCCTTCCACCCACACAGACACGGGCTGCAGCGGGCTGGGGTGCCCACCCTGCCAGCCTTCCCCTCGGGGACCTCGGGCCAGGGGAGGACCTGCAGATGTGGGTGGGGCTGTGACCGGCCAGCACACACCCTGGTCCAGGGAAGGCTGAGAGAGGCAGCCTGGTCTGCAGATTCAGCCAGGGGAGGGGCTGAGGAGGCGAGTCACCGGCGGGCACCCGGGGGAGGGGCAGAATTGAGGGACAGGGGTCAGAGGGCGCCCGGCTGAGGAGGGGGAGAGCCTGGGGGCCCCAGGTCGCTCTCAGCTGCAATTTGAGGCCCAGTGGTGGAGGGTCACCCAGGCTCAGGTCCTTCCCTGCCCCCGTCCACAGGACTCGGGCCAGTGCCGGGCCTGGGGCTCTGGGTTTCCCTGGAGGCAAGGTCCGGGGCTCTGCACGCCCCGTCTGCCGGCAGGAACGAAGCTGTCACAGCTGAGCGCAGTGGGGGCAGGGCTGCCTTCCTGCCAGGCCCTCCCTCGGCCCAGCCCCACATAGAGAGGACAGATGGCCGCCTGCTCTTTATTGAATACTCCTAGGAGGCCAGGGGCCTGGGGGCTGCAGGTCACTTGGGAGGAGCTGTGCATCCTGACCAGGAAGGAGAAGGGCCTCGGGGGCTGGCAGCAGCCTGTCGGCCTCGCAGACCCCGTCTGGGCCCCCCGCCCCTCCAGGAGGGCCTGGCCAGGTGGCTGGGTCACAGCTTGTTCCGGGGGCAGTGCTGCAGTGCCTCCTTCAGGGCCTCGGTCACGCGGTCCACGTTCTCCCTGGTGGCGTTGCAGCCCAGGAGCCCGATGCGTAGCACCTGTGGGCCAGGGGCGACGTGTCGGTCTCCATCCAGGACCCTGCCCGGCCCTGGCTGAGGTCTGGACAGAGCCAGGTGGGCTTCCCAATGAGGGGACCCCCACCGGGACACACAGGACAGGCGGGAGCTTTCTGCAGTCACTCAGGGAGCCCCGGGCCCGGGCTGAGCCTGCAGAGCTTGGGAGGGCAGCCAGGGCAGCCATCCGCACAGGCCACTCAGAGTCCCCCTGTCAGTGGGCACGGCTGGGCCCGGCATGGGGCCTCCCGCCTGGTGGGCCACGCGGAGGGAAGGAGGGACGTTCTGGGTGGAATCGGGGGTCTGCGCCTGCCCAGCTGCGGACGATGGACCCAGATCCCCCTGCACAGACCCCTGGGGTTCGGAGAGGGACGTTCCCTGAGGACGCCCCAGCTGTCCTGACTCCTGGATGACCGACGACCTCGGCCCGGACACAGTTGTGCTCCGAGTGGGGGCCGCCCCCTCACCTTCCCTAAGGAGGGCCCGAGGCCACCGGTGATCTCTATGGAGAAGCGGTCTCTGAGGTAGCTGATGATGTCTCTCCAGTTGTAGCCGGCGGGCACCGCCACGGTGGTGACAGTGGGCAGCCGCAGCGCCTGTAAGAAGGGCCAGCTCGGCACCAGCACCACAGCCCGGGGCTGCCTCACCCGGCCCCGGGGCTTCAGAGTGGGGCTGGGGGGCGTGGGTCCGAGGAAGGGCCTGAGGACAGCGAGGTCACCACCCTCTGCCCCGTCCCCTGCCCCCGAACGTACGGGATTCTTCACGAAGAGCTGCAGGCCCAGCTCCTGCAGACGCCCGTGCAGGTAGGAGGTGACCTCCCTGTGGCGCTGCCAGCTGTTCTCCAGGCCCTGCTCAGGGAGAGGCACCGGCGGGAGAGGGGGGACTGGGGGGCAGGGAGCTGGCACCTACCCACGGGAGTGGCCCCTCGGGAGGCCCCTCCAGCCCCCGGCCTGGGTTTGAGGCCGTGGTGGCTCTGGCCCAGGGGCTACCTCAGGGCAGAGGCCCGGCCAGAGCTGGGGCTCTGGGGAGGGGAGGGCCGAGCCGGCCGGGGCAGGGCGGGGACTTTCTGGGGCACACGGGTCTCCTCCTCCTTCCCGCACGGACCCCACAGCCCATGGGAGTTCATCCTCTTTCTGCCCACCCAGCTCACACCCTGCCCTCCGGGGGAGCCACCCCTGGGAGCGAGCAGCCCAGCTGGGTGCTGGTGGCCGCCACCCGGACTGCAGCTCAGCCCTGGGGTGGTGACTTATGAGCAGACACCAGGTGGGGGACAGCGCAGCCAGTGAAGCTCCTGGTCACCCCAGGAGGCCACCCACAGCCCTGTCTCCCCGGCCTCTGGGCTGGGGGCTGGCCGCGGCCCCAGGAGGTCGGGACTGTGCCCCATGTGCTGTCCTGACCCTGCGCAGAGCCAGCTCGGCCTGTGTGGGCGGGGTTCCTGGCACCGCCTCTGCTTGGCTCCAGCCCCCCGCCCCACCCCGGGAGCAGGAAGGCGTCCAGGCTGCTGAACTTCGGTCCCTGGGACTCACAACGGGGTGCTGGCCTCTCTCCTCAGGCCCCTCCTGCGGGCGGGGTCCTCACGGACCGCCTCCCTCAGCACCCGCCGGCCCTGCCCCTGACACCCCTGGCCAGCAGGCCCACGCCTCACCTCTTCCGCGATGAGCGCCAGGCTCTCTCTCAGGCCGAACAAGTTGATGACGGGGGTGGTGTGGTGGTACCTGGAAGACAGGATGCGGTGCGGCCCAGGTCGCCGGGTGGGGTTGGGCGGTTCAGGCTCTGGGAGGGTGGGCCAGCCCCCTCCCCGGGGGGGCACCCAGGCCGGGAATCATGGACTCAGAGCTGGAAGGGTGGCTGGGCCCGTGGGAGCGGGGCTCGCAGGATGCTGCCCAGCTGGCTCCCGCCTCCCACTGGGCCCACTGGGTGGCCCATGATGCCTGGTGCTCCTGTCCCCATGGGTGGCATAGGGGGCCTTGGGTTATGGCCAGAGCCACCTCACAGAGAGCCCCTGGCTCACCCCCTTTTTTTGAGATATGGGTCAACTGAGGCCCGGAAATGGGGAGATGTGTCCCGGGGCAAGTGTCTGAGGCTGGGATTTCTGGGGGGACAGGGCCCTGGGAAAGGGCAGAGGCCACGCCTCAGGCGGCAGGCCAGCGGGAAGAGGGGAGCCAGGTGGGGGCCCAGATGGGGCCTCAGGCCCCAGTGGGTAAAACTGATGAGGGCTGGAGCAGTGGGAGGACCCCCGAGCCCCTCTGCCCACCAGCCCTCACATCCTGGGCTCGTCGTCACAGCCCCAGAAGTTGGCCAGCAGCTTGATGTCCAGGTAGAAGGAGTGGGGCTTCGTCTTCCGGGCGTAGACCTTGTCTCTGGGGGGAGGAGCCCACGTGAGCACCTGCCCCTCGGGCTGCAGAGCCTGCGCGCCGCCCTCACCCCGGCCATTGTTTCTCAGAAGTGGGGGCCCGGCACAGGCCCGGGGGGGGGCGGATGTGGGCCCCTCAGGCAGCCCAGCCTTGCTGACCCTCGGGCTTGGCTGGCGCCTCTGCCACTGGGGCGTGACCCTGCTGCGTGGAGGTCGGGCCCGGCCCCTCTCTGGGCCCCTCCCTGGGAGCCGTCCTGCCTCCATCCCCGCGTCAGAGGTCAGTGAAAGGCGGTCCTCACACAGCGCAGGAGGGGCTGCTGCTGCGTTGGCGAGGCCAGACGCAGCAGAAGGACAAAGGGGAAACTGAGGCTCCCCCCCCCCGGAGGCTGCCCACCTCGGGGCATAATCTGTGACGCTTGGTGTCATGGAGGGGCCTCCAGGCAGCCCCCCTCCACAGGCTGGGCTCCCAGGTTGGCCCAGCAGCCCGGGCCTCCCTGCTCTCTGGACTCAGACCCAGCCGCCCCCTGCCCCTCCCAGGTCACTCACACACGAAATCCCTGATCCCACCCCATGTGGTCTCTGTCCCGGCAGATGGCACCAACCAGTACCTGCCCACAGCCTGTTGGGGCCAGCTTCCCCTCCCCCGCCCCACCCTGGCTCAGAGACGCTGAGTTGGAGCTGGTGGCAGCAGGGACGATAAGCCTTGGGCCCCAGTCCTCGGCCCGTTGCAGGGGACTCCTGGAGGCCAGCCCCCGCCTCCCATATCAAGCCCGGGCTTCCTGGGGGGTGTCTCCAGAAGGTGGCCGGCCCAGGCCATCGCCCCAGGTGCGTGGCCCTCACGGTGCCCAGACACCCGGTCCCTGGGAACCAGGGGCACCTGTCAGAGTTCATGACGAGCTCTCTAGGGGCATCTCGGAGCGCGTCCCGAGGCGCCACGCCCTCCCCGGTTGTCCCTCCTTCCAGGGGCCCCTGGCCCCCCTGCACGTGCCGCCCGGACCCCTCACCTGGCCTTGTCACTGAAGGAGATGAGCGCCGTGCCTGGAGGGGCGTTCAGGACCTTCTGGGAGCCCGAGTACAAGACGTCGATGCCTGTGGGGGGGGCTCGCAGGGTGAGTCCCCCAGGCGGGCTCGCTCCAGCGGGGGTGCCCTGGAGCTCAGGGCCCACCATCTTGGGGGAGCCGGGACCCACCCTGCCGCCAGTGTCTGCAGTGAGGGGGCATTCCTGCAGGGACAGGCCCTGCCCCGTGGGGTGGGACGCTGACCCCGGGGCAGCTCCAGTGGGTTGTGGGGCAGCAGTGGCTCTGGGGGCTGTGGGGAGGGCCACACGCGGCGTCAGAGTGTGTCCGAGGGAGGGACAGGCCGCAGGGTCGGCAGGCTGGTCTGCTCACACCTTGGAGCCTGAGCCCCTGATGGGTCACGAAATACCTACAGCCCCCCCGAGGGCCCCGTGGCTCTGAGCTGTGGGGCAGATGGCCGAGCAAGCAGCCTGAGAGGCGTGGTGTGTCATCTTGGGGGCGGCCCTGACACCCTGCCCTGGTCCCCCGCTTGTCCCCCGCCCTTCCAGAGCAGTGGTGTGAGCGTCGGCCCCTAAAGCCCCTCCGTTGTCCCGGGACGTTCTCCTGCAAGTTGAACTGACTGTGGAGCTCACTGGGTGCGACGGGCTGGTGGGGGGTCCGGGCAGATGGGGATGCGGAGCCCCAGCCGCGACCGGAGTCATCATGGCCCTCGGCTCTGCCCCCGTCCTGCACTGCGGGGGCTCTGAGAGTACGCTGACCCAGAGAAGCTCCACCAGACCCCCCCGCCCCCTGCAGCTCCTGGCCACCCAGCAGAATCCCTGGGTGCTGCCGCATCCAGGGAGCCCATCTGCCTGTGGGGTCGGGCCCTCACCTTGCTGGTCCATGTGGATGGGGGTCCCACCCAGGGAGGCCACGCAGTCCACCAGGAGCAGGCACTGGTACCTGGGGGAGGGGCCGTCCAGTGAGGCAGGTGGGGCTGCAGCCCCAGGGTCACCCCACACAAGGGGGCTCCGAGGGCTCAGGCCCAAGGGTGTGTAGTGCGAGCCTGGGCCCCGTCCACCAGCAGCCTGCTGGCCGTAAGGTCGGAGGCCAGAGGGCAGAGTCCAGAAACAGCTGGAGCCAAAGCTGGGCCCCCGCCTCCAGGTTTTCTTAGAAAAAGGCAGAGTGGGCACAGAGGGACAGGTGGAGCCCTCAGGGTCACAGCCCAGGCCAGGCTGGTAAGCTTGAGTCACCGGACAGAACTGGGGGGGCAGGTGGGCTGGGATCCCGGCGGGAGAGCCTGCCTAGCTGTGGGGTCTCGTCCTTTCAGCCCGTGGTCAACTCTGCAGGGCGGGACAGCTGGTCATGGGGCGGGTGGAGCCCGTGGCTCCTCCAAGGTCTGTGCACCCGGGCGGGGGGGAGGCTGGTGGAGGGAGTGGACGGCTGAGGCTGCCCTGGGGCTCTGAGATCTCAGGCGAGGTGGGGCAGGGCCCCCCAGGTCCTGGGAGCCAGGGACCTGGGTCAGCCTCAAACCCTCCCAGCCGTGGGGCCTTGAGGGCAGTGGGCGCAGTGCGGGCACCTGGCTGTGGAGAGACCCTCGTCCTGCTCTCGAGTGGGGAGCCCACCGCATTCAGAGAAGAGCAAGGAGGACCCCGAAAGGTGCCTGCACCCCACACCTTGTGGCAGATGCTGGGCGGGGGCAGCAAAGGGTGGGGACTCAGCCCACCCGCTACCACCCGGGCTGCAGGGACCTGCCACCGCTGCACCCACCCAGCCTGGGGCTCTGCCCCCAGCACTGCCACCTGGAGCCAGGCTCCCCCGTGGGGACGGGCTCACCTGCGGCACAGCGCCCCAAAGCCGTCGAGGGGCTGCAGCACGCCGCTGGAGGACTCCCCTTGGGTCAGAAAGAGCAGCACCGGCTTGTGCCGGGCCAGGCCCTGAGGGGGACGGAGGGACAGCGGTGGGCAGTCGGTGGGAGGAGAGGCTCCCGGGCCAGCCAGTGCCCACAGAAGGACTTTCCTGGTGAGGGCAGGGCAGGCTTTGCCTCCCAAACATGCCCTCCCTCCCGGGGTGGGTGCAGCACCCCCATCTGTGTGTGTGGGAGCCAGCGACTTTGGGAGGAGGGCTCGTTCCGGAAGAGATGGACTTCCTCCCGGAGACCAGGGACAGGGGCCGCCACCTCTCGCCCCGCCCATGGGGACATTGGGACCTTCGTGAGGTCAGCGAGTCCCCGGAGTCTGAGCCGGCTGGGACTGACCCCTGTCAGGGAGGGCCCGCACCTGGAGAGTCAGGGCAGGTCCTGCTCCCCACCTCACGCCTCCAGCCCCTCCGGCCCTGCCCACAGGACTGGGCTCCTGACTCAGTTGCCCTTTCAGGCAGAACCCCCCCATCAGGTTTCCCACCTGCTCCCAGGCCCAAAGTGCTCTCCCTGTGGGGGGTCTCTTGGCGCAGAAGCCGCCACACCCAGCACCCAGCCCCAAGCCCACCCAGCTGCCAGCACCCCCGTCCCGTGGCAACACACCGCACCTCCTCCACCTCCTGCAGCGAGCAGTGGCTTCCGGGGTCCTTGGTCATCCGGTGCGTGCGGGCTCCTGGGGGCAGGGCCGGTGCGAGCCGTGAGCCGCCCCTGCCCCAGCACACAGGGCAGGGGCCACAGTGAGGAGCAGGGGCGTGCTGAGCAGGCCGCCCAGCCTTGGCCCCCACGTGGAGAGGGGAGTGGGGCAGGCTCCGGCCAAGAGCGGCAGCCGGCTCAGCGGCCCCTCCCTCCCTCGGGCCGCCTTCCCTAAGCCCAGGGGCCAGGCTTCCCGTGCACGGGAAAGAAGCAAGTGTTTGCTGAATGAAGGCCGAGTGGACGGGGACTCCCCAGTGAGAGTAGGGGGAAGGAAGGAAGGGAGGGAGGGAGGGAGGGAGGGAGGAGTGGAGGAGGGGCAAGCTCCAGAGCTGGGGGGGGGTACCCCAAGGCCCCAGAGCCATCCAAACCTCAGGGCAGAGCCTGAGGCCAAGGTGTGGCGGGGAGCAGAGCCGGGGCCTGTCCAGGCTGAGCAGGGGGCAGTCAGAGCCCTCTGAGGTCCTGGCCTTCGGCCCGTCAGTTTGGGGTCGGAGGCCCTGCACTGTCCAAAGTTGTCCATTAACTGGATGGCACCAACATGTGTGGCGCCAAGCTCACGGCCAGTCGTTAAACACGGGGCTCACTGCGGCCCTCAAGCCCTGTCTCTCCACAGTTTGCTCTGGAAGCGAAACCCTGTCCATTCCTCCATGTTCCGTGGCTCCAGAAGATGTTTGTTTCCGAGATTTTTGAGGGGGGACTTCTACCTCCGAAACCCGTCCTATGGCACTTTGGGACAGAGCAGCCGGAAGGGGGAGGCCCAGAGGGCCAGGGAGGGCCAGGGCTGGGGCCGCGTCCTGCCCGAGGCGGGGGATGGGGACGGCTGGAGGGGCGGGCACACCCCACCCCTGCCCAGCCCCTTACCCAGGCGCTCTCCGACCTCAGCGGCCCGCTGGCCCCAGATGCCGTTGACCCCGACCAGGAAGGAGTCCCCGGGCTCCAGCAGGTTGAATAGGGCGGCCTCCATGGCAGCGTGCCCCGAGCCACTGATGGCGAGGGTGAGGCGGTTCTTGGTCTGGAACACGTACTGGATGCCTTGCTTGATTTCTTCCATTATCTGGGGGCCGTGGGCCTGCGGGTCAGGGCCTGCTCTCCGGCGCCCGGCCCTCCCGCCCGGAGGGGCTGGCGAGGGCATCAGCCGTCCCCCGGCTCACCTGGTACATGTCTTTGTGCATGTGACTGATCATCTGCTGTCCCCCGGCCGCCAGGACACGTGGAGCCAGGTTGGAGGGGCCGGGCCCCAGCAGGAGCTGTCTGGGCACAGACATGGGCTTCAGCAGGGCCTCCGGGGGGGCCACCAACAGTGGGTATGAGGCCATGGTCTGCACCCAGCCTGCTGCCCGGGTCCCAGGGCCTCCCTGGCCGAGGTCAGAGTGCAGAGCTCTTCCCAGCTGCCCCTGGCTGGATGGCGGGTGTAGGCAATGTCAGGAGCTGCCTGCCTGCGGCTGTGACCCAGCGCCTGGCCTGTGTGCACCCTTGGAGTCGCCCCTGACACCCGGGGTGTTGAACCCTCCTGGGGGGAGGAGCCTTCGCAGACCAGCCAATGCAGAGCAGGGCTGGGGTAGCCTCCCTGCCAGCCCCCTCCTGCAGGCTCTGCTCAGGGGTCCTGGGTGGACTGCCAGGCTCCTGACTCAGTTTCCCTAAAAGGCAGAACCCTCCCAGCACTCGTGCTGGGCTCTAGGGGCCCCAACGTTTTTCTTAAAGGACCAGAGAGCCAATAGTTCAGGCTTGGCAGGCCTTCCAGTCTGTGTTGCGAATACTCAACCTGGGTGTCGCAGAACAGCAGAAGCAGCCAGAGTGGTGTGCCTGTGTGGCAATAGAACTTTATTTACAAAGCAATCCGTGGGCCAGACTCGGCCCAGGCACACGTGCACACACACCAAGGACACCATCATCCCCGATCCTTCTGGAGACAAGTACTCCCTTCATCCCTTGGAGGCTGCAGGTCCTCGGGTTCGCACATGCACGTCTAACCGGGGCGTGTGTGGGGGAGCCCGCTCTGCTCGCCGAGTCGACAGGTGGGCAGAATAAATGGGGGTCGTGGGTCAGGAGAAGGAGCCAGGCCCGGCGAGCAGCTGCCCAGCAGAGCTGCTGGTGTCTGGGGGAGCGAGAGAGGCCCCGGTGAAGGAGGCCTCTGGGCTCCCACCTTCCCCCGGTGCCGGGGTGGGGGACACCCTGGGCCACAGCAGCCACGGGAGTGTCGGGGCTTCAACAAGTGACCAAGGAGGCAGCACGCCCCTTGGGCCCAGCAGGAGGCGTCCCCCTGGGGACTCACTCCTGAGCTCCGCGGGGCCCCTCCATCGAGCTCTCTGGGGCCGGCTTCCTGTGACATCCCAGGGCACGGGGACCCCACCCGTCTGAGGCTGGTCGGTCAGCCACAGCCTGAGCACCTGGGGACCTCGCAGCCCTGCGGGGGTGGCACTCAGTCAAGGGGGCATTCGGGGACACAGGAGTGGAGCCTTGGGGAATGGAGAGGCACCCTGACTCTGGGGTCGGGCAGGGTGGGGAGGGCCTGCCAGGGGCTTGGTTGCAAAGGTGAGAGGAGGCTGTACAGACAGAGGGAGCTGGCAGTCAGGCCCTGCTCCACCGTGGCATCCGCGTCCTGGTGACTTCTGTCACAGCGGGTGCTGACCTGCCACAGCCCTGAGAGGACATCAGCCCCAAGGCTGCGCCTGAGGCTGGGGACCTGCTTGCTGGGGGCATGAAGCCACTTCCCCAAGGGCCAGCCCCCCTCCCATCAGCTCTGGCCCCACCTCCCTGTCTGTCACCCATGGTGATGACATCCCTCTGGTCCCCCCCCACCTGTGCTGCTGGACCAGCCTGTCTGGAGGGGACATCCCCAGCTCTGTCCCCTATCTGCCCTCCAGCACACTGGCCCTTCACTCCAGCCTCCTGTGAGCACCTGCAGCTGAGCACAGGCTGCCCCTTGGCCTGGGACGCTTGTCCTGGTCTTTGCTCAACTCCTCATCTGCTGTGGCCACACCCCAGCCCCCCCACCTCCTGGCCCCCCTCGAGCCTCAGCTGCCCCTGCAGGAGAGCTAACGTGGAGTGGCGGGCCCAGGCTGCCCGGCTACCAGAGTCGAGTGAGCTGGGCCGAGGAGGCCGTTTTTCTTGTTCTGAGGGGCCTGGGAGCTGCCGCTTCTGGTCTTCCCCGTCTTGCAGCAGCGCCTGCGCCCTCTCCATGCCTGCAGGGGACACCCGGATGGCTCTGAACGGCAAGACTCCAGTGTCCAGGCTGCCAAACGCGTGGCAGTCCCATCCTGGACCAGCGCTTTGCACTCTGGAACCCCAGGTCCCTGCCTCTCCACTGACCCCGTGGCTGCCTCCTCCTGTGTCCCGGGTGCAGACGTTAAGACCCGGGACTAAGCCCTTGACATTTATTCCCAGCCATAGCCTCCTGATCTTCTGGGGTGAACTTGGCACCCTCCTGCCACGCTGCATGCCACACGGGGCGTGTGGTCTGTCCACCGCCCGTGCCCCTCGGGCAGGACCCACTCCGAGAGGAGCTGCGTGCCTGGCCTGGCACGTGGGAGTGTCCAGGGAGAGCGGAGAGGGGTGCGTGTTTTGTTCGCAAACAGACGCCCTGTGCCGACACCACGGAGGGAGCTGTCGCAATTGAAAGGCGTTTCCTCAGGCCCAGAGCCCATTGGGAGCCCGGGCCCGCAAGACAGCCAGGAGCACAGTGGGCGCCACAGCCCCGCCTCCCGAGTCCTGCCAACCAGGGCCGCCAGGCCGGGTGGACCAGGTAGTTCCGGCCCCGACACCAAGGCCAGAGGCCTCACCCACCCACGGACCGGAGCCAGGGCCCTGAGCCAGCAGCCCCAGGAGGTGGCCCTGGGAGGGGCATGCAGCCCAGACCAGGGCCTGGTGCCCATTCTGCACCCCCTCCCTGCTAGGCAGGCCCCCCAGGTCCTGCTCCCCAAGGACCGGGGAGTCCAACAAAGTTAAAAATGTTGACTTCTGAGCCCTAGCTGGTGTAGCTCAGTGGATTGAGCGCGGGCCTGCGAACCACACGATCGTGGTTTGATTCCCAGTCAGGGCACGTGTCTGGGTTGCAGGCCGGTTCCTAGCAGGGGACGCACGAAAGGCAACCATACATTGATGTTTCTCTCCCTCTCTCCTTCCCTTCCCCTCTAAAGAAATAAATAAAAAATCTTAAAAAAAATGTTGACTTCTGGTAATTCCACAACTGACAGGAAAAGCGCAAATGGTGGCTTTAGCCCCAAGTCTGCGACCATCCCCCCCCAGCGGTGCGCTCGGGCTGCTGTGGCCGCCTCTGCTGGTCGCGCCTCTGCTGGTCGCGCCGCCTGCAGCCCCTCTGCCGGCTACCGGGCCCTGCTGGGTGTCCCCTCGATGCTGAGTTTAAATGTCGGGGCACGCAGGGCCAGAGGAGGAGGAAGGGGGTATTTCTAATTGACATATGAACTTAACATCTTGCTCTTAACACGGCAGAACCGGGTCCAGAATCGCCCAGGGCTCCCCAGCTTCTCAAGGCCTGAACCCAGGGTGGTGGCGATTTGCATTCCCTGTTGATACATCTCAGGGCTCAGTGCCCACAGGCTGTTTCTGCCCCCGTGTGACGAGCCACAGCTTCCTTCTTGCCCGTCCCGGGAGAGGATGTACTTTCTGCTCCGCTAATCATGCTTCTACGTGTTCACCATCCTTTACCATCAACCTGGTGTGAGCCGATGATTTTGAGAAAACACACAGGCAGCGGCTGAGGCGGCCTTGGGGGTTGGGGAGGGGCACAGCTTTGCGGAGGAAGGTTAATGGGGTGGAGGACGGGGCTGGGGGTGCACCGTGGGCCGGGCCCAGGGAGCGGGCCGTGGTCCGGCACGAGGAAGGCCTGCCCGGGTTTATTCCAAGTGACCTCACCTTTGCAGGGTCGGATCACAGCCTGCAAAGGGGGGCGCTTTGCCCCACCCCCACAGTGGACCTTTGTGCCAGGAGGGCACAGATGTGTCCTCTCGGACGTGGACTGCACGGGCCAGAGAAGCTGCCTGCGACTCTCACTGGTGAGAATCAGCGGGAGCCCGAGGCGGCCAGGTAGCCAAGCACAGGAAGGCTGCAAGGGGGTGGGCCTGGGGTCCCAGCTCCCCCCACTCCAAAAACCACCCTGGATGGAGTAGGTGGGAGACCGCGTGCTGGGCCCGGCTGGGGTGGGGGTGGGGGCCCCAGAGACGCCCAGCATGGCTGTGCTCCAGGGTAACGACACAACAGTGACCTCTAGTGGCCAGAGTCTGTGGGGACACACACAGGCAGAAACAATTACAAGTTGAAAATATCTTCAGCCCTGGCTGGTGTGGCTCAGTGAGTTGAGCACCAAAGGGTCGCTGGTTCAATTCCCAGTCAGGGCACATGCCTGGGTTGCAGGCCAGGTCCCCAGTGGGAGCCATGTGAGAGGCAACCACACATTGATGTTTCTCTCCCTCTCGTTCTCCCTTTTCCTCTCTAAAAATAAATAAATAAAATCTTAAAATAAAGAAACTGTCTTCAATGTGAGTCTCGAGGGTCATTCTCCATCTGGACAGAGGACGCATGTCCCCCACCCAGACCAACCTCACGCACGCTCAGCTGACGCCCTTGTTTCCTTAATCAAGGGCCTGACCCTCGCCTCCACTGGTCCAGTTTTGCCCGAGTTTTGAAGCAAATCCCAGATACCACACGGTTCACCCACATCTTCCAGGAGACACGTAAGCGGACGTTCTCTCACAGAGCCTCTCAATATTCGGCAAAACTGAAACGCTTCCTCGACTGTCTAACAGCCTCTCCGGAGACAATTTCCCGATTGTCTCGAACAGGCCTTTGCAGAGGTGGCGTGTTACGTGGGCCTCACCCGAGGTCCCAGCATCACCTGTGGCCGGGGCAAGTCGTTTACAGGTGACGGCGCTTCTCACGCTTTCGTGGAAACACGACTCAGAGCTCGTGGAAATCACATTCTGGCTCCGGAGGCCAGGTGGGGCCTGAGACTCTGCATTTACGCACCTCTAACCCCACCCTCCGCATGGAGAGCTCTGGGTCTGCAGGCCTTCGCTGGATGCCCAGGGCCCCCACCACCCAGCCGGCCCCCCATCCCTGAGTCTCTCACTGCCCCCAACCCCCAGGGCCTCTGGGCAGAGGAGGCAGGGACAAAGGGAGCAAGGCAGGAGGAGCTCGAGCGGGGTCATCCCAGGTCAGGAGACTCCCCTCTTCAGGACAGACCTGCCCTGGCTCCTTGCTCAGTCCACAGCCCAGACCTTTGCCCAGCAGCGCCGGAAGACCCGGGGGCAGCCCCCAGCCCTTGCTGTCCCTCTGTCTCTGCCCAGGGGGCCCTGGGAATGTGCACACATCCTTCCTGTGCCGCCTCTGCACCCCAGACCTGGTGTGTGTGACTGGAGGGGTGTCTGGGTTGCTGCTTTTCTGCTGACCTGTCCCCTGCCCTTGCCCCTGGGAAGCCGTCACTGGCGGGGCTCCTGGGTCCCCAGGCTCCAGACAGGGCCCAGGAGGCTGCTG